AGGAGCCGTGCTTTTTGGGGCCAGAAAGGAATGCGAGCACGGAATCGATTATCGAGGCGCTAGATGAGATGTTCATGGACTGCACCCTCGATTTTGATTACGAAAATTAATGTTACATCACAGCAACTGACGCCAGTCGATGGGCGCGATTTGAATTCCTCGTCGGCCTTAATGTGAAGTAGTATGTGTTACATTACTCGATGGCACAATTTTCATTACTCATGACTGTCCATCACGTCTGCCCACCATTCCTGCCCACCGCCTCGCCCACCGCCCCTGCCTACCATGCATTCTTAGCTATTCGCTTGTGACCATCTTTGATTTCCGGCCATTGATAATGCATGGCCAGTCTTTATAATACATGGTTGGTCTTCGTTTGTTGCCAATTCGCTTGCCTGCTACCCTAATCATGGACAGTGTTCCGTCAATGTCTAATGTGTGGCTATACATGCCACAACGGAATTCCGTTCTTCGCCTCATACAACTCACTGTAAGTAAGCTCTATACTACAAATCATCCGCTGAATCTTTCCCTCTAGAACGAAGTGGTTCGTCGCCGTCCATCAGCGCTGCAGCCGTTGTTTCCTTTTAACCTGCGATTTTAGCATCCGTTTGTCACTTTTACGGGGGCAGAATTCGTTCTCATCGGATACTTGGCCGACTACACTCACATCTACCCCATCTATGTGAGTTTGTCTCCTCAAATCAAATAATTCTCTCATCGTATTGATTCGTTCGTAGTGTGACAAAGTATTCGAGAATGATCAGCCTTGGATTCATGTACTTCAACAGGTTGGAACGCTAGTTGTCCCCGGCGGGGGGATATGCACCATATCCACAATTTATTCGCGACAACGGTGAGAGCTTCGCCTCCCCAGACAGTTCGCTTATTCAATTGCGAAATCAGTTGGAGAGCGGTGCCTACGTTCGATCAATCAATTCTACCTGTTGCAGACCAGGTGTCAGAGGCTTAGCGCTTCCTTCGTGGTTGGTGAGTTTTGTTATTTAGTTGTAATCATACATGTCTTCATCGTCACATTGATAGCTTCCAGAGTTGAACGCATCGGTACAATTCCATCATGCTCCGTTTCCATTCGGATATCCACCTCCCGAGCATCTCGTTGTCCCTGATTCGTGTGCTGTGGAGACAGCCTCCTTTAGCGCATCTATGCCATTTTCATCGGGACATCCACCCCTCAAGCACTTCGGTCTCGCTGATCCGGTCCTTCAACATGCTGCTGAAATGCCTGTCATTGGCACGTCTGCGCCATGTTTGGATTACACTGATCTTGCATACAGTGACTTCAACTTCTACGACCACTCCACTGGCTATTCTGCAAGCGCCGTTGACGAGTATCTCATTCCAGAGGACACAAATGAAACACAACTCGAGCTAGCCTTCGGTGAGCAGCAACACACCATGTATCCCAGCCTGGAATGGAGAGACTCCACCAATACCGGCGTGGACAAGAACAACCGCTCACAAATACTTCGTTACATGAGGAGGACGCCCTGGAATCGAATAATCACGCTAACAAGGTGCTTGCTCATAGGCGGGTTGTGGACCGGAGCTTCCGGAAACCCATTTCGGATTTCTGCGACAAGCATGCGACGTCTGATAACGATTTGTTTTCTCACTAGTTTAAACATGACTCACAAGACCTACGAGGACATGGAGTCCCACCCAGGTCGGTGTCTTGCATTTTGGGTGTTTCGTTATGTGTCGCTATCTTACAGTTTGATCAGTGATCGCGAGGATTTCAGAGACCGAAACCGTGTCTGCTGGATGGCCTGTGCTTCGCTTAAGTGTATGTTTTCCCTTGTCCTTGCTTTCGCTTCCTCCTAGGAACTAATTTGAGCAGCTGGTTAAGTCGTTCTCCAGTGCCAAATCGGACCTAGGAAAAATCCTGAAAGGTGCGATGTCAGCGCACCCCGACTTTGCCGGTACCAAGACGATCGAGAAGGCTATCTCCTTCGTTCTGGCTCTTAACTCGGGCCAATCCTCTCAGGTAAGAGACTGCAGACCAACTAGCATAATTTGACCTCAAGCGTTTTTGTTTTCCAGATCCAGCAAGCAATTTCGGACCTCATAAGTCACCAGGTATTTCGAGAAATTCTGTGGGGGTCCCTTTTGTACCCTGTCGACGGGTTATCGGATGGAAATTCCAATGGAAGAATCGGCGACCTTTTTCCAGAAGAGGTTCTGTCAAGGTTCAATTGTTTAGCCCAACACCTGGCTGGAAATTTAATGACTTTCGCAAGTCTTTCTTCCCCTTACCCTTTTGTATCGAACTAACGAAATTTGCATCAATATGTCAGGTTTACCATATTCTACTTCTCATGGTGAAGGATGAATTAAAGAAGAGGAAGATCATGAGCGAAGCCGAGGTCGGAAACGAAGCTGAGGCCGAGGTCGAGGTGAACATCGATATCGACGCCAGCGCTAATATCCTGGAACCAGCGCCGATGAATGCCATTATCATGGCGGCTCTAGACCATATGTACGAGCACCCACACATGTATCCAACGTTCTCGGAGGCCGTGAGGAGTCTCCCCTTCATAACGTAAATTTCATATGTGCACTGTTTTTACCTAGCTCATCATGATCTACATTTAGGAGTTCTAATGTTCTTCAGATCGCTGCAAAGTCGCGACTTGCGAAAAGCACTATCTCTGACACTACTGGTGACAGGCGAATGGTCCTGGAAGACGTTCGGGCCTATCGTTGTTCAGCCAATCCCCTCTGATCAGTTTGGCGCGCTTCCCAATAGCAACGGCTTTAGTTCCCCGAAGTCTCTGAGAGTCGCGTGGGACTTGCCCATGTCATCATTCTCGCGCAAGTAAATAGGACGTACGGCGCCGCTTTTTTCGTATGCCATCTTGTACTAAATCCATGTATAACAATCTTTGGAGCTGTCCTGTAATGCCCAGAAAGCCGTAATCCCATGCATTTTGGCTCGTCTTCTGGAAACAAGTTTAAAACGTTTATTGGCCGACTATGAAGCTTGAAGAGCACACATCGCACAGAGCTCGAAATTGGCAGCGCAGTCAAACACTGCATGGTATTGAGATACGATCACAAGAGGTTCAAATTCGCATCATGCCATGGGTGAGTGCGCTCCAGCACTTAAACAATATTTATTAGCTAACTACGTCACTGATCGGCGGAACAGTACGGCCCAAAGTACGGCTGGCTGGTATTCCCGTCCGGCAAACCTCGGCAAACAGTCAGATACATTCGGAGTTAGAAATTAACCTGGGCAGAATTGAAGTTCCGCTTATAGACAATTGATCACCCGCCTTACCCACGCCAATACACGACAACTACCATTTGCATTACTTACGGCAAATAGCCCCTGTCGAACCGTCAAACCCCGCATCGTAACATATCATAACACAGATGTCCCGCACAAACCACGCGGCCTGTAGAGGATCGCTGCCACTGAAAGGCAGGAAAGTTTTGGTAAGTAACGACTGTAATCAGCGACAGTAACTAACGATTTCTATCAGACGCAAGTTGATCTGTGGTTCGATTCGGTGAGTCTGTCAGGAACTTCTCACCGATGGCTTACCCGAGATATACAGCGTCCCGTTCAATCGGTCGCCGTCCCGCCCACGCGCCGTCCGGTCGTGACGTTAAAGATAACGTTCATCCATGCTGTGAATAAAGCGAGAGCAATGCTTCGGGTACGTCACGCGAATTTCATTAGCACAACCATGATTCACACACGCCATCTATGTACATAGCTATAATGATTCGGACTCGGGGATGATTGTCACGCCTTAGGCGTTTACGCATATAGCAGGGCCTGACACATCCCATATATCCATCATCCATCATGAGATATCCAGCTTGTAGCATAGATCTTCAAATCCCCCCACATTTCAGCGCTACAACAATTGTACAGTAATTTAGCACATATCAGATTCCGCGCAAGATCACAATCGGTCTGATTTTTCCATAGGCCTGCATACATACTAGCACAGTACCATAATGATCTTGCTATATGTCACCTACTATATCCTATATCCCTCATGATCACTCCAACTGCCTTCGCTAATTATATCCATGGACCCTGGTTTCAGGGTTGTTCCGAGCGGAGGTATTATGATCAGAATCGTGCGTGGCGTGAAATATAAAAATATCAATACCTCACTATCATCGTGTGAATGTTGAACGAACGATGGCCACGACGGTGACGGTACGTACTTTGTTCAACCGCGAGCTCTAAAGCTATTTGTCTAGCGAGACCCCAGCTAAAAGAATTGTTTGATAGATGTCGCAGCTGCTCGATTGCAGTATTCCTATCTGGCCTACACAACTCGGGCGGTACACCGAAATGGCACGGTCACCGTGAGTGTCGTCAATATTACAGGACGAACACGGAGTACTCACACAATGACATAGGGATTCTCTACAGCGCAACTATGACATCGACGTGATGCAGATCGAATTGCCTCAGTTGGTAACCTTTGTTACTGACGATGTTGATCTAACCGCGGCATCAACAGGTCCGAGATGCGCGGGGGTTGGACCGAGCTGGTTCACCCGTCAGGAGCCGTATACAACTACAATGCGGGAATGGTGAGTGCGGGCTAGTATTTGAATTTACACGCTCACTTTGTTCTAATAAAGAAAACATTCGCCGAAATGAACTTGAGGACTTGTTCAGAGGAACGGCTCCGGAGGCTTGAGTCCTGGGTCAGAGCGTCAAGAGCCAAGCTAAACGGAAAGGGATATTTGCTAGTCGTGGAGCCGATCGTAGTGCAAGAGAAGGAAGTCTATCCGTACTATTACGTCGTCCCAGAAAATCATATCATTACCTGGGTGGAGCCAGTGAATGGCTACCTTCTTTTCCAGGAATCTATGGCATCGCACTGGAATCATAAAAGTACGTCCCTTTTTTGTCCATTGATTCTTAGACTTGATTGTACAGGACTCGAACTGGAGGCTCAATTTTGGTAAGCGATTGTTATACTGACACGGAACGTTTCTTACTGATTGAGTAGGAAACATGCCGAATATTTTCCTCACGAAATCACAATACCCCTCTCCGAAGTAAGAGCTTTGCGAATTCAGCTGAACTGGTATCGCGTAGGTGAGTTATTTAGCGTTATAGAGCCCGATCGAAAGTACCTCAACAACAAACAGAAGCATTGGCCATTGAACAGTCAACAGCGGCTTCAATATTCTGGACTCTGGACCAGATGAAGGAAATGACCGATGAGCTGATCATTGCTGGCACGTACCTTTATCTTCACCGTTCAACCCACATTAATATTATCAAATTGATGACTGACACAGAGGAACTTGCAGAACCTGATGGGACCATGAAGGGACCAGGTGTTGCAATATGTGGTGCGTGAGCTTTAAGGTAGCTGGCAATCAGAAAACTTATCTTTCGCGAGGCAAAATATTGCATATGCTCCGTACGATCCCGTTTTCTCATACCATACGTCATTGAATCAAGCGATCAAAACAGGTCATCACGAATACCTGAACCATTATGGCCAACCCGAAGCTCGCCTGATACGAATGCACTCACTGGCCGAAAAACGCAGAGACCTCGAAGATTCTCCCTTGATCGCTGGCGCTGCAGCCGCCATGCTTTGGATTCCATTGATGATGCTTAGACGCCTTAAAACGATTTACGTTGATGGTCTCGTGAATGTGGTGGACATAAGGAGTTTTACTGACAATTTCAGTGCCCAGGCTAAAGCTCAAACCACCGTGGTAAGTGCTCTGTCGCGGACCTAAATGAACATGCTTACTATGACTTCGTCTGCTCTGACAGGCAAGTGTCATCATGGCCGTCAACGCCAGCATCCTTGCTGTCCCAGGTTTGGGCACGCAACTTACCACGAAAACGATGTGCTCTATCTCCTTCGTTCTCAGTTTCTACTGTATTATCGGGTGCGCAATAGCACAACACTTTGGTCACAGGTTAAGATCCCTTGACTTTGCGGTTCGAACGATTTCATTTTCCGTAACACGGGCCTGACGTTATCAACTTGACAGGTGTATTATCTACAGGAGAAGATGGCCAGTCTTGCTATCATCGCAAGTATACCGAGTTTTTTGTACCTGACGAGGTAATTAAAACTTGGATCAAAATGTCTCATTACTCACGGGGACCACTGCAGTTTGGGATTTTCCATCCTCGGATTTCTGGCAGGTGTATTTACTGCTGAATTCGGACTATCTTTGTCTGCAAGGATTGGATGCGTGCTGGCGCTCGTTGTTGGAGCGGGCCTCATACTTCCGTTGACGATAGCCAGTTTCGGTCCTGGCCTGATTCGGTGACGAGGAACGACTCCTGTATTGGAGCAACGCATTAATGGCTAACGGACCGCGAACGATGCATATTAGCCTTCTGTACGTCGTAGGGAGATTCTAGCTGTTCCTTCATCATATCTTAGCGTTTCATATTCATTCTAAAAACTTCGTTGCTTCTCAGTGCTTCTCCCGTGTGACAACGAGTCACGATTGGTGATCTCGACTTAGTATCATAGACAGTAAATAAATCGGAGTTTGAAAGACTTGCCAGTGGATGTTGAGTTCGAGTTCTCGACGCAGCGACCATCGACAACACCCTTTCTTCCCGCCATCAATCACAGAAACATCCTTCTTGGTGCTGCACTACGATCAACCCGAACATTGACCTATCAGCGCCCCGGACCCCAATCAATAAAAATATCTTATTGATTCCACCAGTTATGCGTTCTATGTGGGTTCCCTCGCTCGAGAAGAGGTTATCAAAGGTGAGTGATGCTTGAACGAGCGAGCTGACTTATCATCGCGCCACATCTGATTGGGCAGGTCGCTACCCACCCCCATGGATGCTGGGTTCTGCAGCGTTGCATTGACCATGCTTCGGACCACCAGCGCATCCAGCTTGTGAGCGATATCACTTATAACGCGTTGGCGCTCGTTCAAAAAGTGAGCATTTTTTTAAATCTTGATGGACGTTTTCATGCCGACTGGGACTGGTGCATCTTGTGTGGCCGAACACAGTACCAGGAAAATTTCGATTGAAGAGTTACTCAACCGCTCCCGCTTGGAGAAACTACTTCGCGACTCGTATGGCAACTATTGTGTGCAGGTACCATTTTTCTTTTGTGCATTTGTCGCTTGGGCTGGACATTCTTGTAGACCGCGCTAGACTATGCCGATCCTGCGCAGCGTATGCTCCTCCTCAAAAGCATTCGCCCAGTCCTTCCCTTAATCCGCAACACTCCTTACGATCCAAACCGTGTTGCAGCGGGAACAGGCCAACGTCGAGAACTTCAGCTATCATGCCCCTTATGGCATGATGCTCATGGGCAACTCTGGCCATTACGGTGGCAACCCCGGTTATCATGGTCACGGTCACCACAATGCAGGGGCCCGGTACATCCCCCAGGGAATGCACCCTACCAGTGTTGCTGATGTCTATGCCCAGGGAGGCTTGTATGGTATCCAAGCGCAAGGCTCCTACGGCCATTCTCGCCTCGGTCCCCAAATGCACGGTGTTCAGGCGCGTTCGATCGACGGATATGTCTTGCAAGGCACCTCTCCTCATAGCACGAGCCTGACACCCCCTCATACCCAAGCCACTGGCTATACGGGCGTTGCTGGATATGCTAACGTGAGCCCTTTTGGCACGGTCGGTGTTGCCGGGTCATTGAATGATCCTTATCAGAGCTACGCCTATGGCATGTAGAACGGGGTACATTGTATGCCGATTTGGACGTTTCTGCTCTTTCGTTCCTTGCGCACCCGCGCAGTTGCTTTTCAACGGTTTTAATGTATATTTTATGTACTTGTGTTCGACACTCATACCTCGATGGTTTTAATGTATATTCTATGTCCTTGTGTTCAACGCTCGATACCTCACAAGCATGTCGCTCGGCTGCAGATCTCATCTTCCGGGAGATTTTTTTCAATCATGAGCAAGGGCTGACTTCTATCATACCGCGGCGCTTTTTTTTCTTAGGTGAAAAATTCGCTTTTGTAAGTCTTGTTTTCACTGGCCCAGGTTCAAACGTTCAGTACAACGTAAATTTTGCGAGGATATTGTGAGGATATTGCAAAGCATTTGCATAGACACTCCACAACGGTGAGGGATGACGATAATGCATAACTATTATAAGGATACTGTAGCTCTCGTCTGCCGACTGCATCTGATTACAAACAGCCACCACGAAGTCAAGCTCGTACAGCGGGTGACCATCATTTTGCAGAGATGCGGGTCTTCCTTCAAGTGTTTATCTGCTGACTGTCACAGTTGCGAGACCTACGATGCTTCATCAGAATTGAAGTCCTCTTGCAATGTATTGTTGTTTGACGTTATAATGCTGATGTTTTTACAATACTCTGTCTTTGGATATAATCTGCGCATTTTTTATTTGATTTTGGCATAAATATCTATTTAAAGCATCTCCAGCCCGATTCCGTGATGGGTCAAAACGAGATTCAGGCTATGAAAAATCGCGGGTGTTACCTTGAACAACAATTCATCATCGAAAGTGGATGGACGTATCGCAAGGTCACTAGCCAGTTACGAAGTTGGTTTCCCAAGGTCTTTGAACACTTGGATATCCAAGGCGAGAAGCGGCAACCAGCAACATTTCGGTCGACTTCAAGTTCTCACGACGAGAAGCCTATTTGGCGACTCCTTAACAAGAGTGGACAAACACTAGCAGTTGTCGATATCGGGTTTCCGACTGGGAATGACCTTGCGAAACACAAGGGCCGGGACAAGGCCAGCGTTAGTGATTGTCATCTCTGGTTTGGTGGGTTCATTTACATTTTTTGCTTCATTGCGCTAAAACACACATCAAATTTCACTGGCCCTTACTAGTCACAAGGAACCGGATTCCTGATGATATCTACGAATCTTGGAATACACAACCTGTCGTAGCAGGTTCAGATTCCGAACGTGATGATTGTAGCGATCGAGATGTTCTTTTTTCAGACACGGACAGTCCAGATGATTCAGTCAGCAACAAATCAGATAATGAGCTTGCGAGTTCATTGATGGAACTCGATATGACCTCAGAAACTGAAGTCAAGGACCTGAAAGGAAAAGGAAAGATGAAAGCGGCACTGGCTAGGTCACCAACAATAAGCCGAAACGGTAAGTCACTATTTATGATTCGAGTTGCGCATGGACTGATCCATTTCGATAGCGAAGCGCAGTCACACACTGCTTTCCCCGTCACCATCAGAAACTACTACTAGGAAAGCAGCTCAGAAGAAACTTCGAGTCAAAAAGGGTTTGTCCTTCCACTACCGTGACGACTCAGTGCATCCGTACTTATTTTATTTGTTATTCTAGAATCTGCGAGTGACACCATTCCCCTCTTTTTCAACTCCGAGTCTACAAACTCACCACCTCCATCAACGCAACCTGCTCGATCCAATACTAGTAGCCATGGCGAGTTTATCATTCCACTCATTTATGCTATTTATTGTTTAATCTTTGCATTATTTTAGAAACAGTGTCGTTTCGTACTAGTCGAGTCACGGCGCCAGCTAATGAGTTATCCTCTCCACCCGACTTCGTGTCAGTCAGCGAGGCGGATGTCCTGTGGCGCAACAAAATACAGGACGACGACCCTTTTGCACCAGAATGTATCAATCCTTGGGACACCCGTTATTCTATGTTGAATCCCGCCAGCCTCCGACTCATTTGAGCAGAGTCGCAATACTCTCGCGCAACATTTGACAGCGACCCAGTCTACAGGCACACTAATTTGATTGTTTTTCCATTGCACATTGTGGTTCTGCTACTATCCTCATCATCTCATTCCGTACTCCTACCTCACATCCACGCGATGCATCACCTACTACTAATGATTTGCAGTCACATACATGATTTCACTCGTTACCTACTTTAACCGTTGTGTTCTCGAGACTCGAACTGATAGTTACCAGCATTGGCAACCAAGCCCTCGTCTGATCGACCTACCTTGACCGTTGTGTTCTCGAGACTCGAACTGATAGTTTCCGGTATTGACAATCAAGCCTTTGTTTGATCAACCTACCATTGTGTTCTCGAATTGTCTGATCGCTGGTGTTCATGGGATGTATTTTTTTTAAAGAGCTTTGACGCTGTCAACACAACTCCACGTCTCCGAGTCATCCTCTTGAATGCGGAGGCTCCTCATCGATGAAAACGCGCACCGCGCAAGCTGCGGAACGCGCAAATATTAAATGTGCAGGTATAACGCCATACGCGGAAGCCATGTGACGCGACGCGCTGTCACGAGTCACAACACTTCTCGAAACCGACTTCAAACACTTTTAATTCTCAAATATAATAAATGAATATAGAGTCGATAACTTAATCTCACATCATGATATTCATGATATCTGCGTATACCGTGACACCTTGAAATTCTGAAATGCACATCACCGCATTCACAGTGCTTGTTGCTAATGGACTCTGCGCTCGTACAGCTTCAACTTGGAGATGGATGATCAATTTGTGGTGTGGCTCCTATATTGTTTCTGACGCTTCTCTAACCCAAGATACTTTTTAGAAGGCCTCATGGAATGTCAACATAGCCACGCCCATCATAAATCATGTCGGTGTGCATGTGGCAACTCCCTTGTTGTCGTTCACAGGCTGACTGAACAACACATTCTACATGATTATGGTGATGTTTAATCTTGAACTGACCAGCATACAACAGGCCCTAGCAGCTGGTCATGAAAAAGACATATTTTGATGCTCCAAGACGAGAGTTTAATTCCATACATATCGGTTTTTTGACTTGGAGCCGCTATCAATCATGATGATCCAGGAAATCTTTTTTCAAGATTATCCACCGATTCTTAAAAGAGTAAGCCCCTCATTAGTCACTCACAAGCTGAACTTGCGAAAGTTGAACTTCAATTAGAGGGATGTTCATATGTGTGTTTGCGACTAGTATGTATCTTTGTTTATCTTGTTTAGCGGACACTGGAGCAAGTGTTAGGAACTCTCCGGTATGAAACCATGGGTCTTTCTGTGACCGAACCGAAGGACGCATCCGTAAGTTTCATTTCCATAGTACAAGACTTACTTGAAGCACAGCCGCCATCAGTTTTATGAATAGATCATCTTTGAGTCCTTCCCTAGAGCGGAAAAAGAATCTGATGTAGACGACATCTTCAAGTTATCGTTATCGCGATAGTATACTTTAAGATTGACGCTATTATTAATCCCACCCCATCGAACAGGCAAACGTGTATGAGATGCAGTATCAGTTTCACCTCCTGTTCATCACGATATATATGGTATATAACACTAGTCCACCTTTCAAGGTGTGACTCACCAGAGGGCACTTTGAACTCCCAACGCTCGAGAATACTCATACCTTGACATGTCCGCACAGGTGCAATCAGCGAGCATTGCTGCTGAGCATTTGGCTCTCATATCATTCACTTTTGTGGTGTATGATCATGCTATCACATTCGCTCAAGAGGTGATTTAGCCTTTACAATTTATGGCAATGTAACCTTTATTGACCACCGTCGTTTGTTCTAGGTAACTTTTTTCTGGTCTGGTCCTTGGTCGGCATCAAGAGTACTATATCTCAGTGTAATGCCATCAGTGAATCATATCTTTCTTGCCAGAAACTAACCACTGGTTCCGCAGATCCGATACTTGGCTCTGGCACAAGTTTGGTGCGTTTTTGACTCCATCGAATGAAAATCCAGTAGCTGACAACGTTGACTAGTCTTAACCTTTGCGGTCCGTCGGAGTGAACGTTACTTGGCCTGGCTTTTGAAACTAACAGACTCATAGGAAGAGTGAAGATTTTCAGTTCTGCAGTGTGTACTTCTCAAGTTGTGTGTATTGTCGTTTAGGGTCTTATTGATGGCTTTCCGCAGGAGTGAGCTGTTACACATAACAAGGCCCCAACAGACCGCTCACATTTATACAGAGAGTCCGTGTTGCCTGTGATGCTTGTCATCCTTGCATTCGTGGTCATGACGCTTTGCCAATGTCTGTTTTTTTCGCACTCATCGATCCCACCGATTTGACTGGTGTATGCAGGCGTCATAACATTACGAGTATGGCATTTGTTCCATCGGGGCTGCTTCATTAGATGGCTAGCCGTCACTGTCCTGATATTTTGCGTAGCAGGAGCTGCAACAAATATCGGTGTCAGGTTCAGTGACTTCAAGACCTTGTTCACGATCTCTGGGACCTTTTCGCAGCGCCCTACGCTTTTGTTCACCCTCTACCTGCCAGCCTTAGTCCTCCATACGACCATGCTCTCATTAAAGATGTATCGCTTTTACATCAGCCCAACAGCATTGCAGAGACAAGGGATCATTTCCCGAATCGTGACAGAGTAGGGTTGCTTATTAGTCATAAGTTCTGCTCTAAAAGCTAATGTTTGTTCAGAGGGATATTTATGTATACCTTTGCGACCGGTGAGCACATACATCGATCCTTCACGTTTGAGGGACACTGACACTGAAGCCAACAATGACAGGAGCGCTACTGTATGAAGTCGTCAGTGAATTTATAGCTAAACCAGAGGTCAGTTTTATCACCATAGCTTCACGACATATTCCAACTCAAAACCCTTGACAGGTTTACGATTCAGCTCTGGGTGGAAAGTAAGTTTGTTTCGTCCAAAGAATTTCACTGAGGCTCACGAGTATCTATTTCCCAGCATAGCGGTAGCAACTACAGCCGTCTCCGTCTGTCGCGCGATGCTAAGCATCCGCTCATTGGCTGCAACCTACCATGTCGATCCGGCATGGTTGCTCAACCATGCGGAACTCAGTCGTGTCCGATGGAGGAGAGGAGCCACAGATGGAGAAATTTTCGTTGAAGTCAACGAGATGGATGTGATTGTCCCTTCGCAATCATCTGCTGGGACAACAGAAGGTCAAGACGACGTATCAAACCTCATCTAACTCGTATATTTGGAACATTATTTCCTTTATCAACACATTCTTGCGGAAACAGGACATCAATGCAACGAGGGTGTATAAAGGAGTGAAAAACGAAGTCACATGTAATTACTGTGTCAAACATCGTCCTTTCGATTACGTAAAATAGCTGGACCAACGATCATATATCTACCTTGCGGAGCCTTGGAGTGATGCTGCATGGAAAGGGAAGTGGGTGACTAAAGAAAGGTCTTATTAGTTGAAACACAGGAACGGGAGCGAACGCACATTGCGACACCACTAGACCATTCCACTTCAAAATCAACTGCATCCCCGTTTGCACCGGTTCGTTTCGAAAATGCAAACGTGGTAAGTAGGCAAGATATTGCTATCCATAGAGAAGCGTCTGCAAGATGTCGGCCAACGCAAATCCTGAAAGATCACAAGGATGTTTATTGTTAAATGTAAAGGTGAAATATCGTGACAAACCTTCTCCCAAATCCATAGGCTATATTGACGGTGTCGTCATTGAGGCTGCCATCAGCGTTCAGGAAGCGCTCGGGTGAGAACTGCGAAGGATTTGGGTATTTATGTTCATTTTGTGACATTGCCCTATAAAGCGGTTGGCCTCTGGATGATACCCATGGATATACCTACTCACCACACATTCGGCACAATAGCGGCACCTGTTTACGAGGTCAGCAAGGAACATCAGAAAATATAAAATTTCATGCCTTTGGGTATATAGAATCCCTCGTAGACATCACTATCCACCGACGCATGCGGTGTTGCTACACTATTCCGTGAGAAGAGGACGTGCACCAGAAAACCGTAAACGCACAAAGGGGCAAAATCGGATGCCAACGAAGAGTTTCCCGGAGGATAGCATCAATATATTGCAGGGATGACCTATCTTCGAAAGTGGGTAACCTCGATGCGCCAACGACGGCATCAATCAGAGTATGGGCTTTTACTTGTATTTCCGGGAAAAGTACCATGGCAAGGATGAATACTTGCAATACCCCCGAGGTCTAAGTCAGAATCAGAGCAGTGTAAGATTGATTACTTGAAACTGAATACCGTTTCGGAAGCAGCTTCTCGGACAGTTCTCATCAATATTATTCCGGTACGCTATATCCGACTGGTGCTCACCTCCAAATGCTGTGGCTGCACTTTCCTTAATGATTGTCATCTCACCAGAAGAATTTTTTCCGTCGATTCGTCTGAGGGCGTTTGAAACCATGGATAGCTGCGCTGTCCCTTCAGCCTTATGGAACAGGTTAGGTGCGAATATACAAGAACTCAACGGCATACCGTTCTTTTGAGTGCCAACTGGAAAGGATCGTTCATCCACTCTCGAACCCACTCTCGTGACTGGGTGGCCTTCCTCTTGATCGACATACCAGGGAACCATGCTGGTAGTCGAAGAACTGCATAAACAGCATGAAGTCCAGCCCCGGGCCAGAAAATACAACTTAAAACCCACAGATCGGAAATGCAGTGAACAAAGCAGCCACCTCAGGCCGAAGTTCCTGCACAGCCAGCTTGAGCGACTTCCAAATGAGCTCCACCAATGCGTCATCGCGCTCCGTTTCATAGTCATATAAAGCTGACATGATCAGGGAAGATGAATATCTGGCAGAGAATCTCGGTATCAATAATCCACCGCACCGGGCGGGAGAAGACTCACGTGTGAACATGCTTTATGAACTCCTCTGGTGTATCAAGCATGTCACGAATAAGCTGTTGAGCCTTCCGCTGCTGCATTGGACGGTAACTTAGAGCTGCTTCTGCCCTGAATGCTTGATGGAATACCCTCCTTTGCCGACGCCATCTAGCTCCATATTCTATAAGTACGGTGTTGAAATCCAATCCGAAACTGTTAGAAGCACTGTATTAGGAACTACACTGGATGGTTGGTTAAACAGAGCTCCTACAGAGCGCTTGTTGGGAGGGTTGGCCTGTTAGAGTAGTTGTGTGACCGCTTCTCTAAAAGCTCAATCGCCACTTTCTCGGAGTTGATCACAATAATTTGTTGACCGAGAAGGTGCGAGTATACAATATCGCCTGGAGACCATTTAGTAGCAACGATTCGACGCAGTCAATTTTTGCAGTGTTTCCATGCCATTGCACTCACCGTATCGTTTGCCCCATTCCGTATAAGCCAACCATGGTGCATTGATGTCGATCCCTCGGACATTGCCAATGAATGGAATAGCCCGCGGTCCCGGCGGCAGCGGAAGCATTTTTCTTCTCTCCATGCCACAACGGACCGCACCAACAAGAGTGGCGCAGATTAAGGCGCCAATGCATACATCTCTCCAGTCCGACGACATGATGGAGGCGAAGGAGCTGACCCGGAATTCGGGCAAGTCCGTATATATATGAATATTTTTTTACCTGACCCTTTGGACCCTTTGTGTCGCGCAGTTTGAGCCGGTTTCAACCAGAATCTGAACTCAGATTCGCCGCGAATATGATAGGCTTGGAAGTAACATGCGTGGCGTGCCGCTAATTGTCCGCAAGCTACACGTGCACGACGACTTGTACTTCAGCCCCAGTAAGTACTTAGGGGGACTACCACTTCACGACTTCGGTGAGTACTCGGTACGATATCGTTGAATGGGCGGGTCTAGACGTTTACAGACAGGTTGATTCGAAGGTCTAAATTGAATGATATCATCTGTTCTTGCGGGTTCTCTTCGCGCACACATAGCTAATTGAGTGGCTCATGAAGCTCCAGACGGCACATTAAAGATTTCCAAAAGATCAACCTACCTATGCTATACATTCGTCTTCATGACACACTCGTATCCTTTAGATTCGCTCACGAATCGATATCCCCCACTGAATCACAGGAAACACGTTTTCTGCATGCACCATCAGCATGTCTACGCTTCTCCCGCAACACCCTTGCAAGTGGACGATGAGGGCTCGTCGGCTCAAGGCTACATCCCTCCTCTTCTTCTTTCCTCTGTCAGAGTGGACATTCAGGCGCACTTTGACAGCTCCTTCACCGGCTGCAAAGAGACCTACACTCGGTCGTAAACAAACAATTTCGGTACGTCGAATCCGTTCCTTGGCTAGCTAAACACCAATACCACGCCTCCAGCTGGTCGAAATGCTTCCATTTGCTTCATCAGTCTGTATCCTTGCTGCTCTCGCCTGCGGCTCTTTTGCACTACAAAGCTCCCCGACAGTTTCCAGTACCCCTGATGTTAGCAGCTCAAGAATATATACAAGTGCTATCTCGAGTGTCATAGCTGCGGTGACACCCATGCTTGCTTTAATCTACTTCTGTCCACTATACCTTCTGTATCGGCACTCAAAGCGGCACCCAAGGTCTATCAATAAGATATCTGGGGCGCGAGTTCAGCAGTATGGTCCACGTTGGTGTCTTGTCCTCATTGCATGCTGCCTCGTTGCTGACGCGCCTTGACTTTGCCTTGACTAGTTGTATATGTATTCCTGCTGGCTGTTAGCCTGGCAGAGGTGAGAATAGTACTCCAAGTTCATCCAGAAACATGCCTGACCTCTTCACTACAATAGGTTGCAGATGCCACTTGGTTGTTGCTGCAATTTCGCTTCAATAACAACGCACCTGATCCCATTACCCGCAGCGGTGTACGCTTTCTCTTGTACGTTCATTTCACGGTTTGAAGTAGTCCATAATTGAGCATGCTGTCAAACAGGTTTTCAGCTTGTTGGACGACTGTGACTTCAGGCACATACACTTTGTTCTTCCTTGATCCCTTGTGGTCTAGACGTCCAATTGCGTCCATAGGCACGCAGGCAATCTGGGTGCTCGTGACGTGGGTATTCTGGGTTGCAGGAGCAGGTCTGTTCAACAAGTCGCTTCCTCGCTTGTTCATGAGTGGATCGTGCGACGGAGTGGTGTATTGCGGTCAATTGCAGACGCTCTTTGGTAAAGAAGTTGTACTGTGAAAGATTTAACAATAACTGACGTGCAAATTTAGGTTTTGCGGTTGTTCAGATGTACGTATGTCGAGATTATATTGGGCTGGTGACTGATCACGTTGAATAGCCTCACCTTGACTTTTGGAATGCTTGTAATTACCTGGCTCGTTTGGCAATCGGCTCGCAATATCCGCCATCCGATGGTTATCCGAGTTGCAGCCGCCACATAGTTCTGGCGTGTAACATTGTGTACTGCCGCGTTCCAGGGCCATTGCCGCATTACCGCCATAAGTTGCGAGCTATAGGTTAAAGGCTGTTTGTGTCGTGAACAATAATGACTGCTATATTATGTGGATTTCTGGCATATATCCGACATGTGTGTGTTGATATCATGTAGCAATAGCAATTACCACTACTTATGCTGTGAATCTGATTCATTCAATTGACCACCGGAGTTGCACTGGAGCGCTAAGCATACCGAGGGGACCGAGTTTGCTTCCGTTCCGTCTCCGAAATAACACGATGTTGATTGGCCAACGTAGCAACGGGGAAAACCGGCGACCCTTCGGCTTGATCGGATTCAAATCATTTTTGAAGCGAAAAGTTCCAAGACCAAAAGTATCCACTGGTCCACCATCGTCTCCACTTGCCTCCAAGGCCTAGCTCGTGTAATTAATCCTCTTCTCTTTTTCCACTTCATAGACTCTCGCAATGCCTTACGCTGCAGGTTCGTTCACATTTTCTGCTGCTGGGCGGAGTAGAAGAGGCTGACACTGTTTAAGGTGACGCTGGAAAGGGTGCTGCTATCTTCAAGAGGAGTTGTGCGTTGTGCCACACCGTCGGTGCGGGCGAACCCAACAAGGTTGGCCCTAACTTGCATGGGTAAGAGCGCTCGTTGATACCTTTGACTCTCGCTGAAGCATCTCCCAGTCTTTTCGGTCGCAAGACTGGTTCGGTTGCGGGTTTCTCGTATACGGCAGCTAATGTGAAGAAGGGCGTTGTATGGGGAGAAGACACTCTCTTTGATTACCTGGAGAACCCCAAAAAGGTTTGTCGCGAGCGTGGATAGCTTCTGTGCGTCATGGCCGACTGATGCACTTTCAATTTTTGCACAGTACATCCCGGGAACCAGTATGAACTTCGTTGGTCTCAAGAAGGAGAAGGACAGGAACGACCTCGTCACTTTCTTGAAGCAAGCGGTACGTCATTTTTCATCAAGAATAGCTGTGAGATCTAATGCTAACGAATTGCTACCGTTCCAGACTGCCTAATTTTATATCCACCACGGACATCACGTTCTCACTTATACACAGACTACAGCTATACTACGGTTCTGCATCAGGTCTTAGTGCATTAGACGACCACCCTTGCCCGCATCTCTTTGCATCCTTTATCCCCGCTCATACCACACTATACTCTTTACAACCCTTGCGTGTTGGTAGTCGGCGCTATGTCATGTTGCCTTCATGCACTACATGAACAGTGGGGTGATCAGCCTGTCGGCAATGGTGTTCAAACAAACATGGTGCGTAACACTAATATGCTCTAGCGCAAATCAATTCTACGCATTCCTATTGAATATATGAGATTGTATGGACAAAGAAATAGATAAGTAAATAATACAGGTGATATGGTGCTTATCCACAGAGAGGCTTCGTCTCATGCATCGTACATGACCAAATAGGACGGGCGGATGGCATCATTCGTGTAACACACTAGCTCATCATAATTTAGCGATCCTCCATTCACCACCTCCGCGAGGACCTAGAACAGTTGAGCAAGTACAAAAGGCCAGAGACATGGTACATACAGAGTCATAACCAGTCGGAGGCGCAGTTAACGATGTGTTGTCTTGCGTCATCTTATAACCTTTGCCAACAACCACTTTGTTTAGCAACATCGCCTTCAACCTTAGCGACGAGTTAATGTTCGTGGAGTAGTCATTTGATTTCGATGACGTCGAAGACGTGTAGATGCCCTGGCCGAACCTGACAGACGTGTCAAGATACCAGGATTGGACTGTTAAAGGGTAACATACCGGCCCCAGCCAGTCTTCTTGCCAAAGAGATTCAGGTTGTACGACGTTCTGAGAATGCAGCACAAGGAACATGTTTGAGATGAGCACAGCGTGCAGTTGCCATTATCGCCTAGATTGCATTCCCTGGTCGTACCGTGCCAGCGACGATTTTCGTTCCCTGCTGAACGCCCAGCTGCGACAAAGTTGCCGCGACCCTCGACGGCAGCACTGCTCCTTGTCAGCAGAAACACAAGCATCTACACTTACGAAGACTGACCGATATGCATCGTATTTAGCAATGGAGGCTGGCGACGCGATCACTTTGTGCACCTTCCGGACTGTCGGGCATGGAGTCTGATGTCTCCACGACGTCTTGAATTGGGCAGCGACTGCAGCACATAAAGATTATCAACCGCCCGCACTAACTTACGAGTGCTGCTCACCACTCTTAAATGTGTCGTGCCCTTGTGGGACTTCTATGAGCCCTGGAGCACTCTTCTCAGCTTTTGATGTGCACGCCTGACTGCAGAAGTGACCCTTGCTCTTCACAGCTTTTCCGCACAACAAGCAACCATTTTTCGCTGGACTGGATCGAGAAGCGGTAGTAAGTACTGTCAATACCCGACGCAAGGACAATTGAACGGACTTGGCTAGTTGTATAGGCTGCGCAGCAGGCGTTCCTGCAGTCTTCGCTTTTTGTGCGCAAGTTTTGCCACAGTACGAATGGGTCGTTGTGCCATCGTTGTACTTGGGTTGCTTATGACAGTGCTGAGGTTATATATGTCAGTCGACTTAATCTTTAAATGAGTACCGATCACCGTACGTCACATAATCCGCGAGTGGCTTTACTAGTCTTGTTTCGCTTAGGTTTGCTATTGGGGACGTGCTTGTTTTGTGCTGCAGTTGCACAAGTCTTCCCGCAGTACGAGTGGGTTCTCTTTCCGTCAAAATACTTCGGACGGACTTTGCAAATCTGCAACGGCGTTAGCTCGTGAAAGTAAAGACCTTCAGATCACATACGTCACAGATTGCTGGAGTCGCCGTCCCGGTGAACTGTTGGGTAGTCACATTAGCGGGTACGGGCTGTTTAGTTTGAGCTGCTTGGCCCTGCGAAGCGATGTATTGACCAGCCATCGTTCCGAGTACAGAAAGTATGGGTGGGACCGCGGCATTCATCTTGGTAGTATCAGAGGCACCAGGCTTGTCTCAAGCTAGATGACACTACTAGGATCAGGGCTAGATACTCAGTAAACTTGGCTCTCCAGGAGCTTCGAGTCTGCGGATGAGTTATGATTAGTGGTGTTCGAGGCGAACAGCACTTTATAACACACAGTCCATCGTGGAGAGGGGTCAATCGCTCTTCAATGAAACGCGTATGGCGCATGTTCTCCGCGAGGAAATAGAGACTCCGTGGTCTCAGTGCAACCTTGAAATCAATGGCACTGTACGTTAGCACGGAGATCTCGTGGTCCGAACGAGCAGGATGATGCGAGGCCAGATGGTAATATGACAGCCGTATCGATTGGATGACGGTTTGCCGCAGGGTGCACCACGCATAGCTCGCGCGTTTTCCTCTAAGGTACCATGCAAGTACAGCCGCAGAGGATATCGACGAATGCCAGGCTTTCGGATCCACACCATTAACAGTTCCAGAACAATGTTTGCCGCACGGCCGATGCAGAGACATGCTCAGCGTTCCCGTTAGTACTACTTTAATGTAGGCCCGACAACCTGATGCCTGAGGTATTGGATTGGTCGCCACTCATGGGTTTTGAATACTGAATTCATAATAAGAACATTGTTCTCATCACTCGCGAACCGTAAGTGTTAGGACAGGCCATCAGTGGTGTTTGCGGGGCAGCCTTAACGGTGGGGGGACGGGAAAGGAACAGGGTTATTGCACAGCCACATCAAACCTTCGTTCTGACCTGGGTTGCACACAAGATTTTGACCATTAATTGAGTATTATTCCACGATCCTCGCCCGGTCTTACTTCTATAGCTACAAGTAATAGTACCACAACTGTAGATGGCTGATTCGAATAAATCAATATATAATGTCCCTCGAGCATCCCATGCATATGTGATGGTAAAGTCAAATGTCCGTTCATGAGACTAACGGTGTCTTGAAGATCGCTGACATCAAGGTCTTAAAGCTTGGCTTGAACGAATCTTTGTGCTTGTGTCCATATACAATAAGATACGCAGGACGCACAGCGTCATTTGCGTAGCATACGGTTTCTGGGTCCAATATGAAAGGTAAGTGGAAATCCACAAGTGAATTACAAACCTATACTCGCCCTCATGGTTCAGGTCCCAGCCAATCTCACCAGTAATCTGCAAGGATGTGAGCAAGTAGTAATTAAACAAAGAGGAACTTACGGAATCAAAGCCATCGGGAGGTTTAACGAGGTCAGGTGCATTCCTATACCGTTTGTACGGCCTCCCAACGACAACGCGATTGACCAGCATGGTGCGGAGGCTCGCATCTTGCGACAAGTTGCACGAATAATCATCAGCTTCTGTGCTGCGATTGAGTGGGTGTATCGATGTAAAAGGAATACTAACGGACTTGACGAGCAAGCAGTGGTATATATACCATGCCCAAACCTACAATTCTAGCTTAGAAACGATCTACGGGATTCTATGGGATTTCTCACCTCTTGAAAGCGTTCTTCGTGCCTAGGCCGAGTCAGGCGGTAGATAAGAAGGTGATCGAGAAAAATCTTACCGCATCTCTTCACATCAAAAGATGCGCGCAAGATAGAGCAAAGGTAGCACTCTTTGAGGCCACACAAGAGAACGTTTCCTGATGATTCTCCCAGGAGACATGCCCTGTTTGTACCGTGGAAGAGCAACTTCTCGTTCCCTGCGTTGTTCCGAGCCCTTATGCGGTCCTGCACCTGCTTCCTATGACCCAACAATGGTCAGCACACACTATTTCCGCTTTGAGCGTTTATCAGCACCTGTACTGTAGATATGGCTCAAGATTTCCATCTGGCCAGAGGATCTTAAAAATCCCTTGTATCTGTGGCCTGACTTTCTTGCCATGTCGCCATCCCTTGTTGAAAAGGTCTTCAACTGAAAAAGAAGGATTAGCGAGCGCCGACCAACGAGTAGGATCAAGCTACCTTCGGCGAAGGGAGCACTATCGCGGCTAAGATACACCAAGCGGCTGCGCCGACCTGCGGAGCTGTTAACGGGGTTCTCCAAAGAGAATTCATCCAAGTTTAAGGATTCAAAAGACGAAGTTGACATAGATAGCAAAGTTAGATAGACAGAGTACAAATCGAGTCCTACATGTCCATAAAATATGATCTTGGTATCTCAACGCGGTTGAGGTGCACCCCCCGCACGCGCGCTATCCGCATAGCACCATTAGCCGTAAAGAAATGATCAGACCCATCCAGCTATGAAAAGCCTCGTGTCAACGCAATCAATGCGAAGAGCATCAATGATTGCAGCTGTGGGTTCTAGTAGTCAACGTAACAAAGGCGGATCACAGTCACTGCCCAATGTCAAAGATAGGGTTTATCCATGCTGCAATCGCGCTGCAGCCATGACAAGAACATGAGGATCAAAAGCAAGTCCAAAAAGGAAGGTAAGTAAGATGTAGTTTACTTAGTAAGCGCATTGCTTTCCATGCCCCCTCCATGATGCAGAGCGCTCTGTGGCCTTAATCGATGACGGAGTCTCCCAGATTTGAATACATGACAGGATCCACTGACTACAGGCTAGACTCCTTTATCCGAAATTCTCGTGCCGAGTCTGTTTCCGATTGTATAGCCTTGTGAAGGCATATAAGAACCTCTGGACCAGGAAAGCTGTTTCGGTTTCCTGAGTTATCAACTGGACTTTTCACTCAATCGCCCATCGAAATTTATCAAAATACTCTACGCACTCTTTGCTGTTGCTGTCGCCGTTGCTGTTGTCCTGCTTGGAATGCTAGACAACCGCATGATCATGAAACTTGCTAGCTTACTCGGTCTCAACTCTGCCTCGGATGCGCCACAGTCGGCATCTGTGGCGCGTCGGGCTCGGCCCGCTACCCAATACTCAGCGCCTTCGAAGTCAGTACATCAAAACCTTTCACACTTTCGTGATGTTAAAGCTGTTTTAGGCATGTACCAAGCTTGCAGCTGCCTTCACCTGATAAGCGGGATGACGGAGAACCAGAAGCTTACTATCCTCCGCTCACCGCTCCGCCAGAACCTGTGGGGTCATCAGTGGCGCCTTTTCAAAGAAGGGGACGGATTTTGTTTTACGATAAAAATGAACCTTACTACGAATTCACGAATTTCTCGTCACATGACGTCGTCTACGCTGGGAAGAGATACCCAACCAGCGAACATCTCTTCCAATCTTTCAAAGTTGGTTAAAAATGTTAATTTCCTGATGTTTTTCTGACTCTTGAATTTGTTGGAACAGTTTTTAGATTCCCAGCCAGCCATCGCGGAGCACATCCGCAAGTGTGGGGACAGGCCAAGCGCTGTGTTCGATGAAGCTCATCGTCACCAGAAATGGGTTCGATCCGATTGGAGACAAGTAAACGTTGAGAAGGTAGTTCTGAAGTTAACTTGCCGTCTGTATCTGACCGTGACTACAGATGGAAGTCACACTTCGGCTCAAGTTCACTCAGCATTCTGATCTAAAGGCCTTGCTCCTTGGCACCGGTAGTGCTGAGCTGATCGAGGTAAAATATCAGGTGGTTATCTGTATTCTTCTGACCGCGTGGATAGGACTCCCCAAAGGACTACTTTTGGGGGATAGGTGCTGATGGCTCTGGACGCAACGAGCTGGGGAAAGCGCTTGAGAGAGTGCGCGATGAGCTTCGTAAGTATCCATCCATGGACTACCGGAAATTTTTTATTTACCAGCCGACGCGAAGGGCACGACGACAAACCAAACAGAGTGCCCGCAGTCAGACGTGACACATCCCGATTTTCGTTACAAGACTTGACGTCGCTGGTTGCAGCGGCAGCACCCCAACTTCCAATCCAACGCCACTCCGTTGTTTCCGCAGGCATGACGTTCAGCCCGCAATCAGCATCAGCGCCTCAAACTCTACAGCAACGTTTCTCCGTTGTTCCTGCAGGCATGGCAGTCAGCCCTCAGTCGCCGTCCACTCCCCATGACACCGGGCTATGCGAGGTTCGTTAATACTGTCCTTGATTCCGCGCTTTTCTAACTTTTTGCAGTTTTGCCACCAGAAACCGAAATATCAACACCATCCTTACTGTGGAAGGACGTGTGCTACACAAGCAGCGGCAATGTGTAACGTTAGTTCGTCTTTCCGACCGACGATCCCTCACGCTAACAGACTTTTCTTTAGCACTGTCGCAACAAACCAAAGTATGGCAAGCATCCTTACTGTTCAAGGACCTGCGCCGTGCTTGCTGGGAAGGCAGCCTAGGTTCAAAAAACTTCCCGCGATTGGATAATTCGTGTACTGTAAGATTATACCTGGTTGTTTACGAGCGTATTTACTATCTATCACCGTTTCTCTATGTCTACATCCACCAAACCAAGCTAGGTGTTGATGTGGTCAATTTGAGTGGCATGGAGATTCTCTACCTACCACGAACTACCCATTTCTGCCAAACTCATTTCGTTATGATAAGAACAAAGTCGGAATATTGCACAGCGCAGATCGATGAATTGAACCAGAGTCAGATATTTGGCTGATATGAGAGTCTGGGAGCCGCGCAGCGGCACCCACTTATTAATAATAATCGATAAGTATGCTACAGTAGAAACAATTGGAGATGAGTTGAGGAAACTAGATATGTTTTACATGAGCTATTCATTCATTCATTCAGGCATCCGAATGACAGCACCCGTCGAAGACGATCTGCAAGAAATCAAAAACATCAGCTGGCAGAAATGCAAGAATGCAAGAATATGACTTGCCTCCGAAGGGACTAAGAGCTCTAGCAGGGCTGAAGGCTCGCCTTGGGCTCGTAGCACGAGATAACTCCTTTTCTGCCGAAGTCGGACTTGCACGAGGGGAAAGTACGCTGATTTTGTTCACAAAATTAAGAGTTAGGTTCATGTCAGAACCCAACGCCTCTTGGGCACTTTGCCCAGGCGAAGCAGGACGGGAAAGGACCATCGCAATACTGTCGTTATGCCCAGCCTCACCGAGTCCGCTGCGAATAGTGCCTCTGTTGCTGCGTCGCCCACGTGATTGGGAAGTCGATTCATTGGGGAGCTTGGTTCGCGTATGAGATGAACTCGAGTTGATACGAGTGGGGCTGCGATTTTGGCTGCGAGAGGGTGAACAAGGATCCTTCGAATGGACCTTTCGCACTGGATGGGTGCTGTCTGAGTGGCCCGATGTGGTGCCCGTGTCCACAACCGATTTGGACCGATTATGAACCTTTCTCGCGGTTTTCTTAAGTGGCGTGGACTCTGTGGAAGAGTGTCCGCGTTCCTTTGCCTTTTGGGTGTGCGCCGAGAAAGTGGTGATGAAATCGGACGTATCGCCGATATTGTGAATGTGCAAATGAAATTTGAGTGCTTCAAGATCGCGAAGGACATCTTTGCATCCAGCACGTTGACAACGGATCGTGGCTCCAGGAGTGGAGTGTCCAGCCTGGATCATTTCCAATCCCTGAAGTTGCTATATAAACGTCAGTATGAAATATCATGGGATGTGAGTAGTAGTGCTCACCGCCTGCGCTACGCCTTCCAGGTCGTAATGAAACAGATGAATCGCTGGCTCGGGGCGCTTCTCAAGATCAATCGTGGAACGTCCGTCGTCAGTTTCGGCAAGGGTGTATGTCGAATCCCTGTGATTCGGAATTTTAGGAAGTTCCTTGGCGCAGTTGAGGTGGCAGACATCTGCAGTCTGTTGGGCCTCGATTTTGTCATGCCGTTGTAGGTAGTCCTGGATGATTCTCTGGGCCTCGGTTATTTCATTGGAATGTTCTTGATATTTCTTGACGATTTCCTGAGCCTGAGACTGAATATCATCACTGGGTTTGAAGTCTACAGCACACGCCACGGATGCAGGTGCAAACTCCCATGAGGATTCGAAATCGGTGTAATTGCCATCGTCATCGTCATCCTCCTCATCGAGATACACAAACGAGATCCCCTCTGGAATTTGACAGGGGAAAAAAGTGCCGTATCTACGAGTATCTGCCTTGGCGGCGTCGAGTACATCGACGCCCGTTACAGGATACTGTGAACGGCCCGTGACAGTAGCTGTTTCTGAGCTCGACATGATTAACAGACAAAAGTGAGAAAAGCAGGCGGCACAGAGAAAAGTAGGGAAAGAGGAGGCTAGTGAGGTACTCCATGAAGACGAATTGATGGTGTTTTTATACGCGATAGATGTGGACCTTGGACGCTTTCGTGGATGTGGACGCTTAGGTGGACGCTTGGTGGACGCAGCTGTTCCTTTGACCCACAGTTTTCAATGAATTCCATTTCGGGCATAACCCATTTCTAGGGTTAGGGTCCCCTTTCCACATGTCACGATCACTCAACTTGAGGTTAACCACTAACTTCGACGAATCGACATGTCAGTGATTCGTCCTTCCGTTCCTCTGAAAATGCGCATCGGGGCTCATTCACGAATGAACACAATGCCCTCTTGTCGAGGAACTCGTAGATGGGACAGTGTGATTAAAACGGGCCAAGCTCGCTCCTTCGTCGCACTGGCGGCTTCACCTACTAGGTCTTCATCCTACGCAACCAATAGAAAGCTACGCTCTGTTCACACTAGTTCTCGACCGCAACCAGCATATCCTGGCCACATACCACTCACCCCATTTGAAAATGGATTTCTCGCAGTCGGCTCTGCACTCATGTCTCTTATAGATACTCGTCGTGCGGGTAAGCTTTTCCTGATTTTTATAATGGGTGTATTTTCCTGACAAGTCAAATAGACATGGTTGCAGCCTGTGGAGAAACCACTGCTGGGCCGACTTTGGTGAAGTTACGCGACATAATGTTGGAGTCCCCAGAAGGTCGCCGCATTCTCAAAGAAAGGCCACGTATCAATTCACAAACCTTGGACTTGGAGAGGCTTCGGTCCCTTCCAGATAACACCTTTGGACGTGCTTATGTAGGGTGGCTTGACGCTTGCAACGTCACACCTGATTCTCGAGAGCCCGTGGGATTATTTTATTCAAGTCTCTGCTACCAGATATTTACCATTCTGGACCCAGGTACACTACATAGATGACCCGGAGCTGGCATATGTCATGCAGCGATATCGCGAAACGCACGACTTCTACCATGCCCTCTTTGGATTCAAAGTCTCGGCCCTTCCCGAACTTGCGCTCAAAGCCTTTGAGTTTACGAATCTGGGCTTCCCCATGACTGCGTTATCACTGGGAGCCTCCGTGAGACTCAAATCATCTCAGCGGGCCCGGCTTTGGGTGGAATTTGTCCCTTGGGCCGCGAGATGTGGAAGTCATGCAAGGTGCTTGCTTACAGTGTACTGGGAAGAGAGGTGGGGACAGGATCTGGACGAAATGAAGAAGGAATTCGGTGTCTGGGATCCGCCGGCGGGGATTACCCTCAAGCGTTGATTCCCATTGACATATATCAAACATGGTGATAATCAATTGTCAGGTCTTTCCGTTTTGCGGGTCCTGCACTGTGGAGCTACAGCATGTAGAACTGACCATGTAGATTGATATCTCCCGTCGCGTCGGCTATCAAGTGTTTCGACCTGCACAACTCCGTCTATAAAGAACGTGGGATATTTCAAACTCCTGTCATTCGACGTGAAGAGGCCAGGTCAAGAACGTACAGAAAAACGGAGGTAGTAAAACGAGTCTGACTCTACGTCAATTTCAGATATTTGACACGGCTACACCTCTGTTTTGTCCGTATTACTGGTCCACATCGCACCTGTTGACGCCCTCAAGTCAGCATGAAATATTTTACGAGTGCTAGCTTGCTTGTATCTTTACACCTATTAGTTCCATTACATGACTACAGCGCGCCTTCGTCTACGTTATACAGTCAAGAACACCCATCGAATCATGCAAGGCTGAAGTCCATGTATGATCTTCTATAATTCAGCGAACAGCTACATAACCGACGTGCTAAGATGCGTATTTACAACTCCTTCTGATGTGCATGCATTGTGAGTGAGATAAAAACGAGGCATAACAAACCTACACAACAAAAAGCGAGAGACCAAAAAAATCAAAGGAAAAAATGCCGCAAAGAACAAATGCAATGATAACATGCTTGACATACGTGAAATTCCGTCCCATGCGCGTCGTCTCCTTTCCATTACCTCTCAAACCCTCCGGATAGTGGCACTCCTCCCGATCGTGCTTGAACTTCCGGTCATGCTGGGTAGTTTTGACTTCGGCGCGCTAAATGTGGGCGCGGGAAGTCTGGATGAAGGTAGTGCTCCGCCCGTGGGACGGGGCAGCCCCGAAGCCATGCCTACAGTCGCAAAGCGCGATGGCGGGCGTAGGCTCTTTGATTCAGCAGTGGGATTAGATGCGGTCGGTATCTTCAGAGGCGGTGCCTTGCTAAGCGATGACGCGGTGGGCTTCAGCAACCTCGATTTGAGGGTCCCGCTAGGTGGTTTTATAGTTTGCGCAGGTTGGGAGGGCATGCAAGTCTCAAGGGGTGAACGAGGAGGCTCGGTCGCTTTCGTGCGTAGACCGAGGACACTTGTGAGTTTGCCCCTCACACCGAGTACAGGGCGCACGCCCTCTTCAGGCTTGCAAAACATATTTGACTTGAGGTCGGCAGGCATATGCCCGGGAGGAGGGCGGCGCACGCCCGTTAGTACTGGTTTGTGGATCAGAGCGGGAGGAACGGCTGGTGCTAGCTGCTCCTCTTCGCTACTTCCAGTAGATGACGAGCCCGCACTAGACACGGAAGTTGTCTTGTCATGTGCTTTGGGCCGCTTCACGATGCGGAGCGCATGTACTGGGGCTGCAGGAACTGGTGCAACGAACGTCTGCGAAATCCTTGGTGGCGTCACTGATGGCAATGCAGGAGAAGCGACCGGGGATAAAGGTATGGACAGCTTCAGCGACTCAAAGACTCCATCTTTAGGCGTGCCAACCATAGGTGGCCGCGGGGAGGGGGATGACAATTTCATTCCCGGAGAGAGACTGCTGCGTCTTGTACTAGATCTCATGGCTGCGGGGGGAGCTGATACAATAACATGAAAAGGGGGAAGTTCATTTCAAAGATATGAACGCACCATTCGCAGAAACGACGGGAGGCGATGGCTGTGGCGTTGGGCTAGGCCCAGATTGTAGTGCTACAAGTGGCGAGGCTTCAATATCTAATAACAGCTAACGAGAGAACATGGCTCACCTGGAGAGGCGGCAACATCCGCAAATTTGGTCACTGCATCCTTCTCCTTGATTCGTTTTGCGAGTGCCTCCATCATCTCTTCCTCAGCTTGCATGTCGAAATCATCGCCGTCAATCGTAAAAGCATCGCCTCCGAAGAATGAGATCCTGTCATTCAGAAGATCGAAAGACGCGTCAGGACATTGAAGTTGGAGGTTGAACGAAGAGTGGAGATCCACTGAGTTTCGACGCAAAGATGGCGAAGACGTTGTGTGGGCTCGAGGACGTAGGCGAGGACGTGCGGCTGGGGCAGCCAATATGTCGCGTGAAGGAGATGACTGGTTGTGATATTTGAGAGGAGGTGACAATGAGACAGGAGGCGATTCAGAAAGGTGAGTGTGTGTGAGGAGAGCAGTCGACGGTGACGGTGATAGCTGTGCTGTAGATGAACCTAAATTCTCTTCTCTCGACAAAACGATGGTAGGAGTAGCGTGTTCAGGAATGGGCTTCATTGATGGCACATTTTGATCTGTGAAGTTGATGGCATTGATAACAGAAGCTAGTGGTGAGCCAACTGGTGCCAATGTGGCGTGACTCGCGCGGACCGCTGTCGCGGGCGAGGAGTAATGTTCCACGCCAGAAACTGGAGCTTCAAAGGTAGCTGGGGCGAGCGTTACTACTTTGCGCGGGACTGGTGTGGCATCGAAGGAGATATCGGCAAGAGGGGTGCGCTGACCATGAGGAGTAGGAGTCTGTTCTGACAGTGGTGTTTGCGCGGCATTGAAGAAATTGTGCGACTGTCTTGGAGGACTGTTCATTGGCGTGGCCAGTGAGTCCTGTTCATCTATCTCCATGCTTTCATGGACGAGTGACGCGTTATCGTCAAAATCTTCCGGCTCTTCTTCGATGGTGAGCCCATTGAAAAGATCGGCAGTTTCATCCATGATAGTCATATCACCGACATCAACTAGACGCGTTCTGAGGACTACTGGGGAGTAGTGTTTGCTTTGGGTCTTGTAAGTGCGGTTGAAGAATGCTGTCATCGTAAGCCTGTCGGATTCATAGTAGGATTCGCAGCTCGGCTCAGCGTTTTCCTTGTCAGATCCAGAGAGCGAGTCTGGCGTTGTGGCTTCGCTCCTGGGAGCCGCATTTAGCGGGTCAAAAAGGTTGAGCACGCTGTATCTTGGACGGCTCATGATGGAATGAAGAAACAGCAGCAGTCCTTCAGAGTCCACCCAAACCAACCCCGTGACTCAGTGACAAACGCGTGACACGTTGCGCTCAAGTCACGTTTCTTTTTAACGCGGTCACGTGCAGGAACAAATAACTTTTCAAGTTCATCGGGCGTGGTCGTTTTCTACCAAATCCCTCTGTGGAAGAGTTGAGTGATGTGATGCATCAAAATCAATCCACATCTTTCGTTGATTCCAGCCTTTGTCCTTTCAAAAACAAACAAATCTTCGAAGACAAATCACTCTTCCACGCGAAGAACCTAGGTCATGCATCAAGTTCTCTCGCAGGCATTCGAAGGACACGATCTAATCGCAGGAGAATCATTTCGAGCCTACGCATTTGCTCATCAGTGGTCATGCAAACTTACCGCCTTCGCAGCACATTCCTCTAGACGGTCCATATATCATCTCGCCATGTGTCACTATTGGATGGGCAACATGTCCTGGAATTGAATCACGAAGGGAATGGTGACGCTTATTTCTTCACATTTCCGCCAGCTATACTACAGATAGCAATGCCATAGGACCCCAAATCACGCTCATCGCGGGTATACACGACTCTTGTGATTTCAATCCTGTACAGTGTATCCAACAGAACATAGCCTGCAGGGAAAAATGAACCTTTATTCCTACTTTCGATGCGTCGGCCTGACGAGCCTGGTTGGAGCGAAAGCGGTAATCACGGATATGACATGTTCACGATCCACCTTGATCGTGGATAACTTTCCCTCCTTGGATTCGATAACAAAGGGTGGCCCTGTTATAAACGCTTTTGACATGATGCCCTAGTGCAATATGTATAGATGATGTAAGGAACACCAAATCAAATCCTGACTTATTTGAAGGACCCTTTCGATAGAGGAAAGATGGAACCTCTGCCTTCTTCCATTTCCAATGTCTCCTGATGCTCCGATCTTGTGTTTGATGATGAATGTGAAATCATGTCCACAGGAACCTCCTTTGTGAAAAGCGTAAAACTGATTGTGGAAATCTCGTGATCCACCTGTGGCTGCAGGTAGGACTCCCGGGCAATGACGCTGAACGAGTCAGTCAGTGGCCTCTTCTGTTACTGTTGAGGGTGACTCACTTGGCAAGAAGACATGTAGCATATACTGCCATGCCAAGAAGTCAGAACATGCGATGTACGTGAGCAATGATAACAAGATTCTCACAGCATCCCATAGGAAAACACAAATATAGATGTTTGATAACGAAACTGCAGACTGCCCACTGCATCTTGGTTAGATCACTGATCCAAGTGAGACGGATAAAAGCACTCACAATTCCAAGAGAAATTAATGCCGCCACACTACACAAGCAGTGAGTCCACACCCATCGTCAATGCCAATGGACTGACGTTGTGACCAAGCCCGTCTGTGAGCAAAATATTACGAGTTTTGTGATCATTCGGTTAGTTCTAGACATCAAGAAGGTGAATTTGAGGTTCATTTGGTGCTTGAACTTATTAATCACCTTGGAAATTCATTTCTATTACTGTGGAGAATGTAGGCCAAAGTACCAGCGATAAGAATATCACCGATTGCTGAACAACCAATCGAGATCGGGGGAGCCCACTAAATCCTTGTGAGCTACATCTCGATCAACAGGAAAACGAACTTACAAGAGCCATCGTGTAGTAAGTATGATCACTTAGTTTAAAGCTGCCACCCGTGTTAATAAACGCCTGGCAGCGCGATGTTGGTGAATTGGACCTACATCATGCAGATAGCCTTGAGAAAACCAAAAGCTGTTTCCCATTATTGAATTGTAGGTTCCGCTGCAGCATAGATTACTGCACCTTGCTCTATAGCACAAAATGCGATCTGATTGGCACAATAAGTCACCGTTTCTGAGGCAGCTCAATTGATGCAGTCCCTACCAGAACAAATGTCATTCTCCGTTTACCACAGAGAGTCTTCTCAACTTCAAGCGCGCATTAGAGGAAAACCCAATAGTATCTTGGTGACACATACGTCTGCAAACCCTACTGATGAAAACGCCATGCACAAGAGATGTGGTCAATGTCTGTGAAACGACAGTGAGCTTAAAGCCAAAACCGGGGGAAGAAAGCTCTATTTACACATATTCCAGTATAAAGCCCCCATTCTCTGTCGTTCTGTCTCTGTCAGAAGGAGCATCGAAGAGTCACCAATCATACTAACGTCGACACACGGCCAATGAAATGGGGGAAATCCTCAAAATCCATTGTATGAACGCCTGCGATCCGAGAGGTGAGTGCCCTAGCGGACATATTAGTGGCATGAAAACATATTTCAAATAGGGGTTCACATTTGAGTAGCTTGCATCAACCTGTAGAACGATGTCAGTCCTCACGTGAAGTGCAGCACGGCACAACTGAAGAGATTTACCAGATGAAGGCAACCTGTTCTGCGTCATCAGCTGTCAGTCTGTGGTATGTGGTCTAATTCGTACAAGAACTTTGCTCTGCCAGGTTTCTCGAGATCGAATGGTATGTTCCGTGAAATAGATCCAGACTTGCGCAGTCAAAATCAAGAAAACTCTATCGTCCATCGTTAGTAGATGCTAGATGGCGCCAGTATAGTCGATAAAACAATCGTACATAGATGATATACCGAGACCAGTCATCTGGGAAGCCAAGCTGTCGCTGTATGCCGTCGTAGCCTGGGCCATGGAATGTAGTATGAAGGATGAGATCGATGGGATATAGGATGGGATCGAAGGAAGAAGGGTGAGCATACCGTATATCTTTGAGTTCTGTCTGACCGCTACTACCGGCACCGCAACGGCCGGTGATCATGAGGTCATCGTCAAACGTAGTAGATAATGGTAGATGAACGTCATATGATTTCCATCCCTGGGCCCGACACCCACGGTCAGACAGACGATTACGTCGGACTCGGGTGCTGATTACATGCGAAGATAGACATCACTATCGGCAACTCTCCATCAAGCAGTATTTGTGCACAGAATAAAGACTGGAATTATTAGGAATAAAAGATCTGTCTGGGAGGGCTGACTGACTTTGATCCCACAAGTGAATATTGTATAGCTTCTCGATGCATACGATCATCGATGGTGAAATAATTCTATGTAGGCAATCACGGCAGAATTGAGATGGTAGCATTAGGTCTAAAGGATTATGGCGACTCGACTCAACCAGAGGACGCTTTCGAGAAACCTGTTCCTCCGTGCATTGCCGATGTCTCCTGATTCCCCGAGTTAGTGTATGGTAAATCCAAGCCTTGCGGGAAGCGTGCGAAACTGATTTTGGAAATCTCGGATTCCTGGACTGTCTGTGGCTGCAGGTAGGATTCCCGAGCAATGGAGCTGAACGAGAATCAGTGACCTCTTCCGTTACCACACAGAACGACTCACTTGGCGAGAAGACATGTAGCATATACTATCATACCAGGACGTCAGAACATTCCATGTACTCGAGTCGATAACAACAGGACTCTCACCGCCTCCAATGGGAAAACACATTTGTAAATGGCAGATATCGAAACGGGAGGCGGCCCACTGCATTTTGGTCAAAACATGATTAATGCGCAAAACGAATAGAAGCACTCACAACTCCCATAGTGATAAATGCCGCCACGCTACACAAGAAGCAGTGAGTACATATACATTGCCAATACCAAGGAACTCACGTTGTAATCAAACCCGTCTGTAAGGAGAACTTTATGAGTTTCGTGATAATTTGGTTAGTTCTGAACACCGAGATGGTCAATTAGATGTTAATTTCATGCTCGAATCATTAATAACCTTGGCGGTGCAGTTCTATTCCTGTGAAGAATATAGGCCACAGTTACAGCGATAAGGATATCACTGATTGCTGAACAACCAAGTGAGATCGGGGCAGACCACTTCATTTCGTTAGTTATACCCCGATCGACGGGAGAATGAACTCACAACATATATCGTGCGGGTATTATGATTATTATTATATTTGAATCTGTTTTCGTTTCTGAGAAACTCCTGACAGCGCGACACTGATGAATTGAACCTACATGCATATAGCAGTGAGAAGACCAAAAACTATTTCCAAGGATCAAGTAGCGACTCCGCTGCAGCAAAAATTACTGCACCTTGCTCTATGACGCACAGCGTGACCTGATGGTAGCAATTAGCCACTTGTTGCCGACGCAACCGACATAGTTCTTACCAGAACGAATGTCATTTTCCGTTTACCACAGAGAGCCTTCTCGACTTCAGGCGCGCATCAGAGAGAAGCATAATAGTAGTACCTTTGTGGTACGTACGTCTGGAAACCCTGTAGATGAAAATGCCATGCACAAGGGATGTAGTCAAGGACTACAAAAGGACAGTGAGCTTGAGGTGGAGACGGTGTGGAGGGAAACTCCACTGACACATATTCCAGTATTGAGCGCCCATTCTCTGTTGTTCCGTCAGATAGAGCATCGGTGGATTACTGACAGTACTAACGTCGTCACATTGCCAAAAAAACGGGGTATATCCTCGAAATCCATTGTATGAAAGGACGAGATTCGAGACGTCAATGCCCTAGTGGGTTCTCCAGTGGTCTGCACACAAGATTCTTTTCCAATAGGGACTTACATTTGAGCAGCTTGCATTAACCTGTAAAGCGACATCAGTCTTTCCGTCAAGTGCAGGATGCATAATTGGAGGTATTTACCAGATGAAGGCAACCTGTTATATATTGTCAGCCGTAAGTCTGTGATATGCGATCTAAATCCATACGAGAACTTTGCTCTGCCTGTTTTCTCGGGATCGAATGTTGTGCCTTCGGAAATAGATCCAGGCTTGTGCGGTCAAGATGAGGAAAACTCTATTGCCGTCGTGAGCTATGGTCACCGATATGGTTCTCGATGACACAATCATACATAGACGATATACCAAGACCAGTCATCAGGGAAGCCAAGTTAACGTTTCGACTAGCGAAGTTGTACGCCGTCATGGCTTGGGTGATGGAATGCGTTTACTAACGTTTTATGGTTCTATGGAGGATGAGATATCGAGCGAAGGAAGAAGAGTAGCCATACAGCATGTTTTTTTTATCAGTGAGCGCTACCGTAGTACTAGCATCGCCACTAGGACCGGTAACTGCAAAGACCGGGTTTCAGATAGCGTTGTCAAGACAAGATGAGCCAGGATGGCCTAGCGCAGCGCTCAACCCACTCACTAGGCTGGATGTAGCTACATAACCCTAACAGAGTCCAGAGTCCGGACCGCTATGTTAGACGAGTTCTTGATTTAGTAGTGAACTCTGTGAACCATTTTTGTAACATTTGTCAGCACCAGTAATGAACCGTGGCTGAGCCAGGTAGACATCTTTCAAGTGCGCACGATCTCTGCAAGTGACAGACCTTCGCGGAGGGCCATAGACAGCGCTATTGTTAACTTTTTCATACAGTCTTTACTCGCTCACGATCACCATCTACCCTAATCATGCCTCCAAAAAAGCAGAATATGCCTTCGGGTTCGAAGGTCAAGGAGGACAAGGTAGATCATCATGCAGCTTTATCTCAGGAAAGAACTGACGGATCAGTCACTCCACAAAGACTTTTGGCATGAAGAATGTAGGTACAGTAATACGCTTCATGTAGACAATTTTTGACCGTGTGTACAGAAAAATAAATCTGCCAGGGTCCAGAAACAGGTGCAGATCTTGCAGCAGCAGCAAGCCATGACTGGCAAGTCCAAGGAAGCGGTCGCAAAGGAGAAAGAAAAGGAACTACGCGAGAAAGCGAAACTCGACGAGGAGAAGCGGAGGAAAGAGGAAGCTGCTATGTTCAAGCCTGTTCAGACGCAGAAGGTACCTTTCGGAGTCGATCCCAAAACGGTGCTTTGCGCTTTCTACAAAGCCGGAAACTGTGAGAAGGGTAATAAGTGCAAATTCAGCCACGACCTCAATGTTGGCCGCAAGGTGGAGAAGAAGAATTTGTATGAAGATAGCAGGGAAGACAAGCTGAAAGGTACAGTGGTCATGAGTCAACTGCCTCAGTCTTTCATCGCGTCCTTTATCAGATACTATGGAGAACTGGGACGAAGAGAAGCTACGGAATGTAGTCTTGTCGAAGGCCGGCAATCCTAGAACAACAACAGACGTGGGTCGGGATGCATCACCGCTGGGACCTCTACTCAACGTACGTATAGATCGTGTGCAAATTTTTCATCGAGGCCATCGAGACTCAAAAGTGCGGAAATTCTGAACTCTGCAGTTTGACTGACTTTATCATTTTCTTTCAAGGTTTGGGTGGTTCTGGGAATGCCCTAATGGCAGCGAAAAGTGTCAATATAGGCATGCCTTGCCTCCTGGGTTTGTGCTCAGATCGGAGCGCAAGGCAGCTGAGGATGCGGCGAAAGCTAATATCATCAGCCTGGAAGAGTTCCTTGAAGTTCAGGCGAGTGCCGTCAAGCAGTAATGTGATTCCCCAATGATCTCACGTTGCGATATCACAGCGCCACAAACTAGGGTCAAATTTAACTCCAGTCACTCCAGAGACTTTCGCGATATGGAAGAAGACTAGAATGGACAAGAAAGAAGCTGAGACGGATGCAATGCGGAAAGCGAAAGAGACGCAACATGCGGCTGGTAAGAACTCGGGCATGAGTGGGCGAGATTTGGTACGTAGTAATGAGATCATACGCGGAAACCCCCTATTGACTCAAGATAATTCTAGTTCCAATACAATCCAGAATGGTTCGAAGACGACGAAGAAGAAACGGAAGACTGGGATCTATCGGTATACCGTCGGGAGCAAGGCGACTCGGAAGATGTTGCAAGGGTTGAAGACGACGCTCAAAACGTCGGGATATATGATGACGATGGAGGAGATGACGATTCTGGGGGGCCATCATCAGATGGCACGTAGAATATCTAAGATATTGTGTGCTTTACTTCAGGAAGTCATATGCATTTACCCTTGTCACTTGAGAGTCACGGTTGTACATAAGAAAGTCGGTTAATTTTGCGTTACTACCGAGTTGACGTTCCGAAGACCTCAATAATCAACTTCTGCCTCTTTTATTGATTTCTTTGTTAACTCATCTGGTCTAAACTTTCAATACTCAAAGATGTCTCGTATTCCTCAACCATCTCCGCGTCCAACGGTGAAGACCACTCTCGCGCCTCCTTCTCGCTCACGAGCTCCGTCGCCGTCCAAGCCTGCCGCCAGTGCACCTTCCCCTCGCGTGAGGACAAAGTCAGTCCCAAAATCTCCGTCCAAGGCTATCCGCAGGCCACCGCCCGTCGAAAATGAGCCACCCATTCCCAAAACACCATTGAGTGTTAAGGAAGCCGTCGCTCTGAAGCGAGCCGAAGCCAGAAAAGCCGCATCTACTTCTTCATCCCGAGCAGGCTTTGGCAATAGCGCAAGTTTCGGTGATTTTGAGAACCTCGAAGGTGCAGATCCGATAATATCGAAGAAGAACGAAGACGAAACACCCGAATTAGGGAGGTGGTCTGTGAAGGAGACCATTGAGCGTGCTCGAAGCACAGGTGAGTGGACGCACTCTGTGCTAGATGCGTGCCGTTGATCAGACAAGGTCACTATTGCAGGTGCTATCAATTTGTCCTCTCGCTCTCTACCATGCATTCCTTCTGCCTTGTTTGAAATTCATTTGGGAGTAACTCCTGATACATTGAAGTCAGTAGCTTCAGAGCCGCCCGTATCATCCTCCACGGATACTTCAAGTTCGTCCAGGCGGGCTGGCCAACGAGAAGGTCCAGCGTGGTTTGAAGCCCAAGACTTGCATGTGCTCAAAGCATGGAATAATAACATCGTCGAAATACAGCACGAAATCTCTCTCTTTGGATCACTGAAGACTGTGGATGTAAGTGCTGACCGCGTCCTCCAGTGATCGATGATGTCTATATCTGATCTTTTGGAAGTTGCATCAAAACAGGATTATTCTCCTACCTGATACCTTTGCCGACCTTACAGCTTTAACTACCCTAGATCTTTCTCATAATTCCCTCACCGCGCTGCCTTCAAACATATTTGCGTTGCCCAATCTCACAGTCATGAACCTGTCCCATAATGCCCTCAGCGAGCTCTCCTTTGGTGCTCCGTTCTCGAAGTCTTCCTCACGCAGAGCGCGAAACGACACCTTCAGTTCAGGGGGCTTCTTTGGTCCTGTCATCACGAGAGCCTCGTCGCCATTACCGCGCCTTTCTGTCCTGGACGCGTCTCACAATAAACTTACCGCTTCAAGCATTGATCACGCCAATCTGCCTCGGTTGATAACAAAAGCTGACTTTGCCGCGAATCCCCTGGCTTTGGGCGACTCTAACTCAACACCCGGATTTATTCGAGCCCTCAGTCACTTGGAACATCTCAAGGAACTTCGTTGTGAAACCGCCGACATCGGGGATGATGCCTTCCCCAGCAACTTATCCGATTCGGATGGTCACTGTTTCCCTCGGCTGCGGATCCTTGATATGGGTGAAACTCGAGCTACTATGGAAGGCTTGCGATCTGCGTTATCTGGGTTGAAGCAGGATATCACGTATGATTTTACTACTGAGGAGCCTCCCGAAGGCACCCTGAGGGTATCTATTGGAAAAAAGGTCGTTCGGGAAGCTTGGGAGGTAGAGGCGGAGAGAAGGGTGAAGAACCGTGCGTCTAAGAGTGTGGCAAGTACGGAAGGCGCTGGTGTTTTCAGCAAAATAGACATAGACCAAAATAACGCGGAAGTCGTCAAAGAGGCTTGGGAGATCGAAGCAGAGCAGGGTTTGTTAACGGAGGGTGGACGAAGACGAGCAAGAGCGGCGGCAGAAATGTCAGCAAATACTGTAGCCCCTCCAAAGCTCAGTACTGTCATTGGACGCGGACGCCCGCCTACACCTGCTAGCACCTCGCAACCATCATTGACCGCAAGTTTAACAAACCCACAATACTACCATGCTACCACTCAAACGCTCACTTTACCCCCGCTCTCAGCTCCAAAGGGTCATGCTCGATCCTTCTCTCTAGCAACTCCATTCTCGAGTTCACCATCTTCTCAAGGCAAAACGGATTTTGCCCTACCTACACTGACACTTCCACTCGCCGCCCTATCAGCCCAGTTGTTTGCCCCGACGCTCAAGATTCTCGTGTTAAGCAACCGAAAATTCAATCTTTGCGTTTCTCTCCCAACCACCGGCGAGGTCTTCCTTCCAAGCCTGGAGGAGCTCGTCCTGGATGGGTGTGGATTCGGTGATCAGGTCTCCGTGACACGTCAAGCTGACACGGGGACTACCACTCCTCCGCGCTCGAGCGACATGCTTCTGCCTTTGTTGACGCGCATGTTCCCCAGTCTTCGGACGCTGGATCTATCTTATAACGCTCTTACGTCAGCTTCGCTGCAGCAAGACGTCCTGTCTTCCCTTATCCTGGCTGACAACTCCATTTCTCGTAAAGGTCTCAGGCATCTCCGACTCCGTGGCAATCGAATCAACGAGATCGACGGTTTCCAGGGCATCGCAGATCTGTTCAAAGGTAATCGTTCAGTGCCCGATTGGAAACTAGAAGAATTAGATCTCAGAGACAACGAGATTTCCAAGCTTCCCGCAGAACTTGGTCTTTTGCCTCTGGATATCTTCTTGGTGGATGGCAACTTGTGAGTAGCCCGTTGCTCGTTAGTTGTGTAGCGATGTTTACGCGTCTGTCAGGTTCCGTATACCCCAGAGGAGGGTTTGGGAAAGGGAAGGAACGAGGGGCCTTTTGAGCTGGCTGAGAGGTCGCCTGGAATGATACCCACATGATGTAGTAGCCCTTCGCATTGATTTTCCCCAGTTCGAATGCGATGACGTTGTCTTACTGTACTGTCTTTATAGTGCGAGTTGACGGTGCGAACTTTTGATTCAGTAAATTATTGAGTGACCCGAGCTCTCAGCATGCCGAAAAGCGAGACCAGAACGCTTCAGTGGCGTGTGTACGGAGGACACATCAAGGTAAGTTGATACGTGGCAGGCCAACGAAAAGAAAAAGGCGCCATATCCCTATCCGTGATTAATACATCAATAGCGACGGTCGGTACACATCTCTATGTATGTAAGTACATTATGAGCGACATATCACCCACGCCTCTCGTCAAAGAACGACTTATTGGTTTACTGTAGTCATGGTCATTACGTTCGCACTGGTAAGCGTCGTGTCGGACAAGGAGCTGCGGTGTTGAGGTTGGGGTTTGTGGTCCGTACTGCGGTCGTAAAAAATTGACACTGAAATAGCTTCAAGAGCGACAATCCCAAAGAGAAACCAAAATGCGGCAGCTCGTCCGGCGTACTCATGCGAACCCCCATGGGTGACCTCCACGGACGTCTCTATTGAGCTGATAGCAGCGAGGCCAATTGCGGATCCAAAAGAAAGTGCGCCGTTAAAGATGGCACCAACTGTGCCGGCCATGGATGAAGGCACAGCTTGGAAAATAGCAATGCTGTGAAGCAATTAAACCGAGTCCGTGAAACCATAATGATTTGGAACTTACTTCGTGTGTGTGTACGTCAGCATGGCCCCTACGGATCCTAGTGCAAAACCTGGGAAAACATATGGCCAATAATTCTCGGGCCGCCCTCCACCGACTGCCAGCAAAATGGTACCGGCCATAGACAAAGACAGACCAGTGAGAATAATCCACTTGGGACTGAAGATGCGAGAAAGTGATCCTGTGAAACTCGCAACGAAGGCAAAGAAGGCTATTGGCAACCTGGGGAGCAGAATTCTTTATAATGGGAAGCATGGGGTGATAGTAAATACCTTACATGTGTACGGCCGACAATATTACCGACCAGTGAAATATATTTTGCCACAAGGTGGTAAAAATGATCAACACCGCGTTCCACCAAAATATTGGCAACAGTGAGATGGTGAACAGAACGGAGAAATTGTTGTAGAACCATGTCCGGGGTGGTCTGGTACATACATAATCAGCCCCGAAGTTTAGTGCAATGATTCTTGATAACCTACATTGCGGCCTTGTCCACAGGAATGAACGTTTCCCAGTAAAAAAATCCAACCACCATTAAAGTTGATATGATCAGGGGGATTATTACTGATGGGGATGCCCAACCATCAATGGAACCAGACGTCACAGAAAAGATGAATAAGATGACTGCAACTATCCGGGTCTGTGAGCGGTGCAGGCACTTCGAATATGCTACAAGATTCATACCGGTTAGAATGCTTACGCCGACTACATCAAGACTTTTCCATTTCGCCTCTCCAGGTTCAAATGTGTCTACAGTGACTGCAAGTTGTGATGGTATGATGTACACACAAGCCAGAGCAACTGGCAAAGCCATACAGGCTACAAACCAGAAAACCCAATGGAAAGACACCCATTCAACGAGCATTGCACCAATCAGGAGACCGCCAACTGCGTAAATAATGAGGATCGTCATGCGTAATCAGATATGCATCTGGAATCTCACTGTTAGCGACCGCACCGCAGCCTCCGAATAGGCCTATTGCCCTTGCTTGTTCTAGCGGATCGGGAAATACCTTGACGAGAAGTGTTAAGGCAGAGGGGACTGTCATTGAAGAGGCTGAGAGGCAATATGATTCGTCAACCAGAACCCGCATACCGGCAAGAATGTTCACCTATTCCAGCCAGTGCCCTGAGAATGATGATCGGAATTTTGTCATCAACAAATCCGGCGCACAACGAAGTGACACCAAGACCGGACACTCCTCCGATGAACACAGTTTCTGTAAGCCTGTCAGCATTACAAGCTAATTGGCCAACACAGCACTGACTTGGATTATATACGTCGCTGATACGGCCGCTCTAAAGCAATGTGGTGAAATACATGTCAAAATTAACGGGGTTGGTACACACGATAAGCAGGAATGACGCAAAAGTCAACTGGGACGCGCTAAACATCCACGTAGATTGACTTGCAGTCATATTCATGGATAGCTCGAGAGAAGGGATAGCAGAAAAGAGAGCTGAGATACTGAATGCATCCAAGAACTGAGCAAGACAGAACATGACCAACAACACAAGCTTGCGGGTGAGAGCAAGTCTTTTACCATCATCAACCACGGAGAGAGTCAGCAGTGGCAACATTGCGGGGAAAGCTGCAGACAAAATATTGCAGTTGGACGGTTTAGAACGCACCAACTGGGTGACTGGTGAAAGGGTGGGATGGTATTAGTTAGGACATTCGCTGTCGAAAAAGATGGGTGGGTAAACACTGTACATAAGAGGTATAAAATTTATGACCAACTTAACTTGAGCAAGATACACGTATTCTCGAAGTCGGGAAAACATCCCGGAGATTCTAGATGAGTCATAGGATGGCTTCCTATATGAAAATGCAAAAACCATTTTAGCTTCGTCAAGAACGCCGGTCATTTATTCAATCACGAGCTCGACTTCATTGATAAGAGCTCTTATGCTATGGGCCAGATATGAAACAGTTACGTCCTCGACATTGACCTGATCAAAAATCCCTCTTACATTTGTGTCCCCCTCGACATCTCAAACCCCGATTTTTTAAGGTGGTAGGCGATTTTCCCAACGTTGGTGGTTCGCGCCATAGACAAGCTTTCCGAAGCTATGAAATCTATACTGCGCGTTGCAATGCTAGTACTGTTGCAAGAAATTAGCTGCGAAACATCAAGAACTCACACGCTTACAATTAAGACGTAGCACAGCTGCCAGCGATGCGGAAACTTTCGCCATCAAGGTGGAATCTCCATTCGTGCTTGTCCAGTGTTCAACGTTCAGCAGTGGTGCATGTGACGTGTTGGATTCATTTGGGTACGTCGTGACACCTGGAAATTGATGAAGGGACATTCACGGTGAGAAGAAAAATCACCTAGTGTTCCTTCGACAGAAAACTGCCTGAATTATGCATTACACCAAAAACTTTTACGAGCGATGATCGATGATCTATTGTCTGCACAGACTCCGGACAGATGCATGCCTTGCACCAACTTGAAGCACTGGCTGAGAGACAAAGGTCCTGAGGACTTGTAACGACAGTCGTGAAAATCCTTGTCTGAGGGAGTAGTCAGACTTGTTGCGAGTCTTTCACCCGCGGTCAACTTGAACTGTGTAATTAGTGAGTCACTAGGTGGTCAACAATGTTTGAAATTTGCACAACGCGGATTTGTCGAGCACAAACATTTCGGCATCCGGCCGTCCTAGCCAGTCCGACTCTCTTTTGATGACAACAACTATAGAAAGTGCTTTACTGACAATGATCACGGTAGTGTATAGAAGGTTGGCAGAAGGAACTTGAAGCTTCTCAACAAGTTCAATTCGTCCGACGGGTGGCACGCGGCGCCGCCCCGACTCAAACATGTACAAACCGTTGATTGTGATGGCATCGAGTCCATAGCGCCAAAGACTTATTTCAGAAAACCCTGACAAGACTCAAAGCCGCGTGGCCCAAGGGTGAATTACAAGCATAACGTAGGTATAATGTCACATAACTTCTACAACATCGAAAGCCACTTCAAGAACCTGATGGCGATTGCCTCCATATCGGTTCCTTCAGCTTGAGCTCGCAAATATCACGCATGCTCTTCTCCCACCCCTTACGCCTATGACTGCACGAAGCCAGATAGTTGAGTTGCTGCGGGGTAGGACTGTGAGCGTGGAGCATAAACAAATAGTCAGACATGTCGCTCTGTTGGACCACTGAAAAAGCACGATTCCCACTTCTGACAAAGGCAGAGACATCGATGCAATTGTCTGGAGTTACCTGTCAAACGAGTTATTTTGACTTCATTGTAATTGCATACTGATACTCACGAAAATCGGTGGAGCTAGTGGAATGATGAAATCCTTCCCGTCCCGCTTCGTCTGGAGCGAAAGGTCCCCAGATGTGGGCCACGAGCATGGCGAGTACATGGTAAGTTTCTTATATGACGGAGGTTTATCACCTTCTGGTGGATCGGGTAGGAGACTAGGGAGATGATAGCAAGCGAACGACACACAGACACTTTGTTCCAAATCTCTGTGAACCGCTAAATTTGCGTCCAGAAAAGAGAAAATGTCACATACGTTAGTGATAACTCCTTGCGCTTCACCCACCGAGCAACTTGGAGATAACGTATATCATTGAGGTTGAAAGTGACCTCAAAGGTCCCACGAGCTGATCCCCGCCGATACATCATCACAGCCATATCCCCTCCAAATCTCCGAAGTTTGACCTGCGGAATGGCGACTGGAGACAATGAGAAATCTCTGACTCCTACTTGGTCCGAGGGTGTCGCAGGTGGCTCCGTTGGAGCTGGGGAATCCGTGTTTTTCGTAGGACCTGAGGGATGTATTTCTGAATCCCGAGGCATAATTTGCGGTTGAGGGTAGCTCGTAGCAACACCAGTTGCAGTGGATATGATTTTTTCTTCGTTTGGCTGCTTGACGTCTACAGGCTCTGGAACCTGGGCGAAAGTACTCGATCGATGTGTGGTTTTCACAACTGTAGGCTCGATCGCTGTCATCAGTCCACTGGGTAACGACCTTGGAGGTGTTTTCTCTGGCATGCAAGACGGCCTTAACTTATCTGTAGCAGGGGCTTCTGCTACACCATTCAACACCACAAGCATACCAGCTTGAGCGGCTGGATCCACCACAGGACTTGCAATATTTGTATCACGAGCAGCTGCTGGCTGTTGATGTGCCTTGAACCATTGCAGGTCGCGATTTTTGATGTGCTCAGATAGTGAAGATTCCTTGAGTCGGCGCTTAGGCAGCGGTTTCGGGATAGTTCTAACTTCTCTGGATCCAACACCGGGCGGGAGAGTATCTAAGCATGATGTAGACGTGGTACTCAAAAGCTGCTTTATTGAAATAAATTTGTACGTCAGATCACGAATGAACAGGGCGTGTGGCATATCTTACAGGCGAAAGAACTGACTGCGCTTGCGAACTACTAGGAAACGTTAGCTGCGTGCTTGGGACCGAGTCCTGGGCCAGTGTAATTGCTGGCCTACCTAGTGGTAAGGTAGTATCCCTAAGTGAGATCATGCCATCCTTCGAACCAGTCGTGCAGACTACTTAGTACGTGCACGGGAAGAAAGGGAAAGAACTGTACAGTTGATGAACGAGTGGGCATAAAGCAAAATCAATAAAGGTTTCTTTATCCAAAACTTTGCACAATGTCCGCCAAATTTTGCGACGAAGCAACCTTTAGATTGAAGCTGGGGAGCGGCCATAGAAAGGCTTGACAAAGTGGTGTCTCTTTGAGCTCAGTTTATGTAAGCGCGCCGATTTAAATTATTCAACGTCCGGCTCAACCCCTGTTCATAAACCACAGCAAAGCCACTCGGGTCTGGTACTCCCATGTACCAGTCACTTCTGCAACATACTTACTTGCATTTCAGGCCCCCTCCCAGTGTGAAACTTATTCTAACAGAACAAGTCACGTCAGCTAAGGTTTGAACTTGGCACGCTCAGACAGCAACTCACAGTGTGCTTATAATTAGACAAAGGAATAGCATCAGAAAGGAAAGATAAACCCACCAGCAATCTACCCTCCACCTTGAAGCCGGGGACCCACTGACTGCTAAACGACTCGGGTCATGATCCTCTCGTGTTTGTATGCAAGAATCCTTGTCACTTCGCTGGCTCTTTTCTGTGCAGGAATGGTGACAGCGTCTCCAAGTCTATCCAGTGGTATGTATTATCCCAGACACTTATACTTATACAAATTGCACATACGATTCTGCCAGCATGGTCAAGACAGGTGGAATTAGCGATTGACACACCTTCTCATCTTAACCCGTATCCTGATAAACCACGTCTCACCTTCGGTTCTTCTGGGACTTTCAAACTAACCGTATTCTCGGATCTTCATTATGGCGAAAATCCCTGGGATGAATGGGGGCCTCAACAAGATGTTAATAGCGCACAACTGATGCGCACTGTACTGGCTGATGAGAAGCCTGACTACGTGTATGGCATCAATTTCTTACCAGTTGAATGTTAGTAACGACACAGTATTCCTCCAGCGTACTGAATGGAGATCTGATCACTGGCGAAAGTGTGCTCAAATTGACTTGGGCTAAGTATTACCCCTAATGACAGGGATTCCCGTGTTTGCATAGATACATTTCGGGAGAATTCCACCACTCTCATCGATCACATAGTGGTTCCTCTGAACGAAGCACAAATCCCCTTCTCTTCTACCCATGGGGTGGGTCTAATTGTCACTAGAGATATATGTGACTAAAATGATATTTGTCAGAATCATGACAATTCGCAAAACATTACGCATCTTGAAGAAATACGACGGGAACAGCTCGTTAGTCCTCTGAGCTACACTCGCGCTGCACCACCTGGTATCGGAGGGGAGGGAGGGCAGGGCACATATTGGGTTCCTGTATGTTTCAGAGGGTGACTTTCAAATCAAGATTATTGACTGTACATATGATTGTTCATCTGTAGATCTACGAAAAAGCGGCCGGTGCGTATCTAAAGACGGGATCGTTCATCCTTACTTACCTGACTGTTTTTTTTTACAGATTTGACGCCTGCTTTGATCCTGTGGTTTTTCGACTCCCGAGGTACACTCCCGCCTTCTGCCAGTAAGCCTTTGGTCGAATTACTGATACCCTTCGACTACCAGGTGGGTTGTCTCCTGGACCCACATCCGCGCCGCTACCAGACTGGGTGGACGCCTCTGTAGCGGAATGGATCAAGCGCGAGACGACTGCAATGGAAGCTGTGTGGGATTCAGTAGAAGGCAGAGAGCGAGGAGCATTAGCCTTTGTACACATACCTCCGTAAGTGGATTTTATCCAATCGCTATGCTCTCGTCCTCAAATAAATAAATAAAGACATGCAATCGAGAGCGTTCAAAAGACATTGAACACTACGCGAAACCCAGGGCTGAATGGTGAGAGAAATCAGACAAGTATGTCTGTCATCGTCCGGTTTCTCACCTCCATGTATTTTTTCAGCCGACACTCTAGGCCAGGGATCAACACAAGCCACTATTGACCCGTCATCAGCCGGAAACGACCAACCGTTCTGGAATGCATTGAACACCAATATCAAAAACCTACACGCAGTAATCTCTGGGCACGGTAAGTCTGCCAGATTTACATATCTTGTCATATATCATATAGCTATGTGTGGTTTCTTTACAGATCATGGTAACGAGTGGTGTGCCCGTGAGCCTTCGAAGGATGTGATATTTTGTTTCGACAAGCACTCCGGGTATGTGGTCTTCACCTGAACCCGTTCGGTTCAGCACATTCTTATCATCTACTTCATTCTATGCCTGATGTTTCAGATACGGTGGCTACAATAGCCCAGGATGGGGCCACGGTGTACGAAATATCGTGTTCTCCTCTGCAGATCCTGCTAGTGGGCTTGAAACGTGGATAAGGTTCGAGGACGGACAAACGAGGGCAAGAGTCACACTGGACAGAAACTATGATCGATGACAGTGATTTGGTGACTCACGTTTGTTGTACATACTTGCCCATAGGGATAACCACGACGTCACGCACGTTTTCAGTACAAGAATAGTTCGCGCAAATCCAAGTGATCATGAAACTGCTGAAATTCCTTCCCAACGCGTCTAAAACCACAGCCACATCTGCGAATGACTTCTCCATCCTCAATGGCGACTGACAACCCATCAGCCCCGCCAGGATAACTATTTGTGACGATGAATGGGACAGCTCCAATTGGTCGGGAAAATAGTGGTCAAAGGAAAGTTGATGCCATGCACGTTCAATATCAGACTCTTTCCGCATATTTGATAGCATTGACCAGGAGTTCAAGACTCGGCCAAGCTCTCCAATGAATTATCAGAGGCCTGCTGGACCCACATATTATGATACAGACCGCCTAGGCGTAATAATTCCTCATGAGTGCCTTGTTCCGCAACCTCGCCATCCTTAAGCACAATAATTAAATCTACGACCAAGCTATCAGTATGCTTGAGCAAAAATAAAGCGCAGTTGAGGTTCACCTGCTTCAACCACAGTGCGGAGCCTATGGGCAATAAATATGCTTGTCCGTGCCTTGTCGAGCAACGTGCTGTTGATACTCCGCATGAGCTCCGTTTCTGTGTGAGCATCTAGGGCAGACGTCTGGAAATTGCAGTGAGGGAATGCCCATATGAAGATCAGGTACACGGAGCTTACGGCTTCATCAAAGAAGAGGATCGGAGGATCTTTAAGCAACACACGTGCGATCGCCAACCGCTGCTTTTCCCCTCCAGAAATCATCAAACCTCTCTCGCCGACCGTGGTCTTGTAGCCTTCAGGAAGACCCACAACTGTATCATGAACGCTTGCCTTCATTGCAGCCGCCTTTACCTCGTCGTCTGTGGCATCAAGGCGGCCGTACCGCACGTTGTGCATGATATCGGAATGGAACAGCGGCGTATCCTGGGGAACCACACCAATAGATTCCCGAAGGCTCTGCAGCTGTGTCTCGTGAATGTCCTGGTCATCTACCAAAATCCGACCAGAAGATGGATCGTAGAAACGGTACAGCAAGCGGAAGACTGTGGACTTCCCGCATCCAGATGGGCCAACTATCGCCACTTTTTTGCCCGCAGGAACGGTGAAGGACAAGTTGCGGAAGATGGGCCGATCTGGATGATAGCCAAAGTTCACGTTCTCAAACCGAATGGAACCGCCTTTCAATGTAAGCGGTTTTGCGTCTTCTTTATCCTTTGCAAGGAAAAGATGTCGGAAAATAACGTTTGTGATAATGAAGAAGCTCTAACGTACTTTGGCGGGAGCATTTTCAGTTTGAATATTGAACAATACTTCCATATCCAAGAGATTTTGACGCAGCTCGCGATAAATACTACCCAGAAAGTTCAAGGGCAGTGACAGCTGGAAAATCAATTGGTTCGCCATGACGAGGTCACCAACAGTCATTGTCCCTGATCACGGTGGTCTAAGATTAATTATGTATTATTCATAAAACATCGGCCGAACATACCTTTCATAACTCCTTGTGCGGCAAGGAACATTGTAGCTGTCAACGCCGTGGAAAAAATTATGTTCTGGCCGGAATTCAGATAGGCCAAAGATGTAGTGATCTTCACGGAAGATTTCTCGTATTGTTTGAGATGTTTATCGTACTGTGCGATCTCAAATTTCTCGTTGTTGAAATGCTGCAACAGAGTTTACCAAACAAAGGACGAAAGCATGCAATAAACAGATACCTTAACTGCCTCGTAATTGATTAGCGAGTCAATTGCTACGGTCGCAGCTTTATTGTCTGCTTTATTTGCATCGCGGCGAAATTGAGTTCTGATGAAATTGAGCAAATGGGCTGGATAGGATAAATGACTCTGACCTCCATGAGGTTGTACGAACAGTGAACCAAGTGTATGCAGCTAAAGCAGTGACAGTGATTGCGGCGAAATCCCAACCAAATTTCCAAGTCTATTTTGGTGGTGGGTAAAAAAGCAAACTGAATCGGTTTTTTGCTCACAAGTATTCCGCAAACCATAGATATCTCCAGGGCAGTCGGGAAAATGCGGAAAATGATGGCCTGAAGCATGAATGTGATACCCCTGAGATACGATATTCAGAAGTTGTATTATCCTATCGGAACGCATAACATACTTGGTACCACGGTCAATTGCACGCGTGAGCCCACCAGTTTGTCGCGCGAGATGGAATTTGAGGTCCAGATTCAAGAGATGTTGGAAAGTCTCTCTAGCGACTTTGCGAACTGCTTGTTGACCGATATTGGCAAATACAACGTTCAGCAGTTCTCCGAATAACGTAGCTCCCGTACGAGCAGCCCCATCTGAACGATTTGTTATAAGAAGTAATGAATTCACATAGCTCTGGACTCACATCCGAGGATGAGAGAACCTGCAACGACCCATACCGTAGAGTCGGCCATTACGTCTAGGTTTAACGCGTCAATCACAGTCTTGAACAGCTGGGGCACTTGAACGTTTAACACCTGATGAAGTTACGCTTGGATTCAGTCACCTCCTGGTTTTCTGTGCAGCACACCGAACCTTGCCAGCAATCAAAAGCCCAAATCCAAGGACAACACGACCGCGTGTGCCCCAGTCATTTTTCGGCCAGACATGACTCATCAGTCGTTTAACAATAATCCAATCTTTTCTTCTCTGCTCTTTTACAGACACATTGTCGGAATCAACCGACTTCGGAACGTTAACCTTCCTAGTGGCTGTAGGCGCGTCATTCGCGTAGAGAATGGAAGAGGATGTGAAAGTCGAGCTGAAAGGTGTCAACTTCAAAGATGAAGGGCGTGCATATAGACTCCTCAAAGGCCTTCCATTCAACCCGTGATTCGGATGTGGGACAAGTCGTGGGGAAGTAGCGGCACTGGAGAACGCTCGAAGGGTTGCTGAACGACAGACGAACCGTGGAGTGAGAAGCGTTCTCGTCCACATGGACGAACAAATGGGCCTTGACACTGTCGTTGACTCGTTGGCGACTCTGCGTAGGTCAAGAGTAATATTGTATTTCCGAATTTCCGAAGCTGAATTGGTGAAACTTCGGTCTCGAGGAAAACATTATTATCTAATCTAATTTTTAAAACATTTGTGCCCAAACTGCACTCATTTCCCCAGAACCTTGTACAGATAGATCCTTCGGCTCCCGAGAAGTTTTAAGCTGCAGATTTTCTGTTTCAAGCATGTTCGGCGTACATGCTACTTAAATATTGCAGTCGTTTTATTCGAAAGGGAACACCAGGGAACACCCTGCCACTGCAAACAGAAAGACCGCATCCAAAACCTGGTCCCTGGAGATAAAGTTAGCTCTAAAGTTTTCCTGGGTTTCCACCTCCAATTGCTGTCCTTGCAATGTATATGTTACTAACAATAACTGTAGCAGGATCCAAGTCATCTGACACTGATATTTGGCATGTATGAGGCTGTGAGCAAACGTTTTACTGACATTCCGCCGGAGTCCGAGTCATACCTTATGTTGATCAGGCCAACTACAGGTCAACTTGGTTGCTTACCCAGGGGCCCGGAGGTTCTCACACGGCCTAAAAACAAGCTCATACTAGGTCACGACCGTGATGGTGTACTTGAGTCCTGAGCGCAGTTATTGGCTACAGACGGACGAACGTGTCCGCCTAAGAATGGGGTATCATATAAACGTTACAATGGAGCAGGGCGGGTACGATCACTCTTCTTGGCCTGAGAATGCAGTGAACATCATCTATGCGGTATAAATGTAAATGACAACGTATCTGGGCGGGCAACAGCTGCAGGCTTTCCCCCCATTCTCAGAGATTTAATCTGACTCACAATGGCTGCAATCCCTGACCAACAATCCAGCCATGAATCGTACCACGAGAAGGGGAAGACTACCGCGACTGTGTTGGACGAGCGCCGCCGCGCTGCTCTGGCAGAAATTGACAATGCACCCTTCTCGTAAGTTTCACAACTCTTAACTTAAATTCCGCAAAAATACATTTCGCCCCAGGTGGTTCCATGTCAAAGTTTGCCTGGTCGCTGGCGTAGGTTTCTTTACCGACGCGTAAGTTTCTATATTGTGTTACGCTCACCTCCGCTCACTTGCTGCCAGCTACGATATCTTTGCCATCAACATCGCCGCCACAATGTTGGGCTACGTCTATGGTCACACAGGTGAGCATGCCACCCCCTTTTTTCCCGAAGGTGTTGGGTTAAATTATCGGAAGCCAACCAGCTTAACACCAACCAATCTTTGGGGGTTAAGGTAGCAACCCCTGTTGGAAACTTGGTTGGTCAGCTCCTTTTTGGATGGCTCGCAGATCATGTGGGCCGTAAGAGGATGTGTCAGTGTAAATTTGTGTCCAAGCCAATCACCTTCATTAACCAATGTTATAGATGGCGTCGAGCTTATGGTCATGATTATTGCGACTTTCGGTCAGGCTCTCGCAGGCCAGGCCCCAGCTGTGAACGTTCTCGGCGTGATTATTGTCTGGCGTTTCATTGTAAGTGCAATGAACTACTTTTGGAATGTTTGTACCTCAACTTTCTGCCCATAGATGGGCGTTGGAATCGGTGGCGATTACCCTCTGAGTGCCATCATTTCCTCAGAATTCGCCGCTACACATTCACGCGGTCGTCTTATGACTGCTGTGTTCGCTTCACAAGGATGGGGTCAATTTGGTCGGTTGATCATTTTTCTCCTAAAGTGATTTAATTAATGCATCCCGAGCGCAGCTTCTGCCCTTGTCGGTATTATCGTCGTCCAAGCATACAAAAATGATATCCTCAGTGCCCCATTCCCATGCACTGTCCCTGTCGATTATACCTGGCGTCTCTTGATTGGTCTTGGATGCGTCCCCGGTGTCATTGCACTCTACTTCCGTCTCACAATCCCTGAAACTCCCCGTTTCACCATGGATATCGAGCGTAATGTCGCACAGGCTACTGCAGATGTCAACAACGTGTTGACACCCGGGAAGCACGTCGTGGACGAAGGCGCTCCGATTCAGCGTGTCACAGCCCCGAAGGCAACCCGCTCAGACTTTGCTGCGTACTTCGGCCAGTGGAAGAACATGAAAGTCCTGATTGGCACCTCCTACTCCTGGTTCGCTCTCGATGTAAGTTCTAAATTAGCTCTTTTGAAGTTGTAAATCAAAATTCGCTTTCAGATCGCTTTCTATGGCCTTGGTCTAAACAGCGCGATCATCTTAACGGCAATCAACTTTGGCAGTCCCACTGGTATCAAAACCTCGTCACTTTATGTTTACCAGAACTTGTACAACATTTGTGTCGGCAACCTTATCCTCTCCGTGGCGGGCTTGATTCCAGGATATTGGGTATCTTTCCTTTTCATCGACTCCTGGGGACGCAAGCCCATCCAACTGATGGGCTTCTCCGTACTCACAATCCTTTTCGTCATTATGGGTCTGTACATTTGACCACTATGATTACGTACATGGGACTGAGGATTTGTGTGCAGGTTTCGGCTATGATGCACTGAACGCCTCCGCCGCGGGCAAGAAGGCATTTGTCTTCCTGTACTGCCTCACCAACTTCTTCCAAAACTTTGGCCCCAACACCACCACTTTCGTCATTCCTGGAGAGGCTTTCCCCACTCGTTACCGTTCGACAGGCCACGGTATCTCTGCCGCCACCGGAAAGCTCGGAGCTATCATTTCCCAGGTCGGCTTTGCTCAGCTGGTCAACATCGGCGGAACGAACCAATTTGTGAAACACATGTGAGCAGCACGAACTTTCTCGGATCCGTGTCCGGAAGCTAAATTTGATTTCGTAGTATGGAGATCTTCGCTCTGTTCATGTTGACTGGTATCTTCTCCACACTTCTCATTCCCGAGACAAAACAGAGATCGCTTGAAGATATCTCGAATGAGGAGCAGGAAGGCTACATCCAAGAGGTTCCGGAAGCGACTCGTTCCTAAGCAATTGTGTACTGTGTTGCAATATTATCATTATTTTGCTTTCTACACAGCGCGGACTAATGTTTATGTATCACACTTAGTCGATGTATATAAGTACATGCATGCCGCTTATTTCAGTGTTCAAGAAAAAGAGATTAAAGTTGTACGAACTTACTGGTTGTGGAGCGTCATGTCTACGATCAGTACTATGTAGTACACTAGTGACAAGTGAATTGATCAACTTATTCCTCACACTGGTCTTTCGGAGGGACACAGGCAGGAAGTCCATTCCCTTACTGCGCATAGCCAAAAGCTTTCTTGAGCTTTGCGCAGCTTATGACCTGTATCTATGAAGTCCGCTGCGTCACGAGGGCCAGAAAGTGTGAATATTCGAATTTGCCCGTCGAGCGAGCTGGTGCTCAGAACTAATTGTGCCCTAGAGTGATCAGCGACCGTCGTTAACGACCCTCCCAGTCACAGCCACATGTGCTTTGTCAAAGGCAAGTCTATATGTTGACCATGAGCATGATTTCAGCCTTTTCAACCGGTATGCCGCAAATCGAGACGTTCCTGCAACTGAGGGCGAGATGTGGCATACGTGTTCTGGAAAAGGAGAGAATTGTCGCGCTGCCTGAGACGATTTACAAGCCTCCCAGTTAGAAGAGCAACAATACTTTTGCCTTTCCACCAACAGCAGCGCACGCACGCAGCGGTAGGTGAGGACAGAATATTACAACCTTGGGCTTTGTACGTCATTCAAATGAACGGGCATTAAAATTGATAAAGACGCTGACAGTTAATCTGCAGACTGCAGTATTATGAGAAAATGTGGTCCATCTGGAGAAATATCAGGCTGAGAACCAATCTCGGCTTATCTAATAGCAGCGACCAGATCAATGGTCAAAGTGAGCTGAGAAATCATGCAAACAGCGAAAGAGTTCAACGGACCGAAAAACTATAGGACCTGGCCTGCCAGTGACCAAAATTGATAGGGTGGCTGGAAGACGCGTGAGAGTACAAATGCCTGCGGTACTTCGCACTATCCTGTTGCAATTCGAGGGATAATAAGTGATATTAGCAAGTTAGGAACTTCAAAGGTGTCCATGTTCAAAAGGGCGAAAGAGGGAACTTAAAGTGACTTAGGTCACCTTATTAACAACGTGTTCGTTTCTGAAGCATTTTTTCTTATACACCAGGATGCTGTCTCACTTCCTCATGACATTTGTCCCAAGACTCTCCCCAAGCGATGCTACACTTGGTATGTCACAGATAACACAAAGTTTAGTTCTCTGTCAGGACAGCTGGTGAGGAGGACTCACTGAACAATGCCATCCTCCTTCCTCTGTCTGTCATACTCTGTCTAAAAGCTCCTCCCCGCTCTTGTGGGAGCAAAGACATATACGAGGAGAAAATAGGTTTCGTTACCTTGGGTGGCTTCGAGTCCAAGTCGCAGAGCTAGCTGTTATGGCATTGGTAAATGTAATACATCAAACTAAAAAGTTGGCAGTGGAGACTGAGCGGAGCTTGGCCTGGGCTTGGTGTAGCACGTGACAGATGACATAGGATCCGGGCCGCGTTTGGCTAGCACCAGTAGCTGATGTTCTCAACGTCACACGCAGGATCTTCAAGTTGCCAGTAAGGCTAGCACTTCTAGTCATGGCTCGCACTTCGTCGTTACTGGCGTCGACGACTCCGAGTGTAATCGCACCAGCAGACGTTACCATCGGCCATGTGTACGCTTCTTTTTTCCTTCATAGTTGCTCACCGCTAAACCACTCGGCAGGCAGCTTCGAGATTTAATCATATGTCCACGCGAGGCGGGCATCGTCAATTACGTTCATAAAAACTCGATTATTGAGCATGATCTTCATACACCCGACCTGGTGCGTTTTCATTTATCCTTGCCTTTATGTGATGTGAGGTTCGCAGGACGATTCTCATGTGTGGCTCCTAGGCACCAAGGCCCATCGCTGATCTCGCATTTGTCCCAAACACGCTTTCCTCGTTAAACCTTTCTGATTCCCCACATACACTCCTCGCAGCAGGTGGTCAGGACACCGAGATTCACCTCTCACTTCACAGTCCATCGCGTACCCGTCCGCTCTGGCAGTTCTCGCGCAAGCTCAGTGGAAGCATCAATAATTCTGTTCTCCTTGCACGCGCATTCAACAGTTCTCACGAACCACGGCTCATCGTGAGTAATAATGACTGGACAGTTCGCCTATACGACGTACCCCTCCGTAGGCCGCAGGACCTCAGGTGCTGTGGGACCCTCAGACTCGAAGAGCCTGTGAATCACTGTACGTTATCGTCTCCCATGTGAGGAATTAACTCAACCCTGCGGATATGTACAGCTTCTATATCGCCTGACGGCCGCACCCTACTTTCAGTCGGAGACTCTCCTCGGATCTACCTTCACTCCCTTTCAGGCAGCGCCCGCCTTTCCTTCAATCGCGTCACAACATTACAGATCCCGCCCCCTGTCTCTCTCCATCCCATCTCTCTCGTAGCGTCCTTTAGCACCGCATGGAGCGCCGACGGACTTAAGTTCGCTGTCGCTTGTCAAGAAGGAGTTATCGCAATCTGGGACGTGCGGAGCACAAAGCCGCTGAAGGTGCTGTATACGAGTCGTGAAAGGGGCGGTGGTGACAGCGGGTGGATGAGTGATGACCCATGGGACTGGACACGCGGAGCTTCACGTGCGCCAGGATGGGGCGCACGGAGCGTCAAGTTCGGGTGTGGTGGAGTTGGCGGGCGGGCTGGACATGAGGTGATGACGTATACTGAGGTGTGCACGAGTTCCGAGTTTCGTCGTTTGTATTCAAGCTGATCGCGATAATTTATTCAGCACACAAATCTCTTGCACGTACTTGACGCTCGAACGTTCGAAACCGAAGAAATCATCCACGTGCCTAACTTCTCTTGCAGCAAAACAAACTCCGCTCATACACCTGCCCCTCCCTCACTCAGACACTCAGGAGGCCGACTGAGTACACGTGCCGCACGCCGCGACGACGGCATTGTCGTCATACCTCTGCACGGTGCACTGCCCCGGACGACGTCATGGACGAGCGCACCGCCCTCTAGGATGTCAGATCGGACAGGTGGCGGTGATGAGGGCGATACAATGGACCTCGATGAGCTCGAGGTGGACTGCTTGTCACGTGGAGGCTCGCCACCTCCAATAAACTCGTACCGCCCCCCAAGCCCATATCGGCCCATCAGCCCATCGCCTCTCTCTTCCCAAATTTACCGTCCTGCAAGTCCGCCGTACCGCCCTGTAAGCCCCCCGTACCGCCCCATGACACCCTCATTCCACCCCTACCGGCGCACTCCGCGGCGAACGCATGGGGAGGAAGGAGAAGTCGAACGTGTAGGAAATGTGGCAGAAAACGAAGACATGGATATTGCAGGGACATGCTTCGACCCAACAGGAGGTTTCCTATATGTTGCGACGACGGCTGGTGTTGCTGAGTGGACCGTGCACGGTTCAGAAAAACGTTGGTGGGGGAGTGGACAGTGGGCTTAGTGCTCCGTTTTTGCCTCCCCTCGCGTGTTCCAATGCGCACGTATGTCCTTTCACGATTTTCGGACTTGTTACAGACACTGGCGGTTTAATTCTGCGGGCCACATGTATTTTTGTGCTCAAGTGGTTTTATTTATTACTCTCTTTCTCTTTCTTACTGATCATGTTGTTGTCTTATCTCATCTTCGTCGTCGTCTCTTCATGTCCACCTACCCATGTCATGCTTTTCGTGTCTGGCCGCGCTGTCATGCTCATCTCATGTACCGTACTAGTTGCATTTCTATATTCTGTTTTCTGATGTCTGTATATGTACACACTCACGAACTTGATACCAACCACGCTAGTGATTTCATGATGTATCCATTTCTGCTGTGTATCGCTCTTTCTCGATTTTTAATTTGGGGCTATTCTGTGGCAGAATTTCCGTAGAATTTCTGCGATGGAAAGTGTCGTTGGACAGGTATCGGATTTTGTTCCCGAAGGGGATGTGGCATGTACAGCCTGCCGCATCATCGCTTCGCCCCAGACTCAATCGAAGTTCCAACAGTTCCAACTGACTCGGATCATGTGCCCAATAAAAACATCACCGACGCACCCATCTCAAGTGCATGAGATTATTCACAAGCAACCAATGATAAGGCGCTCAATCGATCCCTTGTCCCTTGCAAGAATCTCGCAGATTGCCAGTCGTTCAATGATTGGACTCGGATCCTATCCAGTTTTTAACGCGCTTAATCCAAGAGCTACTTCAAATCGCGCGATAAGTAAGGGAATGTGGATTATTGATCCCGATTCGCTAGGTATTGCGTCGTGCGAGTAACCCTTGAGTACGCCGTTGCAACGGCCATGGGAATAGAGTTGGAGTTCAGGCGATCTCACTTCATGATGAGTCTAGATCTCATTCTGAACGGATCAATCAGTCACTTCCGTGCTAACTGCGAAAGTTTGAATGTCTTGTCTTGGCATCTAGTTATGATTTTGTTTGGATCGTGCACTCGAGTATCTTGATCCAACCGTTGACTTAATCCGACATTGCGGGTGTCCGTAGTACGTCACATTCTCCATCGATTGCCGTGAAACAAGTCCGACTAAGGTATGGCACTGCGAGTTGGAAGGATAAACATATATACATACCCAATTCAAAGATACTTAGGAGTCCGGGACCCGTGCTGCACTGCGGGCCCGACTCGGATGTACGACATATAGCAACCGTATCATCCCAGAACCTTTTGTATTCTCCTTCTGCCACGGGCGACCAGCGAAGGATAAGCGGCGTGCTTAGCTGATCGAGCTTAGCTAGATTACTTGCAACACAATGATTATGATGTAGGCAGTTGTTTCCTCGACAACATTACGACCTAGACAATCCAGATTGATTTTCGAATCGTCAGTATCCCGCGGACTTTCGCTTGAACTACAGCACGTAGGTTTCCGTGAACATGTTCGCGTGTAATTGCCGCCGCCGGGTGCTGAAGATTTGACGACTGCAGTGTCTGGCATGATGTCAGAATGTTGATGCGCGGGTTCTCCATGGCGAATTTTAGCTTCTGGCAGGTCAAACTGCGGCCCTCTTCTTTCCAGAACTGAATATCCTCGGCCGACCGCCAATGGGCGCTTCACCAACCCGACCAGGGGGTTCGAGGAGGTCCTGTTGGATCAAATCGGATGATCCATAGATGCCAAACCAAGGCGCTTAGACAACGCTTAGAAGACATCAAGCATGCTCCGCGTATCTCACGGTGAAGTACCACCTGGATTGCCTCCATCATTCGAGAACATCGGTTACATAGGAAATTTAAACCTACAAGGCTCATTAACTAGCTCTAATCCGTTTGACGCAAACAGTCAACTAATCTCCGTTGTAAGTGCGTTACTTGCAGTGGGGGCGGTACATCGCGATATTAATATGGATTCTGGAACTCATGGATCAATTATTGACGCATACTCGCCGCGGTGTTGTCATCAACTTAGAGTTAAGAAGTTATACTTACTCGTGAACGCGTGTCGCATCTGATGGATAAACCGTCAGTAAGGCGACGTCGGCGACAGGATCGGTGGGGCAACGACGGAGATGCGAATAGGACGTGCATTATTGAATGGTCAAGCTGTACAATATGCCGAGGTTCAGCGGTCCAGACTCGCCCTCAGTGACTAACATTCAACTTGTGAAGCTGAAAGAGGGGTCATGTTGAATAACTTAGTAAGCGAATGAGGGCTTTCCTTTCGACCAATCAAGTGCTTAGTCAGATTCCTAGCCAAGTTCTTCATCATGAGCACCGACGAAATGACAACAGCTGTGGTGGCAAAACCAAAGCCAGTAAAAAAGCTTAAGCCTGCGAGGAAGCAAGTCAAAGCAGGAGATGTGGAGAGGAAGGAGACCCCTCAGACGGGGAAGGAATATAGTAAGTCAATGATGTTTGTCATAGAGGACTCTTTACGAGCATAATTGCAGATATCTGGTACAACAAGTGGGCTGGAGGCGACCGCGAAGATAACTACTCCAAGTAAGTTTAATGTTTGTTTATCTCTCTATTCATTGTCTGACTCTGCTCCAGCAAAGTAAAATCACAAACTCGGTGCAACATCAAGAAGGACTCAGGCCTGACAAGAGCAAACACAACTGGGATTCGTTATTGTTGTCTATTCTATGCTCGTGGGTGCTGCCCATACGGATGGGAGTGCGACTACCTTCACACTCTCCCCGACCCCGACAATGCATTACCTGATTCGAGTAAAGACTGTTTCGCTAGAGACAAATTCTCGGACTACAGAGATGACATGGGCGGTGTTGGTAGTTTCAACCGACAAAATCGAACGCTGTACGTCGGTAGAATCAAGGAGACCGGTCCAGGTCCGGAGACAGAAGAGATAGTTACGAGACACTTCAAAGAGTGGGGCGAAATTGAACGCAGTACGTTATTGGAAACCTCTCAAGAAACGGCATCTCACAGACGTCCCCTTCTCCTACAGTCCGAGTGCTACAGTACCGTAGTGTCGCGTTCGTGACATATGTCTCAGAGTTCGGCGCACAGTTTGCGAAAGAGGCCATGGCGTGTCAATCTCTCGACAATGACGAAATTTTGAACGTTCGATGGGCCACCGAGGATCCGAATCCAGTGCAGAAGGTGGCAGAAAAGCGGCGGCTGGAGGAGATCGGGCAGGAAGCTATCAAGGCGCGGATGGACCCTCGTATTGTCGATGCCATGCGAGCTGTCCGTGCATTAGAAGATGGGGATATGCTGGATGACGAGGGAGAAGTGGTAGATGACCCGGAATCTGGCGCGATTGAGGACCCAGAGCCAAAACGGCGGCGAATCGACCTGCCGCCGCCACAAGAAGCGACGGCACCTCAGCCCCTTGGTCTGCTGTCTGCCGACACAATGGAAGGTCTCAAGTACTTCGCCGAAATAAGAAAACGGAACGGCGTCTCGCTAGCTATCATAAATCCCAAGACAATGCCTCCGAAACCATTGACTTCAGGGCTGGGAGTGGCGGACTACGGGAGTGACGAGGAAGATTGACGAGTTCAGACTCGGTATCTTGACTGATTTCCGGCCTTGCCAACTGTCCTTTATCTAGTAATTTTCCACACGCTAGAACACCGCCCAGGTTCTTCTAATTGATAACTCGAGCGTGATGCATTGATGAGCGCTCCGGCGTTTCCGCATATAAATTGTAACTTGCCAACCCATTAACACGGTGAAAACCTTCCTTTGCTCCACTCTAGAAAATGTAAAGACATACATAGTCGAAAAGGCTATACCTTTGGTGATTGCGCGCCTTCCAAATCGTGCGAGGTCCATTAGACGGTGAAAATCTTCCTTTGCTCCACTCTAGAAAATGTAAAGACATACATAGTGGAAATATAATAAACTACATATAGATCCATGGACATAGACTTGTCGTTCCGAAGCTTTTGATTGTCCCCGATCATTAAATATCGAGATGAGCTCATTCGCCACTCACTTTTGTAAAAGGAGATTTGGCCTGGCATGTGTCTCTTCTGTGTGGTTGGTTGTCAGGTACCCTGGCCATGTTTATAACCTTCGAAGCTCCGGAAACGGGAAATCACGAGATCAAAATATACCCCAAACCTCATGGCAATTGGCCACCTTACGTCTATCACCGAAAGGCTCTGTAAAGTCTATGCCCAAGAATGCCAGTGGGTGGCCACGTCTTGAGCCATGTGTAATTTCGGAACTATATCTGACCAATCTCCACATTACACGAGTGGTATCGGTGGGTCCCGGGAAATGAGAGATCCTTCTCAAGGCCGTACCGAATGTGGTGGGCGAAGCGAAGCTGTCTGTGTTGTGGCCGCGTCGGAGAACACCTAGACTGGTGACTAAAAACGAAGGAAACGGACCAGAAGAACTTGCGTGATGAATCACTTGCATAAAGATAAGCAACCGGCGAGGGGATTAAGCCCCGTTCGACTCTTGGTGAACAGATAACCGAATGTGAAAATTGACATTCCTCGACGTGCCATTGCGACAATTTCAAGCAGCCTGAGACTGACGATGTGCCTGTTGCTTCAACGAGGACGAGCGCGATCATGGGTGAAACGGGGATCTGCGTGATGGGATTTTCCACCACGGCCCAGTGGAATCTTGAAAATCCAGTCGGTCAATAAGGACTATTCCGTTGCGGGGAACGCCGATGTACGCCAAACGTAATAGCTCTTGTTACGAGACAAGAAAAAGACCCCCTTGAATTCTAAGGCCAACGCAATGGAAGCGTACCCCAATTTCAGGGAGAGATCTTGCCCCGCCACTTTCATCTCGGCTGACCATTTATGATCACTTACGGGTGCTTGTGTGAGTGTGCTGGCAAGCGTGACGTGGAGGGAAATTTCAATCGTGAAACGGAAATAGACGCTATGTAGACGCTATGCTCGTCTGTGCATGCAGCCCTGAGTTGACATGTGGAAAATGCATTGCCACTAAACACGTTGTAAAGTCGCGGCATACTGTTTAGGTATCGGTTGGCGTTGGTTTGGCGGGTGATTCATGAAAAGCCCAACGAAGAATATTCTGAAGTAAATCAGTAGGGACTCTGTATGATTTACTGGAAATAAAATTGGAGGCTGTGAAAGTATGGCATACCTAAATATTGTTTTTTTTTCCATTATCATCGGAAGAAGGCCATGCTGCGGCGATGCAGGTCCCAGGATAAGGAAAGCGGTGTATGCCAGTAATACAACATAATCCGATAAACTGTGCTTATACAAGGTGTTCGTCGTTACGCATCTGTGCGGCTTGAGGGCAATTTTTCATCAACTTGGAATGTGGCAGGTGAAGGATGCATTTCTATATAGTGCTAGCGCGTAGTTGGCCCGTGTGAATTGGTGGATGACTGTAGTGGCTGTGTAAACCGTTTCCTCACCCAAACTCCCAACCATCTACTCTGAACTTCTCTACAGAAAGCACAGCCGTTTGGCTGGTTGGTTGGCCCGTCACATGTTCGGTAGTGTCAAGGCTATCCAAGGAACTTCCATGTAGAGGTTCAAGGCGCTTCACCTCTCATTTCTCCCACTCGCGGTGGTGATTGCGCTCGCATGACTTGTGGGTTACAACCAAGTTATGTGTGCTGATGTCTACAATAGACGTCAAATTTGGCGTTTATCAATTCAACGACTGCTCTTGATATTTTTGGTACCTAGATGCAAACCAAGATCCGTCAGATCTAAACCACATTTCGTCAGATCTTTGTGGAGGCAGGCGTCTACAAGAATTTGCCGAAATTTGGTGAGATTGTATAGTGCCTCAGCGCTGTCCCAAATAGGACCCATTCGCAAGGGGGGGCTGAGCACTTAAATACAATCTTGCGATCCGTATTCTGATCCCAACTCATCACTACAATGTCCTTCACCAACAACATTCCCTCTCATCATATGCACGCCACACCAGTCCCTCACATTCACATAGAATCACCTTCTGGGTCTGATCAAGTGGGGCACGCTCCTTCGCAGTAAGTTTGTTGCTATACTGCCTGTCGTGAACTCTCGACTCATACATCAACTCGCGTAGGCTCGACGCTGACTCCTTTACATACGGCATCTACAACAATGATCCGTCATTCATGTCTTCTACACTCTTCTCTCACGAAGGATGTAAGTCGATGCACTGAATTTGTCTATGCTCAAGCTGAACAGGTTTCCAGCTGAACCTTTGAATCATCCATTATCTTCATTAGATGATTTGAGCAACGAGGGCTTCAACCTCGACGACATTTTCACCGAAACAACTCAACAATCGCAAGATTTGTTTCCTCCGCAATACCTCAGTGGTCCTGATCCGTTTGGATCATCTCAAATGACGATGTATCGGAATGCAGCTGACAATATGCGCCTTATACCTATATTTACGCATACGCCATCGCCATCCTCATCTTATGGCACACTCTCCCCTAGCCCTAGTCATGAGTCGCCTTTGTCTCCATGGTCTGATGTTACTACCCCTTCTTCCGATGGTAGCATGTCTCCTATGATCCCTCAATCAGGTCTTATGCGTCGAGAGAGCTCAGCTTCTCTCGGACACCGCCATACCCCAAGCGACTCCTCATTTTATCTTCAACCCCCGGCTGTCCATAGACACGTTCGTTCACGCTCAGAATCTCATATGACTCGTCCTGTCGCGAGTCAAGCAATGCTTGAAGCCAATCAAAAACGTCGGCGCCACGACGCCACCCACAAGTGCTCCGAGTGTGGGCAGACCTTCACAGCTGTATTTAGCTTGAAGCGTGAGTTCTCTCTGCTGAATTACTTCCTTTACGGTTTCGCTGATATAGATCCGTTAGGTCATATGCAATCTCACAGTGGTGTTCGACCATTCGTCTGCAACATTCATGGCTGTGATCAGGCCTTCTTCAATCAGAGTGATTGCAGACGCCACGAAAGGAGCAGGAAGCGTCACAAAGGTCTCCCCCATACCTTTTCCGACTCACCTTAATCCTGGTGTTATGTCACAGCCCCTTCGCTTGGGTCTGCCAAACTCCCTTGTCGTCGTACATGCCATGTTGGAACTGGATATTCCCTCATACGCATCCGCTCAGTCTTGGATATTCCCGCCTGTTGGAATTGGATATTCCCTCATACGCATTCGCTCGGTCTTGGATATTCCTGGATGTGGACACGATAACCACATGCTCCATCTTGCCCACCTCGTTTCCCACTATGCCAATCTTCAAAGCCGACATACTCAACATCTCATCTCAGTTCGACCATAGATACCATTGGCCCTGCATACCCTAATTTTTTCGGTGCCTTTCACTTTATTTTGGCCTCGTTCTAGCTCCCTCATTCATACAATAACATTTTTTTATCGATTCGGTCCCTTCACTGCCAATTCTTGATAATAATTCTTGCATCGTTTTGCTGTGTTATACCTTTCAGGTGCTGTGCGTTGGCAACCGGCCTTGTCAACGTAATGTCCTTATTGTCTTTTTTCCTTGTTGTACTGCATCCCACTTTGTAGCCTTTTGGTGATAATCTATGATTGTTAAAACGTGCCCGCAACTGCATCGAGCCTGTGCTAAATTGTTTGTGGTGATGTTGTTGGTTTTTTTGGCAACATCACTTCCCGCATATGCTACTTTAACAATTGGTTTGGTGAATCTCGTAGGGGGGACGTAATTAGAAAGCCGTAAGACTTCATAGTACTGCATAGCAACATTTCGAGACTGATAAGCACCCACACACATGGCACCGATGGGACACAATCACCACAAAGTTTTTGCCGAGTTTAATCATTGGCGTCGGTGATCATTCACAGCGCTAGCTGCAGCATGGGGTATGTACGTACACCGTAATCAAGAAACTCCCCCGCGGACGCGCCCGTTACACGGGTGAGCTAGCTGAGCGCTGACCATTCTTATGCTAGAACCTGCACAGCAGATTAATAGCGGACTCAATGATACAGCAACCCCCAATGCACACGCAAGCCCAGGCCGGAGGCTATAGAGACTTGCACTTATCCAGCTCAAGCTCAAAATTCGTTTCGTCATACTAGTATGTGAAAGTCGACAAATTACATGGCATCTCGTCCCCCTCCGCGGATCCGATCGCCCCGACCCGCGATACATACCCCCGTCGATTAAGTAGCTCGTTCCATGCAGTCTGGAATCTGCGCACAGCAGATCAACAACGTATAACATTCACATCGTGGGGTATGTACGCCGCACACTGTGGCCGGCGGCCCGGGCCCGTCAGTGACCCGCGGACGCCCGTCACTTTCAATGATACAGTAGCCCAGTGCAAACACAAGCGCAGGCCCGAGGCAATAGGGACGTGCACCTAAGTTCAATCTCACTGGCAACATCCGCATCCGTTTCATCATATGTTAAAGTTGACAATAACATGTCTCGTCTCCCTCCGCGGATCTGATCGCCCCACCCGCACGATACATACCCCCGTCGATTAAGTAGATCATTACTTTCGGGCTGCAATCTGCACCGTGACAGCATAATCATATCAACAGCGTACCGATGGCGTCACATGTCGACCCGACTCGACGTCGGTTGCAGACCGAGGTTATTAAAAGGTTCGAAGTTGGACTGCGCTTGCGCTTGGGTGACAGAGTTGACATGTCCGTGACAGTCTGTCTCGCTCCGCGGCTCTGTCTCCGTACATAATGCGCGACAGGGGACGTTAGGTCAACAAATTCTTGCATTACCGCAGCTGAAAATGGGTGAACCCTGAAAAGGGAAGTATTGTCGTGAAATCCGTGACATCGCTGTAATCGAGGACAACAGACCAGTGAAGGCATGATGGAGAGTCGGGACCTATTATTCAGTAGCCAAGACCCTAAGAGCTACCAGACCAGACAATCGTCCTAGGCGTCCCGTTGACGAGAGCATCGTGTTGTGGCGGGTTTCCAGGTTCAAATTTCAAATTTCAAATAGTCCAACAGCCAAAAATCTTGCCGTAGTGGATTCATATCAGTATGCATTTGTCGTGAATGGGCAGAGAAACCGCCACACTACGAAAGATGACGTTCTTTAAGTCCACGGAAATCATCGGGATTTGCAAACTGAATCGTAAACAAGATAATCTTCCCTTTGCGCACTAAAAATATTCGTCATGGCGTCTGGGAGACAACAAGGCCCAAACTGAGTGTCACTGACGGCAGGAGGGTGCCATCCATCTTGCAAGGCGCAATTGATTAGACCTAGTAGTATACAAATTGATTGAAATTCAAGCGTGTTAGAGAAACAGTGTCAAAGATACCGACCGTCCAGAGCGGCAAGCTCCCGATTTACATGGCGACATAGCCATACTTCCTAGCATGAGGCTAAGCAGCTTTCGTGTAAGCGACAGCAAGACACAACGTATTAGAAGACTCACAGAAACCAGGACGATGTTGTCTTCACCGATCATAGCCGCCTCCCAGTTGTGAGGTGCATTGCTTGGCATCATATCTGCAATCGCAACACGGCCAGGAAGATAAGTGAACACTTCTTCATCAAAGGCGGAACACCGCGAATTCAGCGACTGCGCCATTCCTAAGCGCTTCCACGGAAGCTTCGGTTCCGTTTTTTGTTCATTTAGAACATCCCTCCTCGCTGAGTGCTTGTTGAAATCATACACTCTTGCACGATTTCCTTGATTCCATCGCAGAAGTTGGACGAACTTCATGCCGTAGACGTAGCAAACCCAGGCGTCGGACGGGCTGCGAAGGAGCATATGAGAGCCATTTGGGCCCCATTGCGTCCATGGGACAATACGCTTCGGTGCATCGTGGGACGATTCAACCTGGGCCATGACAGTGGATAATGGAACGATAAGCACAGTACACTCTTCGGTGGAATTGATTTCGGGAGAGACTCGCATGGTGATGGTGAAAATGCGGTTACTGCGAGAAAAGAAGAATGGAGGTTGGACAGACTGCGAAGGGGACCATCCTGGAGTCGGCTCGGATCGAATCAACATGTCCATGACTTCGGCCTTCATCTTTGGATACTCCAGGCCACAAATGTAGCTGACATCCTTATACTCCAATGCCTCTTCGCCGAGGCTGTCGATACTGAGGATGTCCAGACGGGGGGGCGTTTCGTCATTCAACACGACGGCGACCAAAAGCAAGTCTTCTGTGACGAAAGAAAAAGATCGGAGGTCTGTGTCTCGAATGAACTTAAAGCGACTCTCAATAACCAACCTGCAGCAGTAAGCGTGGAAGACGTACGAGCTTCTGTTGACCCGATTTCCAGTCCCAGACCACTAGCTGAGAGTTAGGTTCATCCCCGTGTTCTTGAAACTGTACTGCAAGGCGGGAACCGCAAACTTGAATGAGGAATTTGAATTCCTCATGCATGTCTGATGGCAGGTGCGTCACGAAGGGCACGGCAGACATTGGATGATGCTCGCCGGTCATTAGAGTTCTCAGGTGTATGTTGCATGACAAGTTCGGGCTGCGCCACAGTATCAGGTGTGCCTCTCACAACTTGCAAGCGTTGAAACGTACATGGCACCTATTATTTCCACAGCGACAATCAAGTCCTGGGACACATCGACGGTGAAATCTCGAATCTCAAATCCCAAGTCATTGATAGTCCATTCCCGCTCGGGAATGTTTTTGATTTTGCAGGGAAGTTGTACGCATGTAAGCCCTGACCGCATAGCTTGACACAGTACTCCCCCGGACAATTCCCAAGCATGACCGTCCTGCATGTCTATGAGTCCGGAGTTTGGAAAAGATAGCTTGTTCCAAGCCTGTTGGTACTCTCGACAGGCACGAAGGCGGCCAGCAGTATCAAGATTACAACGGCTTCCATTCTCCAACTGTCCGAAAAACAACTCGATTTTGTAGAGAAGTTGCACATTGTCGGTGATCACTGAATGAAACAATTTGCACACCTGGAATTCAGCGTGAGCAGCAGGTTTGAGTAGGACGCGATGTGTACATACTTGTTTGCATCTCAGAAGGGATGCTACATCGAGTTCATCGAAAACTATAGCGATCAACTCGTTGGGAAGACTGAATGCTGTCTCAACGTTTCCCTGCTGGTCGGTGTCCATGACATAGGCTGAAGTTGACCCTTTGTCACTGAGTACTGAAGTCAATTCAGAGTTTTGTGTGAGTTGCACTATGGTGAATTCAACGAGAAGTTTTATATGGGGCAAAATCGTTTGTAACACTTACCGATCACGCTGGAAAGACCTTGTCAATGAAAGATTCAATCGCCGGTATGATCAATGACAACGTTCTCCTAAGTACTCAACACCTTTTCCCACGGTAACATTCCACTATGGTCACGTGCACAAACCAGGTCAAAGTCTTTTCACACTCTGTCGCTTGGGTGTTAGACCAGTTTGTACTGTGGGTCCCGACTTTGGGCGTCTTGTCGTGTTTCTTTCACCACAGGTGATTCTAGCAAGAAAGTAGCACCGGAGAAATTTATTCTAGTACGATATAAAAATTTATAAGCATACTATCACCTTCAAGATGGCTATATCTCACTATGGGAGTGAGCCTTATATGCACAAAACTGCCTCGAACACTGATAATTCAACCATGCAACGAGAACTACATTGCCATATGTAGTATGTCATGGAGAACCTACATGCAACATACATAAGGAGAATTCCGGGCAGAATTGTGTGGGCTAGAGTCAATGCGCGAACTCTAGGGATACATGAACTCATGGAACTATCTAGTAGGGGTAGAAAAGTACGTATGACGCCGAGGACAACCTGTAATTCTCCTGCGCAACAGAATATGCTTGAGATGAGGTGTAGGTGCAGCAGCGACAGGCAGAGTCAATATTTATCTGTATCATCGGGCACTCTCTGAATCACAGGCATGACAACGTGTCTCATTCCCTCTTATTCCGTGTATGTGATCAAGGGATACTCGCAACATGGATAAAAGTGAGAACAGCCGCAGCTCAGGATGAGACTCATAATCGAGCTCGTTGGTTGAGGGCCGATGTCATATGTACACCGCTATTTTTTAAAAGAATATCAGCATAAAAAGCCATGAAGATGACAGCAAACTCACGCAGAAGTACAACATTACCTGCTTCCCTGGATTACGGAATAAATGGTGACTAGCAAAATCGGAGAAGTGAGGACAGAATATCCCACAGCAGCTGCGCACACTGCATTGGGAATATCTAGTGTTCCACCTGGAATATGACAAAGGATGACCACGCCTACGCAGCTAGAAGCTACCGTCGTGGGGAGACCGGCTGTAACGAGAGCTAAACATATCAGGGATGTCACCGCTTGCTGGGATGCAGCAAATGATATCATGATAGGGAGCAGCAACCCATTGACGATGGCCCCTCCCACTGCACCGACTTTGGCGGTGGAATGTATGGAGACATCGAACCCACTCAAGTAGGGTTGAAGAATACTATGCCCAACGATCATGGAACTGAATGTTCCAATAGCCCCGAATCCAGCGCACAAGATGAGAGCGACCATAAACCTGCGCAGAGAAAAAGCGATGCGTTGGTGGGGCGATCTGTCACCCAAACTGCTGCCGATCCCTGATCCATTTTGGAGTTCAATGTCCAGAGGTTTGACGTTGTGACCCGTAGAGGATGGTAACCAAGACATTAGCGTGGCTGGTCTATCGGACGATGGAGGGCAATGATCTATATTCTGTGGAGCTTTATACTCGTTGCCCGAAACGAGTCATCGGCACACCCAGCCACCTTTTTACAAAAGCGGGCTTTTAGCGCTCAACTTCATGGCAGAGTAACGGTGGCCCTATCCACGAAAGCGGACCCGAGCCATTGCAATGACGCGGAATAGAGTGTGGCAGTCAACGCTGTACACTCCCAAGCAGAAGTATCCTTGTTGAGTGATCGCTGGCTGTCGGTGCCGAACCACAATTAGCCACGGTGTCTACAGGAATACAGCATTTATTGATGTCCAAGGCACATAGCCCATGTCAAGCCGCGTCTGGAATCTAGCGAGAGAGCTGAAACCGACACTATCAGTTCGTAGTCTCCCCTACTACGCAGACCAAATAAGTAGAAGGGTATTCGTTGTTTTAAGTGGTACGTCGTCGAGCATCGTTCCGTGCGTATTCTGAAGTGTACGTTCTCTAGGCGCCCTCGGTGCAAGTTGCACCGCATCAAAGCTCGACCGTCAGCTTGTCGTGGCCTGAAGAATACAGCTGACTCGAAACTTGAAGACCCAGAATCGATATGAGCGAAGGGGCGTCCATGAAAAGACTCCGCGATAAAGCGGAGGCAAATTTAAGTAAACGAGGGAAAGTTACGATAGTTTTCACTTCTAAACTTGATTCGGAACATGCGAAGACTAGGTGGAGCAGAATTGTGCTTGTGGCTTCACGGATCTTGGCCATAGGCTAACCACGGAGGAAAGCCCTAAACTCCGGGTCGTCGATAGGACTTTAAGCGGAGAACCATCCTCTCCCTTGGTTGTCAGCGCGACAGTTCCAGGTTTAACACAAGCCTTGAACGCAGGCGGCAGTAGACTCGATGCGACGCCGGGGTCCTGACGACCATTTTATTTACCTTGCTGAAGAACGCGATTTGGAAGATGGACCATAAAACACTGTCGTCTCGCAGACTGACCAGTCTGCGATCTGTCGATGATACTAATATTGATAAGCTAGTACTAGGATTGCAAATAGAGTTAAGCTTGTGCGGTTGTTTGGCTACACCTTCTGAGCCAAACATACATCTAGTACGAGTGTGAACCGATTCCCGAATTGAAAACTCCAACGTCACACAGCTCTTCTAGGCTTGTTTCTGCGTGCTGCTCTCGTTCGCGCTGATAAGCAAGTCATTATCAGAATAGTAACGGCTGCCTCGTGCCCGATTACCGGGTTCTCTAGATTGAGCCTGCACAACCCAAGAAGAAGATGGCATTAACGTCGCGGTATTTCTCCCCCGCACTCTTTTTTCAAGTTCCTTTCTGAATTTAAGATCCCGGCGAATGCGGACCTTACTGAACTCTATATAACCTGACTCTATGTCCAACTTCCCGAATAATTCCCTGGTGACGAGCACAGGAGCTCAATATGTCTGCATCCAGCACAGAACAGTCTTTGCTCGCTCAGTTGACGAAGCAGGGCTTTCAAATAAAATCCTCTCGGCAACGAAGCTTAGGTGCTCATCCGGTACACATTGTGTCGAAATCGTAACCGTTGTGACAGCACTGACAGTGCGTTTTTACAGGCTTTTGAACTCTCACTAGCAGGCGGTCAAACCGTCTTCATGTGGTTGCGGCCCACCTCTTCTGACTCCAATTGCAGTCAACGATTCTTTGAGAGTGAGATCGGTCTCATCCACTGGCTTTCCACACACTCCGCGGTGCCCGCGCCCCACCTTTTGCGTGTTCTGCCAACTAGCGCCGAAAACCCTCGGAATGCTTTCGTAACGCGGGGCATGACTGGTGAACCCATCCAAGACCTATACCCGACGCTCTCTTCACTGGCGAAGGTTTGTCTTCATATAGTCAATTGCTTTATCCGGGTGTTTGACAATGTTTTAAAGGAGCAACTCGTGCGGTCATATGCGGATTTCGCACTGAAGTTGTTCGACATTGATGTCCCACAAACGATCGGCTCTATCTCTGTCAGGAGTTCCCCGGCTGAGCTCGTCGTAATACCGCGGATTTGCCGTGCTAATCACGCCCATACCTCTGAGGTCTTTCCCACTTTGCAAAAATACCTCGAATATCTTTCCACGTTGAAGAAAAGACGAGCATTCACTTTAGACACAGCGGACGAAAATAGGTTCCGAGCGCAAGCATCCATATCGCAATTAATCGCGCATCTGCGGAGGCACCTGATCCAACTTGATGAACGGTGTGTTCGTCTCCTAGTACTAGCACACGACGGGCTGGGAGATATGAATCTCATGGTCGATTCCTCCGGCAACATCACTGGTATCTTAGACTGGTGGATGCATTCAACATTACCTGCTATACTTGCTGCGGATTATCCCCCCTGGCTAAGGTATGACGGAATCAACGACCCTCGATTTGCTTCTCCGAGGAAATTGTGGCTGGAAACACCGGAAGAAAGCGCAAGACTCCGAAGAATATACCAGGATGTATGACTCGCCTTTCCTGATAGGCTCATATTTGCTCACACAGCCACTGTGACAGGCTGTAAAAGATAACGACCTTTACTACACAGCGCTAATGCAAGGTGCTCAGTTACGAGCGGCTGTGGGTTGGGTATTTGACATTGAAGATGACCCAAGCTGTGCAAGAATGAGACAGTGGACCCTGAGTGCTTTTGGTCCCCCAATTCGAAGCCCTTCAGCACTCGACGATAGTCGGTGCATCGTGACATAGCTGCTGGATCTTTTATCAGTTGTGTAGACACATTTTAGATAGCTCTTCTCCTTCGATGTCTTTCATTATGCAAATTGCTTTTCTCGTTTCTCTTCTGTTTCAAAAGTTTTATGCGAGTGTTCAGCGAAGCTCTGTACGTGACTTCTTGCTCACGCTCGATGACAATGCGAATTAGCCATCTCAATGTCTTGATAATGATCTAATGATCTAAACAGGAACATGCGATAACTGCTCTCCACAATAAGTTAAGCAATTGCTCATTCTAATGGTGGTGAGCGTCATGGTGTTCCACACCCTGGAAATCAAGTGCGTAGACTGCAAAATTTTAGCATGGATTGGACAACGAAAAGCCAAATACTCACCAGAGCCGCATTCAGGGCAACGGCGGTTTTTCTCTTTCTTGACAGTAAACCAGTGCAATTCATGACTTTCGGCCGGCACACCAGTGCATCCAACAATGCGTGACGTGTCCTAAAACGATTGAATTTTGTGAGACGACACAATAGATTGTCACGATGCAAAGCATACCAGTGAGAAGACTTTGACCGGGTCTTCGAGGGTGCCCATGCGACTCGAGTCAAGAGGCTCCAAGTCGAACGAATCAACACCCTCCATCTCCCCAAGAAGCTGGAAACGCTCTAGACCGGTTGCTTGTTGCTCATCGGAAGGAATTTCACCGGGTTTGGCACCCTCTCCAAAGAGTGAAGGTGGGGCGGGACCCGAAAAACGAGGAGTGGTGGTGGAGAGAGCGCGGAAAGTGGTGGAAGGGGTCGACCTGCGCGCACTACGCACGACGACGGGGCGGACGGCACGAAGGGCGGCGTTGAGCATGATGTGCTATGAAGTTGAGGTGCGGGTTGGGAGCGTGACTTGGAAAGTGTCTGTGTGACGTGTGACGACGTGACATGCGCCCGTCTACCTCCGACAGTCAGTTCGACGACGCTGGCTTTCAGTCTCTTAGCATTATTGCTGCTCTTCAGAGTCAGAACATTTAATCCGTGCCCAGGCATCCTCCTGTCAGTCAACGTTGCAACGACAACATGAGCTGGCTTTGAGTCTCTTAGCATTGCTGTTCCTCAGAGTCAGAATATTCAATGTCCGTGCTCAGACATCCTCTTTAACGAACGTTCAACTTTACCCCAGTGGTGGTAGCCCTTCACATTGCGTAGCAATCGCAGGGTACCTACAGCTGGCCATGGTGGCTTCACCTGAATCACCCCATCTTACCCAGCCCAATGAGCTTATTGCGATAGTCCTTCGCCTCTGAGCCCGACTGCCCGAATACTTCTCTAAATCAATTCGGTCCCGTACTGAATCTGCTTTCCAAAAAAGGAAGGTGTTTACGAATGACGTTGGGCTAGAATTTGTTTTATGCCGTGAATGTCAAATAAACTGGCAAAATGCCGTCTCACAAATCTACAAGTAAAATACTGCGAGACTAATCGTGACGCATTTCCTTTTCCTCCACGCTCACAGGCGAAACTCGCGTCCAAGCTGTACCTCGCTCGCCATGTCTGCTGAACCCTCACCGGGATCCACAACGCTAGACATCTTGCGGGCGTACAGTTATCCTCCGTCTCCTTCATCTCCGGACGCGACATCCATCAATAGACGACCAGATATTAACCCATCTCTCCGGCCACCAGATTCTAGACTTTCAAGTGCTTCATGCAGTCCAACATCAATTCTGTTCACTGCAGACAAAATCTTGTTAGGGCCGAGCGAGACTAACGAATCACCCTTTCGGTGGAATCTACCTTCGCCTGTGGATCCTGAGGAGAGCGGACCGCCACCACCCGGTGACGGAAAGGGACAGGAATCCACAGCACACATCTGGCAGGGCTGGAGAGTCGTTGTCTTTGGCTCATGTGAGTTCATCACGGTGTACTTATCCCTTACTTGTGTCAAACTTGACGATCGTAGGGTTCAACCTTTTGTTGTTGTTGATCCCTGTGTCTGTAAGTGACCACCTTTACACATCCCATCTGGTTCGTTAATTATCGCGTCACTGTTTCAAGTGGACATTAAGCTTCGTGCTCGAGAAGCATCACAAGGTTATTTTTATCTGTAAGCTTTGGCGAATTCTTCTTGAAACATGAAATGACTCTTTCAATAGTCAGTACCCTGTCCATGATTCCTCTTGTAAAGGTATGATATACACTCTTCCATCGGTCAACTGAATTGAGGGTTCGTTCGTTAGCTTCACGATCTTTCCACTCGTGAGCTGGCACTTCGTATTGGAGGCACGAAGGCTGGTTTGCTTAATGCAAGTATGGTGCGTCATTTTCCATTAACGATTGAATACTCTTGAACCTCTAGTTATGCAGAGCAATACGTGAGTTTAGGCTCCTTGGCTGTTGACAGCAGTGTTAACGCGTACATCTCACAAGTGTCGAGATGGTCATTGCGGTAAGCGCTTAACAATTATACGTGAGAATCCGCTGAGCTGTTTCAGATCACCGCCCTCAGGAAGTGTGAACTAAGGGTTGTACAGTCTTCGCGTAAGTTCTGCAATGATAGCCGAGAATTTGATCTGATACTCGCAGTAATCGGTTCGATTTTGAGCAAACTACGTACGTTGTGAATGTCACTGCGTTATCTAATGACCATGCTCATATTTTTAGTCCTTGTCCTCGGGATGTGCTTTTTTGCAGGCGGGCTTCGCTTCTCTGAACAAGGATTCGACCAGAGTAAGGTCATATATATGACATCGATGCCGAGATAGCTAACAGTTCACTCAGCCGCTACGAAGATACATTCATCGCTTCTAAGTATCAGCGTTGGGGCTCTGCTCCTCCCTGCTGCGTATCACTTTGCAATCAGCGGCGGAAAGGATTCTGGCTCCTTTGAGCAAAGGAATGATATTCTGAAGATGAGCTATGGAGTAAGATTTGCTTGGACTTTGCTAGAATCCGGTCTGATCGAATCACCGTAGGTCTCGATCATACTCATGTTTAGTAAGTCCTTGGTTTGTATTTTCATTGAGGACCACTTACGATGCACGTGGGCAGTTTACATTGCATATCTTCTCTTCCAGTTCTGGTCCCACAAGCATCTGTATAAAGATACAAAGCTTAAGAGTAGCAGATTATCGGTCAAGATACCAGTCAATTCGCGTTATCTGACCGAGATGCTCTCTGCATCCATGAACCTGAACGACAGACCTAGTAGCATGCATGATGGCCAAAGTTCGACTTCGAGTTCTCGACGTGTTTCAATGATATCTTCCAACTTCCCTCCGCTGCCTAGATTTCCCTATAGGAACTCGCCATTGAATTCTGCCTCCGAGGTCACGCTGACAGGGAGCAAGGAAAATCTTCCGAAAATGACTAACCAGGGGGTTACACAAGAGTTCACAAACCGGTTGGTCGAGGAAGCGTTACGGCAATCTACGCAACCCGAGCACGATCAGGAAGATGGCAGCACCATTGGCCCCTTCAATCCGCCTTGGAGCGAATCAACGACACCATCCGCCGTTAATACCAGTCCCTTTCGATACGCCTCACCAGAGCCTATGACCATCTCTGAACGTGTCAATCTGCAGAGGTCGCCATCAGCGGCGGAAAGTTTCAGAGAGCCGCAGCTTAGCTGGATGGTCACTCTTCTGCTATTGACATTGGTCACTATTGTAAGTGATGAATCAGCTCGAGTGAGTACCTGTCGACGCCTCCTCTAGACAGTGACTATCACTGCTGAAGATCTTGTGGAATCCATGGACGGCATCTCAACGACGATTAGCAAACAATGGGTTGGTCTTGTCTTGCTTCCTGCAGTCAGCTCTATCGCAGGTATATACTGGAAACTCCTGATTTTCGGCGTACTTTGACACGTCGACTTTGCAGAATGTGTAACTGCCGTCAATACTTCTGTGAAAGACCAGCTCAATCTGAGCGTGAGTATCGCTGTCGGGTCGTCGATAGTAAGTCTGCTTCACTGTTTCTTGCATGACGACGCTCATGTTAGCATAAGCAAACCACTCTCTTGGTTATACCGTAAGTGCTCGTCATATCTGACATGTTGCTGATGCTGAATCCTGGGATAAGGTTCATGGTCACCCTTGGATGGATCATAGACAGGCCGCTGGCTTTACTATTTGACCCGTTTGAGTCTGTGGTAAGTGTTGTTCAATCCATCGGTCCAGCTATAGCTAAGCAAATCTTTAGGTTCTCTACGTGTCAGGTATTCCTACCTTTCTATGAAATACGCGACCTGCGCTGATCATTCTCTCACGCAGTACAAACCATGAGTTTCGTGGTCTCGGACGGGAAATCAAACTGGCTAGAGGGTATCATCCTGATCTGTAAGGAGGCTCTGTACCGCCTGTGGATTGTCGCGCTAACATTCCTGCAGGCTTGTACGTCATCATAGCCGTTTCCTTCTGGTTCTACCCTGGTGAGGTCAACAGTCACCCGACGCCCTGAGATACTGATCCATCCTCCACAGTTGCCTCGAGCCTTCCGAGCGAACTTGCTATCTGCACTGGCCGGTAACGACGATGGTCTTTCAACACAATTTGTTTTTTTTTCTACTTTGGGATTGTGTTTGCCCTGTAAAGTAGATGTCCACTCTTTGAAGTATATCGTCTGTCGTTTCACCTTCCCATTCACTCTACGGAACTCTCATTTATTTACTTCACAACCTACTTCACAACCTATTTCACACTCTACTTCACACCCTACTTCACACCCTACTTCACACCTTACTTCATACCCTGTATTACACATGAACTATCTTCGACAATGGAATATCTACCCGATGTACTTTAGATAGTAGTTGAATAGAAGCATCGACGGTCGTGGCTGCCGCCCTATTAAGTTCCTGAACCCTAGGAAAAAGTAGGTGTTCATCGGCGGAACTTGCTGAATGACGGAGATGAGATCATGCTGGTGTGTACATGTGGCCAAAAATGTGCTCAGTGAGGATACAAAAGTACGAGCATTCAAGCAAATAGTTGAAGTCAAATAACCATAAAGCCCTTTGGAAACACTACAGTACAAACCCGTCAAGATTTCATTAGAAAGCCCGAACTTCACCCTGCACGACGAAAAATTCCGCAATATTTCTCTCGCGCTCGCCGACCTGGCCTTCAGCAACCTTCGGCAATACTTTGTTTATCCAACTGTCCCCGACATATATGCGCTGCCGCCTGCCATATCTGCTGGGAATCTCTTCTCCCTTGGCAAACACCTTGAATGACGGCTCCACCAGGGGGGCGATGAGATCGCGTTCCTCGGACGACATCAAACGAAGTTCAGCGATGTCCGATAAATTGACAAATACTGGTTGGCGAGCTTCATCTGAGAGGTAGTGTACTGGGGGTTGACGCACAGGTCCCTGTTGCTGCATTGGGATGACAGACGCTCTGATGTTACCCCAAAGGGTTCGGCGACCCGTGGGAGGTATCAAGGGTATCCAGTCAACATCCGTTTCATCCATCCCTACAGTCTGCTTCTCCCATCGATCCCTCTCGAATTCATCATCCCATGGCTCTGATGGGTCGGGCCTGACATTGAGATCCAGACTGAAAACATGCCCCAGCTTCTGATAGTATGTTAAAAAGTCAGGAACGGTATGTTCGCGTCCCACATAGAAGGTCAACGAAATAGGTTCGGAGGACGTGGTGGATAAGTAGCCCTCGTGAGTGAAGTCTGCAGGACCCGCCGCGAATTTGATCTTTTGACATGAGTCCACAAAAGGTTGGCGCGATTTATGGATGGGGACTAGTGCATATATGGATCGCAAATATGGCTGTAATCGGTTCTTGAGCTCCTGACGATTCCATTCGATGATACTCGGACCACCAGGATGTGCACACAACTTCACCGGAATGTCCGTCCGATTCGTGTATCCCGTCCGATACACAATAGCGGTGATATTCATGTACGAATCTAGAAAAAGTGGGTGATCAGGTAACCAGGCTAAGACTTTCGTGAGCGTGGAACCCACTTTGATAAACGTGACTCCCGTCAGGAAAAGACACTTCAACTGTGTAATTGCTGCGCAATGCGTCTGCCGATTGATCATTATTGAAAGAGCTTGCCAAAGACACATTTAAGGGGGGCGCGTCATTTTCAGTCGGGAGGGAGGACGGAGTAAAGGCTGTCATCCCCGCTGGAACGTTCACTAAATTGCTGCCATTGCTGAACCTGATTTCGACAAAATACTCGTAAATCGATTCGCTAGAAATTGTCTGCCATGACATTGAGTACAAGACAAGCTCGATTAAAACTGTTCTTACATCATCCTCCGACATGGGGTTCGTTACAACCATACTATGACGGTAGTCTAATCCTGGAGGGTAGTTGGTATTAGGCACAAGTATTCCGAACCGAGTCGTGATGGTCGTTGGCAATGGATCTGTGCTCAATGTTAAACTCTGAGTCTACTCCAGCATTCTCGGCCCATACCTTCCTGTTCTGCATCGACCAAATGGTTCTTGATCTCGAAGGCAATCTGTTCTTCCTCGTGGACAGACCAAAAGGTCTCATTCATGAGAGACTCGTGGTAGGCCTTCAATTCTGTAGAGTCGTAGTGCGGAATCCCAGTGATCTGGTAGTCAGACTTGTTCTTGAGTGGTGGTTTTTTCGGAATTGGCGCATCTTCCCGTCTGTGAGGGATATTCAGCGAACCTGTGCTGAGTACATGAGATAAAATAGCACACCTCAACCTCCAGAAAATCTTTTCCTTATACCGCAAGCCCAGCACATAGCTCTTGACCTTAGTGCATGGTCCACTGAGTTTGATCCTGACGTCGCCTGCGATAACATCGCCGGGAACCATGTCGGGTGCTCTTACCCAAGCACGGGCTCCGCACTGGGATACTGCATCGCTTGGATCTTTAGATTCTAGAGTGGTGCCAGCGAACACGACGCTTGTTGCCAAGACAAGCGCGAGGGATAGCCAGCGCAACATTGCTGGGGAACTGTATAAAGATCAGAAGACAACGATATTGGCTCGGATTGGCCTGTCTTTGTGGTCGATGACGGCGTCTCTTTGAGAGTACCTTGAGGGAAAATGGGCACATTCAGGCCACGCTGTCAGAATTTCTTTAGCTATCTGTGGTACCGTTCTGAATCATATCTGTCAAAACGCAGCTCCGCATTGTGACAAGTATGCATCAGAAAGACACAAGTACATCAGCCTGGTAAGACACAAGAAGTGATATGGTTTGCTTGCAAGGGGGCTACAGCGGCGAAAGGGCCGCAACTTGATTGCATCTAGTAGGGTCGTCTAGTGAGTTGCTAGTGTGGCTCAAAAGTGCCCTTGAAACCGGCCACTGGCCGCCGCCGCCGAGTCAAAGACTGACATGACCGATGCAATTTTTCGTCTTGATAGTCATTTTCATTGTGATTTTTGTCCATATGCATGCGACTGACTCGGAGTCGGACCACGCACTTCAAGTTGGCAGCTTCGAACGTCCTACTGACGGCCTGCTGGTGAGTTTTGATGAGAAAGGACGAGACTATATTCTAAAACTAAGTTGCGTCTTGTGAGAAAGACGCACTAGCCTGAGTACAGTCCTTTCCGAAAGTCTTGACTCACGTGTTCGAAATGGTTCAAAAATAGTGAAAATGTCGAAAATTCATTTAATTCAGTTTCGAGTTTTGTATGCCTCTGAACGGCTTCAAAAACATCATATCACACAAGTTTCTCACTCAGACTCGCCACGGTCTACCAGAGGATCAGTCGTGATCGGAAAGAACGAGCCCTGTGCCTGCTTTTGGAGGAAGGATGGGACATTGAGCGCATTGCTGTTGCTCTCGGAGTATCGTCAAGAAGTATAGAATGGTGAGAGACAAAATCATGATGAACATGGACGTGTTGACCCTCCCACATCATTACGGGTCGCCCTCGCTTGCTGCATCAAGTTTATGACAGACGAGATCCACGAGCTGCTAGCCGAAAACCCGTCACCGCTACTTGACGAGATCGGCGAATGGCTCGCCATATATCACGATCAGCCAATATCAACAACAACTCTCCACGAAAACCTCGGGGACCTTGGTCTCACCTACAAACGCTTGAAGAGGATCGCGGCCGAACGTGATGACGGTTTCCGAGCGGATTGGCTGCACGATATGACAGCCAACTATACAGTTGAGCAGCTCGTGTTCCTGGGCGAGTCAAGCAAAGATGACCGCACCATATTCCCTATAGCCAGTGTCTAAATTTTCGCTGATCGAATCCGCTGTAGTTGCCCAACGGCATTGGAGAGATCTCCGGCACAGCCCATTCCCTGAGCAGGACCTTCATGAAGCTTGCTTCAGGGCTGTAAATGTTGAAAATGCTCGAGGCTAGTATAGGCATAGTGGCTATCTGCAACAATATCATGTATGATGGATGTATCAACTGTACATGTCCATGGATCCTTCCTCCAAAAGCAGGCACAGGGCTCGTTCTTTCCAATCACGACTGATCCTCTGGTAGACCGTGGCGAGTCTGAGTGAGAAACTTGTGTGATATGATGTTTTTGAAGCCGTTCAGAGGCATACAAAACTCGAAACTGAATTAAATGAATTTTCGACATTTTCACTATTTTTGAACCATTTCGAACACGTGAGTCAAGACTTTCGGAAAGGACTGTAACCAGTTGCATAACTCAGTATCACTCCAATGAAACTTGGTTTCTATCAACCATCTCACAGTGTCTCCGTGTTCCGGAGGCGGCGGTGTGTTCCAACTTTTGCGACATTTTAACAATGATCCGATGGCAGTTAATCAATGCGACACTAATTCTCCAGCTGGATCTTCATTGAATCGCTCAGTGCATAGCGACATGATCGGGCGTGGCTATTTTGACGCGGTCCTGCCGCGCCTGCCGCGGTCGTGACGCGGCATTGACTCGGACGCGGCACCAACGAACCTTGACGCGGCCACTGCTGACGCGGATCAAACCTTTGATACTCTACTAGTACTGCCTAGGCCTTCACATTCTCTATGGAAGTCAAGCTGTCATGTTCTGAATTTCATTCGTAAGTGGTAGCAAGACTCTTTGTTCGCAACCATCTGATGCTAGTTGGACAGCATCGAGGTAATCTCTGACGGCATCAAGGTACTAGTAGGCATATAAAGGTTCTTTGCATGCATTGCAGTACAGACGACCCTCACGAATCACTCGATACCACTTTCCCATTGCGAAATATTTATGCTCCTTCATCTTGATCACAAGGTGACTAGTACCTGCAATTGACCTCCCTAGAAACTTTCGTTCAGCTTGTCCAAAGACATTGGTGACCGTAATCATGGGCATAACTTTGGACGAAGCTTCACTCCTAGCTTTGTTCCTAGAGACTTTGTTTTACGGTGCGTTACCGACCTCTGGAAGGGGTTGTCATGTTCAATTTCTTTTCTCATATAGGCGTATTCCTCACGTTATACTGGTTAACGCTGTTCATTCTGCTCAAGAAATGTGGTGTTCAACGGGACCTCCTTCTCCCAGTAGCAACCTTGCTGCTCTGCATTGCAACGGCCGTAAGTGTCATTACACCCATTGGAAAAGTAGTTCAACAAGGTTGTTGTTAGCATCTAATTATCGATTTTATTCGAGCACTCGAGGCGTTCGTATTCAGTGTGCATACAATCAGTGCAGATGCCTACTACTCCAACCTCGCTTCACCGTTGGAACTCACAAAAACCGCACTTTACATCACGCAGCCCACTATCGCTGATGCTGTCCTCGTGAGTTTCTTCACTTGGCATGTGGTTCTCCCTCTCACTAGGGTAGTAGGTTTGGCGATGCTATGTGCTCAGCCATAGAAGCCTCTTAGTTGGCATTCCTGGCTTTATCGTGCTTTTAACCAATGGGGGTAAGCATCACGTCGAAAGCTATCATTCGACCACCACCTCATCGCATGACATTTCGCAGCGATCGGCTACTATGTTGTCTGGTCCCTTTCTCGAGCCGGCGCAGGGTCGACTGTTTACACTACCGCTCCTGCGTTAATCACAACTTTCTATATATTGACCATGCTGATCAGTATTATCTGCACCAGTACGTCCATTTCGTAGCCAATCTGCAAACTCATGACGACCAGGATATGATAGCTTTGATTTCCTGGCGCATCTATCGCACTCGCCGTCAGACGTCAGACAGCCTTGCTGATCTTTTACCCGTTGTTATCGTCATCATTGAAAGCGGCGCTTTATATGCAACCAGTGTCCTTGCGCTCCTTCTAGCATTCTTGACCGGATCAAATGGACAATACCCCGCGATGGATATCGCCCCACCTATTGTGGTGAGTTTACTTGGCTAGGACGCAATTGTTATTGTTTATAAGACTTTTCTATAGGGGATCGTATTCTGTCTCATCATCCTGCAAGTACACTTCCACGTAGGTGACCCCCAACCCAGCAGCCCGCTGAGTCAAAGGGCTTCACCAATCTATTTCGAGAGCGAAGTGAGCGGAATGTGGGTCACAGCACGGAACCGATGACTGCGCACATCACGGAGAAGACGCGGATCATTCAATTTGACGCGACGCGCAGCCAACCGTTTCCAGGGGGATGACTGATGTATGGGTCCAATTTTTGCTTCCCCGCAAGGGTATTGGAAACCCTACGGTTGACCTGGCACGAATGATGGTTTCGTCATAGCTGGGTTTTATGGATCTTCAAATGTGCAGAACGGATACCATTTTCTGTTGAACAGAATTTATATCAAGCTTGCACAAAGGTGGCAAGGCACCATGTAGGAATGAATACCGCTCAGACATATCTATTCATACATCTACAATATTTCTAGTGTCCTAACATCCATCATGCCGCGAACAGAAACCACGTCTTTCACTTGCGCAATGATATCGTGATCCGATGCGATTCTCTTGTATTCTCCACTGTGCTGCCGTGCCAGCAAAAACGCATTGAAAGGTTGTCCAAGGCGAACAATCAATCGCAATGCTGTCGAACGGGACTCGGTATCAACCGGCTCATTTTCTCCAAGAGACAAGCCGAGTGGATCGTGCAACGGAGAATCGGGAACAGCCCGATTTTCCGTATTCTGCATATCATCTGAAGGATCAGGTAGCTCGAGGAGGCCACGATTCCATGGGCGGACAAGCAAGAATGACTGCCAATGGGCCAGAGGTCTTGTCATCGAGAACGGAATCAGCCTGTCTTCCGTGGCGATCAACAGGTCACCAAGCCCGTCTGTCTTGACTTCATACACGGGTGTCTCCTGGTCTTGACCATGTCTCCGTCTGACTTCTATGATAGGGAATGTGATACAAGGCAGATGCAGCCGGCGGTCGGAGAAACGAGGAGCGCTCAGTTTGTCGAGCTTGGTGTACAATCTCGAAGCCAACTCCTCTACAGCCCCAACATTTCGCAAAGAGGAGACTGATGTCCGAATGTCATCTTCGGACAGAGATGGTAGCGTACATGGCGGAGCTTCGTACGATGTGATGTCGGCTGGCAGGCAGCTATTGTATTCGGATGATGTTCCAACCCAGTCGAGGGCAGTAATGTCACCCGACCGAGCCACGATCTCCTGCAAGAGCCTCCCGAGTGCATTTTGCTTCATCTCACCATAAATTATAGGTAGGTGGACGCCGAAGATGCCAAATAATGAGTAGGCTATGTCTTCCTGCAATGTTGTGACACGCGTCGACGCCCATCGGAGTTTTTCTCGGGCTTCTCTCATTCCCGGTCGGAAGGCAATGAGGGCCTGTGGATCTATGCCCGTTGCATCTCCCAACTCCCGCATAATTGCAACAGACTCCTTGTGATTGGGAGAACGATCGTCAAGATATATGGTCCAATCTGATTGGTAGAAGCGAATGACTTTAGGAGCAAGGAATGAACGGTCCATCCTCGCGTGTTCCAAGTGCTCTTTGCCAATGAGCCGGACTTTGACAAAGGCGGGACATCCGACAGGTAGACGATCGTGAGTGCTGATTGGCGATACCAGGCAAACATGGAATTGAGTGATTTTTGGAGCTCGACATTGTTATTTTGGTCGATGCAACACGTATCAACCCATGCCCAGCGGTAACCCGCCTTACGAGCGACTTTGGAGAATGACTGCAACTTCACGATGCCGCCAACTGGATTCAATTTATACACGACCTTCTCCTGGATGTCGTACAGCAGAGGCTCCTTCTCTTCCCACCTATGCGATAGCATGACGCAACGGAAGTACATCGCCACCCCATCTTTGATGCGTTTCATGCGGAGGTCCTCATGGTTCATGGTGGATAGCAGAAGCTCCTTGTACCTTGTGCTCGTTTTGAAGGCACCAATCTGTGCGTCTCGATCGCATAACCGCCCAGTGGAGGTATTAAGTAGACGAAGCGGAGCGTTTTCCAATTGAACATGAATGCCCTTTCGAATAGCACCATCTGCTTCAGATGGGCTTAGATACTGCTGGCGCAGCTCTGGAGAAAGAGTTAAGCATTTTGACGTATGTGTCAGTTGGGGCTTACTTCGTATTTGCGTCTCGGAAGCATTTTCCAACTTGGAGAGCATGACTTGAAAGGCCTCAATCGCTTCATCATAGCGCCGTGCGCCGCGATGCGCTTCGTGCTTCAACTGATATCCGATATGAGACGAAGGATTGAGTTCAATGACCTACATATGTACATCAAAAATTAGCGTTCGCGAAAAAAAGCCATCATCGAACCTTTTGCGCATCGAGAAGCGCTTCCTCCCATAGCGCTTTTTTCAACTTTGCCTCACTGCAGCTTGCAAATATGGTTTCGTTTGTGGAATCTAGTTCGATCGCCGCCGAGTATAGGTCAATAGCCATGTCGAAATCACTCGCAGCGAGTGCAACATCTCCGTTGACAGTATAGAGTGCGCTGCAATTTTGCTTGAAAGCTGAGTGAAATGCGGGTGAGTGTGTGAACGCGGGTGGCATGACGAAGACTTACCAGCGGACCAACGAAGGCAGCTGGCCTTTGTGGTTTCATCACTCATATCCATCATGTATCTGTATGATTCAAGAGCTTCTGGAAGTCTACCTGCGTGGAGGAGTGTATGACACAAGTTTTCGTTTGCCGTTTGCCGTTTGCCACAAAGACTTGAGGTCCCATCCAAAGAGCTGCAGAAGCACAAAGTTAGACATGAAAAGCATCTTCGGTTGCATTACATCGACGTACCACCACAAAGTCAATATATTGAGAGTGAATGGCCGATTTAGACCAGCAAGTGCCGGTGTTTACAGCGGCTGCGAAGTGGTCAGCAGCTTGGTTATGACGTGCGTCGTCCAATGCATTGATTCCAAGTTGAACACGTAGATAAGCCTGATATGCGATGTCGGAAATCTGGGTCAACAACACGCGAACATGGGCTGGATCAATACTCACTTCCACGATACTGCATGCAAGAGTATCAGTGTTGGGACAAGACACGGCTAGCTCTTGGACGCGTAAAATTGCATCCTCGTATTGATTTGCGTTGAACAGTGCGATGGCCTGAAAATTGATGAAGTAGGGAGTATGGGAGATATGATTAGCGTGCCTTGTATAGAAGAAGACGATGAATGATCTTCAAATCTCCATCAGTGAACATGAACGCGATGTCAAATGTTTTCATTGCATCTTCGAAGTGCTTTTTTCCACAGAGAGCGATGCCCTTGGAGGTGTAGCCTGTGAAGGAAGGCTGAATGCTGACCGACTATGTCACCATGAAGGTTAGCATATCATCTCCTAAAAGATGAATAAGTGCATTTCACCATAAGTGCATCACGAAGCGCATGATCCCAGTCGTGTTGTCGCGCCATAACAAATGAGCGGTTGGCATAGGAGATGTAGGCATTAGGATTAGCGTCAATCTCTTGTGTTAGCATCTCTTGAGCGGTATGCAGATCACCAGATATGCATGCATCGCGGGCTGTTATGTTTATAGCGATATTCTACATGAAGCATGTTAGCACTGTGTAGTAAGAATCAAGGGAGGAAACTTACCTTGGAAATAGGCAAAACGCTCTCCGGTACTGCCCACTCTGATATCTTCATATCCCCACCTCCATTTAGGATGTGCTCACCATCCAGGGAGAAAGTAACGCAACGCATCCAGTGAGAGTGTCGGAATATGGCGATAGTTCGTCTATCTGAGAGTCGCCAAAGGCGGACATCATTGTCATATGATGCGGAGGCGACCAAGGTAGCAGCAGAGTTGACTGCAATGGCACAGATTTGCTTTTCGTGACCTTTCCAGGGAGCTGTGACCTGTTCCCAGGTCCTGGAGTCCCACTCTCGTATGGTAGCATCAGCATTTGTGCCTGCTGAGAGAAGGCGAGTGCCATCTGGTGTCCATGCGAGTGACTTGTTGAAAGGTCTAATATTTGTTCGACTGATCGCTGTGTGAGCCGCGTGACCGTCAAATATTATGATGCATTCCCTAGTGTTCGAATTCCATATTTGAATCTTCCTGAGTGTTGCGATCGCGAGATGTTCGCCAGTTGGTGAATACCGAACGCAGTTAACATAATCATGACAATTGATAGGATTCCCTTGCAACTGCCACGTATTTGTGTTCCACAGCTTCGTTGTTTTGTCCCATGAACCGGTGGCCAACACCGCTCCATCTGGAGAAAAGTCCAGTGAGTCAATGCATGAGTGAGATTGGAAGGCTTGTATGAGAGGTTCGCCAGTGTCTCCGTCCCAGGCGATAAGCTCTCCCTTTTCACCGCCGCTTGCTATCAACTGCCCGTCTCGTGATATTGCCACTGCACCGACCCAGTCGCAATGTCCCTCCATTGTCTTCAACACTACACCGTCCTTCAAATCCCAGAGACGAAGTGTCTTGTCTCCCGAGCCTGTCACCATCCGTCGCCTATCAGGGAAAACTGCAACTGCGAGTACGGGTTCTTCATGATTTTCAAATGCTCGACTGGGTGTGGCACTTCTAATGATGTCCTGCTTTGTTTCTTCCACCATTCTGGTGCAGCTTGATCACTGTTGACTGTAGCCTAGGACTGTGGGAGTCCTTGCTATGCTTTCCCCATAAATAAACGCCCAAGATTCTCCTCAATTTAAAAGTCTTGCTGAAAGCTTTTTAAACATCCCCCGCTGCACGGTTGTACATGCCAGATGCAACTTGGCTCTCCGTAGTGCATCCGCACTTCTGCGACCACCCCTGACATGACATGTCGACAGTCAAACATCATATCAAAGCGCTACTCCGGCCCGTCACCCGAAAAATTATCCAAACACTTACCAGAGAGATACTAGCCCATCCAAATATGTTGTGCTACACACATCCACCTGGGTATATCGCATACAGATACAGGTTATCTGAAAGGTATATGGTCAAGGCATAGATAACACCGCTCAGCGATATCTGCTCATAGCATCTACGATATCTCTAGTGTCCTGACATTCATCATGCCGCGAACAGAAGCCTTGTCTTTCACTTGCGCAATGATATTGTGGTCCGGTGCGATTCTCTTGTATTCTCCACTGTGCTGCCGTGCCAGCAAAAACGCGTTGAAAGGCTGTCCAAGGCGAACAACCAATCGCAATGCTCTCGAATGAGACTCGGTATCAACCGGCTCATTTTCTCCAAGAGACAAGCCGGGTGGATAGTGTAACGGAGACCTGGGAACAGCCCAGTTTTCCATACTCTGCATATTATCTGAAGGGTCAGGCAGCTCGAGGAGGCCACGATTCCATGGACGGACAAGCAAGAATGACGGCCAATGGGCCTGACGCCTTGTCATCGAGAACGGAATCAGCCTGTCTTCCGTAGTGATCAACAGGTCACCAAGCTCGTCTGTCTTGACTTCATACACGGGTGTCTCCTGGTCTTGGTCATCTCTCCGTCTGACTTCTATGATAGGAAATATGATACAAGGCAGATGCAGCCGGCGGTCGGAGAAACGAGGAGCGCTCAGGTTGTCGAGCATGGTGTACAATCCCGAAGCCAACTCCTCTACAGCCTCAACCTTTCGCAAAGAGAAGACTAATTCTTGGATCTCATCTTCGGACAGAGATGGTAGTGTGCATGGCGGAGCTTCGTACGATGTGATGTCGGCTGGCAGACAACTATTAAATGCAGATGGTTCTCCGACCCAGTCAAGGGCCGTAATGTCGCCCGACCGAGCCACGATCTCCTGCAAGAGCCTCCCGAGTGCATTTTGCTTCGTCTCGCCGTAAATTATAGGTAGGTGGACGCCGAAGATGCCAAATAATGAGTAGGCGATGTCTTCCTGCAATGTGGTGACACGCGTCGACGCCAATCGGAGTTTCTCTCGCGCTCCTCTCATTCCAGGATGGAAGGCAACGAGGGCCTGTGGATCTATGCCCGTTGCATCTCCCAACTCCCGCATGATTGCAACAGACTCCTTGTGATTGGGAGAGCGATCGTTAAGATATACTGTCCAATCTGATTGGTAGAAGCGGATGACTTTAGGAGCAAGGAATTCCGGAAGAGTCCACCCTCGCGTGTTCCAAGTGCTATTTGCCAGTGCGCCGGACTTTGACATAGGCGGGACATCCGACAGGTAGACGATCGTGAGGGCTGATTTGTGATACCAGGCGAACATGGAAATAAGTGATGATTGGAGCTCGACGTGGTCTTTTTGGTTGATGCAACATGTGTCAACCCATGCCCAGCGGTAATTCGCCTTGCGAGCAACATTGCAAAATGACTGCAACTTCACGATACCGCCAACTGGTTTCAAATCATATACAACCTTCTCCTCGATGTCTGGCAGCAGTGGCTCCTTCTCTTCCCACCTGTGCGATAGCATGGCGCGACGGAAGTACATCGCCACCCCATCTGTGATGCGTTTCATGCGGATCTTATCACGCTTCATTGTTAACGACAGAAGCTCCTTGTACTCTGTGCTTGTTTTAAAGGCACCAATCTGTGCGTCTCGATTGCATAACCGCCCAGTGAATGTATCAAGTAGGCGATACGGGGAGAGTTGGAGTTGAGTGTCGGTGACCCTTCGGATGGTGCCTTCTGTTTCGGATGGACTGAAATACTGCTGGCGCAGTTCTAGAGCAGGTCAAACACGTTGATGCATGCGTTATTTAGGACTTACTTCGTATTTGAGTATCAGTAGCATTCTCAATTTTGGACAACATGATCCGGAAGGCGTCGATCGCTTCATCATAGCGCTTTGCGCCATGAAGCGCCGCATGCTTCAACTGGTGTCCAAAATAAGACGAAGGGTTGAGTTCTATGACCTAGCATGTATCACTAAGATGAGCATTGGCCAATATACAACAGATCTCATGCACCTTCTGCGCATCGATAAGAGCTTCTTCCCATAGCATGTTTCCCAACTTCGCTTTACTACGCTTTGCAAACATGCCATCGTTCGCAGAATCCAGCTTGATCGCCGCCGAGTATAGGCCGATAGCGTGGCCATAATTATTCGCGTCAAAGGCAGCATCCCCGTTTTCAACACAAAGCTTGCTGCATTCTTGCGTGAAAGCTGAATGTAATGCGGATGAGAATTGTAGCCTGGATGACGCTATTGAAGACTTGCCATAGTCGGCCTCCATACTGCCATCACTCATATCCATCATGTTTCGGTAGAATTCGGCGGCTTGTTCAAATCTTCCGGCCCCAAGGAGAGTCCACCACAATAACTTGAGGTCCCACCCGAAAAGCTGCACAAAGTATGCTGTTGGGCATGAGAAGCATTTTGGTTGTATCACATCACGTACTACCACCAAGTCCTCATATGCAGAATGAACAGCCAAGTTATGTGAGAAAGCGCTGGTGTTCATAGCGGCGAAGTGGTCAGCGGCTTCGTCGTGACGCCCGTCATTCGAGGCAATGGTTCCCAGCTGGACACGTAAATATGCCTGACGCGTGAAGCGCAGAAAAATCAGTATATTGACGCCCAAGCATCGCGTTGGTTCAAGTTGACTGCATGATACTCACTTCCACGACATGACACGCAAGAGTATCGGCGTCGGGACAAGCATCTGCTAGCTCCCGGATGCGCACTATTGCGTCGTCATGTTGATTTGCATTAAAAATCACGATGGCCTAAACATCACAATGAAGCAGGGAGTATGCGAGAAAAAAGCAACCTGCCTTAATCAAGAGAAGAAAATGAGTGACCTTTGTATCTCCGTCCGTGAACATGAATGCGAGGTCAATTGCTTTCATTGCGTCCTGGAAGTGCTGTTGCCCACAATGCGCGATGCTCATACAGATGTAGCCTGTCAAAGAGGACTGAATGCTGAGAGACTATGCCGCGACGAAAGTCAGCCTATTGCAAGGCGATGATGGGTTAGAGTATCGCACCTTGAGCGCATCTTGAAGTGCACGTTTCCAGTCGAGCTTTCGCGTCATAACAAACGATCGATTGACATAGTTGCTGTAGTTGTTGGAATCAACGTCAATCTCATGTGTTAGGCGATCTTCGGCGGCATCCAAATTCCCACACATGCACTCCTTCCGAGTTATCATGGTTATAGCGAGGATCTGCACGAAAAAGACATGTTCGGATAAGATAACTAATGGACCCAAATTCAACACGAACCAACCTTGTTCGTCACCCCATCCTGTGGAGCATCCTCAGGCAAAGCATCCTTGCGCCAGATGAGACAATAAGCATACAATTCGATTAGAACTCACCTCTTTTGAAGCCTGTGTCTTTGTATTGTCCTCTAGGAGAACATCCTCGGGTACTACCCACTCCAATACCCTTCCGTCTTCAGTTCCACTGAGGATGTGCACATCAGCTCTGGAAAAAGTCACACAGCACACTTTGCTAGAGTGCTCAAATATCGCGATGGTTTGTCGATCTGAGTACCGCCAGAGGCGGACATGCTTGTCGTGAGACGCGGAGGCAATGAGGGTGGTAGCGGCAGAGTGCACGACAATAGCACTGATCTGACTATTGTGGCCTTTCCAAGGGTCATCAACCTGCTTCCAGGTCGATGTATCCCACTCCCGTATGGTGGGATCGAGCTCAGGTCCCCCAGAGAAAAGGCGCGTGCCATCGGGCATCCATGCAAGTGATGCGGTGCTTATTGGCTTGCCAGCGGTTGTTGTCGCTGTCGAGAAGCTTGCGATGCACTCCCTCTCACAAGATCTCCATATTTGAACGTTCATAGATGTCGCAATGGCAAGAAGGTCGCCAGATGGTGAATAGCGAACGCAGTAGACTGGATAATTGCAGAGGATTGGATTGCCTTGCGGTCGCCACGTTTCTGTGTTCCACAGTCTCGTAGTTTTGTCCCGTGAACCAGTTGCTAGTACTGCACCGTCTGGAGAAAAGTCCAACGAGAAGATCAAGGACTTGGGGTGAGCCTTGATGCCCTGTGCGCGTTCACCGGCGTCTCCTTGCCAGGAAATGAGCTCTCCAGTATCATCGCCACTTGCTATCAATTGCCCATCTCGTGATACTGCTACTGCCCTCACCCCAGAGTTATGCCCTGTCATTTTCTTCAATGTAACGCCGTCCGTTAAGTCACACAAACAAAGTGTCTTGTCTTTCGAGCCCGTCACCATCCGGCGCCTATCGGGCAAAGCTGCAATTGCGAGTACGGGTTCTTGATGATCTTGAAATGCTCGACTGGGTGTGGTACTTGGAATCACAGTCTGCGCTGCTTCCATGGTGAAAGTTGCTAGTGTTGAGCACAGAGTGTAGGGCCTTGTGGGTATCTTGAGGCGGCTTGCCGACAGTGCTCGAAGCTGCAATGATTTACTCTGGCCGTTTTCCAGCTCCGTGACAGCGTCAAACTGCTAGACGCCCAGTGCCACCACATCTGACCCATCGTTCGCGTTTGGCAACTTTAGCTAGCCCTCTACACCTGTCAAGTGATTGAACGTTAGTGCTGGAATGCACTGTTATTCTCGCTGCCGTTCGTCCCGTCGACTTCCATGGTCTGTGCCATGTCGGATGCAGCTGCCCACTCTCATTCCAGCGTCCAAGGCAGATAGGTCCGTAGCTGCCTTTGGTTGTTGTACAGACTCGAATGGTGAAAGACTTTGCCAACAGAGAGGACGACTTTCCGGCATTCTCAGGCTGCAGCCTCTGAGAGGGTGAACTTCAAGTTCAAACGGGAGTTTTGAGAGGTTTTGAGCGCTCTTCGATGTAGTGAATGTAGAATAAACTGTCGGATGACTGGTCCAACTTCGAAAGGCTTATCTGCTGTAGTTGACCGTCAGGGATCACGGACCTCAAATATATATAACGCCACCGAAGTTGTTGGCACAATTGTAAGGCGCGTCAACTTCTTATAATAATGAGAACATGTATGCATGTTTCAAACATGCTCCGTTGTAATATTGTTTGCGCACCAGCGAGCAAAGACAGCCGCTGTTGCCGAAGCTCATGTTTCAAAGAGAGTTTGAACGTTCACATCAGGCCGCTATTGTTAAAAGTCACCCTGGGTGGTAGCAGGTTCTTAAGTATGTACATCCCAACTAGACCACATGGCGCCGAGCCATTCACGACCACACAAATGTTCGGTACTCACTGAACAAAATCAGTATTCCAAAACTAGAGATAGTATCTGTCACCTGTGAAAAGGGTACATAAGAGAAGCATGCTGTGAACAGGCGCATTTTCTTACCGATTTGACCCATACCAGGCTCTACGATCCAGACTTTCCTCCCGTCCCCTTCGCTCTGGCCCTCGCCCTTTTCATTGTAACGTTCAAGCCAAGCCTCACGGAGCCCTTCATCGACAGCACCAGTAACGATCTTGACCCCCGGGAAGGCCCGCTGAAGAACAGTGACACCGCCAGTGCGGGCAATGAGAAACGTTACGAAGATGATGTGATCTTGCTGGACTCCATGATCCAATAGTGTCCGAATCGCCATGAATGCCGAGGCAGCAGTGCCTATTTGGGCATCGAGCAAAAAGACCCACGTATCGACAGCTAGATGTCGCTCTCGCAAGCATTTAGGGAGCATAACATGTAGAAGTAGTGGCTCTCCAGTATTGGCATCGGATTGCACCAGAAGGGAGCCAATTGCAACATCACTAAGAACACGCTGCAATCCCCTCGTCAGAGGTCCACCTCTGGACCAACTGGTTAGCGCAGATATTGACTGGTTCATTAAGACCTACGAGCGTATTATTGAGACACCGCAGACGTTCTTAGACGACTTTTGAGCTAGATACTTGATTTCTCAGGAAGTTACACACCTCGACATTAAGTTCCTTGCCGGTGCAATCTACTCCTGTTGGGGTCATGACCGTCTTAGGTTTGTAAGGAAGATGTTCCATCGCTTTCTCGATCAAGAACGTTGCCAGTCGGTCTACGAAGAATATAAAGTCCTGGCGGGTCGCTGTCCCATCACGAAGGATAGTATATATACCCTTTACCCAGAAGTATAAGCAACAACTCTCATCAAGGATGGGGTGGCAGACCTTCAACTGTGGTGTTTGCGGGAGCACTATAAGGTTCTTGGACAATGGGCTACCGTCCAACGTACTCAAGCAACACTCGATTGATTGAGAAACCATGTGTTTCCGGAAGTGTCTCGCGCGTTCTGTCATTTGACGTCGAACGTGGGTCGATATCAAGTCAATGGCAACAGAGTTGTTCGACCCTGGAACAACCTGAAAACAATGGTAAGTTAAAACAATCAAAATAACACGTCCACTCACGATATCTGCATGGCGAGAGGTTGGCAAAACGAAGTTATCGAACGCGGGCTTAACATAGCGAAGATATCTAGGCGTGAGCGATGGTTACGATGTCATATAATCCTAGCAAAGAAGAATACATACTGCTCGAGAACCCCATCAACACTTCTTCCGCGTTCCTTGACGTCCCGTTGTATTCTCCGGGCGAGCATCAAATCTGAGTCACATTGCACAAACACCTGTTTAATGGTGAGTTCCCAATGGACACTTGCTGAGCGATAGGGTACCTTCAGATCATATAAAGAGCGTAATTCCGGATCTTGCAAAGCCATTATACCTTCCGCTGAAACATGCGTTTGCCTCAGCATCCAGGATTATAACAGGAAGCGGTCAGACACCAACTTATTATGATAGCCGCACCATACAAATACTTCGCCTCGTCTAACCGCTGATGTTCGGCAAACGAGTAAACGGGAATATTTGTCTGCCGACACGCCTTCAAGTCCGCGAGACACTAGAAGAGATTCGGTAAAAGGTTTGGTCATAAATGAACGTACGGACAGCAGCAAGCATGGGCATGTCGATGGCATCCGGGCGGTCAAGGTCCAGTTGATTCGCATGCGCCAGCGCAACCTCTTCTGCGGTATTTCGCCTGTAAAAGCTGTCCTAAGTGGTAGATTCCGTGTCACCTGTGTACTCTCCCAGTATCCTTTGCAACACTGACCTGGGATAGGATAACGACAGACGGTACTGAGCCCAATGAACGAACAATTTGTCGAGCAACATGAGTCTGCCATCGCCCAATTCATCTCTCTGAGCTTCTCTCAACTTGCATTCTCACCTTCCCACTTGCCGATCCACCTGAACCCGGTTTGACAAAATGCAAGACTGCACAATGCGTGGTCACTCACCAGCTATCCCGATCACGAATGCATCGCAAACAGGCAGGCCATCTTGCCCGTACCTGGTCGCACGCAGATGTCAGTAGTTGAATGACAGTAAAAGCCGACGGGAAAAGTTACCAAGGAGGTCTTCCGTGAGACTTCAAGATCGTGTTCTTCTTCGACTGGTATGATTCCAACGAGTGCTGGCTTTCGTCATCGAAATATTCATGGGAGTGATCTTCTGCAAGCATCGCCGTGCCCGAGAACAAGTTGGAAGATATCGATGATCGATGAGCGCTGAGCAACTAGAAGGCAGGATGGCCTTATATATAAAGTCTTCGGCTATGATGGATAAATTATGGCCAGGTGTGCACTGGTACTTGAAGTACGTGATGCTTCTGAATCTGTTATTGCATGGACCTGATAAAGACCCAGGACAATGCGAGCCTGATTCAGAACCTTGGTCCGAATCGATATGCATCTACAACACTATTATTACATCCGAATCAAGAAGGAACGGCACGGTCCAGGCCTACTAACTACGGGAGACCAAAGTTATGATAAATTAGCATGGTCCGCATGCTAGAAGTTTGCTAATGATACACGTTCTGGTTACTGCGATTGCGGGAAGTGTTCTATCAGTACATACCTCATTTCTAAATCGCTAATTGTCGATGAGAAGTTGATGTCGCGTATCTCTTCCTCAGGAATCTTGATGTTTTTACCACATCGCCTAAAATCGTGAACTCTACCTGAGAGAACGAGGAGTTCATTTTACGCTAAGGCCCATATCCGCACCACAAGCACAGACATCATGGTATCATGACTGGCAGTGAGCTCGCCGCGATATCATCTGCTGCCTTGACGTCGGGTCACTCAGTACTGGATAGCCAATCGTTGATGGGCCGCTCCAAGTGCTCATGGTCCCAATCAACAAGACCTTGTCCATGGCGATGTCAGTGCCAAGCTGCTCGACGACTTTGCGAGTGGTGGAAACAACCGCCAGCCTAAAGCATGGCATTGTCATATCCTGGGTGTCACGGTCAGCAAGCCATGTGACCAGTGAATAGATACCCGCCCACCGTTGAAAGCCAGAAGAGCCGAGGGGAACAACGAGAATTGCGCTTGAAGGGGCTCCCCAGCCGAAATCATGTTCACGTGTCATTATACCTACTCATATACGTTCTGGCGGCTACAAGAAGCGTTATCAGTACCTCATTCTTCGCAATCCTAATTGTCGATGAGAAATTCTGCCACGGCATTGAACATCTCTTCCTCAGGAACCTTGCGCCGAGCTCCATTGTCCATTAGTCCATCTTCGTGAAGGCCACCATTTGCCACCCAGATAGGTAATGGTGTAGCTGAGGATACACCAGGAGCCGACTGCTTAACTCCGCGACTACTCCTGCTTGTCAACATTGTGTGGCAAGAGTAGCAAAGGAAATCGGTCAGCGCAAGTAGCGGTGGCAATCGGGCCGGGGTACTCGTGTCGAGATTGTCTCTGCACGGTGACGGGATGTGGGCCAAGTCTCCAGCAAGTTTGGGATCCGAGTAAGACCTGATTGATATACGAGTCTTCCACTCTTGTATGCCAGATTGCATCGGCCTGACAGATCCTGGCTTAGTCACCTGAACCGAGTGAAATGTAGTCAAGAAACCTCACCGCTTACACAACTTGCATTGCCCGCTCGGTGCATCCTTGGGTTCCAGTTTTTCACAGGTTCGAGCGATAGTGGACACAGTCGAAGGATAGTCTTTCTCAAGCCCAACTACGAAATCTGTGGAACAAGTCAGTCCTGTGTCTTGCGCACAAAAACTCTCTCGTACTCTTGGTCAATGCTGCTATGCCTAATATCGCACGCCTCTGCTTTTCTCGACCAATGATGGTTATGTTGTTCCACCACGCATATACAGCACACTCTTTTGCAGTGACGTCTCTGAGAGGTCGGATAACCCTGAGCACATCACTGGGCTTCGAACCAGAAGCAGCAGCCGGCGCCCATTCCTCCTGAAGTTCCTCGCGGATCGCGTACCCTCCGCCTTGTGATATTGATGATAACAGAGAGATAGAGAACGACGTGAGAGATGATCCAAAGAGTAAATGCGATGAACCTCTGGAGTGGGCGGTGTGCAGGATAAGTACGCGGGTGAGATTCTGTATGGCACTAGAAATCGCGGTTTGCGTGGGCAGTGATGATAAATACGACTGCAGAGCTTCTACTGGCGTTAGACCAGTCACTCGGGAAGCGATATGGAGCCCTGACAACAAAGTTCAGTATGTTGAACAGATGCATTGTTGCAACTTTACCATCTGCAATTAATCCTTCCTTGCTGAGTTCCAGGCAAACCTGGGGGGTACTGCTTGATCCAGAAACTTTGGTCCACCATGAGCCATCAAACGCATCTTCTATTCGCAGGGGCACGAATTGGAATGATGGATATCGCTCGACTATAGATCGAATATCTTCGGTCCTGTCTTGCATCTAGCTGCCATTATGTGACTGAATCTCAGTCGGAGATCACAGCCGTGACTCACCCCAGCAAAAGCTCCGCATGCCTCTACATAGCAAACAATACACGATGGCCATACGCTGGCGTTCCGTGGATGATTGGTGCCGCCTCTCGGTTTCCCTGAATCATCCAACGGTGGTCGACTTGAGAAATATGTGTTATGGACCATATCCAGCAAAATCGACGATCCTAGACCGCCAGAGAATCCCAGGCACAAGTTTCCCGATGCCTTGAGCTTGGGTCGCTTCGAGGTGCCTGCCCTAGCATTTACTGAAGGCTCCAGAGCTTTTCTGAATTTCAGGTCTACCATTGGAGTGAAGCATTCTCTTGTGAAAAATCTAGTCAGATTTTCTCCTCGCTGAACAAAACCAGAACGCTCACTTGCAATACACCGCATGGCGAATCGCGATGTTACCTGGTTTTAACCTGCACCTGACACAGTCTTTTGATTTCCCAAACTTCAGACGACCTGCACAAGCCCATGAGACACTCGTAAACAACAGTTGAAAGCACTCACGAGGCATGATGGCTTCCTCTTCTGCGGCTGGGTTTCCACACGACGACATGGTGAAGGCAGATCCTCGAGGTTATAATTTACAGCGTATAATTGGGTGGACAGTTGTGCACTGGGCATGCGCCAAGGAAGAGAGTATCATGGAGGTGATCATGGACCAGTGGCTAAGCACAATTAATTAATTAGCAATTCAAATTCGCTATTCCAAATTAGGAAGGTATACAAGAACCATTTTGTCGTTTGAGCCAACCTTCAAATTCCTTCAACCCGTCATCTCGAAAACCTGATATCAGTCTAACTTTAAGTGTTTAGCTAGTGAACTAGTCTCAGGCTGCTGCTTCCTAAGTAACGGAGAGATTTATTATCGCACCGCTCCTGCCATCCCGCCGGCTGGCACCTTCATTACAATACTCTCCACCCAAGCTGCGTAACTACCACACGCAGAACCAGACACATCCAGACTTACACGCACCATTAACGACACTCACGAACATATATATATATATCCATATATTTATTCACTCGCCGCCGAGGGGACATTGACCCATCAACGCCCATCAACGTCAATCTAACGGGATCTCAGTCGGTAAAAAGAGGCTATCTTCATTATCTTCGTTCCCACCACCTCCCACTTCCCCTCGTACACGTTCGCCACGGCGTACCGAGTACATGCCACATCCACCAAAATTCACGTCAGCGACAACAACAACCACGACCAGTACAACCCAGGCCCCGTGGAGTAGAAGATCCGTGCGTCTAAAACTGCCGGCAGGAACGGAGGACCGATGAGTACATCGGAGCATTCGCAGGATCTGAGACGCGGTGGGGAACACAGGTGTTCCCCTAAAAACCTTGATAGTAATGTCTAACATAGGGTAGTACACCCCAATAAGACATAAATCAGACCAAAAAAAAAAAAAAAAAAAAAGCTGCGTAACTTAATTGAAGTGCTATATTCCAAAGTCTTCTGTGAGTTATATGCTTACTTTTTGTTTTACTTCACACCCGCGCCAACGTCGGCGGTCCGGGTTGGTTCGGCATGCCGAACCTAAGTCTAAGTTGAGTAACCTTCATCATCAATGGTGCTCTAAAAAAGAACTTCAAACCGTGCGTCTGAGACTACACAAACACCACGAGACCTGATTTCCTTTCATTTCTAAAATAACGGGGATAGCAACTGGATGGTACATTTTCTTGTTCACCAAGTTACCGCCACGTTCCCAAATTGCATAAACCGACGACAAATATTCTATGGCGTAGTATGGCGTGCTCACTAAATTTATTTCCAGACAACGAAGCGTACTGATTGGCGATCGATCCCAGCACCTATCCCATGTCACCTCGCCAGCGTGTGGTGACGAAGGTCATTAATCTAGCTGTCCATGCAGTGTCGCGCTGGCCAATTCTCAATACAGGATCTACCTTTGGTTCGCTGTGCCGGCGACTTCTCTCGGACTTTACCACATAGGAGACTTGTCTTTGATCATTGATGGTGAACTTCGTATCCCATTGATCAAGTAAACGAGGACATTCAAATCAAGGCAGGAAAAACTGACCACCTTTCTCAAAGGGCTCTGCCAATTTTGTTTGAAATACTGGATAGTAGTGAGGAGTCTGAGAAGTGAGGACCATCCTGGACTACCCGATGAAAGCCGAAGAACTACGTCATCACAAGTGACAACGCATATCACAGTCCGCGGAAAGTCGAGAGCCCACGATTTAAAACCGGAACAAGGGATGTCATTGGGGTGTTTTTATCCTTTTTTTTTTTAATCTCGCACAGTTTTGGACGTCCTCGATGATCACAATACCATTATGGTGGGAAAAATAACTTTCCTGGTGCTGCCAGCTGGCCAAGGGAGCAATTAACACTAGCAACTGCTGGCAAGCGTCGATTTTTACCAGTACTATTATTAGTGGCCGGGGCCGTAGTCCTCCGTAGTCTCCCTATGATAGGCAATAGATCTGCAGGAAGGCCGCTAAAGACAGTGATTCCTTCTTGGTTGTACTAAGGAGTTACGCGGACTCCCCAGGCAACAGATCCGGATACCCCAGGATTTCTGGAGACCCAATGGAGACCTGAAGACCCGTGAAGATTGCGGCTCCCCAAAACACCGACGGAGAAATTCAACAGTCCGGTGATGCTTGGATGTTCAATTTTCAATAATGCCTCGTAGGGTTCACCACTGGCGGCCTTCCGGACGGCGAATATTTTACTTCGCAGAAAGACACCGTCATCATTGCAACAGCTGGGGGGTGCCAATCAACATTAATATTATTCAATTTATTATTCCATCTTCATGTTCACCACTAGGGTGCATGCGTTGCAGAACAATATAATACAGCGTGTGAGATATTTCGGGGAGCATAGAAATATGTGGGTCATCTATCGATGGACATCAAGCCTTTCCCTCATCGTCGTAGAGCTCGTGACTGCTCTTTTCGATATCGGATTCGCCCTTGCGCTGGCCAAACGCGGTCAAGCCAATGCGGTCGGCAATTGCGTTCTGGCGCTGTTGATCAGCAACAGCAAGACCTTCACGGTCTCCGAACACGTCGTCCATTTCTTCCAAAGTGAGGCCCTTGGTCTCGGGTACAAAGAACATGATGAAAAAGCCGCCGAGGAAGGCGAAGGCCTGTGTCAATTTGCATGAGACGTTGAAAGCAGGAAATGAACAGAAAACTCACGCCAAAGAATACAAATGTCCCAAAGCCGATATGAGTTAGCATTGATGGCGTTACTTGGCCGACAATGAAATTGTTCATCTGTTTGCCATGACAATTAGCGCATTTCCATAGAAAGACTCAAAGAACGAACCCAGTTCGATGACGAGGCAATAGAAATACCCTTGCCACGTATGCTGAGCGGCCAAATTTCAGCAACGAGGATCCAGCTGCACGGGCCCCAACTGTAACCAAAGGCGACGGAGAATACCCAGACGCAACCGCAAGCCACCCAACCAGCGGTGGGGTGTCTGGAGAGATGTTTTAGTTGAAGTTGAAGTACGATCATGAAATATTGATGAGACGCACGATGACCAAGAATTGTGGTACAGCGCAGTCAGTACTGCAACGATTAGATGACACCTATTGTGTGGATGGAACGTTCAGAACGGCGAGTTTCACATGCAATAATATAACACTAACGCAGCCATGATGAAAGCACCAGAGATCAAGACCGGCTTACGGCCGACTTTATCGATCCATATTACGGCAGGGATAGTTGCGAGGAACATGCTGATTGGGTTGTGTCAGTTATGTATAGGAAGGTACGTGGTGAGACATACACGATACCGACAACACCCGTGGCAAGAAGGCTAGTTGTGTTACCCGTCAAGCCCAAGTCACTGAAGATGCTGGGTGCGTAGTATAAGATGGCATTGACACCCGTCCATTGCTGGAAGAACATGGTCCTAAAAATCCATTAGGCTGAGTCCAACCCGTGGTACAAGAGCCACTCACAATGAGCCAACAGCGACACGGTAGAAGAGAGCTGGAAAGAGCAACGTTAGCGTTCACATTTCGATACAAGCGCGACAGATTCGTACTGCGTGAGGTAAGTAAGCTCATATAGGCATGAACACCGAGCTTGAAATTTGACGAGAACGACCCATCCTGGTATTGAGGGAACTTCAAAGCATTCAATTCCTTTTCAAAAAGGTACTGGGCCTTGATTTCTCTGCAGAAGACTATAGGTGAGGAAGATCAAGGCGGCAATGATCTTGGGACCCACAGGAACTCGATTTGCACGAGGTCAGAGTCCGGAGGAAGGCGGCGAGCCCTACTAAGAACGGCGATGGCCTCTTCATCACGACCTTGGTTGACAAGCCACCTGGACACCGTAAGATTTGTGACGTGTCGTAAACAGGAGTCGAGACATGCCTTGGAGAGAAAGGCATGAAAATAATACCAATGCCTAGAATGATAGCGGGAACGAGCTGCATGCCTAATGGAATGCGCCATGCAATCTCGCTCTGCCCGCTTCCAGTACCACCAATGTAGTTGGTACCGTAGTCAATCCAGAAAGAGATCAAGATACCGAATGTGATAGCAAGTTGCTGCAGAGCGACCAGACTGCCGCGCACTTCAGGAGGAGAAAGTTCGGCGCTGGTACAGGGTCAGTAAAAGCCACAAAAGGGAACTGCGATGGCATACTTGTACAGAGGCACCGCCATACTGAGCGATCCAACGCCAAGACCAGTGATGAAACGCCCTGAGATGAGATTCAGATGGGAAACTCTGAACAGACTCTGAGAGCGTACCGCCATATATCGACGAGGGCTGGAATGCCGCAGTTTGGACGACGACACCGATACAGAACACACCGACGGCTGCATGGATGGATTAGCTCCATTCACCCACAAAAGTGAGGCTCACTAACCAAGCATGATGGTATACTTGCGGGAGAGCTTGTCAGCCAAGTACCCGGTAGACAGAACACCGACCCAAGCTCCAAGTTCCAGGATAGATACGAGCCAACCCTTTGTCCCAGGATTGGTGACGGCGGACCCCATCCGCTGGTCGAATGAATGCATACTGAAACAGTTTGAGGATCACGGATGCCAAATACAAGTTAGCATGAGAGCTCACCTCAAGACGCCGGAAAACACACCCTGGTTATAACCTTCACCGAGTCAGTACGAGTTTGAAGAGAAACATAGCGATAGAGTCGTACCATAGAGCAAGCCACCAAGAGAAGCAAAGACCGCATTGGCAAAAATTTTGCGATTATGCACAAGGCCAGCCTGTGTAGTGTGTTGAGTATGCAACACTAGACACCGTCATTCCAAAGAAATTACCCATCCTGACTTGCCCTGCAGCGCTTGACGGCGTTTTGCAGCGTAAGGGCTTGCGCCTCCAGCGTGGCCTCCACCCATTGTTATTGATGAAGAAGGGTTGCTCACTCGACTCAATCACGGATGCAGCGACTCTTTATACTGTCTGGTCCATCTCCATTATTGATTTCTCATGTCACGGAATAAGTTCCGAAAAAAACTCGATGGAGCCAAGCCTGGAAAAGGATCGTAATGGAGAACCCATCCGGGGTGTGCGGGGTGGTGCGGGGGATCTTGGCCGTCCGCGCAACACACGAGAAGGTCCGGAACAAAATGATTATGGACTGGTGATTACGGCAGACCTGGTCATAAATCCGTAACAGTGGACTGCTCGGTCCGGACAAGCAGAGACAAAATTTAATAACAGAGCTGAATGAAAAGATGGGAGCAAATGGGAAACTTGTGTGCTATAGCCCATGCATCAAAGAATAAGTCGCAACTCGATTCGATAAATTATTATTTGAAAGAGTCGGAGGGAGTCCGCAGCACGTATACCGGCTTAACAACGGAGTCACGTCAGATAAGTTGATCACAGAATTGACCTCGAGGTACACACTAGGACACGGTTACACGTTGCGGTGCATTGATATATTATGAAAGGGCAAATTGAGCGACAGTCTTTAGTTTCTTTAAAAGTTACGCTGCAAAAGGAAAAATACGGTTTGATCGGACATACCTCGATGGAGTACGTTCAGTCAGAATGATCAAGTGGTATCTTGATTGAGAAATGTGGCCAAATAGTTATCGATGGCCTTCTGGATACTGATCTTACTCACGAGAAAATCGGCGGTCGTTATTAATTCTTGTGCTCCAAGTAGGATTTCTGAGCCGCCAGCGAGGCTGAAAAGTTAACAGCCCTGGACGTCAGATACCCCTTGTGATTATCGTGTGCACCTCCAAAATGAGATGCGCAATGATCTCTGCCATGTATGTGGCGATGTGACGATGTGGCTTGGTCGATGGTCGACAGGGATTACATATTTCGCAGTTCATACGTTCATGTGTGTTATTGAACGTTTCAACTGGAGGACTCCGAGCGCGTTCGTACTTGTGTGGTGGTTTGAGTTGTGGCGGTGCAGGAGATGTCATCCTGTGGGCGCAGTGTCAAGTGAGGTTTGAACTTTGCTTGAACTTTGACTCTGAAGTTGCCCATCACACAAAGTTTCTCTGAGCTCTCACAATTTTCCTGTCGAGTTAATCGTCGTCCATTATGTGGCCAGGAAACTCTGGTTTTCCGACCAGTAACAATCAGAGTGGTACCAATGGCGACGTCCCACCTCAGTAAGCAGTACTGTTCTATGATAACATCTTCTAGCAAGCTGAATCCAATTCATGACCACCTCTTCGCTGCTTCAGTTTCCCAAACCCGTATGTGACCCATAGTGAATAGTTACTAGTGGTGGATCTAATCAGATGGTTGTTCCAGCGGTGGAAATGTTCCTTCTCCCAATCCACTTGCATACAACCCCACGTATGGTGCCGTGCCATCGTTTCCTTCACACGGTTCCCCAGCACCCACAGGGTAGGTATCTAGTAAAACATGCTTGTATCTGTCATCTCAATAGCAATTCGAACCACAGCTTTGGAGTTCCTCCGCCAGTACCAAGAGACACCTATCCTGGACATCACCAGAATAGTGGTTACCCAGGTCAATTTGCTGGCAATTACACACCCCCTCAAGGTCCTCCCACCCCATACGCACCGCCGCCTGGCCCGCCGTCCTCGTCATACGGCGCACCCCCTGGGCCTCCTCCGGGCAGGGCAGGCCCTCCATCATCGTCGTACGGCGCACCCCCTGGGCCTCCTCCGGGCAGGCCGGGTCCTCCGTATTCTTCATACGGCGCACCCCCTGGGCCTCCTCCGGGCAGGGCAGGCCCGCCTTCACAATACTCACTTCCCCCTGGCAATTATCCACCGCCACCTGGACCCCCTCGTGGCTATGGTGCACCTCCCCCGTACGTTCTTCGTAAGATCTTCGTTAATATATACATTAACATTCCTCAGAATGAGCAGCGGCTACGCTAATGCTCCTCCAAGTGGGTTGGTTGTTGCAGTTTAAAAAGCCACTTATCATAATTTTTCAAAAACAGGTGGACCCCCGCAGAGGCCGCCCAATCAACAACAATTTTACGGCCCTCAAACGCAAGGACCCAATCAGATGCAACAACAGTCCTCTTTCCAATATTCTCAGTGTAATGGCAAGAAGAAAGCCTTATGCGTATGTCGTGCGCATGGACTGACACTCATGCATGTCTAACAAATACCTTCAAAATAGATTGGGATTAACTACGTCGGTCAGCAGGGAGAATTGCGTGGTTGCATTAATGATGCAAACAATATAAAGCGTTTCCTGAGCAGTAAGTTCAGTCGCTACGGAATGAGCGTAGTATGTCATGGATTATTTTCAGCTCAGTTTGGGTATAAGGATGATGATATGGTTATACTCACTGACGATGCGAGGAACCCACGCCAAATTCCTACTCGGCAAAACATAGTGAGTAAGCTGCCTACAGAGTTGTACTGGTACTAAGCAATGGGCATCCATAGCTGCATGCAATGGAATGGCTTGTGCGCGATGCCCGTCCCAATGACTCGCTGTTCTTCCATTGTGCGCTCACTTTTCGCGGTCATCACTACCTGATTGGATTGTAACTCATACCAAATAGATTCCGGTCACGGAGGACAGACGAAGGACCTCAATGGCGATGAAGAAGATGGATACGATGAAGGTGACGATTATGCGGTACTAATTTCACAGAAAGCATATGCTGATGCGTTCGCGAGATAGTGATCTACCCAGTTGATTTCAAACAGAATAGCCACATTGTTGATGATGTGTGTCCGCGCTCTAGCCCATCCCTCGCCACGTTCCACCTACTAATGACCGCGTTTCAGATGATGCATGATATCATGGTGAGGCCGCTTCCTGCGGGTTGTCGTCTCACCGCTATCTTTGATGTAAGTTCGTTTGCCAAGAACCTGAAATAGTATTCATATAGTAAATTTTCGCAGTCTTGCCACTCTGGGTCAGCTCTGGGTATGAACTATCTGTATCTGTTGTCACCTTTCAGCGCTCATGATAATTCCAATTCAATCTATATTTAGACCTCCCATACGTCGTGCGTTATCCTTACTCCCTACCCTTGTCGTAATCTCACTTTTGTGCAGTATTCCACGGAAGGCAAGATCAAAGAGCCAAACCTCGCCGCGGAGGCCGGCCAAAGCTTAATGTCCGCTGTGACTTCATACGCTCGCGGCGATATGGGCGGCGTGTTCAGCTCCGTTACAGGATTGATCAAGACTGCCGGTGGGGGTGCACAGAAAGCCGACATCATCTCTAAGTCCACAAAGACGAGTCCTGCCGACTGCGTGCGTGAATCTTTGGATAGTCTACACCACGCTCACCTTCGATGTAGATTTCTTGGAGTGGTTGTAAGGATTCACAGACCAGCGCAGACACCTCAGAAGCCGGAAGAGCCACAGGTGCTATGAGCTATGTAAGTTCCTTGATCCACCCTCCTCACTTCAGCTTTTCATGCACCTTTGGAATGCAGGCTTTCATTAAGGCACTCAGTAAGTGTTTTTTTGAGCGTCATATCTAGCTCCTAATTTTCCGCAGCTGAAAACCCGCAACAAAGCTACCAGCAGCTTCTTAACTCCCTCCGGTGAGTGCCTCATTAGCAATCGATTATCTGGCTTCTGATGATCTTTTCGGCAGTGTTATCTTGAGGGCAAAGTACAGTCAGAAACCACAGGTTTGTCTATAGCTCCACGTGATGTGCTCGTCTCATTGTTATGAAACAGCTGTCTAGTTCTCACCCGATGGTTAGTATCTTTTCTGCGAGATCCTCAAACTCTTACCCTATTCCCCGTATAGGACACGAACATACTTTTCATTGCCTGAATGATGTCTGTATCATGTATGTTGTATCCTGTATGTTTCTTGTATGTAGTATACTTGAGTACGTGGAAATACGAGGTTCTGGTCCTGTCCAATCAAGTCATGTAGCATGTTGTGCATAGCAGTGAAAGGAGATCAAAGTAAGATCAAGGTACTATCGCGAGTTGATGTAAATGTATAACAACTAGTGCGGGTTTCGTGATGGGCCTGAAATGCGAAGATAGCAAGGTATAGGACCAATGAGATGACATCTGAGACGGTGGCGACACTACGCCCGCGTCGATGACGGTCTCGTTCTTGACGTTATACTTCCGGCCCTCGTGCCGGCAAAATCCAATCTCAGCTAGAATCTGGTACCGAGATTACCGCGCTGATAGATATGCGAGGAGCAATGATGCTGAATGAAGTATTTCAATGACACTTGACAGATTGTGCGGGCTTCTCCTGCGTGGTCAAACTTGATTCGAGGATCGGTTGTGCCGGGCAGGAAGTCTGACGTATGACGCCGCTTTACAGCAGAGAACAAAGGCCCTGCATGAAACCGATTAGTTGCTTCAGGCGGGAAGTCGAACGTGCGATACCCTGAAGCCCCTGAAGGAGAAAGATCTTGCCGCCCATCAAGCACTAGCGCTGAAACTCTTTGGCCGTAACTCTGCAAAGTCGATCGGTGCACAGCCGATTTTCAATGAATGTCAACATACGCAGCCGGTATCCAAGCCGACGGACAGCCTCTTGATATCTGTTGAGATCTGCGTGATATCTAATCAGTGGACAATGTTGGCCCGTTGCAGTGACTAGCGGAGTTATAGTTTAAAGTATGAGCGGAGCTGACCGAAAATCAAACAACAACTTGCTCGCTTCCCCAGAATCAGAGTAGTGTCAGATAATACGAGAGAACATGACATTCTCGACAACATCCTGAGCACGACTCCTGCAGCATGCTGCGAGACTGGCTACACCGTGACACGACAGAACAGCTGACTCTTCTGCTTGCCTGTGAGCCATACAACAGAACCAACTCCCCTGCCTTCTGTATAGTCCTGGGGGCGAGTACGAGGATATCCGGGTCGACTGCCACGAGTATGAACGACCAAGTCGGACCGACGGGTTGAAACCACTCTGATATGAGAGCGTAATGCAGGTGCAGGACTCCTTGGATTTCGGAATAAACTTCATTAAAATCAGTTAATTATCATTGGTATTCAGACCTTCATCATGATGTAGCAAAACACTGAAGGGGCTGGCTCAGCTGGCAATTGAAGTTTGTGACGCTGGCAGCTGCACAGGACAAACCAAGGACTTGAAAGTCAGCTGATCAGTTTACCGTATTATCACTAACGCGGGCTACGTTGGTATGTCCAAAATGTCCATGTTTCGACGTCAGATTGGGACTGACGGAACTTGACAGCAGCCTGCAACAGTGGCATGTTCAGTTCCGAGCGTTATAAATAACGTTCACTAGCAACATGAGCGCTTGAGCTCAAGCAAGGCCGCCGCGGCTGAGTGTTTCAGCGCTCATGTAACGGGTACAGTGTACGTATACACAGCACCCATCATGATACTCCGGTAAAGCGAGGGCGGCCAGAGCGCCCACTCTTAGACTCATTTCACCAGCATCCCACAAGTTCCACCCACTGTAACCCATTGAAACATTCGATCTCAAACAGTTCTCAAGGAACGACTGTCTTCGTTTAATCTGGTCTGCCTCAGAGAGAGTCGTTACGCCTTGCGATCTTGATCGCTCCACAGCTTGATTGTTTCGCTACGCAGCTTATCATCCATCGAACAGGCTTGCTATCATACACCAAAAGAAAGCTCTTTTGCAACTTCCCCGGCCCCGAATTATTATTAGACTTTGATCCCTCAGATAACTTCTTCGTACGTTGTCTATCGAGATAACCATCCCCCGCGTGGTTTCTAACCACACCGTCGAACCCAACTAGCCCTTCCCTGAGTTGCTCCACAAATCCTGTCACCATTTATTACCAGCCTTTCTCAATGAGTCTGAACCAATGTATGTGTTCCCAGCTCTTATTCCTTCTCTCGCTCTCTAAACTAGTGGGCAGTTTCCGGTGGAGGAACTTGGGAGAAGTTGTCCCAGGTCGCTGTCATGGGTGCTGTACATGATTCCCGCGAACGGCGGCCCCATCCCAAGTGTTTAGAAAACACCCGTGTCGAGCTTCTCAAATTCATCTACGGATTACTAGACAACCGAGAGAAGAGTCAACTCTTTTGGCTACATGGCACGGCGGGTGTCGGAAAGTCCGCTGTTGCCTTCACTGTGGCTGAAAGGATGAAAAGTCTGAAAGTTGAAGAGCGGTCGCCCAATGAAAAACGGCTTGGAGGAACGTTCTTTTTCTCGCGCGAGCACACGAAACGCCGTACGACTGGTTATTTCTTTTCGACGCTTGCGTACCAGCTTGCTAGAAACTTTCCCAGCATCCGGGAGGAAGTGAATTGTGCGCTCCGCGAGAATCCAGCTCTTCTACACCGAAACATGTCTCTTCGTGACCAAATGGAGGCATTGTTTCTCCGACCTCTCCGAAGGCTTCTATTCAGACTACGCGAGTGTCCACCATTGGTGTTTGTCATTGATGCCCTTGATGAATGCACATCCGAAACCCTCGACGCTAAGAAGCAGAAGAAAAAGCAGAAGAAGACATTCGACAAGTCCACAGCCGAAAGCGAGCTCGCTGATCTCATCTCCCTGCTTGGCCAAGCTCTTCGTGAACCTGATCTGCCCGTAATCCACATTCTGCTCACGAGTCGCTCGGAAGATCATATCCGAAAAGCCATTCAGAGAGAAGAGATGGAGGGCGTCGCTACCATCATCTCATTAGACGGTGCAGATGTTGACAATGACATTCATATTTTCTTGCAGCATTGCTTTAGAGACCTGGAAAGTCGCCATCCCGACTTCCCGCAGCCATCCGGGTATCAACTCACGCAGCTGGCGAGGCGAGCAGGCAGACGTTTTATCGTCGCGTCAACGATGGTTAAGTTTATTGATGAAAGGGCCCGGGGCAAAGATCCTCGCGATCGACTTCAGCTCATGCTTGAGTTAACGAGCAATCTGCTACTAGGGACAGAGGTATACGAGTTATACGACCGTATCCTGTTCACATGTGCCGATCCCAAGCGGGCATACCTGCACTTATCGGTTGTTGCTGCTCTTGCGGACCCTCTGCCGATCCTACAAATATCAAAACTTCTTGGCCCTGATGAGGGCAGTGATGTCGAGACAACACTGGTGCAGCTACGGTCTATTGTGGACATTCCTACCGACAGCAGTCTCCCCGTGAATATCCGTCACTCGTCGATTCGTGACTATGTTTCCGACCCCTCAAACTGCGGTCTCCGTCAAGTACGAAATATCACCCCACCTCACTCACTACTCGCGAATTCATGTTTCCGCTTGATGATACAAGACATTGCGGAAAGCACAGCCCTTCTGGATGCACTCTCAGAATTGAAGAGGCAGAGTCAGGCCATGCAATCGCACGACCCTCAGGCCTTAACGCACTCATTATCCTTCATCGTCGAGCCACCGGAGCCATTGCAAGTTCTGAGAGGTCTGTTATGGCTTCGGGGAGATTGCAGCCCAGAATCACAATCCTGGTTAGAGACTATGGATGGACATGCCTGGCTGCAGACCCAAGGGGGGAAAGATTGGCTACAGACGCAGGAGGGGAAGGACTGGTTACAAACCTGGAGCTTGGAAGAATGGCTGCAGACCCAGAGTGGACGAAAGTGGCTGAAGAGCCGCAGAGGGCAAGACTGGCTACAGACCCAGGGAGGACACGACTGGCTACAGACTCAGGGAGGACAGGACTGGCTGCAGTCCCAGAGCGAGCATGACTGGCTGCAGACCCAAAGTGGGAAAGAGTGGGTACGGACTGAGACTGGGCAAGAGTGGCTACAGACTTCGTTCGGGCAAGAGTGGCTGCAGACCTCGTTTGGGCGAGAGTGGCTGCAGACCCTGGGTGGGCGAGAGTGGCTGCTAGAGTTGCTACAGACCACGACTGGGCAACAATGGCTGCAGACCGGGGAAGGACGAAGTTGGTTGCGGACAAGGAGCGGGACGGAGTGGCTGCAAACCCGGAGAGGGAGAGACTGGCTACAGACTCGAGGCGGGCGAAGTTGGCTGCAGACTCGGAGCGGGCGAGACTGGCTGCATACCTGGAACGGGAAAGACTGGTTGCAGACACCGAGTGCGAAAGACTGGCTGCGGACAAGGAGCGGGATAAGCTGGCTGCGGACAGAGGGCGGGCGAGAATGGTTGCAAACAAGGAGCGGGAGAGACTGGCTCAAGAGAAAGCGCGGCCGGGAGTGGCTGAAGACCCCTTGCGGCCGAGAGTGGTTGCAGACCTGGCGCCAACCGCAACAGCAGCATACTACGAGCGGGGGTGATTGGCTACAGACTCAGAGGGGACGAGACTGGCTGCAAAAACCGAGGGGGGGAAATTGGTTGCAGACTCGGAGCGGACGAGACTGGCTGCAGACACAGAGTGGGCAGGAGTGGCTATCAACCCGTAGCGCGCGATACTGGCTGCAGACCCCCAGCGGGCAAGACTGGCTGCAGATCCGGGATGGGCAAGACTGGATTCAGACCTGGAGCGGGCGAGAATGGCTGCAGTCCTGGAGCGGGAAAGAGTGGCTGCAGACCCTGGGCGGGAAAGAGTGGTTGCAAGAGTGGTTGCAGACCTTGGGCGGGCGAGAGTGGCTGCAGGCCCCAAGTGCGCGAGAGTGGATGTGTACCCCGAATGGACGAGAGTGGCTACAGTCCCAGGATGGGCGAGAGTGGCTGCAGACTCGGAGCGGGAAAGGCTGGTTGCATAACCCGAGCGTACGAGAGTGGCTGCAGCCCAGAACAGAGCGAGCCTGGCTGCAGACACCGAACGGGCGGGCCTGGTTACAGACCCGAAATGGGCGACACTGGCTACAGACCGAGAGCGAAGAAGAGTGGCTGAAGACGCAAAATGGGCAAGACTGGCTGCAGACCTTGGGTGGACGAGAGTGGCTGCGAACCGAGAGCGGGAGAGACTGGTTGCAGACCCAAAGCGGCCGAAACTGGTTGCAGACCCCCCATGGTCAATCATGGCAGCCGACCTCTACTGCGTCTGCCTGGGTGACAATCGAAGAATTCTCAAGCACAGTGGAAGCAATCAAGGAGCACATAATCGTGCCAGATTTGCCAGCTTTGCAAGTAATCCAGCAGTTCAATGACTTGCCGGATTTCTTGATGTTTCCGGCTTTCCTGGCGTTAAGACCCAACGAACATTCCACCTCTGCATTACCACAAGGTTGTTTTACGTCAAACATGGAGATCATCCACGCTATGAAAACATTTATGGATTTCGCAAAAGATGCATGGGAACGAAGTCAATCAGCTTCCGACGCTGTCAACTACGCCTGCCAAAACTGGGCTGTCCATCTCTTGCGAGCTTCGAATTCGCGGGATGACATGCTCAATCATCTATTCAAAGTTTTCTGGAATCGCCATCTCCTGTCTTGGCTCGAAAGGCAGTGGTGCTTGAAGGGTCTGCGATCTTGCCTCGTTGTTTTATCTGACGGGCAGAAACTTGCAAAGGTGTGTCTACTTTCAATGAGCAATTCTCGCGTCGGCATCTGACATACACATGTAGGATTATCTTCGAGCTCCGGGGATATATCAGTCATCAGCCTGAAATTGTATGCAACATCGACTATATAGCTTATGACACTCATCAATATTTTTTTTCACTGCGTTTCGGTGTTTACTAAATTACGGCACTCGTGCCGCGTTCGAAGTTATATGTTGCAGTATATTTTACCCGGCACCTGCGTGACTGGGGGAACGCGCGCCTGATAGCACAAGAACCAAGGCCCATCAGCCTAATGCTGGGTCGAACGCTGTTGTGGCTAGTGCTGCCGCAGTCCGGTCCCGAACCGTGGTTCGAACCCGAACCCATCCAGACTGGACCAGTGGTTCGGTCACAGGTTTGGTCTCTCTCCTGGACCGAACCCCCTAACAGGTTCGGGGTTCGATGTCGTCACTGAAAAATGCGGACCGGTTCGGACGCGTCCGGACCGGTCCGAACCTGCACCACGCGCACAATTCCAGCTGCGTGTTTTTCGTGAGGCTTCCTGTCAGTTTAAGTAGTGCGCTCACCAACTTCTGTTCCTTCTCTTCTTTTGACAGTAGCGTTCCCCACATTGCGCAAGCAACAAGGGTGCTTTTTTCAGCTATGCAACGACTCGAAGCACCGGTACTATGTTCACCGTCTCTCATGTTTGATAAGTTGCTGACTTCTAATGTTTTTTCATTCAGAATATACCTACTACTGTGGTGATTCCTGGGTTTTCCACCAAGTTTGCGCAATGGATTGTCATTTTGGAACTTGAAGGTGCGCAACATTTTTTTATTTAGTTTGAGATATATATATTCACTTGTGGTATAGGTTCGACATTCGCACTCCCTGCTGCAACTATGTTCGAGTCGTCTGCACCAGCCCGTTGTCCTGACGGTTCGTTGAAAAGCGCTGAAGAGATGGAGTGGATACACGACCCGGATGATGACACTACCATCCTCCCTCCCCCTCCTCCATCCAAAGGCACACTCAATTCATTTATCCGTCGTTCAGGCCGTGCTGTCAAGCCTACAGAGAAGATCCGGGAGACTGCCAGCAGTATCCCGGCCAAACGGTCAGCTGTAGGACCTCCTGCCCCCGCACCCAAGAAAGCACTCATGCGCACCAGAAACGAAGAGCGTGACGACAACAACAGTGACGAATACGGCGCCGAAGAAGAAGCCCCTCCACTTGAGGATTTTACAGATGATGAGGAAGACGATGAGAACGAGAACGAGGAAGCTTACCAAAAGACGAAGAAGCTTGGTGACCAGGATCGTGAAGACCGTAAATCCCTCAAGAAGGTCGAACACAGCGCCGATTTGACCACGATCTTTACTTTCGAGAAAGATCGTGTTAACCCCCACCCCCAGGAGCGCGAAAATGGGTGGTGGTGTGAGGTATGCAAGGCTAACAATGTTCCGCTTCACCAGTGCTTTTTTAAGGGGGGTATTTCGACTCGACGCACGCACATTGCACGGAATCCCAAGTGCCATTACCCTATCTACAAGGACCGCTGTGAACAACGGGGTCTCACGATGCACGATCGTGCAATCCCTCGTAACTGCAAAGCGGACGTGCTGCAGCCTACCTTGGACGCCTCACTTACTCCCAAGATTCCTGCATTCACAAAGGCTGGACTCATGGATTACATTGTCGAACTCATTGTTGCCGAAGATGAGGTGAGCGACTCTCATTTTTGATATATTTTAAAACACTTATACAACATTATAGGCCTTTCAACTTGTAGATAAAGGACCCTTCCGCCGCCTACTTCAATATCTCTGGCCATCACTTTCAGACCGAGACATTCCCCACCGTACCAAAACTCGGGACGAAATACTCGAACGTGCAAAGCTGGCAGTCGAGCGCGTGAAAGAGAAGCTCAGCCGTGTCGATAGCAAAATTTCCATGATGTTCGACTCTTGGACGTCTTTTCCTGGTCACCCTTTTCTGTCAATTACAGCGCATTACATAGATTCCCCAGCTGAAAACCCTCATGAGTGGGAACTTAGGGTGGAGCAGCTCGCGTTCGCACCCATTCACGGCAATCACAGTGGTGCGAACATCGGGAAGATTTTGATCGAGAACATCAACAAATATGACATCCGCACGAAGCTTGGGTGGTTCACGGCTGATAACGCATCAAACAACGATACTGCCATTGAGATGGTTGCGACCTCTATTGACCCTTACGGAGTGGAGTGGAAACCAATTGAGCATCGAGTACGGTAAGTTCGTTCATTAAGTACTGAATTTGAGATTACTGATGAATATTCAGTTGTATGGAGCACGCACTCCGCTTAGCTGCAAAACACTTCGTTGAAGAAGTGGCTCCTACACCGGCAAGCGTCTTGCACAAGAAGGCAGCTCAAGCTGAAGACGAGGACGAGGACAGCGAGGAAAGTGTTGAATTTGACGTTGGTGACACTATTGGCAAGGTGCTTGCATTTGTAGCGCAGGTAAGCTCTTTAATGATCTATCTGCTATTGTATAGTACTGACACGAGACCTTTGTTTAGGTCCGGAAGTCTCCTCAAGCTCGCGTCTTCCTTCAAAAGTGCTGCAAGGAGGTGAATGAGCCCCCATTGGAGCTTTTGAAATGGGTCCGCACACGTTGGGCATCTCTTTTTAATATGTTGGAGCGTTTTTTTAAATTGCGCAAAGTAAGTTGTCTACTACCGACTACATGAACACATTACTGACTTGATTATTAGGGAGTAAACAGATTCATCCAGCTCGCTGATGACAGCGACGAGGTCCCAAATCTGAAGGGAAAATCATACGCGGATTTCAGGCTTTCAGCGCACGAGTGGGCAGAGTTGGAGTTGATCCGTGAAGTCCTCCAGGTAAGTCATTTCTCTCTACCTTCCGCAATTATGCTTATGTGCTGCACACCGCACACCAAGGAGCCGGCAGATGCTCAACAGAGCTTCTCTGCCACACGTGAACCAACCGTATGGAGAACCATTCCAGTGCTCGAATGTCTTCAAGACACTTTGCAAAACATGGCGAACGCATCAAAATTTGCCCGTTTCTCAATGGCCATCGAAGCTGGTGTCACTAATCTCCGCAAGTGGTATAGTAAGACTGACGACACAGATGTATATTTCATTTGTCTTGGTATGTATCTCGTATCTATTCTAATGCCTTTGAATGTCATTGACCTTGTTGGTGTAGCGCTGGACCCCAACTACAAGGTCGCGTATGCAAAAGACAAATGGACCACTCATTCTTTCAAAAAAGGCATGCAATGCCTCGAGAGCACGGTACGTCACTCATCACTCATTTCTGTCAATTGTATACTAATCTTACATAGTTTGATATGTATCATCACAGTAGTACTCCCTCGCAGGCTCCTGCAGAGCCGTCTGTTACTGCGCCTCCCTCGCTTGCTCGCCAAGGCTCATATGGCCATAATTGGATGCGAAGCTCTGTCAAATCGCGTGTCGTGAATGACACAACCACACGAAGGCCTCGTCAAGAACTCGAGGACTATCTAGATGCACCGCTCGAGGACGTCAACAATGTGGTGGCCTGGTGGGGTGTACGTCTTGTTATTTTATTTGTATTGCTTTCGTACTAACATGATTCAAAAAAACTTTAAAGCACCATTCTATACAATACCCGACTATTTCCCGCATCGCAAAGGACTACCTCGCCATTCAGGGATCAGCTGTTGCGTCTGAGAGAGCATTTTCGAGCGGCGGCATTACTGGGACCGTGCATCGCAGCTGTTTGAAGCCGACAACATTCGAGGCTCTTCAATTGCTCAAGAGCGCATACCACCAAGGTCATATCTCCGCAACAGCCCAGGCTGAATTCGCCACTCCTTATGATAAACACGTCGACGTCAATGAAGAGTTCTAGTAGCTATTCGTATTGTACATGTCATTTTCATTTTCATTTTTTTTGCTAATTAAATCAATGGTTCGAGGGTTCGAACGCGTTCTGAACCTGAACTGAACCCTTGTGAACGCGTTTGAAGGCGTCCGGTCCAGGGTTCGGCCATCTTGCCTGAACCTGACCACTGGTCGAGTTCGGGGTTCGCAGATATAGGGTGATGAACCTGACCGAACCGGACTTCGGCAGCACTAGTAGTAGGAATGACACTCGCAGCAAAACTGATGGCCACCGAACGGGACATGACCTACCCAGCGTCAATATTCATAGACAACCAAGCAGCAATATTATCGGGTGAGAATTCCTATACGAAATCAGGCAGTTACTTAGTAGATCAATTTTGCAGCATGACAAATCTATTAGCAGATAACAGACGAACTCGCGGACTCAACTTTGACCTCACGCTAAGATGGATACCTGGGCATAAGGGAGTAGATGGAAACGAGCCAGCGGACAAGGCGGCAAAAGAAGCGGCTGAAGGAAGGAGAAACTCAAGCGTGCGGGAAAGACTACCAACCTACCTCCAGAACGAGGAGCTACCGGACAGTGTATCAGCATTAACGCAATGGCACCAAGATGAGATCAACAAGAAATGGTCAACGATGTGGAAGAAATCACCAAGACATCCACGAGCATCCATCATAGACCCAAGCATGCCATCTAACAAGTTCATCAAGCTCATTGCTACGCTCCCAAAACGTCAAGCAAGTATCTACACCCAATTACGCACTCGCCACGCCCCACTCAATCAACACCTGCATCGCATTGGAAAGAGCATAACCCCAAACTGCCCTACATGCCCCGGCATCGAAGAAACAGTACCACATTTCCTCCTTGACTGCCCCCAATACACGCGAGAACGACACGTCCTATCAAACGCCCTACGCCGCAAAGCTAACTCCATCACCTATCTCCTCACCTCGGACAAAGCAACCAGCCCGCTCATGAGATATATCAGCAACACAGGAAGATTTAAACGCACACTCGGTGAGATATCGGACGCTTAGAACAATTGTACACTCACGCACAACGAAACTAACAGATAAACATCAAACATCATCGCCATCATCAATCCACACGCACATAAATACCTCAAACACATACCCAATATACCCAACATATACCCAACGCTCCGAGACTGGATGGAAGGACTCTCATCAGGGAAAACCTCTTCCGGGAAATAGGGCGAATTTGTGTAAATGATGGTGTTTTATCGAGTTTTATTGTGTTTTATCATCATGTTTCAGATTAGTGACATTTATGAACTAACCAACAGCCCCCTGACGCCTTCGTTGGAATAAAGTGGGCAAAAGTGCCATAAAATGCAATAAAGTGTGCAGCATTAATAAATCTTTGTAATAGATGATCCTCGAGCAATATCACAATGACGAAGGTGAAACAAATATTATATTGTCATTCAGACTCAATATACAATATACTACATAACTGCTAATCAGACAATGGGCACACTTGAACCCTGAAATAAGATCATAATTGCGTCAGTCAGCAAGGCTCGAGATTAAAGAATGGCCACACTGACTAGCTTCGACGGAAAAGTGATTTCTGTGGTCAGAAAACCTCAAACTCGCCAGAGGATCAAACTGGGTCACTCGCGTCAAGTAGTGCGCCGTCCCGAGTATCGCTAGCATGTACAACAGTGGCCTTCAGCGTGAGCGAAGGATTGACACCACGAACGGGTGGGAAGGACAGTTCTACGCGATATGAGTAGATACGCATAAGTGAGAAGTAGATTACTTACCGAATTGTTCATCTCCATGATCGAGCAACTCATCCCACGATGGTTGAAGTCTCTTAGTGGTGGGTGGAATGAGCAGTAGGAGAAGACGGGGGTAGGATATGTGGACTGTAGATGGAGTTTGGCGACAGCGCGAGGGTTTGGTGGTGGCTGATAGGTACACCCAAGGAGTGTGCGACTGAAAGTGCGTGCGCTTTCATTGCTCATGAGTCGAGCTGGAAAAGCACGTTGTAAGGAGACATTCGACAAGGCCAAGGTTGGTTGATGTCGTGTTGTGGTTGAACATTGAACATTGAAATTTGAAAGTTCGAACCAAAAGTCATGTGAGTGCACGTGGGAAGTAAACAAACAAGTGCAAATGTTGGACTTCAGAACATTTCAAACATGTACAAACATTGCAAGCGTCTCAATAAGCATCGCTTTGCCTCAAACGTCCTCGCCTTCTTCGCTACATCCGACAGTGGCATTGTCAATGAAAACCTTATTAAACATTTCTCCAATGAGGTCTGGGTCGCGCTTGGTCGCATTCACTGCCGCGGAAGGCATATTCTTGGGCTCCGAGTCCCTTCGTGTCCATATTCTGGCTCAAGGAACACGGTCTCATGCCTGGTCTTACGTTCTCCAACGAGCTTATCAGCTGTGAGTGAGGGTTTGCATACTGACTTTGCTTGCTTGCTCTTTAGCCACCTCAAGCATTGCCTGCACCCTGAAGTGACTGGTGTGTGTGTTGTCTGTATGTGTGTCAATTTTACGTGCGCAGAATAGTTGAACAGATCCAGCACCATAGTCTCGCAGCAGGTGAGTTCGCTATGTGGCGAGCAGCTGTTCCTGCAAAACGGACGAGCTTAGATGTTCTTAATGCTTCCCCCTTGTTTTTTTTTTAATGCCTTAAAAGACATGTATTATATATACTTACTTCAATGTAGGTTAATATACATCCATATTTTCCGTGAATATGTATCTTTCTGTAATAATATGTGATAAAGTTGAGAAAGTTGACTAAAACCAAGTAATTCTGCAAATTTTGCATGGGAGCTTTTCCCTGATGCTCGCAGGTCGAAAGTCGATGTATCCCTACATTAATATTCCCTCTGTACGAAATCAGCATCGGCCTTTGCCCGACCACAAGCTGACGGAGTACGCGTTCATCATATATCACAAGCCAGATTACACATATACTACGATAGACTAAGCGGGAGTAAGCCCCCCGCGTAAAGGGCTATGTCCGATATAAGGTCAATGACCTCAAAGGACAATAAAACTGATTTTTAAAAAAAAAAAAAAAATTACGTCCAACGGTTCGATATCTCCAGCGAACGCGATCCAACCACTCAGTTGCATACACTGAAAAGAGCGAAGCGCTCTAATGGTACACGGATGGGCGACATCATTCCAGTCTCTCAGCTTCGAGCGCCAGTCCATCTTGTTCCACGTTTTGGTGCTACTGCAGACACACGTCTCACGGCATATAATAGCATGGAGCACGCGAGGGAGTTTTGGTTGAACTACTTTTGGGACAAGCATTCATTTTTTGCATTATCCGAGTAGACTAAAACATACAACATGTACTTGGGATTCCGTTGTAGAATGTGACGTTTTTTTCTGAGGTACGAAAATAAAGTTGGCCGCAGCGTCGTTGATGTCGGCTCCCCTTATCAGTGACATGCCTGCGCTGGACAAACTCATCGATCTCGAGCTTAATCAGTTACTATCTTAGAAGAAGCACCAACCAATGCAGACCAGCCCCAGGCTCTCAGTCATAGTAATTTATGCCGCTAGTACTACTTGGAATACAATACTTCATACTAGTATACTTACTACTTAGTTGTAAGGTGCAGTAGGGACACCATTCCTTGTAAGTCCTGTTGAACTGTGAGCGACTGAAAGTGCTGCATTACTATTCACTGTGAGCCTGCGTGAACTGTGGAGTCCTGTGGTTTGCTGCCGCAAGACCCCAAGTGTGTGACCTCTGTGAGAAAGTTGTAGTTTACTGATGTCGAATACTTATACCAGCTGCTTAGCGTCGCGAAAGAGCATGGCCACAGGCCTCCCATTGATCTCGGCGAGCCGCAAGCAAATGTATTGCATAGCCTTGCATTGGCTTGCGGGCGGGAAATCCTCCAAAATGGATGTGTGGTTATAATAGGTTTGAATTTGCAGATATTGTCAAGTAATAGTCGAGTCGGTAGATGAGCAACGATGACCAGAGGCCGGCGCTCCATGCAAGTATAGTGCTCAAGATAAGAAACTATCTTCTTCATCTTGGCGCACGATTAGACAAATTGGGTTGTTGCATCGCCTCGTTTACGAAAATGTTCGGTCGAAGTGTAACGAACCGGGTTGTAACGAACTGCCTCATTTTCGAAGTGAAGTGAAGTCAGTTTGAACTGAGTTCAGTTCACCAGCAACACCACATTTAGCTAACATTCACACCCTCGACGTATCTCTCGGTGGCAAAATAATAAAATGCAACACTCACTTCAAAAAGAATGGCGAGGCGTGACGCTGACATAGGTCAGGCAGAAATCCAGTCTGACTCGAGCGTGAAGTGACATGTTCAGTGAACACGGGACCGCTTTCAATTCAAAGCGCAATGGCCTTGCTGAAACGTTGGTCTATTGCCCACTAGAATGGGCGAGCGCTTCATCGCGAAGCACGGTCGCCTACGCGTAGGTCTTATTCATCGAGGCGCGTGGAGAGCAGTGTAGTAGACCCACATAACGATGCAGACCGACCTGTGTGACCGGCAGGGCATATTATAAGCCTGTCCTTCAATACGTTCAAGGGAATACTGCAAAACATATTGTCAACATGTGAATGCAGTCCAAAGAGAGGATGACAGTAACAACACACGTTAAAGGCCATGTCACCGAGGGGCAGTTTCCAGTGGTAAGTAGCGAAGAGACTTGAATCGTAAGACGGTGGAATGACGGAGATCACAATGCATAAGTGCTGATTGAGATCAAATGAACGGAGATTCGAATGAGTTCCACTTCGTGTTGTGGAAAACTCGTTGGATGGTAGTGGGATGAATTGAAGAAATCAATAGGCGTCACTCTCGCGTTTAAAGCTGGATATTCCAGGCTGTGCAAGTGCTGTATACACGTTATAGCACTGCGTTTTTTTGTCTTTTTTGTCTTTCCAGAACGTTTCTGTCGTCTTCGATAGTACAAGGACTGGTAGTATCCCCAGGAAGGAAATCCAAACTGAAATATCGGCATGATGATTTGCTATCTATCTATGTGCCTGCGACACATGTGCTCGCATAAGCATGAGTGCTATGCTCTGTCAGAGTAAAATAGCCACCATTCCCCATACAGGATTTTCATTGCCTGCGATGCCTGTATCACAGTATCAGTATTTTTCGTGAATCATTGAGTGTGTGCACTTACAAGTTTGTCTGTCCAGTCAAGTTGCATGCTGCGCATGGCCGTGAAAGAGAGAGAAATACTTTTGCGATTGATATTGCTACTAGTGTGGGTTTTATGATGCCTGAAATGCCGAAGTACAGGATATGCAGCCGATGAGAAAATGCCAGTAAGAGTGGAAGACACTGCGCATAGGCACCCGACGGATATGAGAGGAACAATAGCGATGAGAATGAGGCGTGTCAGGGCGTCAGTGACACTTGACACTGAATATGCGGGCTTCTCCCGCGTGGTCAAACTTTATTCGATGATTGGTTGCGTCGGACAAAGAGTCGAACTCATGATACTCTCCAGCCCCTGTGAAAAAAGGCCCTGCATCCAGCCGATTGGTTTCTTCGGGGAGGAAGTCGAGGCTGTGATCATCTGGAACCCCTGAGGAGAAAGACCTTGCACCAAGCACCAGCGCTGTAAGTCTTCGGCCGTAACTCTGCGCAACGACGATCAGTGCACGTCTGATTTTCCATGGTGTCAACATACGCAGCCAGTATCCAAGCCGACGGACCACCTCTTGACATCCAGACCACGGCCTGCTGCATGGCCATACACGACAGTCGACGGATAACAAGGGAGATGAACGAGTTGACTCTCCTGGTAGCCGGTGAGCCGTGTAACGGAATCAAATTGAGCATTGGAATCATGGAAACCAGAGCATCTGCCCATGATTTCATTCCAGAGGTCGGAGAATGGGGTCCCCTTGTGGCTGCTGGGCGTGAGCTTACCGTTTTTGAGCACGCTCCTTATGTTCTGTACAGTCCATGGATCTTGGTTCTGCGGTATCTCTGAGAGCAACGCGAGCTCCTGTGCCTTCCGTATAGCAGGGATGTCATGCTTGCGCTGCTGTATGGATGGCCAGTGCGACAACGGTTGCTTATGATGCGTAGATCTCCGGCGTGGGTCGGCTGCGAGCAAACCAGCATGGACGAAGAACACATGGCCTGCCGGCGCGTAAAGAACGAGAGGGAGAGATCGCAAGTATTCGTACTGTGAGCGGGACATTGCTCGCGCAACCTGGTAATGGTCCCCTAGAGGCCTCCAACCTTTAGGGACCTTGTCTCCCCAGTCAGGTTTCTTCATCAACGGACGCCATGGGTTGAACGCAGATATGTCGCCCTTCTCAGATGCAGGTTCATAATCAGACCAATGCTTGTCAACGTGTCTCAGCCACTTTCTGCCTCCAGGCTGAGATACAATCCAGTCCATCCAAGCGCGCCACTCCAGGACTTCCTGGTCATTATTTCCGCGAACGCCCAAAATCTTGTTGCTCTCCATAAACGATAAAACTGCTAGCGAGTCTTCCACGGGTGCCTTAGTAGCGAGGTCGCCGAGGTGTATCAAAATATCCCTCCGTGCGTCATAGGATATTCGATTAAGCAGAGTGCTGAAAAGATGTCAACACTGAGCATAGCCTGTATACTTCTGAGCGCGTACGTTAAAGACGCATTCATGCCATGTAGGTCGCCTATCACAATTATTCTCCTATCCTTATCGTCTGACATTTATTAGAGATTGGCGTTCCTATTCGATAGAGAGAAAGTTGCCAACTCACAAGTAGGGAACTGTTCATTAGATAGCGTATGTGTGAAATTTTCATAATGACTGAAATCAGGGAACTCTAAAGACGGTCTTTGTGAGCTTATCTATAATGACCAACGCTCTGGACTCGCTTACTGGAGCTAGACCTCGTCCAGAAACTAACCCGGTTTCGCACGTCGTCTGCAACGATGGCCCAAAGTACGAGGATAATGATAACTATGCCCAATAGAAAACCACCACAGCTGTCAATCGAGTAGGGCCTGGCCATCATATGCATGGGCACGGTGCGACCTGACCGGGTGTAGGAGAAAAATAAAACAGTGGGATTTATGTAACCAAATTAACGCCGATGACTCAGGCACCACATATGGTAAGTACCCCTAAGGTCAGCTCATTGAGCTTTTTGGGCCAAACAGAAGCGTCATTGACTAACAGGCGTCGTACGGAGCGCAGAAACAATTCCGTTGCTTGAATAGTTGTTTTCGCTTCACGAAGAAGCACAAAAGTCACTCCTGCGACGCCCATTGCGCGTTTCCGCAGAATGATGACAGCCGACGAACCAATGGTGTGGAGTTACTAAGCTCTTGCATCCGCTGTACAGTTCTTTACTTACAAAGTTCCTATGGCATGAGGCAGGGATAGCTCCACTGTATTAGTGCGATACAATACCCATATCCGCTGCAAAAGCTCTGAGAAAACCCCGTTTGGGAGGCTGGTCTCCTGACAGAGTTCTACGGAATTCCCAGAAAAGCCCGGTCAGAGTGCATTTGCCAAGTTCTTCTCTATATTTTGGTTTGTATATCCCGTGGAACGTCACATGGGCCATATACGATCGATAGGCCTCAGGAATTTCCGGAGACGTTATTTCTGTTGGCGGGGAACCTTGGAGAAAGACGATGTAGGAGGAGCGGTGATGGTAGCCTTGTCGAAACGGACTCGAGGCCTAGCGGGGGATGGCATTATTCGATTGTGTGTTATGTTTGGACAAGACGCAGGGAAGAGATGTGGTACTTCAGCGAGTTTCGCAGCACTCGGCAGCCACTTTAGTGGATTGATATGATCTTCTGTCTCATTGATGACGTCGGATCGCGGTGGAATCCTAAAGTGTGAAATTATAAATTTTTTCTGTTCCGCATTATCTTCATCTAAGTACAATTCCAACGATTCGAAATTCGAATGACTCACCTTCGTTAGATGAAGAATCGGCAAGATAATTATGCACATAATACACTAGCAACGCGCGCTCGTCCATTGTCTCCGAAATCAATCTCTAGCGAATCAAGGGCTTGCACGTGAGAGCTGTCTCCGGATTGGTGTATAGCAGGAGAGAAGGAGCTTCTGTCGAGGACAATAGCTGATAACCGATGGCCGTACGACTGCGCATGATTTGAGTCAAATCGTGAGTACAGGAATTTAACCTCACTCACACAACCAGTGTCCAGACCAATCGACCACCGCTTGGCATCTAAACCACGGCCTGCGGCATGTCCGTAGACGACAGTGAACGGGTAACATGGAAGCAAGGTTGACTGGTATGCTTCACCCGAACAATTCGACATTGCATCGTTCCACAATTGAGACCAAGGAGTTCCTATTCTGGGTTTGACGGACACCTGTCCTTCATCCGTGACACCTTTTATGTTCGTCACAGTCCATGGATCTTTGTTTTCGGGGATATCTGTGAGAACTGCAAGCTCCTGTTGATTACGCAGCTTTGCAATGTCATGTTGATCATCCACGGTAGGCCAATGGGAAAGAGGTTGTCTAGGGTCGGAAGGCTGGAGCGTCGGGTGGGAAGGTAACAGACCAGCGTGGACGAAGGCCATATGGCCAGCTGGAGAACGGAGTATAAAGGGCAACGAACTTAGATATTCGAAGTGTGCAGGAGACATGGCACGAGCAACCCTATAATGTTTGCCCAATAGATGCCAGCCAGCAGGTACCATCCTCTTCCAGCCTGCGTACTTGCTTTCCAAGACCCAGTTTTCCAGATCTCCCCTCTGGAGCCGTTTGTCTCCATCGAGGTGAGGCCATCGCCTGTCCATGGCTGTAAGCCATTCCAGACCTCCCGGACGAGATAGTATCCAGTTCATCCAAGCGCGCCATTCGATCACTTTTTGGTCATTGTTTCCTCTGACGCCTAAAATTCTGTTGGTTGACATGAACGTCAATACGTCGATGGACTCGTGAGTAGTCGCCCTCGTTTCCAGGTCCCCAACGTGAACAAGCAGATCTCTTTCCGAGTCGTAACGTATTTCGTCAAGTAAATCCCTGTAACAATCACACGCGGTGAGTTCGCAAAACACCCAATGACTAGACAACTCACGTCAATGAGCGATACATGCCATGTATGTCGCCAATTGCAATTATTCGGTTCCCTCTATCATCTGAGTGCAACTGTTAGTCTCTTGCAGTTGATACCAAGACACAATTAAAGACCTAAGGGAAGTAGATTGTCGGGAATGTTTTGTATAAAATTTACATTATAGTAGCCAAAGTCCGGGAAGTCTTCGATGGAAGTGAGTTCACGGTACGACGGTGGTCGATTCAAGAACCTACCAATGCCTTCAATGGGTAAAACGCGGTTTGTTTTGATCTCTTGAAGGACTCCGGTAATAAACACGAAAATTAGAAAAATGGCGAGAACTAGGAATGAAAGATGAGTCCAGAGAGTGGCCCCTGACAATGTGAACATCTTGGCCAATGTCAAACCATACTAGAGGTCGAACGTTTGTCCGCAACCGTGAGAGTTATTTCAACTGTACGTTAGTATGACTACCCTACATACGATGCTCGTTATGTAACTGCAAAGTTGGAGGAGAGGCTTAACCTCTCGCCTCAATATTACCCTCCATAGCCCTCCTTCTATTCACTTCGTCATAGTCTTTGTTGTCGGCAGCACTTGGACCGATCCACTTCCACGCGTTAAGCTTCACAAACTCTTCAAACGTCCACAGCTGTGCCCGGAGTTCTGAAGAAGAAAGGCACCATACGTAGGTAGCTGCATCTACGGGGTTCGCCAATTCGGACATAACAGGGATCGGGGGAGGCGTTGTGGCTACCAGAGACTTCACCTCGATGTCCCGTATGTTGGCCAATGGCCCCAATGGGTATATAGACACTATCTCTCTTGTATATTGCTGTGAGGAGGGGTTGCTTTGTGTCCACAGCCTCAGAAGTGACTCGCAGGACTCACGTTGCCCTCAAAGATGTCAAGGAGTCGGATATCTTCCTCCGATAGACCGGTTACCAGAGAACCTCGTACCGATCTCTCTTCTGGATTGAGGTCATGATCGAACATTGCTCGACTTCGTGAGTATGGCAGGATTCCAGGATAATCCTCATTCTTTCTTCATGTTATGTCAAGATGCTAGTGGAAGAAATGCCATCGTTCACCTTGACCTGATGCCTAGTGTAGTCCTGGAACGGGGCTGTGTTAAGGTGATGGGCCTGTAAGACTTTCTAGCGGACTAACCAGCAAGAGAGCGGGGCACATTTGAAGTTGACTACCATCGTGTCCAAGGACTCGTTTCAATATTTCCGGGTGCATCAACGTGCCATTGAAAAATGCGGATACCATTCTCAGATGAATAGAGGTTAGACCAGGATCTGATCTTCACGTTAGGGAGAGATCCAAACAGATCAGTCAATAAGGACTAGGATTGAGGAATGGGTCGACCGCCTGCACGCTTCAACTGATAAGTGACTCGGTGAGAAAGAACGGTTGTTGGACGGTTTAAACTTTTCCATATGCCTAGAATTGCTGATAAGATAAGATATACTTAGGTAGAAGCCGTGGCCATGGGGTATGGTTCAGATTCAGAATGAACGACTCTTCCGAAGTTCTTTCTACCTGCCTTAGGGAGACTAGCCCATGGCCAGTTCGGAGCCAAGCAAGTTGCGGAGAACTGGCCAACGAGTCAAGCTAGTTAAGCGTCCTAGTGGAAACTCAAGTGACATGTTGAACTGGTCGGGCAAGATGATAAATTGTGAAACATGCCAGGATAGGCCAGGATCCGGAGCGACGACTTGTCATGAAATGCAGTTCTCGATCAGTATCAAAAATTTTACGTCGGGTTTGTGTATGATGAGATTTGTTGATGTTTATGCCAAATTGTGTTATGTGCAAGCTGCACCAAGTCACATCACACAGTCTCACTAGCACTACGTAAGAGAGAAACGTCTTCTCTGTGTTATAGATCATCGATCAGGCTGCAGCTGGTCTCGAGCCTGCAGTCTACCTGACTAGTCGGTTTTGTTCTAACTCTTTTTTGCTAGTAGTCTAAACTCTACTCCAAGTTGCAGGAGGCTCACTCGAAGGCGATACGGGGATTCCACCGCTAGCAACAGCAACACCACTACCAGTGATCCAGCGTCGAGCATGGAGACATTCGCTTCTACGTCTACAGGAGTTCCCACCCAGCCTCCCAAGAAGAAGAGAACGCCAACGAATCCCAACAATCTTTTCAAGCCCAGTTCGGACTCGACGACAGCGCGTAACCTCTGTGGAATCGAATGGCAGGCCGAGCACAAGACAGGTACCATCGCCGAGTTTGCTGCATACTGGAACAGCCTTACGGCCAAACAGAAGGAGTCTTATGCTTCTCGCTCGAAGCTTGTCGACGCCGTAAGTTTTTGTTTGCCTTCGTGTTAAATGTCGTGCTCATCTCAATCGCAGGCTAAGGCGAATGTTGTCGAATTCATAGCCAACTTGAATGATCTCAACACATGACTCTCCTGCCTCAACTCTCTTCTCTGCTTGTCCTGCTTCCTCTCACATGTTGTCGTTGCTTTTGTTCTCTCGCTGCCCCAACCTGGTCCGCGGCAATCGCTTAGTTATCATGATACCGGCATTCACTTCCATATCAACTGCTGCACAATTCTGCCTGTTACTCGATTGATTGTTGTACGCCAATCCTGCACCGTTCTGCACCCTCCTGCATTGTTCTGTTCTGTTACTACCGCACTGTATGCTACACAATCCAATCGCGTTCTTAGCATGAGCTCGTTACTGCGATCCCTAACCATGCCAGTCTGCCACAGCCTGTTACGTCGAGTTTTCCATGACTCGCGGTTTGTTGAAGTCCGGAATGACATCCAAGGAGGACATGTCAAAATGAGACTAGTCAGGATAACAATGTTTCATCCTCCTAGCTTGTTCGCCTCTCTGAGTCTTATCACCAGATGGTTAATTCATGGTGATACATACTGATCTGCCCATTTCATTTCTGCATCGGTGACTACTGGCGCTCCCACGCTGAGTCACCTGGAGTCCTGACTCGAGTCACACCGTAGCCTAGGTTTTTGGGTACTAATAAGCTCTGACCTGCACTGCGCCCACGGACGCAACGGCTGACATGAAGAACCCAGTGTCCTCCGAATTAGCCCCTAGCACATTGACTACTGATGTAGAGCTAGACAAACAGGCTCCGCCTTCGTTTGGGCACGCGATGCACAAGCTCTTTGAGTTTGACCCATCATACGTGAACCTAAATCACGGTGAGTTCTACCGGGTGTCATGATTCATACCACATCTTCATTGATGGCTGACGTATTGAAGGTTCATATGGTTCATTACCCATGCCAGTTAGAGTTGCATGCGATAAGCTCTCCACTCACATTGAAGCCAACCCAGACAAATTCATGCGCATCGAGTGCATTCACCACTGGAATGAGGCTCGTACTCGAGTGGCCAAGCTGATAGGCGCAGAGACTGACGAGTGTGTCTTGGTGCCTAACACATCGTACGGCATAACTACGGTTCTCCGCAATTTCGAGTGGCATGAAGGGGACATCATTATTGGGAGTAGGTCAAGAATCACCACTTCGAAGCTCTCCCGCTTATGTTCCCCTTCCCTCCCAAAATAGCTACCACGACTTATGGTGCTGTGTCCCGAGCGATTAGGTATCTTGGAGATATCACACCATATCCACAAGTGTCCACATTCAATCTCACGTTCCCTACCTCACATGCGGAGATACTGGAGAATTGGCGAGAACATATCCGCCGAGTGACCTCGGAAGCGAGCGATCTCAAACAGACTCGCAAGGTCGTGGCTGTAGTAGATGCCATCGTGGCCAATCCTGGCGTGCGTCTTCCTTGGAAAGAAATGGTGGCCATTTGCAAGGATGCAGGTGTCTGGTCAGTGGTCGATGCTGCGCATGCAATCGGCCAGGAAGTAGACATTAACTTGTCGGAGGCGAAGCCTGATTTTTGGGTATCAGTTAGTCCATTTATTCTCACTCGTGATGTCCTTTTCTTGACCAGCTGAGCTGAACAGAATTGCCACAAATGGCTTTATGCAAAGAGAGGCTGCGCAGTCCTTTATGTCCCTAAGCGGTGTGTTCCGACCTTGCTCAACTATTGATGTATAATGAGACGGACTAGAAACCAGCATGTCATCAAATCTCCTATACCCACCCCACACAATTATCTCTCACCTCGAGATGAGCACCACAATGGCCCACAGACATTTGTAAAGCTTTTCCAATGTTAGTTCTCTCGAATAAATAGGCCCATATAACTTTGAACGCTCATGTCTCGTGATTTTTAGGGACAGGGACCATAGATTATGTTCCGTTCCTGAGTATAAATGCAGGTTGGTGCGAGGTTGTCATTAACATCACTATTCTGACTGCGATCAGCCTTGGACTTTAGACAGTGGCTCGGCGGCGAGCACAAGATAAACGAATATACTCACAATCTCGCAATTGCAGGCGGGAAGCATCTGGCAAGTCTCCTAGGAACCAGCGTAATGGACCCTGACGGCGACCTAACTTGGAACATGGTGCGTAAATGTATCTGCCTCTTATCTCGCGTTTCATGTTCCCTGGTCAGGTCAACGTGGAATTGCCCATTCCCGGCGACATCACATATTCGGATGAAATTAACTCCCTGTTGCAAAGTACATTGTTGATAGAGTGCAACACGTATGCCGCTCACTACTACCATAATGGAAAATGGTGGACAAGGTGTAGTGCGCAGGTATGGAACGAGGTGAGAAAAATCTGTTCGAAGAGACATCCTCTTGGTTCTTACCGATAAAAAAATCAGATTTCGGATTTCGAAGTTCTCGCCAGTGCTTTGAAAAACGCGTGCCAGAAAGTAGTGGAGTTTGCGAAGCAATGAATTCTTCTTTCACGAAGCAAGATCTTCCCTACGAGAATTCGAGATGGAACAATAAATACTTAGACCGAAATGCCAAGAGCGCGTGTTGAATTGCAGGCGAAGTACTTGCTGACTAAGTTATGGATCATCCCGGAAAGATGCACTGACAACGAGCCTGGGAGGTTCCCTGAATATCCGGCGTGGTAAGGCTGTTTTCCCATGTTGGCACGCACAGCGTATAAGGTGAACTTAACATGGTGGGAGACGACGGCGAGAGATTCATTACGAGCGCGACATTATGGTTTGCGCAAACACGTGACCACCGTGACAGCCACAGACGCGTCTCATATTTGTGGCTCCGTCCACTCTGCACGCGATGCACACTCCTATGCACACGCACACGCACACTCAACTACAAGTACTTTAAAGCACTACCCCACATTCTCCATTGAAGAACCTGTGATGGCGGAAGACCTTTTGAAATCTCTTAACTCTGCTCAGACTAGATGTATGTTTCCTTCTTGTGACATTAAATTTCTGTATTGAACTGGTTCAAATAGGTGTAACTCATCGTCCGGACTCACCGCTCCAAATCTTAGCAGGTCCTGGAAGTGGGAAGACGAAAGTTCTGACATCACGAATCGCCTACATGATATTGCACCATGGCATGGACCCGTCGTCTATATGCGCTGTTACATTCACCAACAAGGCGGCCAACGAAATGAGAGCGCGTCTCGTAAAGCTCATTGGTAAAGATAGCGTCAATCAAGTGAAGTTGGGCACTTTCCATGCGATTTGCGCTCTCTTTCTGCGGAAATATGGGATAGCGGTGGGCCTTGACGGGAACTTCACTATATGTGATTCTGATGAGAGGTACGTCGCTGAGACGATGCAATAATGTCGTATTGAAACTCTATTGTAGCAAGCGAATTGTCACGAAATTGTTGAAGCCTTACAGCGATTTCCTTGCGTCCAAAAACATTTCAGTGAATGCTGCTACGATATGTTCAATGATTTCTCGAGCCAAATCCAAGGGGGAAACTCCAGAAGACGTCATGCCACGCAAAGGAAGCTCAAGCAAAGCTGCTTCCATGGATTCAACGAAGGAAGATATTCAGCGCGTCTTTGCAGAAATATACCGCGACTATGAGACGACTTTGCGAAAAAGCAATAGTTTAGACTTCGACGACCTTCTTCTCTTTGGCGTAAGGCTTTTCTCACAGCACCCGAGATATGCTGCATGGTGTCAGCATATACTTGTCGATGAATTGTGAGCTGTTGTTTTTCTTGATGATCAATGCTTACCCAAAGTCACACTAGTCAAGACACGAATGCAGTCCAATACGAGCTCATGTGTTGCATCGCTGCTGCCAGTCGCTGCGTGACGGTTGTTGGGGATCCCGATCAATCAAGTACGCTCTGATTGTTGATTCCGCATGTTGATCTAATTCTCAACTGCACAGTATACGGCTGGCGATCTGCAGACGTTACGAACCTTGGCAAGATGCAAAACGGTAAGTTTGAGGCAACGCATATACCCACCGAGTGAACCAATTTGACTTGGTTTGTAGACTTCTCGAATGTAGCGCAGGTCATGCTTGAGCAGAACTACCGTTCAGCAGGATCTATCCTTGCCGCAAGCCTCGCCATCATCTCGCAAGGTGAGTTGTGCAGTCGCATAATATGTTTTTACCAATCCTTTCAAAGATACATCGCGGATTGCAAAAACCCTGCGTACATCTCATCCACTCGGGCCACTCCCGATGCTCCGTTCGTTCCCTACAGAACATGACGAAGCCGGTTTCATTGCATGGGAGATCAACCGCATGATAGCACAATCAGGAGGGATGTTAGGGTTTGGAGACTTCGCGGTTCTTCGTACGCCCCTCCTTTCCAAAGCTCGAATTATTTACAAACAACTTGCAGTGCGTTTTAATGCCATATCCAGATCAATCGAGACCGCGCTTCAAAAGGAAGGTATCCCCAATCGAATACTTGGTGGACATCAGTTCTTCCAACGGGCAGAAGTAAGTGATCAGCTACGCGTTCAGCCATTAGACAACAACCTGGTTTGTCATAGATCAAAGATATATTGGCGTACCTTCAGCTCGTGGACAATCCACAATTTGAGCCAGCATTTTCTCGTGCTATCAACATTCCTTCCCGGGGAATTGGAGACAAGGTGAGGGCCGACTACTGTTAGTTGTTGTCTCCGCGACTTATCCACCGCCGATAGTCTCTCGCCGAAATCCTTTCACGAGCACAGAATCTCAGCATCTCACCGTTGACTCTCGTCGAACGCATCCACGACTCCATAATTCCTGATCTGAAACCATCTGTAAAACGCAAGGTCCAATCCTTCGTGAATGTGATACGGTCCCTGAGATCGTCTGCCACCGACGGGATGGAACCAGCCGAGTTGATTGGCGAGTTGGTCGAGCTCATCGGGTACCAAGAACATCTGAAGAAATCGCAACCTGACTGGGACACACGATGGGAGAACGTTCAGGAACTGATTAATTTCGCGAGCGACGCCACTGCTGACGCCTCAAAGATTCCTGTTGTTAGTGGAGACGAGTCATCGTTACAGTGAATTATCTTGTTGGGCTTATTATTGACGCAACTATTAACCAACTGCCCAGAGATACTCCGCTAAGGCAGTTCTTGCAAGAATCAATGCTATCATCTGCAGGTGATCAGTCGGACGAGAACGATGACGAGGTTTGTCTCTCGAGGTCAAATTTCGCATTACTCATTATTTGCAACAGAAAGTGTCTATTGCGACTTGTCACGCTGCGAAAGGCCTTGAATGGCCAGTCGTTTTTGTCCCAGCAGGTTTGCAACTTCCCTTCTACTGTTTATTCCTGCGCATATATATAATCATATTATCAGTGGAGGAGGGAACCTTCCCTTTTTACCGGTCAGATGACATCCAAGAAGAAAGGCAAGGATATCATTCTATTTATTAATTTATTCTGACAGGATCAATCAGACGCCTTCTATATGTTGCATGCACGCGAGCGCAGACGTCACTTTACCTAACCCACACCTCAGGGCGCAAGGTTGCTGGCGTCATCAAACCCCGAGACCTGTCTAAATTCATCTCTAAAATCTGCTCCAAGCATCCGGTAAGATATTCCTGTGAATCGATCGAACGACATCGTGTCTGAAGCTTGTCTTTTTTTCTTTCCAGCCGTTGTTTTCCGATATGCCTCATACTCACTCCACTCAAGACCTTCGTCTTATAGCAAGAATTTTGGATAGAGGGTCACGCATACCTGATGAGCTGGAAGTGAAGCGACGAATGACAACGTTGTGCGTTATCGTCTGTTTGACGAGTCTCGAAGGTGGCTTCAGCTAATTCCATCTTAGTAATTTGACCGCAAGACAGATTCACCTGAGCCACACGAACTCCGATGGGAATCTCGAGAACCAACCCGCTCCTCCGCCTCCTATCACGAGAGACATTCCTCTTGGTTATATGCCCGCGTTTCAGAGTTAGTCTCCTGTATGCTCGTTTGATAAGAGCTCACGTGTTGCCCTAGGTGTACGAGCTGGCTTGCGCAAGGATGGGACCCAAACCACAGTCAAGGTTCCCCTTCCAGCACCACAAGTGGAACCGCCCAGGTTGACGCCAGCAGACCTGACGGATGGTTTTGTCGACCAGTCAGCTCCATTCTCTGCATTTCGTCCTCGAGCCAAGGCGGAATCTCTAGCCCAATTGGCTGTAAAGCCTCGATCGGATCGTCCACAGTTAGTTGCAACCATGTCGACGGAAGTCACTAAAGCAGCTGTGATTGAAACCAAGCGAATGGGTCGAGTTATGGCCAGGCCGGTGGTCAAGCCATTCGAGCCAACGCAAGTAGATCTAACGGACGGGTTCGTCAACCACTCAGTTCCGTTCGTTGCATTCCATCCTCCAGCCAAGGTAGAATCCCCGACCCAACCGGCTGTACATTCTCGATCAGATCGTCCACAGCTATGTGCACTGGTGTCAACGGAAGCCACCGAACCAATTACGGTTGGAACTAAGCGAAGAAGATTGGGAATGGGTCGAGGTACGACTGGGTACGCTAATAAGAAATTCAAAGTCCCTGCGCCGCCGTGATATCCGCGGGGTCGTAGTCTATTTACTTACATGCTGATCGATTATCAGTCTCCACAACTCCTGTGGCGTCATCACGCTACGAGAGTGGAACGTCTACTGCTAGACATGTAGGCATTAAATCCATATAGCATCACTGGAGACTCATGCCTGTTGAGGTTTCAATGTATACGTCACGAGCAGAAGCACTCCTGCCTTGTTTGAAGTCAACACATCGAAAGATTGCCGCGTGAATTGGATAAACTCGTGATTGTTTAGTACGTGGTCTTTAAGACCATCCCAATACTGCGAGTGCTGGGGCCCCGTTCTGACGACACAACGCGTTTTCACTATTTTCCGTGATCTTCCGATTCATCTCTCCCAAGAAGACTCACTGATATCAACTTTGAGTTGTCACAGACTCACAGCGCTTGGAAAGCGTGGCTGGTGAGGGGGAGGAATGCCATCGATGAAGGAGTTGGGATCCACTGTGGCCAGTGCCGCCCACTCGCTTCGTGTGGTCAAGGTTTAGTTTAAAGCTGTTTGGCGAGCAGTCTGTAATGGATCGACTAGAGAACTGCCAGGCAGACGCTAGTACTGGCAAGTTGGAAGGTCACCTGCCTGGTCCTGCCACCCCACTCCTGCGAACATGAGGCAACCTCATTTTCTCCACAAATGAATCGGGGTTTACAGCATGGAACTGATGAAGGCGTCAAGACTCAAGCGAACAGCTTGCCAATGCTGTAATCACTGGACCCTAGCATGGAACTGATGAAGGCGTCGAGACTCAAGCGAACAGCTTGCCAGTGCTGTAATCACTGGACCCTTGTACAGCAGGGCTGTGGTATTTGCCAGGTACGCCAAAGACTACCGTTGCCGCTCAGTACTGCATCTGGCGGGTCCCACCCTGCCAGCATGAGGTGAGACTTCTTGTTTTGGATCCTGTCAGCCGTTCTTTTTCCTTCATTTTTATCTGCCGCGATCAGGTCAAGGCCGCTGCTTTTAGCAACCTCGTGTCAATCACAGCCAGCTACCCGCAGTCTTCCTGATAATAATCTCAGAACGCACATCAAATCACATCCCCTCTTCAATCATTGAATCCCAGGTCGAGTACATATTTACTCTCCAGCCGTTACACATTCATCCCTAGATTGTTTCTTACGTCTGCCACAACTGATGGCCAAGTTTGACGCCCGAGATCAGTCCACTGTGATGGACTCGTTCTGCAGCTATGACGGCGTTGACTGGGTCCATCAACAGAACCAGTCCCGTCCAATACGCTCCAGACACTCGTCATCCTCGACAATTCTTGATCGTCACGCAGTTGCTACAAAAGCTCCGCCCATTCCCAGACGCTCATCCGAGGATTCGGCTGGTGCTACTAAAGACATCACTTCTCTCAATCAGCTGTGGAATACCCTTAGGCAACAGAAGCAGCGCCAAATGGCCAAGGAGCCTCCAAAAGTCAACTCCTTGAAGGCGTCGACGCCTATACACTCACCTACCCCGTCACGGACACCAGATCCTGTAGGGGCAGTGAGGAAAGTAATGACGCCTCAACCCCTCAAGAGGCGAAAGTCAAAGTACGCCATCATTTATTCAACACGCTGGATTGCTCACAGATGATATTCGTCGACTACAGCGTCTCGTTTCGAGAGTCCCGTGATGGTCGTACTGTACGTATGATTACTGTATATGAATGTACGTTGCGCACACGCCTTACCTCCGCACCCAGGTTACGGCCACGTTTGATCTACCGGGCATCAAAAAACATAATGCCCATGTTAGCTATCGCGGCAGTCATCTGACTGTGACATGGGAAACAGTGAAAATCACTGAGATCGATGAAGGAGGAACATTGGTCAGGGAACGAGAGAAAAAAGAGTTTTCGAGGACTATTCCTCTTCCAGAGGGAACCAAGGTAAGCCCCTAACATTCGCATACCGTTGCTCCTGGGGGAGTATCGTTGCAGGCTGTGGTTGGCTAATCTCATAACACTTCTCTCGGCAGTTTGAAGAAGTTGGTGCACGTATGGACGATCGTTATTTGATCCTAACGTACCCAAACATGCGGTCGGTACGAGTGGAGCCTCGACAAATGGGGCACCGGCAGGTTGAACCTCGTCGCATAGAGCCCACGGAGATCGAAGCCTCAGACGTGTATGAATATTAGTTAGACGCACGTATCATGCCTACGGAGTTTTATTTTATGGTCCCTTTCCTTTGCTGTCGATACACTGTATACATACCGCATCCACGTTTGTCACGTTGTACGCTTACTCGCTATATGGAATCAATTCACCTGCTTCGCACCACTTGAAATGGCAAAAGGGCAAGCCAGCAGCTATCTGACAGGTCGGAAGTGCCGTCCAACTGATAGACCACACTGACGGATTATCTGCCAATAGCTTGCCACCAGGCAGTTCGCGTGGTTTAAAAGTGCGGGAATCAATGTCTCGTGGTAGCTCGTGTCTTGACTAACGGTTGATCGTTAACCTTATCTAAAACGCCATAAAGGTCAAAAATAGCTCCCTGAACTAGAAGTCGAGCATACAAGGATATCTGCGGCCACAAAATGCGCCGCATTACATGTCATCCACGCTCCATTCATAACTTGCTGCTGTGTTCCGCTTTCTCTCATTATGTCGCTGGAAGTACTTCTTCTCGAAGCCATTGCCGCGATCTGCAAGCGACGTGAGGAATTGCTAGAAGGGCGGAGAGGGCTACGGCAACGTACCTACGCCATCCCATCTATAGCCTGGCTTTATGCCAAAACGGTTTGGTTCAGGTAATGGTCCCGTGTACTCAGGTTTTCGGGGACCCTTAGATCTACTTTTCTAGTGAACCATACGTTATCAGCAACAAGAAGTCGAGGTTGAATACATAGGTGCTTACTGTGAGGAAAGCGGCGGCTGGATCATTCCAACGTTCTTTAGCCTTCAGTTCTTCATTTAGTTCCTTATCATCTGCACGCCTGGCGAACGGAAGTGATTTGTTCGTCTCAAGTTGACGTTTTCTCGCTTCCTCTTCTTGCTTTTGGACCAAGCCTTTGCCCCATTCCATCTTCTTTGCTTCCTTTTCCTCCCTTTCTCGTTTCTTCCTAGCAGCTTCCGCACGGGCGGCCTTAGTATCAATCTTCCGCCCAGACGCATCACGGTAAACGGTCTCTTGAGCAGCCTCCTCCTCTTCTTTAGTCAGCTCCTCTTGTTTCTGCTGAGTCTTAGGAAGGGCTTTCCGGAGTTGCGCTGAGGTCAACAGTCCACCAGTAAATGGTTGTTCGGGCTCCTCCTCCACGACGACGGTAGGCTGTTCATCCGCAGGTATCGGCGGACTTGCTTCCTTCTCACCAGCGCGAATAGTCGACCATCCAGAGCCTTCTTCGACACGGCGCTTCTTGAAGCTACGGTCCTTTGCGACAGCAGCCTCTGCAAAATCTTCTTCCTCGTCATTGCGCCTGGAACTTTCGCCTGCCCACTCAGCATCATCGTCCACTAACATCGAGGGTCCTGTGGTTGAGGTTTCGGCTTTGCGCTTCTTTTTCTTCTTTTGAGTTGTTCGAGATAGAATTGCGTCTGCTTTGGGCCCTGACATATATTTTTCAGCGAGGTATGCTTGCATGTTGGGCTAGGCAGTAGTACTAGTACTAGTGTTTTGAATGGAATAAGGTCGAACATAATATTCACAATGTCAGTATCCACGTGACCGATGCTAAACAACACCAAACGATTCAGAGACTGCCTGTCTAATGCACATCTTGCCAGATCTTGCCTCAGTCTTCGGACTATCATATGTATATGCATAAGAAGTGGATATAATTCGTGGATATAATGCACTTCATTTTGTGCTACAGAGAAATTTAATACAACGAAGTTATTGTGTCGTTTTGGAAAGCAGTAGAAATTGGACGTCGGAGAGACGTGTTATAACAAAGTAGGTGGAGTAGTTCGTAAATTGCGAATGTATCGTTTGTCCAAGAAGCTGGGTTTGCTGTGGTCGTCTAAGCAATTCGTCAAAGGGTTCGGTTCGGTCCAGCATGGGCGAATCCGAAGTGTCCACCAAGGGTGCTGTGTGTTCGAAGCAGCTCCTGCATCAACTACGTCTGTTGGGCCTGTATACCTGACGTCCCGATCTTCTTTAAAGGAAGACAACTCACGAGAATTTGTCAGAATGTATGGCCTTCGCTTCACGTGAGGGAGGTTGTGAAGTAGGTTGTGAAGTAGGTTGTTGTGTTTGCCTACGTCTGTTGGGCTTGTATATCTGATGTTCTTATCTGCTGTCAGGGGGACAACTCACGGAAACATTGCAGCATATGCGGCCTTGGCTTCATGTTCGGGAACGAAGGTCAAAGGAGGACAGTCAGGACGCTCGGTAGTATGTTTTGTTTTTTGTTTTTGCCTGCGTCTGTTAGGCCCGTATACTTGATGTCCCTATCTGCTGTCGGCGGAGACAACTCACGGAAACATTACAGCAGATGCAGCCTTGGCTTCATGTTCGGGAACGAAAGTCAAAGGAGGACAGTCAGGACGTTCGGTAGTAGGATTCGGATTCGATTTCGGTTTTTGCTTGCGTCTGTTGGGCCTGTATACCTGATGTCCCTATCTGCTGTCGGAGGAGACAACTCACGGAAACATTGCAGCATATGCGGCCTTGGCTTCGTGTTCGGGAACGAAGGTCAAAGGAGGACAGTCAGGACGCTCGGAAGTAGGTTTTTTTGGTTTTGGTTTTTGCCTGCGTCTGTTAGGCCTGTATACCTGATGTCCTTATCTGCTGTCGTAGATGACAACTTACGGAAACATTATAGCATACGCGGCCTTGGCTTCATGTTCGGGAACGAAAGTCAAAGGAGGACAGTCGGGACGCTCGGTAGTAGGTTTTTTTGGTTTTGGTTTTTGCTTGCGTCTGTTGTGCCTGTATACCTGATGTCCCTATCTGCTTTCAAAGAAGGCAACTCACGGAAACATTGCAGTATATGCGGCCCTCGCTTCATGTTCGGGAACGAAGTTCAAAGGAGGACAGTCAGGACGCTCAGAAGTATGCTTCTTTTTCGCCTGGCATCGATTGCCGCGGATCATGGCTGCAGAAACCTCAGAGGGACGACGCGCTCCAGAGGATGATCCGACACCAGAAGACGTTGATTGGTTGACAAGTGTCTTCTTCGGCGAACATGGAGGTGTTGCGAATTTCTGGAACGGCACAAAATCGAGAGGCCGACGGGAAGATATAGCTAGAGAATCCAGAATCTCGTTCGTTTCCACATGGGAGAGCATGGCAGCGCGAGCAAGCCTTTGCGTCAGAGTCATCGGTTTCCTGGCCCCGACGGGCTTTTTGGAAATTCGCCCTCCATTGGAGGCGTAGACCTTGGCTCGAGCAGGCGGAGTGACTGGCTGAATATTTGCACCGCCCGTGGAGGAAATGGATGTATCTAGCTGTACGGTCCGTAGCTTCCGTTTGCGCTGCGGTCCAGGCACCTCCGTAATGACTTGACGAATAAATTTGTCCACGGACACAGCCTCCTGATTACGGTTAAGCTAGATTGAGCTGGATTAAGCTCAAAGTTGATGGTTTCTGTAAAAAGCTGTACTTTGGCCGCGGTGGTGTTCCTAGTTGGAGCAAGGTTGACAATTGGAGGGACGAGGCCTAAGGATGGTTCGCGTATGTCCATCGAAGACTTGAAATGAAGCGAATCGAGGGCCTCTTCGTCTTGGGAGTCGTAAGCAGGTCTCTTTCGTTTTCTTGTGATCTTTTCGAAAGTCGAATGGATGTCTGACGGCAAGACAAAAATGATTCTTGCTTACAACGTATTGAACGTCTGTTTCTATGCTTTGATCAGAAGCCATGGTGGTGGTGGTAGTAGTACTGATGATGTTTGAGAATTCTTCTGAAGTCAGATAGCAAGTAGGTGAAGCAAACAGAAAGCCTAGAACGAGCAGAATTCAGCGGCAGACGATGTAAAAGGAAGTTGTGGCTGTGACCCCTCCACACTTGATGAGCCTGTCGGAGCATCGATTCCATTAAGCAAAGCAGGCAATTTCACGTGCAGCTGACCTCTCTTTGGAATCAGGTATTTAGCGTTTCATTTATCGTTTTAGTTGTTGACATACGAGGATCGTCCACGAACGCCCACCACGGACACGCATTGAACTTTCTCAACAAGCTACAACCGGTGTTCAAGTCCGAACAGTACATGCAGCTCTCCCTTTACGGCGACAGGTGTCCACAAGTTGTCAGGTCATGCATTCAATACATTGCAACACTTGGGCCTTGTTGCGAACCAATCTCATTCTTAAAATACCAGTAATTGCTACGTTCGCAAAGATACTCACAACGTTTCTCATAGATGTCCGGATTTTCTGTCATATTTTGCAGATTTTTCTGGGAGCGGGAATTCTGTCCCGTTGGTTTGTGATGCGGTCGCAATGTTATGACGACTTGTTCATTGAAATCACTGTCAGTCATTAACTTACGCACACTGCCTCCTTTAGCCTGCATAAAAGCATGGCCGCATAGTGGTTACTGGAGCAAGTTTCATTCCCTCCTTCAGCAAAAATGCAGCTCTCCTTCTCAACTGTATTCGCTTCCCTTGCTGCTGTCTTAGCTGTAGCCACTCCAGCAGCTGCTCAGCAGTGTTTCGAGGCTTCACGCTTTGGTAATGTCAACGTCAGTCCCACCACGCTCTCCCCCGGTGACGTGAGTTGTCTTCATAATTTATGTTGGCTCCTTCCGAGTCTGATTACCCTTAATCATTCAAGACCTTCACCGTGAAAGCAAATTTCACCTGCGCTGCTCAATTTGGCATACACCCCCAGTACACTGATTATTACATTGAAGTCCCTGTGAACAACAACGGCTACGAGCCTCCTATCCTGCTTGCTCGTCGCACCCTCAATGCGAGTTCGCCAACTCCTTTGTTGGACCAGTTCACAATGCAGGTTAGTTTTGGTGGTCATGTGGTCCGCGTGCGGTAGTTGATCTTTTGCCCTAGCTCCCTTATGCATACTACTTCAATGCCTCTTACGTAGTGATGCTGGATGTTACTTATTCGCAGAGTGGGACCAACAGTTCTTCGTACTCTGTTGTCGGAGGTATTGAGACTCCCATCAAGATCCTCTACTAGTAAATTACAAGAGAGTGGTGCAAATTAGAGCTGTTGAATACTGAACGTCTTTGGCGTGCGTGCTTTATGGTCAAAATTTTCACATATTACTTGGGTGTCAATAATTACTGGCAAACTTCATGTTATAAGTACACACTAGGTGGATAGTGGTTCCAGTGAAAATCATTAGACAAAATCAGCACCAAACATGATTAAAAGTATAGCACAATGAGCTGAAAACGAGGTACTGAAAGTTCCGAATTTTACCACTAAGCCACACAACCATTAATTATATATCTCACAATAATAGGGGTGGTATACTCTATATATCCTAGAACAGCATTTAGCGGCAGACGATATAAAAGGAAGTTGTGGCTGTGGCCTCCACCATTGTCCACGAACGCCCACAGCGGACACATTGAACTTTCCTCAACAAGCTACAACCGGTGTTCAAGTCCGAACCGTTCAGTTGGGCACATGCAGCTCTCCATTTACGGCGACAGGTGTCCGCAAGTTGTCAGGTCGTGCATTCAATATATTGCAAGACTTGGGTCTTGTTGCGAACCAATCTCATTCTTCAAATACCAGTAACTGCTACGTTCGCAAAGATACCCACAACGTTTCGCATAGATGTCCGGATTTTCTGTCATATTTTGCAGATTTTTCTGGGAGCGGGAATTCTGTCCCGTTGGTTTGTGATGCGGTCGCAATGTTATGACGACTTGTTCATTGAAATCACTGTCAGTCATTAACTTACGCGCATGGCACTGCCTCCTTTAGCCTGCATAAAAGCATGGCCGCATAGTGGTTACTGGAGCAAGTTTCATTCCCTCCTTCAGCAAAAATGCAGCTCTCCTTCTCAACTGTATTAGCTTCCCTTGCTGCTGTCATTGCTGTAGCCACTCCAGCAGCTGCTCAGCAGTGTTCCCAGGCTACACGCTTTGGTGTTGTCAACGTCAGTCCCACCACGCTCTCCCCCGGTGACGTGAGTTGTCCTCATAATTTATGTTGGCTCCTTCCGAGTCTGATCATCCTTAATCCTTCAAGACCTTTACTGTGACAGCAAATTTCACCTGCGCTGCTCAACTTGGCGTGCACCCCCAGTACACTGATTATTACATCGAAGTCCCTGTGAATAACAACGGCCACGAGCCCCCAATCCTGCTTGCTCGTCGCACCCTCAATGCGAGCTCGCCAACTCCTCTGTTGGACCAGTTCACAATGCAGGTTAGTTTTGGTGGTCATGTGGTCCGCGTGCGGTAGTTGATCTTTTGCCCTAGCTCCCTTATGCATACTACTTCAATGCCTCTTATGTAGTGATTCTGGATGTTACTTATCCGGTGACTGGGACCGACGGTTCTTCGTACTCTGTTGTCGGAGGTATTGAGAGTCCCATCACGATCCTCTAAATGACGAGAGAGTGGTGCAAATTAGAGCTGTTGAATACCGAACGTCTTTGGCACGCATGCTTTACGGACCAATATTTTCACACATTACTCGGGTGTCAATAATTACTGGCAAACTTCATGTTATAAGTACAGGAGCAATGATACAACATCGATTATAGCTTCTTCACTATGCACCAGCGTTTCTTGATTTCTCCAGCAAGGCAAGTTCAGTCTTTAGCCTCTTCAGTTCCGTTACCGCAGCATCCACGGCATCCTTCGGCTCCTTCTTTTCCTTCAGCCCACGTACAACTTGTCCCTGCTCTAAAATCTTTGCTTCCAAAGCAACAACCTCGGGCGATTTCGGCCCACTGACCGCCACAGCATTCGGCGCAGCATTAACAACGGCCGCTTTTTTTGCCTTGCGTTTCGACGTAGGTGCCTCCTCCTCCTTCTTAGCCGACTCGTCGCCACCAAAGCGCACCTTCCACACCTGGTCCATCTTCTCGTCGATGTTCTTAAACAGGTGCTCAGGCTGGCCAATCTGGTGGCCGGCAAGGATGTCCGTAGAGAGCACCTCAGGGACCACGCGCGCCGGCGCGTTCAGCTGCAGCAGGAGCGCATCCGAAGTGGCGGGCATAAAGGGATATATGAGGGCTGAAAGGACGTAAATAAGGTTGACGGCGCGTGATACGACTTGGGCGCATCGCTGCGGGTTCTCTGTCATCAAGGCCTTGTTCAGGCCTGAGGCTTGTAGGTAGCCGTTACCCCGGCTGGAGATGAGCATGACAGTTTGAAGACCGAGACGGATCTTTACGCTTTCCATCGCGTCGATATAATCCTTGAGGAGCGCGTTGACATCGGTGATGAACTCGGCGTCAAGGGGATCGTTTGGGGACAACGGGCCGGGAGCATCGCCGCTTTCTGGAATGACGCTATCGTATTGCGAGGAAAGGAACTTGAGGGCACGATTGACGAAGTTGCCAAAGCTGTCGAACGAGCGATCAGTATCAGTTCAATATGTTTATTTTGACGTTACTTTTTGAGGAGGACATTATTGTTGGCGGCGATCTATGAAGAAGTGAAGAGGGTCAGGAACGAGTTACTGATAGGACGCAGATTATCTTACGCAATCCGCCCACGAGAACATGGCATCGGCGGTTTCTGGACGAGTGGAGAGCAGGTAATACCGCCATACTGAAGCGGGAATTCCGGTCTCCTTAGCAGCAGGCCCAAACACACCGCGATTTTTACTCTTGGAGAACTTTCCGCCCTCATAATTAAGGTATTCTGTATGCCAACTAGTCAGAAAAGAGACCCAGTCTAAAATTTCATGCTCACCAGTAGTTGATAGGTGGTGTAGTGTCGTCCAATCTCTGCCGTCTGCGAGCAGCATAGCGGGGAAGTATATAGTGTGGAAATATACGTTATCTTTGCCCATGAATTGGTATAGTCGAACATTATCCGGGTTAAGCCACCATTGTTTCCATTCCGGGGTATATTCTCCAGTGATACTGACGTAGCCAATGACTGCGTCGAACTGCAGGGAAAATGTTATGGGATAGTGCAGCACAAAAGCATCGAAAACTGACCCAAACATCTGTTGTCGCCCGTCAATACATTGGTATGACGTAAGGGAACTAACCACTCACACAAGACTTTTCCACCCATCTCCTTGTCATCTTCTCGACCAAGAGGTGGAATAGGGACGCCCCAGGCAAGATCTCGCGTCACCGGGGTAGGTTTAAGTCCGCCTTTCATGCGTGCATCTACGATCTCGCCATCGGCGTTGATCGTAGCATTGGGTGACCATTTCCCTTTCTTCCACGACTTCTTAATCCAGTCCTCTAACGCTGGTTGAGCAGCATCTAGCTTGAAGTACATATGCGAAGAAGAACCTGCAACGACATTGTGAGTTTTATCAATCAAGCATCGAGGCTCGATTAGTTCGATAGCATCTAGTGTGCGACTGCATCCATCACACTGATCACCGCGAGCATCCTGTGATAGGTAGTGAGCATATGTATTTCCAGATTGTTAGTTGCCTGACGTACTACAAAGCCGCAATCAGGACAGATGCCCTCTACGTAGCGATCAGCCAAAAACCTGATGCAAATGTTAGAATTGTTCGATTAGATTCTACCAAAGCTCACTTTTTGCAGCCTTCACAATACGTCTGATCTTTGATCTGCTTTTCCAAATATCCGTTTTGGCCAAGATTGAGGTAGATAGATTGGCATATCCTGCGTTCCGGCGTTAATGAGTAGTAACGAAACTGTGTCATTACACTGACTCGGTATGTTTGGCGGTTGACGTGCGTCCAAAGAGATCGAAACTAAGGAGGTTCAGCAGAAAACAACTGGACTAGTGGAGGATACGCACCCAATATCAAACCACTCATATGTCTCTTTGTGCAAGGCATGGTACTTGTCGCATAGCTCCCTGGGAGTCATACCCTCCTTGAGAGCTGCAGTCTCCGTGGCAGTTCCGTATTCATCAGTTCCACAAATATAGAGAGTGCGTCTATTCCGCGTCCCTGTAAAATATCGATGAGATGTGGACATAGAGCTGCACGAGACCATCACTGACGGTTGTATCTATCAAGTGGGGACACTTTGAGCACGTATCACAAGTCACTAGTAAGTAAAAATACTCACCGGCTGAAGACATCTGCACTCAAGGTGCTTCCTATGATATTTCCTGGTGATCATTGCGGTCAGATGTTATGGCGCGATAGCAAATCAGACGACGCACCAAGATGAGGCACATTATTACAGTAAGGCAAAGCGGAGGTGATGAGGATGTTTGTTTCGCCATCTTTTGGTAGTCTGCGCCAATGATAGTATAAATGACGGATTCGAAGCTATGATCTGACGAACTTACACGGCGCCTTGTCCAGGATCAGGAATAGATCGCAGGACATCATCTGTCACTCTGATTTTCTGTGCCATGACTCCGGGTCGTTCTGGTACGTGTCAAGGCAAGGTGGGACAAGAGGAAGAGTGTTGTGTTATTCCCAGTACTTTAGCGTCCAGTACAAGGTCGAGACTCGAAATCTAGAGTGACTCGACCTTACACAGCCAGACTCTTCAATGAAAAGTCAAAATAAAGTTGGTTTGGCGGTCCGCCCCGGCCCATGCCTAGACTGCCTAATACAGCATATTATTGTTCTTTGACCACTTTTTCAAACCGGTGTCTCAGCCGTTTGTTCCAAGACAAAGACAATTCAAACCGAAGCGACTTCAGGCCTCAAGAACTTATCAGCGGCGTCAATGTACCATACACCTCAAGCCTCTTCGACAGCAATATGTAAACGCGCCAAACTGAAGATGCCAACAATGAAAACGGTAGTGCACACGACCGAAATCGATGAGGAGTCCATATTGCAGAACCTTTTTCAGCAGATTACAAGTCCTTCCAGAACTTTGTATGCGTGCACCACCTTGCTGTGACACTTCTGCCATTCTGGTGTCACGGTGCAGTACCGCACGATCCTAGCAGATCATTTGCGGTAAGACAGCGGCCATATCCTGTCATATCCTGCCATATCCTGCCATATCACCAGCAAATGCCACGAAGTTCGTGTGTGCAGGAATTCATCTTTGGGGATATCCTATCATGAGTATGTACCACCTGCGTAACGCCTAATGACTCACTGGCAGATTGATTATCATCATCTTCTCAGTATCTTCTCGCATTGCTGGCATGAGTAATTGTCCGATTGGACGTGGGGTTAACAAGGGATGTCGAAGACGTCGTTTTTGGCAGAAGCTCTGAGATATATAAAATCAAAAACCTCAGGAACTGACTTATTAACTCCCGTGTGGGCACTATGAACCACACTCATCCTCCTGTGCTAATCGTAAGTGATCTACCCACGATGGATGTTTGCGCATCAATGGAATTCCGCTTTCTTAGGTAGGCGCTGGCCCGGCGGGTCTGGTAGCAGCATTGACGCTCCTCCAAAATGGCATCCCAGTGCGCATCATCGAGCAAGACACCAAGCCTCGCATCGGACAGCGCGGTCCCGGAATATTTGTTTGCCATTCATCTACGTTCACTCGCGGTCTTAACTGATACACACTATCTAGCCACGTTCCCTCGAACTCTTCAACTTCCTGGGTGTTTCAGATGTCAATGATATGGGGAAACCATTCCCTTGCATCCGTGGGTACAAGTTTGGGGTGGCGGAACATACGCACACGGAATTGGTTGTCCCGCGTACACAAAATACCCCATCGATACCATTCGTACGCGGATACATATCGTTCGCTCAAAACATCTGACTGATAGATCTTTTTCTAGAACGTCCCTAAGTTGATAGGTCAGCAACTCTTGGATGTTATTCTGCGACGCCATCTGGACAAACTGTCGTGCTCTGTCGAGTTCGGAACCGAGCTGCGCTCGTTCAAGCAATCCGATGAGGGAGTCACCGCTGCTCTCGCAAAGAAACAAGGTGACGATGAAATATTAGAGACATTCGATGCTAAGTGGATGATCGGTGCTGATGGTGGTAAAAGTGCGCGACACATTGAAACAGAATGAACTAGACTGAAGTTCAAACCACAGGTACCGTGCGGAAACAACTTGGTGTCATGTTCCCGGGAGAGGCTATGGCTGAATTTCGGATCGTCACCGGAGATATTTGTTTAGCAGGCCCTGGTCTTGATAGAACGGTGTGTCCGTATTCCATTGATGGAAGCGCTCTTATTCAGCTTTTCAGTATTGGCACCGATTCGGAGATTTGAATGACAAATGGTACGTGTACTTTCTACCCTCGGTGGTGTACATTGAACCACCCACAGCGTCTCCTTGCGACCAACAGACGAAGTTGGAGAGGATGGCTGGCACTTTTTTATCTTGGGACGTGACATAGACATGACAAAACTCTCGCAAAACGAGGAACTTATTTTCGAGACCATCGCATTGCTGAGTCCTATGGAAATTACGTTCAACAAGATAGTTTGCGCGTCCGAATACCGGTGCGTTGTGTCTCTTCTGTGTGTCTGTGCGAGTTTATCAGTCTCCTTCAGGGCTAATGTCCGCATGGTGGATAAGTTTAGCGATGGGCGAGTCTTTCTTGCGGGCGGTCTGTAGTTCTGTTTTTCAAGCATACCTGTGCTCATGAGGTCTCTTCATAGACGCTGCCCAGTACGTCTCTTTTAAGTGACCTACAAACAGCTGATGACAGGTGTTCAGTGTCCACAGTCCAACCGGTGGTCAGGTAGGGAAGTCAGATCAAATGCCAATACGTGCTAATGTCGTTCTGAATAGGGACTCAATTCAAGTGTGCAAGACGCCGTGAGTCGGGTAAATGCAGGATGTATGACACGGCTGACCGCCCTGGACGCTAGTTCAATCTGTCTTGGAAACTTGCTCTCGTTGAAAAAGGACTTGCCGACAAGTCGCTTCTCGAGACATATAACGAAGAGCGTCTCCCTATCATTACCGAGATGCTCGAGGTGACCACCTCGATCCTAAAGCGTGCAATGACGGCAGGAGGCACGGACGCCTGGCGTACCACTCTCCTTTACATGCTCGGCATTCATTGCCGCTTCAGCAGCATCGTCCTCGACGAGTTTTCCATGCCAGTCGAGGGGAAGCCTATCAACACCTACAGGATACTTGACGAGACGGAGCTTGAGGCTGGGGACAGAGCCCCTGATGCACCCAAGCTACTCCATGTCCAGCCTGGAGAATCTGACTTAATGACGCTTTTCAGTCTTTACAGACCCTGGCGTCACACAGTCGTTGTTTTTGTGCCAAGTCCCACAGATGCTACTCCAATCTTGGCCGCACTAGAGCCATATGACAAACATATTGTGCAGTCAGCAGTCATCCTACCCTCATCAGCACCAGCAACACCCGTCGCATCTCCTGCCGACTTCGTTCTTCTTGATCAGGGCGATCATGCTTTTTCCGCTTACCTCGTCGAAGCTACCCAAACCAGAGTCTTTGTGATACGGCCAGATGGTGTGATTGGCGCAATTGTTCATGGTGCAGAGGGGGTGAAGAAATATTTCTCCAGAATATTCCGCGATATATAGAATGACTCGAGTCCATCCATTCCTTGTTCAATTGCAACTCATGTATCTTCTTCAGTGACGCACACTCGGCTTTCGAAACTATCTACACAAATCTATGCACCTTTGAAGTCTGATGAAGTGACAGAACCAGATCATTGTTGATGGCAACAACATGCATAGTCGGCTGATAATAGACCTACGCATCTAATGTCCAATTGAAGTTCGGCCCTATCTCCAGATCTACAGTAGGCCAATCAGTTGGAAGAATTGACAACAACGATCGTGCCTGCCATACAAAGAGACACGTCAGCTAGGTATCTTCCTTCCAAAGCCTAACACAATATTATCGATATTGGCAGTCAGTCGTCCTTCCCCCTTCATCATGGGAAGTGCTCGGTAATAACTGAGAGGCATTTTGGTGACTTGTCTTTAGTAGAGGCAATATCCGGTTTCTGGTCGAGAGGTCATATGTCGATGACTCGAGTTCGATGGATCATCCAAATCATTGATCACGGACAGAGTGGGGCTTCAGTTCAGGTCGCGTCCATCGACTGACATTGTATAGCATCAAGGCCTAAGAGGGACTGGTGGGGCATAATTTACGAAATTTTATACGGCATTCCTTTCCATGCGGCTTGAGACGTGAAGAATATTCTCTTTCTGGATGCATCAATTGTTCGAGTAGCACGCCTCGAGGAAGTATTTGTATTTAAGAGTTCTCCAGTGCCAGCCCGTGGCCTCATGCCACGGCTCATGTGTATATGCCATTGCCACCCATGCACCCCCTTTCTTCAAGGCATAGAGGGGACAAAGTACAGAGGTGTTCCTCACATTTTTGATCCGTACACGAGGAGGACATCGCCATGATGATCTTAATAAACCCTGTGCAGAATGGATAGGTGCACATCACAAGCACATCCCGCTCTGGTACACTCTACTATACTACTGTTGGCTAGTCGAATGAATCCTTTGTTTCGATCAAGCAAGCTGACATGGTGTGCGGAGTCCTGACAAAACCATTGTTTGTGCTTCCTCTACATGCAGCAACTGAGTACTGATCATCAGATCAATCAGGTTCAAACTTTACATGCTCTTGGCCACGCCGACAATGTTTTCATCAATACTAGTCGTAGTTTCAGGCTCGTCATCCTGTGCAATTTTATCTAGCTTATGCAAATGTTCGTCACCTGCAAATGTCAGATCCCCTGGGCTCAACATAGCCACGAGCAGATGATGTACCGAGCCCAAGTCCACCACCCACCCCACCCATATAGTAGGTACCATTGCTTTCCTCACGATAAGGTAAGTCCTGCTGGTTCTCCAACAGCGGGAGATCTTCCTCGACATCTTCAAATGCAGATATTGCAGATGGTATCTCTTCATTAACCTGCAGCACATCAGTAAACTAGTATGCGCTGTACAGAACTGGACAGAACTGGACAGTGCCCAAGAGTGACAGCTTGGTCCCTTTTGGACAATGACTCACAGACCACCCTGTCTGTGTCACACTGCACAGAATCTCACAGACCTTCCAGTGACTGTCTCATTCACAGAACTTATACTTAATTTTGGGTGTCACTCTCTGCACAGATGCTCACAGACACTTCCAGTGGCTGCCTTGTGCACAAAACTCAGACGTGAAACACCATTGGACAGCTAGCAAGATAGTATGCAGTAGCACAATAGATCATATTGATAACAGAATGGCAAGCAAAATGACAGAATGCAGTACTATGCAGGAGACAGAAATATTCGGACACAAGCATGGACATGTAAACACGAAGCATCAGTTGAGAACAATCTGCAGGTGGTCGTGTCGAGCTTCTGCAGCTCCGTCGACACCCAAACTTGCGGCCCTGCATGGATGAAATTAGTATCAAATAATCCACACAAAAGCAACATCCTCACCACCCAGCTTCGGCCCACTCCTGCAGTCGCACCAATAACTTAGGACCATGGTATGGATCACGAAGGATGTGAAGCATTGTGACCATTTTGAAGTAGATAGAGCTGTATTCCTTTACAGTAAACTTTGGGTAATACTTCCCATTGCCGTTCTTGGAGAGACCGTCGAGGACGCAGTTGTACTATAGAGAGAAAGCTTGAATCAATATATTATAATGTCAGGTAGAGGAAAATACTATATTGCCGCGCCAACCAACGCTAGACACGACACGGGCAATTGGTTGCGGAATATGTCTGGTCGCCTGTGTGCGATTCGATAAGGTCCCATGTAAAAAATACGATAATGGAGTCACAAAGTGCAGGATGAGCGAAATTCTTAGTTTTCCCCTAGAAAGATTCTTTGAGTATAGACCTAGTCAGCGCAAGATCACTTACAAATTCATCTAATCCAAAGTGTAGGAATTGCGGTCCTTTGGCTAAGGCAGCAGCAGCGTGTTCAACCCACTCTGTATTGGGTGACGTCGATAAAGAGATAGCGAGGAACAAACACTAATCCTCAGTTTGGCAATTCCCGTGGTCAGCGCCACCGTCAAGTGTCAGATCGCACTTCGAATATATCAAACAAATGCACTGTATGTTCTCTTGTACAATATATCAATTTTATTCTGGACAGATATTTACTGTATATAGCGCATCGTCGTAGAATGAACATCTCAGTCCTGTCCTTACTGACTAGAGACTGAGATGTGAGTATTAGAACTTTATCCCACTCAATCATTCACTGACTCGTATTAGATTAAACCTTTAGGTATGTACATACAACGAGTCCTGTCCTTACTGACTAGAGACTGAGATATTAAACCTTTAGTTCTGCTCCTCCTGCGCCCATAACCTTAACACTCTGCACGTTGTTGAATGGGGACCGAGGGCGGGGGAATGAGCTCGTACGAATGGGGTACAAGGCTTGTGGCAGATTTCTTCAAGTCAGATCACCAGGTGGCAAGATCGTTGTACAACTGCGGTGTAGATCCGTATCAGTGAGAGCAGCGGGAATGTGAGTTTCACACCTACCAGCCGAGCCATGTTAGACTTTTGTTGTGGCCAGATCCCTGAATTGTGACATGAAATAGATTGATTTAAGAGAAAACAAGTGCTTACCGGCTTCAAACTGTTTCTCATCCTGGTCCCATACAACTAAAACTGAAACAAGAATCTCGCATACAGGCGACGGTAAATCTTTAACTAAAGCTGGGAAGGGATTCTCCACGGCACGTTGCACACAACATTCTCCTTCAGCATCCTCAAGAAAACATTTCCATCGCGGACCATACCATGCTAGCTGAGTAGGCTTTGGCCCATCAAGTTTCGTCAATCATTTAGTTTTAGACCGCTGGATTGGTTGGTCATCATTGGACTTGATTTGATGCAACAAATGGAGGGTTTCAGGATCTGGAAGGCATGGCTAGCCATTTTTCTTGTGGTGGTGTCTCAATACGTCGTCAGGCTGCGACATCATGGTCTGTAAAGAAAAAAGAGTGAGTCTCGCTAAGAACAAGTTCCATCGCCTCACCTGAGTGTCCTGCGGCTGTGGCTGCATCGGCAAGGTGTCTAGGGGAATCTTGAAAGGTAACTGTCAGCACGACACAGGTGAGTCAATTCGTCATACCTGTGAATTGTTGGACCGCTGAATGGATGGCATAGAAAGACTAGCTGTACGTGAGACACTGGTCTGCGTGACGGCATCATCTTTATCGTGGGAATATTGAAACTCGAATTCCGGTGTAATAGGATGAGTGACTTGAGGTTGCAAAGGGTCCTCTTCCCCGGGGAATCTTATAACTTGTATTAGTAAGATTGTTTGGGGGGCAAGGGTAAAAGGCAACTGATCCTGGTGGTTTCCCTCTGGGCACGCAGGGGAGTTGCAAATAAATTACCTGGATGTTCAGTGCGACGTCCACCAACCTCCCCCCAGCCAAACTGCTGGCAACTCATCTCCTCCTGGTCCTCCTCCTGGTCCTCTTGTTCTTGTTCTTGTTCTTCTTCGTTGTTGTTGTTGTTGTTGTTGTTGTTGCTGTCTTTACCATTGTCGTCAATGCTAATATTTCCCTCGGATGATCGAGGCTCAACTCCATTAACGTCACACAAGGCTGGGTCGAGGTTCTGGTCCAGAAAGCCAGTTGGTGGTGCAACCGAATGAGCTAGATAAGGGCCGGTTACAGTGTTGTGAGCTTGCTTCCCAGCAACTTTCCTCCCACCAGAAGTATATGAGCTGAGATCTGGGTCGGGAGGGACAGTAGGTGCGTGTGTAGCAGCAAACCCAAATCTTCCTCCAGTTTGACGGAACAAGAGATCAATAGGCTGTAAGGGTTCCACAGGACTGATGTCTACGTGTGAGGTGTCAGGAACACTTGTAGTTGCTGATGAACTATATGGTGGGGGCGCGGCCTAGATGTGAATGATCAACATAAATTAAAATATAATGATGCATCAAACCTTTGGATGACGACTTCAGGTCTTGCTGCGGGGTGGTTCTGGAGCCTGTGGGTTGACAGGAACAGTATGTAATGCTGCGTCTAGTTCGACAGTGGTTTGACAGATCGCCAGTGGAAGAGATATGAGTGAGGGGGATGCATTCACTAGGGGTACAGAAGGTAAGGTGTGGTTTTTATATGTAAGTGAGTGGCAGTACAAGGTTAGTACTTCGGAACGGTAAAGGGGAACTTCGTAGCCGGTAGTACAAAGGGAATTCCGTAGCTAAAGGAATGACATTCCTTACAAGTAGAATCAAGGGATGTAGAGCCCTTTGGTTGATGTACCTGAGTCGGAGCCTCTAACAATGCGCCAATCTTCTCCAATTGAGAATTCCTTCCTCCCATTCCTGCATTGGCACAGCTGGAACTTCTACCAGGTTTGTCAGTGCTCGCTGCATCTAGACAGAGGGACACGAGCGGCGTGCTGGATGCCTTGACAGGTTCTGCTGCTCGGGGCTTCTTGGGCTGAGGCTGAGACACCTCTAAACCTTTGCGCTTGGCCTGTTTCTTCTTGGGGCTGACAACAGCGCGAGGAGGCATGATGCAGCTGCAACAAATTTGAGTAGAAAGAGGAATAACTAATGAGCAATTCTAGACTCACCAAATATTTTATACGATGACACCTCAAGGTTGAAAGGAATCACGGGTTCTTCCTAGGCAAACATCACGGCTTGAGATGAATTATCTTGAAGAATCGTGAGTAAGATGAAGAGCAAGGAGAAATATGTTCCAGCCGCCACATGCCTACTAAGCGAGTGACATGCAGTGCACCAGTGAGATCAACTTGAGTAAGAACAAGTAGTATATGACATCTCCCAACAGCTAAAACTCACTGTATTGTCCACTCCCTGGTGTGCCAACCTCCAAACCAGTCTTCTTTGTACCACCACGCTCAGGTCTTCTCGAGATCGGTGTAGAGAGTGATATCTCTACAGGCTTGTATCCCCTGATTTCTACATCAACCTCATCCCTATCCACAGGTAGGCGTGACTCTCCTGCGCTTTGCGCTGACCATGCGCTGACTCCCGCGCTCGCGCTAAGCGTGCGCTTTCCCGCACTTTCATCAGCTTTCATCAGGTCCATCCATCCATTGTCTATTCGGTCCATAGGTGCGTATTACATACATATATTGGTTTTCTGACAGTTGCTGTCACCTTACATACATCTGTGACATTCTTTGGCTGCATTCTCGCGCTTCCGCGCTCTTCGGCCGCTTTAGGGCGCTTTTTGCTCGCTCTTCGCTAGCTATCCTCTATATATACTGGGCTTTCTGACAGAAGGTTCCACACTTAGTTACCCATTAGAGATTTGTACTATGCCTTAGAGCACACCTATCTATAGCTAGGAGTCATACTCTCCTTCCCTTATCAGTCTATACATCCACTTGATATCCATTCCTCGCTTCTCACACGATCCAAGACCTCTCCCAGCATTTGCGCTCTGCAAGCGCCGCTTTCCCACACTTCATGCACATACTGCGCATTTCCCACACCCTCCGCTTACCTTGCGCGTTCCCGCGCTTCGAGCGCACTTAGTCGCCCGATTTCTGCCTGACTCAGCTTCCCCTAGAGGCCGAACATATCGCCCTCACATCAGAGCAGATTCCTCCAAGTCTGTTCGTTGTACCCACATCGGACTTGGAGAGAAATTGCTTCTTTGAGATGCATGTCGAGGCGAACTTGAAGAGTAATGAAAGGTAGGCGAGTGACAGTGTATTGGCTTGGTATGGTGAGATGAAGAGAGAAGATGAGTAAGGAACACATGTGCATGTAAAGAAACATGAGTATTGATATGTGACTGTGCTAAGGAAACACTGGAAAGGAAAGTACAATCATGCGGCTACAGCTAACTTAGTAAGGTCAATCCAAGTCATAAATTCAATCCGAGTCGTCTGAGTCCATCATCGCCGCCGAGTCACCCGAATCATTCTCCAACTTCTGAATCAAGTGATCTGCCTTGTGCTTCTTCTGCTTGGCCGATTGTGGTATAGAGGTGGTAGATGGGCCCACTTCTGCAACCCACTTCATACATCGATTAAGTTTTTCAGCAGATTTCTTGAGATTCTCGTTGGCATATGAGCGCTCCTCGTCGTCTTGGAGGGCGGCAAGATGATGTTCCAGCAAATTAATAATGCTGTTGAAAGTTATCGGTGTCTCCATGTTGTCCTTCAAGATTGCCTGCCACTCCTTTGCAAGGGGGATAAGTTTTGCGAAGTATGGGTCAAATTTTTTTTTTCGACACAGGCCTCCTCAGATGAAACTGCGAAAAAAAGACCTTCCTCAATTGGCATACCTCCAGGTTGAGGTTTGACCAGCTATCCGGCAACAAGTTGGGTACAGACTCCTGGCGCTCCTTGCCCTTAGGACCGCTGTACATGATACAAATATAGGTGAATACAAAAAAGAGGGACTTAAGGTCATCCACATAGCTTTGAGAGATGCAAGATGGTGGCAGCACCAAAGTTTTGGACAAGGATTTCCGCGCTTCTTGTTGTGCTGTGTTGGCCTGCAATTCCGCAAGTTGTATGAGAAGCGCGCAGGACATGAAAGAGATTGTGCCCTAATAAATCAGTCAATAAAAATTTATGTGTTTGAGTTAAATATATTTACTGTACCGCCAATAGAATATTCATCATTCGAAGTGATACGCACTGCAAACTCCCAATCAATTAAGAGCCCATTACTATCATTGGGCTCCCCCATGATCATCACAAAAAATTTCTTTGTATCTAACAATGTACTTTCTACTACATCATTCACAGAATGATGTCATGATCATACACACAAAATTTCAGAACAAATTCATCAAGGCCAATGTTATCCGCTTCATCTGGTGCTGGGGATTCACACCGTTTCTCAGTGTGTTGCCACTGAAGGCCATTAAGTACATTATGGCCATGGCCAGTGCAGCCACTCACTGCACCCTGCATGAACAGGGGAAGGGGTGTTTGGAAATTGACCCCTTTGGCGGAGAAGCCCACCATCAAAAGTTCAAAGATATTATCAGGGCATTTGGCAGTCTTATTCCCACTGAGAAGGCCGAGTTTGAGATATATCTGCAGTATGTGTTGGAAATTGGACTGTCGCAGGCACGGAACCCATCAACATCAGACTCGGAGTAAACTGCAGTTGACATTTACTGTTTGTTCTTCTCATCTGTTGGATGTTGTGAGATTGTCTTTAGCTGGGCATTTGAAACAGTTGTTGAGGCTCTTTGTGAAGAAATAGGGACATGGAACAGATGAGATGCCAAGGTCTGTGATGGTGTCCGTTGGATGAGACTGGCCCTGTAAGTATCTAGAATGAATGGAAGTAAAGGTTACTGCTAGAATGTTTGTCACATTGGGATCATGCATATCTTGTTGATTGTACTCATCAAGCTCATTAAGTTCAGTGTACATAGATGTTGAGGTCAGAAGCCTTTCATCATGGCACAGGATCTGTAATTGATTAGACTGAATTTGCGAGACATTTAAAGCTGATCCTAGTCAGCAAAGCAAATATATATCCTATACCAATAATATATAAATAGCTAGGATAATTAATGCAAGGGTAGAGTAGTCAAAAACATCAAACTTGTGTAAAATGTGATTTGTTAAGTTATTGTTCCTATAGAAGAATCCTATAGATATCCTGGAGTACCTAGATAATAGAGAGAAAGGGTGCACTATATAATAAGGTCTTGTCCTATGGTTCTGAGCTCCTAATACATTGTTTACACTGTTGCATAGATGCTAGAGATCATATTTCAAAGGCTCTCTACCTATTAATTGGCATATGAGAACAAATTTTGTATATATGCTATATATATGAATGTAGAGCGCTTCAGGGGGTCAAATAAAGGTGGAAATCTCTTCATATATACTCTGAAATGCAGTCTGAATATACTAGAACACTTCCTTGTCAAAGGGGCAAAAATACAAAAATGTTCAAGATCCCAACTTATTTTGAATGGTCCCTGGAGAAGGAGACACATAAACAAACAAAAAAATGGTCTATTATATTGTATTATATATGTATATACCAAACTACTACTTATATACAAGGAGAGACCTATTGTGGTGTAGTAGCAAAGATACAGTAGGGTGGGGAGGGTGTGGAAATCATTAATATTGTGGAGATTCCCAAATTGGGTAATGTTTTTGGTGTTATAGAGAAATTCCCAGTAGGTGGCCAAAAATGTGAAGCTATGAAGTATGAGAATATTGTGGTGAGTGACCAAAATAAGTGTGGAGGAATTCCCACAATTGGTGGCCAAAAATGCGAAAATATGCTAGAAATAATACATGCATAGCTGAGATTTAAATATATCCTAGATATGCATCATGTATCTATAATGTAGAGGCACAGGCTCTTGCCCAGAAAGGATGTATTCATGTGTGTGGACAGCTACATTGAATGATGTATCATGATTTTGGACTAATAAACCAGTTTTGAGATTATTTTTCCCCACTAACAGGTGATAGAGGAGCATACTCTTGTCTAGTGATTTTCCTCCTCAATGTTCACTCAAGTGTACTGAATTTTACAAGGCCAAAACCAGAAACAGCATGAATTTTTGGTAATATATTTTAGTCATTGACAACCCTCTGTAACTGCAACTACTGCTCTGGTTGTAGACCACACTGTTTTAGACAACAATGGCTCCTCCACATCATGTTCGTCCAGCAGCATTACTTCCCCTTCAGTTTTCAAAACTCCTGCCTTTAATTTATTTTCACCACCTCAAACACTGATTCCACCATTCACAATCATCTGCATACAAAATATGGTCCACACAAGAAACTATGTACCCTAGAATTCTCCACTGCATCTGCCACAGCTACTGTATCCACTCACTCCTCGGCAACTCAGATCTCCATTCTTTTGTTTGTCATTAATTAACATGCACCTGATATAACTTGATCAACTTTCAATGTTATTGGCACTCACACACTGTATGGGAGACCATCAAGTGGCTCTTCCCAAGTGGTCATGAGTCAGGATGGGAACATGGTTGTGCTTGTTTCCATGGGGTCAAGATGGATAAAGCAGACAGTATAGAGGGGGTTTGTGAGGAGTATTGTTATAGAATACTAGATTTTGCAGTGCGCACTATAGAGAGTCATCTCTCTATAGGCTCGTATCTCATCATTTCTACATTGACCTTATCACTGTCCAAAGGTAGGTGTGACCCTATAGAGACATATGCTACATGTGCGACCATCAGCACTTATCTGCATTGCATGTGCCACTTGCACACATTATAATGCTGGTTCTCTACTTGGCATATCCTCCCATGTCCTATCCTATTTGTCTAGTTCTGTTGGTGTGTACTCTCACTGTTATTACCATCACTGACCACATCCAGGGTTCATGGCACATACATTACATACTTATCTACTTCCCATGTGCTTCTGGCGCTGCCTATCCACTTCCTCGCACTTCAATATCCTAGGAGTGTGTAGCTACATACATATCTAGAGAACTTAGGATGATTGAACTTAGTTACTTTCCCTTACTTGGACTCAGTATTTGTCTTCAGTCCAGTTTGCACGCAGAGCACTAATACCATCACTGCTTGTATCTATCATCTTCTTAGCCTCATTGAGACATGTCTGGCATGAATGAAGGAGCACTAGATCTCCTTGCAGCAGAAGAGGTTGAAGAGCCAGAAGATGAAGAACTCAATATCGACATTGACATGTAACACAGCCACATTGTTCATATCTGACACCAGAACTTTCCTGTTTTGTACTTAGTATCTGTTTTACCTTGGGATTCGTCTGGTGACCCTACTATTACATTCATTTATCTCACAGCATGCTTACCCAACTGCCGGCACAGAAATACAGGCATGTCTAGATGATTTCCTCAAGGCTAAAGGAATCAAGCTCCTCCGTTCAGGAAGTGTTCTACTACAGATATGGAGAGTGAGGGCCGATTTCAAGTACTGGTGACTCAGAGGTGGGTTGGGTTTAACAACTGGTAAGTAATACAAACTACTTACCCTCAATGCACCCAATTTGATGGTGATAATCCTCTACCGAATCATCTGAATGGATTTTAACACATTGGAGAATGCAGCGAACATGGACCCAGATGGTATCCCCAGCTGGAAGACCTACTGTGAGGATCTGCGGAAAAAGCAATATTTCCCCCTGTGGTTCTCCACCCTTATCTTCGCAGTACTCGCAGGGTTTGAACTCAACCCTCTCATGATCAACTGAAAATCTCTGATTGCACCCACCATCATCGTCACATACCAGGTCAGCATAGCTATTGATATATACATTTGAACTCAACATAAGCACTAATTTACATCATACAATAACTCAGCACTGCTCTTCTCTGCATTGTGTCATTGGAGGTTGGAAGGGTTGGATGCTCAAACTGTTCAAATAAGTAATTATAATTATTGTCTATACTATCCTAATATCCTCCCACAGCATATTTCTCGGTCCCATGTTCGACTTGTAGTGTTCCTGTCAACGTAGGCATTTCCTACTATGATTGTCATTATAGCTGGTGTGCTGTTGCTAATGTCCTTTGGTGTTGTGATATAGGCTCCTTCTTCACCCATCAACCAAACTTATTGGCACATCAGTATCAGTGCACTGAGCGGTTCTATTGTTTTATTTTTGATTGTTCTAAACTTGCTATGGTAGTTTTTGTTGTATATATAGTAGTTAATTATTGATATATTTGTCCTCGAGGACATTAAAAAACTAGGTGCTAGCGCTGCTGTCCAGAACATAGATAGGATCTTGGCCACTCAAGATAATCTAGGTGTCACAGCTGTATCTGATATTTATCAATAATTGCTATAATAGGTATACCCTTTGATTATCACATGTAAATGTGATGGAAGTAACATCTTCATTTACATTGGACATCATGGTGAGGATGTGAATATATTCAGTTACTGTCCCCTTAATATTCTGAATATTATATCTACTCAAACACTCTGTTTGGATCATTGATGAAAGCAACCACATAATTTTTAGTGAATGAATGATTTCTGCTCAGCAGATACCTGCAGGTAGTACATGTAAGCAACATCCAGGCCATATAGACTAAATTAAAATGTACAAGTAATACAAGATCTGAACTCTGAAGATTCAGCATTTTGGTGTGGCTGATTTTGTTATCATGAAGCTCTGCTATATCATAAGTATACTGAAGCAAACATCACTTAGTTCATGCCTACCTAACTTAGTTCATGCCTACCTAACTTTGCTCCTTGACTAGCAAATATCTCAATGAGAACCTACATGCAGTACATCCTAAATGAGGCAGCATCATAAGGGTGGATGTTAAAACAATTTTTAGTCATAATTTTGGCATTGGTAATTGAGACATAGGCCAACAGAAAGAAATTTTTCAGGAAGTCATTGTTGTATTTGATGCTCTGTATAAAGACTTGCAGACTACAAGATACATAGCTTGGATCTTGATGAGTTAGAGAAAGAAAAAAAAAGAGCACTTTTTATGGCAGAATAGTAGGGACCATCTCAAGAAAAGCAGATCAGATGCTAGACTCAGATTCTGAATTAGAAGAAGAAAGCACCAAGAAATTTGCATTAGGCATCCAGTGCCCTTCACCAAGAGAACTTATGGTAAACATAAACTGCTCATGGTCACCAAATACAGAACTATGATATAAATGTTATGGACACTTCCATTACCGGTTGTGTATATGTATAGCAAGGAGCCTATGATAAATGATAGTGTATATGTAATTTACTTTTTAATCTGCAATGTCCAGCTAGATGTAATTGAAATATTTATGAAGCTTTACAAGTTTAGATGCTACAATAATCTCAAATGTTATAATTAGCATCAAATTATTAATAAATAATGACAAAAACTTGAGAAGCACTAGCAAGTCTCTCAACATCTTCCAGCACAACCAATATATTGGTAGACACAGTCAATACACTAGTAAGCACTTCATAAGTTCATACTTACTTCCCAACATCCTCTTTTAATGCTATTTGTCTCTGTCTCTTTGGATGCAATTTATTCTTTACCTCCTTCAAAAGAGTTTTATCTGCAAGATATTCTCCTAGTTGCCTAGCCTTATATAACTAGCAGAGGAGTGAATAGCTCAATTGTTTAAGAAGTCCAGAAATTTCTATAGATTCAGTGACAGTTGCAAATTTATCATCTTCTGATGATAGTACATGCTGAGTACTGAATTTTCAAGATATTCTCACTATCAAACACTTTTGGTGCATGACAGTGGAAGTCAGCCCATAGTCAGCATATGGCACAGGAAGATTTACTTATGTGGCAGAATGAATGCAAGCATGTTATCAGTTGTATGAGATGATAAGGAGTGTATACAGTATGTATATGTCTTCTCGTGGTCGACTCTATAAAACACAGAAATGCACACTATGTCATCAGATAGCATGGGAAGGTCTCCTAGAGCATGCATAGCATGGAAATAAAACAGATCTCATTCTCATCATCAGATGTTGTACTCATTCAAATCAAGGGACCCTACAGCCACTGTACGATATTCAATATATATAATGATGGCAAGAACCAAGACACACTAATGACACTCAAATCTTACCTGGATGGCAATATTGTGATCATTCAGCCTACTGAAATGACCACATGTTATAATTGGGTGATTTTAATAGATACCACCTGTTATAGGAAGAAGCCTGCAATAGCCACCTATTCAACTACAATATCGCCCAGCCACTCATTGATCTAATCACAGAATATAGACTGGTCCAGCTCCTTCCATGCAGTCTTTCCACACTGCAATCCACAAATATAGGCAACTGGGCATGTCCATATAATGTCCTCGCAGCCGACCCACTACTGGACGCAGTTGTCTCATGTACCACCAAATCATCTCAGTGCAGACCCAAAACCGATCATGTTCCTATCTATCTCATCTTAGAAATTGAAACCCCCAAGATCAATGATGAGCCCCATTATAACTGGCGTGAAACCGACTGGGAAATTTTCAATGAGTGCCTCAGAGAAGCCCTTCTCCCCTTTCCTCCCCAACTCTTAGTGACTAATGAAGAATTCCAGACAGCTGCTGACTGTCTCACCAGAATCATAACAGATACCATTGAAGAACACGTACCATACTCTAAGCCCACATGCAAAATGTTGGTGGACTCAAGAACTAACTAACCTTTGTCATCAGGTCCAGGAACTTAGTTGGAAAGCCTATCTCATACATGGCCTACCAGCACACCCTTGCCATGATGAACTCAAGTCACTCAAGAAGCAGTACTCTGAAAGCATTGAATCAACGAAGAAGCAAAAATGGATCAAATGGTTAGAAAACATTGACAGAAGCAACATTTAGACCACTAACAAGTAAGGTTTGCCTCAGTGTCTTACTACTTGAGGGTCTTATAGGTTTTCGTGTAAATGTAGTGACACCACAACTACACTTTGATAAGACAAGAGTTGCCAATTCCTCAAGTACACGGTCAACGGATTTTCTAGTTTTCTCGGTTGATAATGTGTCATTCGTGGGAGGCTCAACTATACAGTCTGTCGTTGGTTCTTGGAATGGGGTTTGGTTTTGGATGGGTGGATAGACCTAGATGATAGGCCTGATACAATGTTCTCCGTAGAATAGATAGACTAGACTACGTTGACGAATGGTTTGTCCGAATGGTCCTTGGACAAATATACGAGTGGATGCGCTACACAACACTTGGCTGAAGTGTGTGGATCCTTTGATAAACGAGGGACCTTTGGTATGGAGCAAAAGTCCTTGGTGGTGTGGGATTAGGAAGCTGACTAAGCTTGACCCAAGCAAGTCCTTGCTGAGATTACTCGAAGCAAGTTATGACTTGTGGTAGGTTTGTCCAAATGATACTTGGACAAATGGGCAGTGAATGGGAAGCTGACTAAGCTTTTCCCAGACAGATCCTGGCTGACATAATCAAAGCAAGAATATCTCCTGAAGAGTTCTTGGTCCAAACAGCTCTTGGATAAAAGATATGGGTTGTGTGGGATGCTGACTAAGCTTTTCCCAGACAAATCCTTGCTGACTTAATCAAAGCAAGGAAACAGCAGTTCTAGACCAACAAAGGACTAGAAAAGAAGGTTAGGGTGACTAAATGCCCCTAACAACAGTAAAGATAGCACAAGCCTAAGATTATATCAAATCTTAGTGTAGTAAGGCTGTCAGTATCAGCCTGCACTTCAGATGATAGATGTGAAGTGGGAAACCTCCAATATGGGGAGTCCCCCATTTCTCCTCAGAGAATTGAGCCTCCTTATATACATTTGGTGTGGGAAATATCCCAGGAACTGTATAGTACCAAGAAAATAGAAAGAGACACAAATCTGAGAAGAAATAAGATAGTTGTAGCATAAAATGCAGAATTTAAGTGGAAAGAACACCAAAGGAGGAAAATGACTCATTCTGACTCATTTGACAGCAAATGACATCACTGTGGAGCAGTGTGGAGCATTTGTGGAGCAAAGTGGAGCTGAATGATATCATTGTGGAGCTATGACATCAAATGACATTGTTGTGGAGTTATGACATCGAGTGACATCGTCCAAGATCAAATGACTCAATTCTGGAGTCACATGACTTCTCCTAGGGTTAATTACATGTTATGTAAGCTCAGATTGTGGCTGAAGCTCACATAATGTGCACAAATAAAAAAGAACAAGAGAAACAGAAGCAAGAAAGTCAACAAAGATAAATGTAAAAAACGAAATGCAAGCTTTCTGCCACTTTTTACTTCTCTTGCCTCAACATAGAGTAATTAGTCTAAAGCAAAAGCTTTTGGACTAGTTTACCCTTATCCTATTGAATGTCAATGTATGATCTTCGTTTCATGCATGACAATGTGGGCAGTGCCGTTGCCCTGGCGTTTTTTGTCGTCTTCATTGGCCTCTTCGTAACCTATCACTAGTGGAGGCCACACATCCCGATCAGGTCCTTTTTCGGCTGGTGCCCTTGTCTAATTTGTGCCAACCGTCACAGCACCAGCATCGTGAACCGCCACTCTGCCATCATCACAATGACCCCGATCAGCCGTGCAGCCACCAGAGGCTCGTGCACCACTGGTGCAGCAGACTCTGGCACCGACCATGGTTCTTTCTGCAGCACTGACACACGCGCGTTCGAGCAGCTGCAGCTGCCTGCAGCCACGGACTCAACTAGTGCGGACCAGTTGCTCGCTTTCCCACTTCACTTCAAAGTGGATGGCGAGCCAGAGATACATTATCTTCCCGTGTGAGTTATTTTCTTGCTCCCCATTGCTTCTGGCCGATGCTGATGGGTTGGTAGGCACACAATGACCGTCAAAGCATTGAAGCAGCAATGCAGGCAGCTCAACCTCCCCTCCACAGGCACCAAGGCCATTCTTCGCTAGCACCTGGAGGTGTTCAGTCATGATCGTGACTTGTGGGATAAGTGGGTGCAGTCGTTCACTTCTGATTGTGGTCTCTTTCAGAAGCTTATTCGTCTCAAGGCTCCGGCCAGGTGCCCATAAGGTCCACAAAGGCCCACGAGCAAGTCAGTCAACAGGTAAACCCAGGGCGAGCCGCCCCAAACAGTCCATGCAGCGTCACTGTGGGTGAGGAAATAGGGATGTGAACTCCGGGGAGTCACAAGAATATCTACCTCGAGAGGCGAGCTTAGTAGATTCGTCCCTTAGGGGATGCTACTGAGGCAATCTCTCTACATGATGAGAGGGATCAAGAGAAAGGCTCGAGTCGGAAGAATGCGAAGACGCGCGGTGTCTTCTTACTTGAGGGTCTTATGTGAAATCAGTGTAAAATGTAGTGACAATCACAACTACACTTAGATAAGACTAGAAGTTGCCAGCTCCTCAAGTTCACGGTCAACGGATTTTCTACTTCTCGGTTGATAACGTGTTGTTCGTGGGTGGTCAAAGAGTAAACAAGTTACCTTTTTGTCTGAAGAAACTATATGGACTGATTTCTGTGATTTTGTTGTGTATGAAAAATGATAGGTATGTTTCACCCTAGTAGGTCATGTCTCAACCTATGAAAGTATGTCTCAACTTTGTCGTGTTCTCCTGTCTCGTATTTCTCTTCCTGTAAGAGAGATGTCCTTGATAAATATATGTAGAGCTTGGCTCAGTAGAGTAGTGATGAGTAACTTGGTTATTCTGGATAGCCTCCCTGTGGGCTCTTTAACCTAAAATTACTTTGTTGAAAATGATAGTACTTGCACCCTTACTATGTCTTGCCTTGATCTCACTCTCAGTTAGTGGGATAGGTTTAGAGTATAAGTTTTGTCTTAGTCTTACTTCAAGGCACTTGGTTTGCCTGCACTTTGACTATGTCTTGCCTGAATCTCACTCTCAGTTTTAGTGAATTAGGTTTAAAGTGGGAAGTTATATTTTGCATGGGTGTAAAATGGGCTCCTTTTATACCTTTTTGGAGGCCAGATTACTAAGCATGATTCATCACATGGATTGGTAAGAATGTGCTTACAAATCCTACCATTTGGTGTGCTGAGTCAGCCTATGAGTCATCTCATGGATTGGTAAGGTGTGCTTACAAACCAAGCCTTTTGGTGAGCTGTCATCCTGATTACTAAGAAGATTATAAATACAGTTGCAAGTCTTACAAACCATGACGAATCAGTGACAAAACACGATGAGTCAGGCTGAATCCTTACAAATCACCTTATTTCCCAGTCACATGACCTGATTACAAACATGATCAGTCAGCTAGGGAGAAAGTCTGATGAATAAGCCAAGAAAAATAGAAAGAAATGGAAGGTCACAGAACAAAATAGAAATACATAGAAATCCCCGTGTATAATACGAGAAATGAAACACGAGAAACGAGGCTTCAGAAAACAGACTGATGAATCAATGAAAAATGATAGAATCACTTGGTGATATGGTAGAGTACAGTTCATTATACCTTCCTTATCTTTTGTATAGCACACATGTCATGGTATGGACTGCATACCATGCATGACAGCGCGTCTCTATAGGACTGGGAATACATGAGGATAGGGATGAGGTCGATGTACAAATCGGGGGATACGAGCCTGTAGAGATATAACTCTCTACATCGCGCTCAGCTATTCGGTGTGACTGCTTCTGACAGCACACCTGCAAGTGTCAGCCGGTCAAAAGACTCACGCACTGCAGCTGAGATTGCCGCATTTCTACTGCAGGTGAGTCCATTCCTCCTCTCTGTCCGCCGTGAAAAAAAAGGCCTGTGGTGTGATGAACTGATGCCTCCTCTTGCCAGGCTGATTCAATTGATACCAAGTACCCATACCAACCAACCGATGGCACACTTCCACTGGCAAGTGCCGCAGCACATGCCCCAAGCTCTACTCGTAGCAGTCTGCATGCTGACATTGTCCCTGATGTGTGCTTGCAAGACGCTATCGTCCAGAGCGTCAGCACAAGACTCATTGGCATTGTTCAAGATGCCTTACTTCAACCAAGCGCTGGTGGGCTGCCTGTGGGGCCCCAAGTTGCAGCAGCTGCAGATGGGGTACGTGTTCCTTTGTTCACATCCAATGCTGGGAACTGATGGCTCGAATGTTTTCAGCATCATCATGCTGCCACGACAAGTGGCATGCCTGTGCTGGCAGCAGAGCTCAATTCCGATAAATCAAGGGTCCTCAGACTCGGTGATGGCACCGTGCTGGAACTGGTGGATAGTGAGATCCCGGACCCCCCTGCCGTGAGCTTTGTCAATGACATTGCACGGCTCAACGGCATGTGGGATGACCACCAGTGACTGGCTGGGCGACTCTGTGATCAAGATCCGGGGGCACCCAATTGCACTCGAGTTCTGGCCCCAGCTGTACAGGTACGGCCACAATGATCAGTGGAAGGGGACGAAAAGTAAATGGACGGACTGGCGTGTAAGTGATGTTCTTGACTGCCTCGACCACTGTGGTGATCTGTGACCTCCTTTTTTTGCCCAGGATGTTGTAGAACGCTACCGGCAAGGCAGCCCAGAGCAATTCTGGGCTGCGTTCAGTGCTGACAGCAAACATTTGAAGTTCACTGCCATCATCCGGGCCCTCCATGAAGAGCGAGCATCGATCCATGCTGCAGTTGCCGAGTGTGCTCACAGAGAGTACGGTGCCCAGTTCGCAGACCTTTTCACATACCGGAAGGGTGGAGAAGAGCACCTGATGACAAAACCATCAGCAATCATGAAGAGGTACAAGGAATTGGCTAGCAGTCGCGACAATGGGTGCTATGAAGGACAGTACTAGTTTGTATGTAGGACTATTCTGTAGTACGAGCAATGGACACCTTTGCTAGATCTGCATTAATTGTATGTGAGTTTGACCTTCAAGCTGTCCAAGTTGGCGAGAAAATGGTCTTGGTTTCGAGGGTAGATATACTGTGGTACAGCCTTTTGAGTTGAACTGTGAATGCATTATTGCTGGGATCCTGATGAGGCATGCTATTGAATAATGCTGACAACATAGAAGGATTGTCAATTGTGCCAGAAGAAAGGGTGAAACTACATGACATTGAATGGATGTAGTAAGTAGGAAGAAGTTGATGATGCAGAAACATAGGAATCACGACCAGCAATTTTTCTCAACCACAAAGACAACACCGCCCACACTGGGGGCACTTCACCGTTGTATGTCTATTGGGGTTAAAAAACTGTGTCCTGGGCTCAGCGAGATCATCATTGGAAGAAATTAAATACTTGACAATAGTCAAGTTTGTGAACTCGGTGCTCCACCCTCCCCATTCGCAGATTCTTCTGAGTGGCCAATGTCTCTCAATGTGCAAGTACTGACATCCCCCCCTGCAGAACGAGTGAGTGCCATATGGAGCCGGGTCGATATTGACGTCCAATAGGTTGTTTCGGAAGAGCTCGAGAAACTGCTCAGACGACTGCGGGGATCCATTGAGCATGTATCTTGGGCTGTTCACCAACAACAAGTGCACCATGGGACTGTTTGCTTCGGCAATCCGGTCACCCGAAGCGACCTTTCGAAAGAGATAGCAGGAGGTGATCTTTGACTCACACAGCCAGGCAGCCAGTGCCCTGACTGGGCAAAGGTGGGCTTTAGCCAATGGAAGTGCCCAAAGGTTAAAGAGCTTGATATCTACGAGGTGTGTCATGATCAAATGAACTCAGGGTGCAGATGGGCATCATGTACCTCCATTCTGATGTGTTTTGTGAAAGGGCAGGTGCAGAATGACCTCATCAGGCTCGTCCTCATGAACACAGAGATCATGCACCTGGATCTTGAGTACTTTGTCGAATTGGAGCATGCATAAAAACGCGACTGTGTAGGCGGCCTGCAGAAGCCGCTGTACTCGCCCACCACCCCATTGGCCAAGGCTGTCACCAGATCCACCACGTGTCCACTCGCCAGGACGGTATGCATGAACTGCCCAGTTTTCAGGGAGGTGATTGTGATGGTATAGTTTTAACAATATATCCTGTAAACATTCACAATAAATAGCCTGTGCTGGGGGTATCTGATGATGACTCACCAATGTAATTGCCCGTGTGCTGCTGGCTGCCTCACCCAATTGTGCCTATGAGGAGGGTGGGATGGATCAGGTGGTCAGATGACAGCGGAGAAGGGCCTTACTTTGCACCTGCAGAGCGAACACATGTAGGATGAGACTTCGACTGAAATTGAAGGGTTTCCCACCATAATCCCCCCTCCAATGTCTGACTCGTGCCAGGGCATGTTCCCAAGGCTGTTAAGCCTTCTAAATGCATATGTCATAGATGCCCTCATCTTCTGGGCATGGCCGTAGGTCCCGTGGTCCTGATTTGATGGCTTGGTTGTGCCGTCGAGGTTAAGGGAGTCACACCTAGTTGGTGTCAGCACTGAAACAGGCAGCAGCCAACACGAACCTCACTCACATGCTCATTATCCATGCGACAATTAGCCAAGGGGAGTCGGGCCTTGGCTTCTTAGTGAAAAAATCCTCACCTGGTCTAATGAGCTGGATGCCAGCAAGAAATGACAGGCACGAGTTCATCAACCTGTTGAAGGAGTCCGTGAAACTCAATGGAAATACAGAGAGCGGCCACGCACCTCTTGTATTCATTGTCAGTTCCCTCTGTGACACCTTTCGATGCCCCCATGAGTGTTGACTGCAGCATTGCAAAGTTTGGGGCATCAATTGAGGTGGCAGTGGTGCTGCCAGCTTCATTCCCACCTGGTTCAGTGAGCAGGGTCTCCTGCTCTGCACACACATCCTCCTCAATGTCGTCCATTTCAGGGCTGCTGACAGTAGAGGATGGGAGTATGCCACACAGGCCCGGGAAGCCCTGGATAGCATCAGGTGCTACAGCCATCGTTACTGGTGGATGTTCGAGTTTGATGTCTGTCAGTTATGGTCGAGGGTGAGATGGAGAGCTCACCATGAGGCCCCTCGACAAATTAGTAAGAAAGTGGACCCCACGACACCGCAGCCTCCCCAAGGAATGGTTTCAAAGTTTGCTGCATGAAGGGGGAAGGCAGGCGGCCTTGCAGGAAGCGAGATACTGAAAAAGAAAGTTGAGAAGACGGTCCAGCTGCTGTTCAGATCCAAGGGACTGACTTAGCGTGCATGGGGGACCGTCTTTTTTCAACTCGGCAGGCCACAGTCCAATTGTGCCCCCTTGAATGTTGCAGGGAGTCGCACTTGTCCACCAGGTGTTTCTCAGGTGGAAAAAAATGTTCGCAGCCAGTGTGACACCACCAGTTAGTAGCTTCAGATCGCTGAGGGCTTCGCGAGGTGGTGAGGTGGTGAGTCAAATGGAGCTTGGTGGTAGCCAAGATCGAAGCATCCTACCTTTGATGCATCATGGTAGCAACGGTAGTATGTCGCAGAGGATCTGCACTCGGAAGGAAGACAGATGCGAAGTCAGCGAGACTGACGGCATACATATACCTCGCATATATTACCTTCTTCATTCTCCAGCTGGCAGGCTCCCTTCCCTTCGTGCTCCCTTTACTCGCTCTTTCCCTCCCCCAATTGCCAGTGCCAACCATCCTTTTCACTGAAAGTTCACCTTTCCCGTTGCATTCCTTTCCTTTGCATCCCCCAACAAACAGCTGCTCGCTGGAGTTATGCCATCGGTAAGTGATCGATTGAGTCCCTTTCACGTCTGCAATGCTCACGATAGCTCAGGGCTGCCCCTACAATACGAGAGAGCTGGTGCCGGATCCAATCCTTAAGTGTTTGTTCTCGTCCACCGGTGTGGGGGGGTGACTGGTGTCCCTCTCGTCGAGCTGACAGCTTGTATGAACAGGGAACAAAATGGATGTGATGCGCATCGTCACCGATCGGTCACGACGTGACCGTTCATGACCCGACTGTCTTTTTTCGAGGTTGAAAGCACACTTCTCTTGCCTCAACATAGAGTAATTAGTCTAAAGCGAAAGCTTTTGGACTAGTATATTCTTATCCCATTGAATGTCAATGTATGATCTTTGTTTCATGCATGACAGCGGCACAGCCGCTGTGCCATGGTATACACCTTGTGGGGCGTAAAGTCTAACCAGTCGTGAAAGGATGGGTGGTTGAGGATGTTGGAGATGCAATCCAAGGGATCACGCCAATACAATATGACCAGTGATTTTGTTGGATGGACCGTCTCAACTACTTGAGACATCCAGCATGGACCACTCAGCAGCATTTCTGCTCTGCCTCGTAGTTCCTTGGCCGAAGAGAATGACAGAGGAAGACCCTGAATCTTGACATGCGCTTTGTCAGACTTGCCTGATTAAATATATTGAGTACTTACCATCCGAAGTGACAAAAAGCTATCTATCTTCCTCATGCTTAATCCCGAATGAAGCAGCCATGACGCAAGTTCCCAATCTTTCAGGCCACTGAATGGGTAGTAGAGATTGGTTGCACAATGCACGCTGTTCTCGTCTGAGTTGAATAAATAGAGGAAAGTATGACTTGTGCCATGCGTTTGAGAAGCTCCGGGAAACCAGTTGATGAAGTCACCAGTCGGTAATAGTTCTTCTTCATCAACAAGACCACCGGTAGAACCACCCTCATCTAAATCAACACCACCTCCAGTATCCTCATCCCAGCCTCTATATCTGTCATGGCCTTCATACATGTTTTTGGGAGAATCTGAGTCGTCGGGAATATTGCACTTGTCGTCAACGTCCATACAAGTGTCCAACCATATGATATCGTGTAGCCAGGTGCTACATCCTGAGCAAGGCTGATTCATATGACGGGCTACAGCGACCTCGTCTTTGAACCCGCCTTTGCCGCACAAAGGGCACTGAAACATAGTTGGAGTAATATCTGAGTATACTACTAGTAGTATCAGTATATATGAGACATACTTAGGTGTGAGAAATGCATACAACTTGTCACGTGACGTTAAAGTGAACTCGGACTTCACTGATTCTACTGTATAGAATAAACAACATCAGCAAAACCCTAACCCTATGTGCAGCAAGGTCCCCCCATATATAGTGCTATACAGTGCCACACAGTCACATACAGCGCTGTACAGTGCTGTATAGGGGGGGACCTTAATTTAGGGTTTTGCTGATGAAAGTCAAGTCCGAGTCGTCAACCTGCCTATAATTATTTTAGCACTTATGTCCGAGTCGACCCCACTTATTAGTCTCAACATCCACAACACCATCCCTACCTCAGCTACAGCATCTTCTCCAGCTCACCATCAGTGTCTCCGAGTGCCGGTGAAAATCGGCAATCACAACCGTGATCTCTCAGAATTGTACATTGTCACAGATGCTATTGGCTCTATGGTGAGTGGTTTGATATTTCTACCAGTGACTATGTCTATTATCTAATGTGCTTGTAGATTATTGAAGACACAGATGATCTTGAAGCCAACTTGCTTATGGAACTCGCGAGAGCCAGACGAGAGATATTCAGAGCCGAGAAATCACTGGCTGATTGTGTGGTCCGCGAGCATGAAGTTCTAGCGAATTGATCGAAATTTAAGTCGAGCATATCCAATCGCAAACTTGACCAGGCAGACATTGGATTAGGATACATGCGAATCACTTTTCAAAAACACAGTTTTTCTCATGCGCTTCCCCATCATGTACACAGTAAGTCTCTCGATACATCGATTTTCATGGTGCTAATGTTGACAAGCTGCAGGTTCTTGCATGGAGTCACGAGCCACCAGTCAAAGCATTACTATACAGTTGGATTGATGTGGGATGGGTATATTTCATGGTTGCACACTCTGTTGTTTTGTATTACCTTATGGAGTGCATTATGCATTATGTACCACTGGCATTGCCAATACCATTTTTTTTATTGGAACTAGTGTACGGCGGAAGTGGAGGCGTGAATTTACCGCTGCTAATTCACCGGCGTCAATTAGCATCAATTGACATGTGAGTTTTGGAGGGACGTTTTTGGGGTGTGAGTTGGGGTGAATTTGGGAGGATGACAGCGGGCATTTTCATAGTTGTAATTTCCATAATGAGATTGTGAAATATCATACACTGACATATCAACGAAAAGATTGGAAAGTGAATTGTGCTTCGTGATTGTTAGGCAATGGACTACGACACACAAAAAAAACTACAGCAGCTATATCTCTTCCTGTCCAACCTCCCCGATACTATTCCCTATGCAGATGCCGGACAAACACAGTATGGCTTCTCCTTGGATGATGACAGGATCGAAGACATGGGGCCAATCGGAGCGTTGAATTGTGCACTTGAATGTGTCATGGGTCAATGTCATAACGGGCCTATTTCGTTCAAGGAGCGTGGACCCGGCCTCGAGGCTGTAGTTGATATCCTTGAAGCCCACCTGATTGAACACCATGAATCCCCAGAGACTATACTTCTTGTCAAATGGATTGATGACCTCACAACAGCAGCAGAAGCTGCATTCATGTCTGCTGGTATCATGGTGAGCTAATTAATGTATTGATGATAGAAGACTTACCACGAATCACGATGCAGCTGCCCCTTTGGACGATGGCTGCAAAACCCACGGCGGAGGTCACCAAAAATGGCAAAAAGGCTGCGTGAGGGTCAATAGACAAGCCCCTCTCAAACTCTGTTGATACAAGGTACTTCGACTTACCGGAGACCGACAATCTCCGTGCGAGTGGTGCGAAATCACACCCACTGCTTCTGGAGGGAACGAGGCGCTGCTACAAGGTCCCAGAGGGTGAGGTGTGTGGAGAGATGGGGTAATGAAGGCATCCCATAAAGACAAAATTCGAGTCCAGTGCATTGGGAGCAAACATTGTGGAACGACCTGGAATATGCCTCGAGCTCGTGACCGTATTATGGCACACCTTTCCAAATGCACTCACATTGACGAGAGCATCCAGGAACGTGCATTGAAAACTTTGGCAGCTAGCTCAAAAGGCCCCAAACTGCGAATCCCGAACCCCGAGCCATCACAAGCAGCAGACTCGGAGGAGCCAGATGACTCGGGCAGCAAGACAAAACCGAGCAGACCATCTACGAAGCCACTCCAGTCTTTCGTCAGAAAGGGGAGAGAGGAGAATGGTGACCACGCTGTCATGAAATTTATTGTCTGTTGTGGAGTCCCTCCGACAATTGTGGATTCCCTTGAATGGAAGGAATTAATTTCAGTCCTCAATTCGAACTATCACTCACCTAGCTCTACAACACTTACCAGAAATCTGATTATCAAGGAAGCAGCAAAGATCGAGCCCCTTCAGTGACAAATCCCGTATTATACGGGTCACCCGACCTACATAATATCCCGTGTAATACGGCCAGCGGATCATGGGCCGATGTTATGTATATTCCCGATGCTGACGGGTGGGCCGGGAGGAATATTATTTCCGATGGAGATGGGTGGGCCCATCTATGCTGATGTGATATATATCATCAATGATGGCGGATGGGCCGGGAGAAATATTATGATGGAGATGGGTGGGCCCATGATTAATATGTAGAGTAGGATTGACATATATTAATAGACCTGAGGAGAGATGTATAACAAATATTATTATATAGACCAGTGGGCCGATGTAGGGGTATATTAGATAGACCGGTGGGCCGATGTGGGGAAATATTAGATAGACTGGTGGGCCGACGTAAGGAAATATTAGATAGATGGGTGGGCTGAGGGTGAGGCAAGTTATTTATTAGATAGACCGGTGGGCCGAGGGTGAGGGGAATTATTTATTAGATATACGGGTGGGCCGACATAGGGGGATATCAGATAGATGGGCAGGTTGACATGGGGAAATATTAGATAGACGGGTGGGCCGACATAAGGAAATATTAGATAGACGGGTGGGCCGAGGGTGAGGTGAATTATTTATTACATAGACAGGTGGGCCGACATGGGGTAATATTAGATAGACGGGTGGGCCGACATAGGGAAATATTAGATAGATGGGTGGGCCGAAGTGGGGAATTTACATAGACAGGTGGGCCAATGCCGGGTAATATTAGATACATGGGTGGGATTAAGAAAATACAAATATAAGATGATATACATCTTTGTCGTCTCAAATCACCGAGTAACGAGTACTGAGACCCGACACCCAACACCCAACACCCGGCACCCGAATCCCCGAATCCCGGGACTACCAAACTCTAACCAAACTCACAATAATGTAAAAAACTCGAAACTCATAGAAATGTACGAGTTTCAAGTCTCGAATGGCCAAGTACCAAGTACCAAGACCCGAAATCCGAAGCCCGAAGCCCGAAAATCAAACTACACCCGACACCTGAACCCCGGGACTACCAAACTCCAACCTCCAAAGTAGCAAAAATGTGTATCATATCAAAAACTTGAAACTTGTAGAAATGTATGAGTTTCGAGTCTCGAATGACCAAGTACTGAGCACCAAGTACCGAGACCTGAGGACCCGAGACCCGAGGCCCAAAGCCCGAAAATCAAACTACACCCGACACCTGGAACCCGGGACTACGACACTCTGGCCTCCAAGCTCGCAAAAATGTATATCATATAAAAAACTCGAAACTTGTACATTTCTACGAGTTTTGAGTCTTGAATGACCAAGTACTGAGTACCGAGTACCGACACCCAAGGCCCGAGGCCCGAAGGCCGAAGCCTGAGACCCGGGACTACCAAACTCCAACCTCCAAACTCGCAAAAATGTATATCATATAAAAAACTCGAAACTCGTAGAAATGTACGAGTTTCGAATCTTGAATGACCAAGTACTGAGTACCAAGTACCAAGACCCGAGACCCGAAGCCCAAGACCCGGGACCTGGGACCTGGGACTACCACACTCCAACCTCCAAACTCGCAAAAATGTATATCATGAAAAACTCGAAACTTGTACATTTCTATGAGTTTTGAGTCTTGAATGACCAAGTACTGAGTACCGAGACCCGAGACCCGAGGCTCGAGGCCCAAAGCCCGAAAATCAAACTACACCCGACACCTGAAACCCGGGACTACGACACTCCAACCTCCAAACTCGCAAAAATGTATATCATATAAAACAACTCGAAACTCATACATTTCTACAAGTTTCGAGTCTTGAATGACCAAGTACTGAGTACCGAGTACCGAGACCCGAAGCCCGAGACCCGGGACTACCACACTCCATCCTCCAAACTCGCAAAAATGTATATCATAAAAAACTCGAAACTTGTATATTTCTACGAGTTTTGAGTCTTGAATGACCAAGTACTGAGTACCGAGTACCGACACCCGAGACCCGGGGCTCGAGGCTCGAGGCTCGAGGCCCAAAAATCAAACTACACCCGACACCCGAAACCCGGGACTACGACACTCCAACCTCCAAACTCGCAAAAATGTATATCATATAAAAAACTCGAAACTTGTACATTTCTACGAGTTTTGAGTCTTGAATGACCAAGTACTGAGTACCGAGTACCGACACCCAAGGCCCGAGGCCCGAAGGCCGAAGCCTGAGACCCGGGACTACCAAACTCCAACCTCCAAACTCGCAAAAATGTATATCATATAAAAAACTCGAAACTCGTAGAAATGTACGAGTTTCGAATCTTGAATGACCAAGTACTGAGTACCAAGTACCAAGACCCGAGACCCGAAGCCCAAGACCCGGGACCTGGGACCTGGGACTACCACACTCCAACCTCCAAACTCGCAAAAATGTATATCATGAAAAACTCGAAACTTGTACATTTCTATGAGTTTTGAGTCTTGAATGACCAAGTACTGAGTACCGAGACCCGAGACCCGAGGCTCGAGGCCCAAAGCCCGAAAATCAAACTACACCCGACACCTGAAACCCGGGACTACGACACTCCAACCTCCAAACTCGCAAAAATGTATATCATATAAAACAACTCGAAACTCATACATTTCTACAAGTTTCGAGTCTTGAATGACCAAGTACTGAGTACCGAGTACCGAGACCCGAAGCCCGAGACCCGGGACTACCACACTCCATCCTCCAAACTCGCAAAAATGTATATCATAAAAAACTCGAAACTTGTATATTTCTACGAGTTTTGAGTCTTGAATGACCAAGTACTGAGTACCGAGTACCGACACCCGAGACCCGGGGCTCGAGGCTCGAGGCTCGAGGCCCAAAAATCAAACTACACCCGACACCCGAAACCCGGGACTACGACACTCCAACCTCCAAACTCGCAAAAATGTATATCATATAAAAAACTCGAAACTTGTACATTTCTACAAGTTTTGAGTCTTGAATGACCAAGTACTGAGTACTGAGGACCGACACCCGAGACCCGAGGCCCGAAGCCTGAGACCCGAGACCCGGGACTATGACACTCCAACCTCCAAACTCGCAAAAATGTATATCATATAAAAGACTCGAAACTCGTACATTTCTACAAGTTTCGAGTCTTGAATGACCAAGTACTGAGTACCGAGTACCGAGTACTGAGTACAGACACCCGAGACCCGAAGCCCGAGACCCGGGACTACCAAACTCCAACCTCCAAACTCGCAAAAATGTATATCATATAAAAAACTCGAAACTCGTACATTTCTACGAGTTTTGAGTCTCAAATGACCAAGTACTGAGTACCGAGTACCGAGACCCGAGGCTCGAGGCCCAAAGTTGAGACTCGGTAGTTGAATACAATACTCGATAGTCTTAACACAATAGTCTATTCTCAATAGTCTTAACTCGATAGTCTGATACAATGGTCTGAACTCAATAGTCTATACTCAATAGCCCAATCTCGATAGTCTTAACTCAAGACTCGGTACTTGGTACTTGGTAGCTGGGACTCAATACATGGTAGTCAGGATTTGGTACTTGATACATGGTAGTCGAGACTCAGTACTCAATACCCAATACTCGAAACTCAGTACTTGGTAGTTGGGACTCGAGACTTGGTAGTCGAGACTCAATACTCAATACTTGGTAGCCGAGACTTGATAGTCTGAACTCGATAGCCCAAACTCAAGACTTGGTACTTGATACAAGGGAGTTGGTACTCGATCCAAGGGAGTCGGTATTCAATACACGGGAGTCAGTACTCGATCCAAGGGAGTCGGTAATCCAGTACCCAATACAAGGGAGTCGAGACTCAGTACAAGGGAGTTGGTCCTCAGTACAAGGGAGTCGGTACTTGATCCAAGGGAGTTGGTACTCGGTACAAGGGAGTCGGTAATCTGGTACACGATACAAGGGAGTCAGTACTTGATCCCAGGGAGTTGGTACTGGATCCCCGGGAGTTGGTACTCAATACAAGTGAGTTGGAACTCGGTACAAGGGAGTTGGTACTCGATCCAAGGGAGTTGGTACTCCGGTACCTGATACAAGGGAGTTGAGACTCAATACATGGGAGTCAGTACTTGATCCAAGGGAGTCAGTAATCTGGTACCCGATACAAGGGAGTCGGTATTTGATCCCAGGGAGTCGGTACTGGATCCCCGGGAGTCAGTACTCAATACAAGTGAGTTGGTACTCGATCCAAGGGAGTCGGTACTCCTGTACCTGATACAAGGGAGTTGAGACTCAATACACGGGAGTCAGTACTTGATCCAAGGGAGTCAGTAATCCGGTACCCGATACAAGGGAGTCGGTACTTGATCCCAGGGAGTCGGTACTGGATCCCCGGGAGTTGGTACTCAATACAAGTGAGTCGGAACTCGGTACAAGGGAGTCGGTACTCCTGTACCTGATACAAGGGAGTTGAGACTCAATACACGGGAGTCAGTACTTGATCCAAGGGAGTCAGTAATCCGGTACCCGATACAAGGGAGTTGGTACTGGATCCCCGGGAGTTGGTACTCAATACAAGTGAGTTGGTACTCAATACAAGTGAGTCGGAACTCGGTACAAGGGAGTCAGTACTCGATCCAAGGGAGTCGGTAATCCGGTACCCAATACAAGGGAGTTGGTACTCGATCCAAGGGAGTTGGTAATCCGGTACCCAATACAAGGGAGTCGAGACTTGGTACAAGGGAGTCGGCACTCAGTACAAGGGAGTCAGTATTCAATACAAGGGATTTGGTACTGGATCCAAGGGAGTTGGTACTCGGTACTTGACCATAGGACAAATCCCTGTGATCCAGTATACCTACCTTCTCCTGGTGGTTTGCCCCTGTGAAATTTTGTCCTGTAGGACCGGACCTCAAGGAGGGTAGGAAGTCTATTTATATTCATATTCTTAGTGTATCTATGGCTTAGTTACTTTAAAATATGTATAGGATCCTTCTACAGGAGCAAAATCATACACAATCATCAATCCGATGTTTTTGATGTTTTGCACTCCATTACACTTGCACACAAAATCCAGCCTGCTCATATATCATTAGTGGTACATATATATGTGCATTGTATTCTAAAGATCAGTGCAAAATAGGTGAGAGGATTGAGCTAGTGTATATGCTCTCTGTTTCTACTGATAAGATGCTCATACCTTCCAAACATTGATATTTAATATTAAGACACCTGGAGTACCTTTCAAATATATTCAGTATTATAAGCCTAACTTTACAGAACGATCTAACAAGAATTGAATGCTGAGGACATGAAATGGATGAGAAATCGAGTGTGGGAAACTCAAAAGACCCAAAACATCGAAAATGGTCAGTTGAGTAGTTGTTGGACCTTAATGCTGCATGAACTTACTTTACCATCAAATCACTTCCACACATCCTCCACACTCAGGGCAAAGTGTTGTATAGGTTCCTCATGTAGTGTAACCTATATCCTACTAATATTTAACCAAATATCAAACTTATATCATATGAAAATGTGACTTTTATGTGATAGGTGTCAATTGTTACATTTCACACATATGTCACTTTGCTTCCCTTTCACTCAATACTTGATGGATCTGTCTGAAACTTGTGGGCTATGGCTAGAATATGTGAGACATACAACAAGTATCTTATCATAAGATCTTGATGTTTTAAATAATTGGGGCCTGCATGTGAGTCAATTATGAAATGTCATTATGATGCTTAGCCGTCTTGACGAAATATGTGCTGCCAGTCAAGGCAAAAATATAGCTGGTGTTTTCTTGTCAATAGGGTAAGATATAGGTAAGATATAAGCTTCACCAAAATAATTATCAGGCTTAGGTGTATTCACAATAATTGAAGTCCAATGTTGAGACTATTGAGTATAGAGAATTGTATTCAACTACTGAGTCTCAACTACCGCTATCGTGTTAAGACTATCGAGTATAGACCATTGTATTCAACTACTGAGTCTCAACTACCATGTATTGAGTACCGAGTCTTGAGTTCCGAGTCTCGACTCCCTTGTATCAAGTCTCGACTCCCTTGTATTGAGTCTTGACTCCCTTGGATCAAGTACGTACTCCCTTGTACCGAGTACTGACCCCATGGATCAAGTACCGACTCCCTTGTACCGAGAACCAACTCCCTTGTATTGAATACCAACTCCCTTGTACCAAGTACCGACTCCCTTGCATCGAGTACCGACTCCCTTGTATCGAGTACCGAGTACCAACTCCCTTGGATTGAGTACCGACTCCCTTGTATTGAATACTGACGCCCTTGTACCGAGTGCCGACTCCCTTGTACCGAGTACAACTCCCTTGTACCGGGTACTGGATTACTGACTCCCTTGGATTGAGTACCGACTCCCTGATATTGAGTTAAGACTATCGAGTATAGACCATTGTATTCAACTGCCGAGTCTCAACAACTGAGCATCGACTACCAAGTGTGTGGTACCGGGTTTCGGAGTTTGGTACTTGTATCAGACTATCGAGTTAAGACTATTGAGTATAGACTATTGTGTTACAACAATCAAGTATAGACCATTGTATTCAACTACCGAGTCTCAACTACCGAGTATCGACTACCAAGTCTGTAGGACCGGGTTTCAGGTTTTGGACTTCGGCACTCGGAACTTGGTACTTGGTGCTCGGAACTCAGCACTCAATACTCGGTACTCAGTCACATCACTTGTGTGCCTGAACTTTCTTGAACACACCACTTTGTAGTATTTTGCTTATAACTCATTAGGATCTTAACTGAACAATGTCATGACACTATGGAAAGACTACCCTTGACAAGGGCTGTCACTTTGATTTTCTTCGAAAAAATTCATAAGGTCTACCATAGTCACTCCTTATCAAAATCCTAATGGTAGACTATTGTATTTGGTAGTACCAGGTTTCGGGCTTCGGTACTCGGGACTCAGTACTTGGTGAAGAGTCGAGTTTCGGGTTTCGGGCCTCGGATTTCAGGACTCAGTACTCGATACTGGGTGATTTCCATATCATCTTAATTTTTTTTTTCACTCAAGACTTGAAACTGGTACATTGGTAAGAGTTTTGAAGTTTGATTTTCAGGCTTCAGGCCTCGGTCCTCGGGTCTCAGGTCTTGGTACTCGGTACTCAGTACTTGGTCATTTGAGACTCAAAACTCATAGAAATGTACGAGTTTCGAGTTTTTTATATGATATACATTTTTGCGAGTTTGGAGGTTGGAGTTTGGTAGTCCCGGGTCTCGGGCTTCGGGTCTCGGGTCTCAGTACTCGGTATTCAGTACTTGGTCATTCGAGACTCGAAACTCATACATTTCTACAAGTTTCGAGTTTTTGATATGATATACATTTTTGCAAGTTTGGAGGTTGGAGTTTGGTAGTCCCGGGTGTCGGGTGTCGGGTGTAGTTTGATTTTCGTGCCTCGGGTCTCGGGTCTCAGTACTCGGTACTCAGTACTTGGTCATTTGATACTCAAAACTCGTAGAAATGTATGAGTTTCGAGTTTTTTATATGATATACAGTTTGGAGGTTGGATTTTGGTAGTCCCGGGTCTCAGGCTTCAGGCCTCGGGTCTCGGGTCTCAGGTCTCGGGCTTCGGGTCTCGGGTCTCGGTACTCAGTACTTGGTCATTCAAGACTCGAAACTCGTAGAAATGTACGAGTTTCAAGTTTTTTATATGATATACATTTTTGCGAGTTTGGAGGTTGGAGTTTGGTAGTCCTGGGGTTCGGGTCTCGGGCTTCGGGTCACGGGTCTCGGGCCTCGGCACTCGGCACTCGGTACTCGGCACTTGGTACTTGGTCACTCAAGACTCAAAACTGGTACATTTCTATGAGTGTCGAGTTTTTTTACATGATAAACATTTTGGTGAGTTCGGAGGTTGGAGTTTGGTAGTCCCGGGTGTTGGGTCTCGGACTTCGGGTCTCGGGTCTCGTGTCTCGGGTCTCGGGCCTCAGCACTCAGTACTCGGTACTCGGTACTTGGTCACTCAAGACTCAAAACTTGTACATTTCTACAAGTTTCGAGTTTTGTAAATGATATACATTTTTGAGAGTTTGGAGGTTGGAGTTTGGTACTCCCATGTTTCGGGTCTCGGGCTTCGGGTCTCGGGTCTCAGGTCTCGGCACTCAGTACTCGGTACTTGGTACGTGGTCACTCGAGACTCAAAACTTGTACATTTCTATGAGTTTCGAGTTTTTGTACATGATATACATTTTTGCGAGTTTGGAGGTTGGAGTTTGGTACTCCCGGGGTTCGGGTCTCGGGCTTCGGGTCTCGGGTCTTGGGTCTCGGGCCTTGGGCCTTGGCACTCAGCACTTGGTACTTGGTCACTTGAGACTCAAAACTTGTACATTTCTACAAGTTTCGAGTTTTTTACATGATATACATTTTGCGAGTTTGGAGGTTGGAGTTTGGTACTCCCGGGTTTCGGGTCTCAGGCTTTGGGTCTTTGGTCTTGGGTCTCGGGTCTCAGCACTCGGTACTTGGCACTCAGCACTTGGCACTTGGTACTTGGTCACTCAAGACTTAGTTGGGATTTGAGTCTGGAATCTCGGGCTTCGGGTCTCGATGGTCGGGACTCAATGTTCGGGACTTGAAACTTGTAAAATTTAATACCCAGGATCCATAGTTGGGACTTGATGTTCGGGACTCAAAACTCGTAAACATGTATGAATTTCAAGTTTTGATTTAATTAAGTTTTGTTTGTAGTCTCTAGTCTCAAATCTCAGGCTTCGGGTTTTGGGTCTTGATAGTCGGGACTCAATAGTTGTGATTTGATCTTCGGAGCTCGGATCATGTTACACTTCACTCAATTTTCGGTAGTTGGAACTTGGCATTTGGGATTTGGTTGGCTTGGATGATGTTGGCTTTCAAAGATCTCTTATCATCCATTGCCCAATGAAATACCAGATGATTGGAAGTGTGCTGGATATCACATATTTGTTTGTTGAGACCCAGGTCTCAGAACTCGGTCCACTTTGCTCGATTTTCCACTTCACCACTTTGCAAAGCTCCATGCCATACTGCAAGACCTTCATCTTCCATCTCAAAGCTTTGATGAACAGGGCCTGGAACACAAGTTTCCACTTCACCCCTTTGCAAAGCTCCATGCCATACGACATCATTAGATGACTTTGAATTATTACCGCCTTTGATTTGGATGATATACAACTACCTGAGCTCCACCACGTCTACAATTATCATTCTCCTGGGCCCACCCGTCTATATTATATACCCCCACATCAGCCCACCCGTATATATAATAAATATTTCACTGCCCCCTCGGCCCACCCATATATATAATAAATATTTCACCACTCCCTCGGCCCACCCGTCTACAAAATGATATTAATTCATTGGTCCACCCATCTAATATGATATGTATCTGGGCCCACCCGTCTATGTGATAACAAGCACCCTTCACATACCCGGCTATTTGATACACATCTACCTTGGTACACCCATCTACATAATATCTAACTACCTCGGCCCATCCGTCTATGGAATATTCATTTCCATCGGCCCACCCGTCTACAAAATAATATTAATTCTTCGGCCCATTCATCTAATATGATATATATCTGGGCCCACCCGTCTATGTGATAACAAGCACCCTTCACATACCCGGCTATTTGATATCCAACTACCTCGGCCCATCTGTCTATGGAATATTCATTTCCATCGGCCCACCTGTCTACAAAATAATATTAATTCTTCGGCCCACCCATCTAATATGATATATATCTGGGCCCACCCGTCTATGTGATAACAAGCACCCTTCACATACCCGGCTATTTGATACACATCTACCTTGGTACACCCATCTACATAATATCCAACCACCTCGGCCCATCCGTCTATAGAATATTCATGTCCATCGGCCCACTCATCTACTCTACATATTCCCCACATGGGCCCACCTGTCTCCATCGGGAATAATAACACTCCCGGCCCATCTGTCATAGTCGAGAATATTTCTACCTTCAGCCCATGGTCCGCTGGCCCGTATCATACGGGATATTATGCACGTTGGTTCACTCGTATAATACGGAAATATGTTACTGCAATATGTGAAAGATCAGTGAAGGCATCAAAGAGTACCTTGGAAAAGTTCGTCACCTCACAATCACCTTCGATGGTGGCAAGATACGTCGCCCAAACTCACTCTACACAATCCATATCACGGTTCCTGGTGGTCGGACCTTCTGCATGGAGCTCAATGATGGGGCTCGTAAAAAGCACACTGGGGAATATATTCTGGATGCACTTGATTGAGTACGTGTGCAACCAACCCAATGCCGTCATAGAAGCTCACCAGTCACCCCTGAATTAGGTCATACGACAAATTGGCCCATATAGGTTCAGTGCCACGTCTTCTGATAATGCGGGTAACACAAAGAAAGCACGGAGGTTGCTCTGTGAGAAATACCCTCATATGCTCAATCTCCAGGATCCATGTCACCTTCTCAACCTTGCAATAAAGGACATATGCCTCCTTCCCGAGTTTGCTGAAGTGGGTGATATGTTGTTGAAATACATTGTTACTAATCACTATGACTGCACCAGGTAATTAAAAATATACGAGGAGTCTTATCATTCATGAGCCATTCTACCTTTGCTGCCGAGCACTTCGACCATCAACATGGCTTGCTTAACATTGGGTGAGGGCTAGAAAGTATAGGGGACACTCGTTTTGGTACACTGTACTGGGCTGCATCATCAGTTCAGCGGGGGATGCCAGCCTTTCAGGCTATCATCGAGGACGAGAGCCTTGGCATTGAGATCAAAGGCGTGAGTTTAATTCCACCAGTCTGACAACACTGCTAATGCTGATAGCTGCAGGGCCTTAATGAACTCTTTGTTCCTGGAGCACCGAGATACCATTTCGAGATGGAGCTGTCAAAATTCCTCTCCGTCGTTGGCCCATGGGCAAAAGGGCTGAAGTGTCTCGAGGGTGCACAAATCACGGCTGATCATGTGTACTTTGTTTTTCTTGGTATCATGGCTCAACATCAAGAAGATTTCCGTGAAAACAAGCATCGACTGCGGAAGTCTACAATGGAATGTATCCGTCAAATCGGGAATGCACGTTTTAACGAGCTGGTTAACGAGACTCCGCAATCGCATGATTTGTACATCACAGCGTTCATTCTGAATCCAGGTATGTTTTTATTTTAACCCCGTCTGTTTGGTCTAACTAGAAAAAAAAACAGTATATTGAAATGCTCCCATTTACAAGGAGGCCAACCCACTCGCAGGGCCAACTCTTACCATCACAAAATCAGCTGCAGGTGTGGTCACTTGTTCCACAAACCTCCTCAGGACATGGTGACTTGTGCTGCACTCGCTCTGCAGAGTATCCTACGACGCGAGTATGGTGATGCATATGAGGCTGGCAAACATTCTGATCCAGCTGCTGAAATGGAGAAACGAAACTCCGCACTCGCTGGATTTAGCCCTGCGGAAGCGCTTCCTTCATTTCGAACCCAATTCAAGGCTTACATCAAGAGTGAGGACCTTTTCAATCGGAAAATGAGATCCAATGAAAGTGCCCTCGACTGGTGGAAGGCACTACGAGGAGATGAGTTAGCTAATATTCTTGTTGTAAGTTCACGATCCCAGGCCAAAACGAAATCTAACAATTTGGACAGCCTCTTGCAATAAAAGTATTTTCAGTCTCTCCGACATCCATGCCGGATGAGCGCACAATGTCAACAATTAACTGGCTCAACTCTGCTCGACGAAGTCGGCAGGAAGTCAGCACACTTCAAAACCACATCAAAATCCGACAATGGCACCGCTTTGACCCAAAGGTGTGTTGTTTTGGTTCATTTTTCGTATGTACAACTAACTTACATTGCTTACAGAAACTGCAAACACCGTACAAACCATTGGTCAAGTGGCGCGACATGGAAACTACTATCCTTGGCAAGCGCTCTGGAGAGGATTTGCCTCCAGCTGGCCGAAAACCTCCTCCGCCCAAACCACGAACTTTCGCCTTGCTCTCGAACTCGATATTGGCAGACTCGGATGATGAATTGGATGACGGCGTGGACTGGTTGAATGATGCGCAAGGCCTTCCTGACGAGCTTAAGAAAGTAGAGAAAGACTCGTTTGTGCTCACTGGGTCCAGTGGTATTGATTTGCATTCACCTTATCTACAAGAGCTACTCGACTCTAGTGCTAAACAGGTTTCACAGCCAGCTCCTGCACCCACCAGGAAGGCTGCACCCAAAACCTTGTCTATGTCTTTACCTGATTGCTCTGATTGGAACGAGTGGGACTAATTCACCGAAATTCACGTAGAATTGTCACATTTACTGGTAAATTAGCGTTAATTGACAGGCTGGTAAATTCACGGTAAATTACACTGGTAAATTTGAGAGCCTCTGGGTGTCCTGTGAATTTACGCTGTGAGTTTCAGGGAGTTCAAAATTCACCATACACTAATTGGAACCATTGTCATGAACTGGCGGTATCTAGCATAAATTCAATACTGTTTTTTTATTGGAACCATTGTGGTGAACTGGCGGTGTCTGGCTTAAATTTAATACTGTTTATTTATTGGAACCATTGTCGTGAACTGGCGGTATCTAGCACTACTAGTAGCACTGTTTATGCTATAGCACTGGCAGCCTGGAGAGCTGTATGTCCTGTCGCAGCTGTGCAAATTACCTGTCTGTGCTGATGTGCCTTCTGTGAGCTCTGTGAGAGTCTATGGGAAACTGTGGGAAACTGTCAAAATAGGCAATGTCTGGGACGAAATTTCTGGTTTACTGATGTTGCCGACATCTTGACAAAGGCCTTACCACGTCCGTTATTCATCCAACACACTAGCGCCCTACAGCTGGCGTCTAGGTGAGGCAAAAATCGCGTCCTTAAGTGAGTAGCGAGCTGGACGTGTGCTTTACTATCAAGGAAGCACATAGATGGAGAATCTTCACGTGCACGCTTACGAAGGCAGAGTTTCGCGCGTCAACGCTCGCAAGCTCGCGATCCGCTTGAAACGGGCACCTGCGTAACGCCTAATGACTCACTGGCAGATTGATTACCATCATTTTCTCAAAATCCCCTCGCATTGCTGGCATGAGGAACTGTCCGATCGGACGTGAGGTTAACAAGGGATGTCGAAGACGTCATTTTTGGCAGAAGCTCTGAGATATATAAAATCAGAAACCTCAGGAAGTGACTTATTAACTCCCGTGTGGGCACTATGAATCACACCCATCCTCCTGTGCTAATCGTAAGTGATCTGCCTACGATGGATGTTTGCGCATCAATGGAATTCCGCTTTCTTAGGTAGGCGCCGGCCCAGCGGGTCTGGTAGCAGCATTGACGCTCCTTCAAAATGGCATCCCAGTGCGCATCATCGAGCAAGACTCCAAGCCTCGCATCGGACAGCGCGGTCCCGGAATATTTGTTTGTCATTCATCTGAGTTCACCCGCGGTCTTAACTAATACACACTATCTAGCCACGTTCCCTCGAACTCTTCAATTTCCTGGGTGTTCCAGATGTCAATGATATGGGGAAACCATTCCCTTGTATCCGTGAGTACAAGTTCGGGGTGGCGGAACATACGCACAAGGAATTGGATATCCCGCGTACACAAAATACCCCATCGATACCATTCGTACGCGGATACATATCGTTCGCGCTCAAGACATCTCACTGACAGATCTTTTTCTAGAACGTCCCTAAGTTGATGGGTCAGCAACTCTTGGATGTTATTCTGCGACGCCATCTGGACAAACTGTCGTGCTCTGTCGAGTTCGGAACCGAGCTGCGCTCGTTCACGCAATCCGATGAGGGAGTTGCCGCTGTTCTCGCAAAGAAACAAGGTGACGATGAAATATTAGAGATATTTGATGCCAAGTGGATGATCGGTGCCGATGGTGGCAAAAGTGCGCGACACGGTTGAAACAGAATGAACTAGACTGAAGTTCAAACCACAGGTACAGTACGGAAACAACTTGGTGTCATGTTCCCGGGAGAATCTATGGCTGGGTTTCGGGTCGTCACCGGAGATATTTGTTTAGCAGGCCCTGGTCTTGATAGAACGGTGTGTCCGTATTCCATTGATGGAAGCGCTCTTATTCAGCTTTTCAGTATTGGCACCGATTTGGAGATTTGAATGACAAATGGTACGTGTACTTTCTACCCTCGGTGGTGTATATTGAACAACCCACAGCGTCTCCTTGCGACCAACAGACGAAGTTGGAGAGGATGGCTGGCACTTTTTTATCTTGGGACGTGACATAGACATGACAAAGCTCGCGCAAAACGAAGAACTTATTTTCGAGACCATCGCATTGCTGATTCCTATGGAAATTACGTTCAACAAGATAGTTTGCGCGTCCGAATACCGGTGCGTGGTGTCTCTTCTCCGTGTCTGTGCGAGTTTATCAGTCTCCTTCAGGGCTAATGTCCGCATGGTGGATAAGTTTAGCGATGGGCGAGTCTTTCTTGCGGGCGGTCTGTAGTTCTGTTTTTCAAGTATGCCTGTGCTCATGAGGTCTCTTCATAGACGCTGCCCAGTACGTCTCTTTTAAGTGACCTACAAACAGCTGATGACAGGTGTTCAGTGTCCACAGTCCAACCGGTGGTCAGGTAGGGAAGTCATATCAAATGCCAATATGTGCTTATGTCGTTCTGAATAGGGACTCAATTCAAGTGTGCAAGATGCCGTGAGTCGGGTAAATGCAGGATGTATGACACGGCTGACCGCCCTGGACACTAGTTCAATCTGTCTTGGAAACTTGCTCTCGTTGAAAAAGGACTTGCCGACAAGACGCTTCTCGAGACATACAATGAAGAGCGTCTCCCTGTCATTACCGAGATGCTCGAGGTGACCACCTCGATCCTAAAGCGTGCAATGACGGCAGGAGGCAAGGACGCCTGGCGTACTACTCTCCTTTACATGCTCGGCATTCATTGCCGCTTCAGCAGCATCGTCCTCGACGAGTTTTCCACGTCAGTCGAGGGGAAACCTATCAACATCTACAGGATACTTGACGAGATGGAGCTTGAGGCTGGGGACAGAGCCCCTGATGCACCCAAGCTACTCCATGTCCAGCCTGGAGAATCTGACTTAATGACGCTTTTCAGTCTTTACAGACCCTGGCGTCACACAGTCGTTGTTTTTGTGCCAAGTCCCACAGATGCTACTCCAATCTTGGCCGCACTAGAGCCATATGACAAACATATTGTGCAGTCAGCAGTCATCCTACCCTCATCAGCACCAGCAACACCCGTCGCATCTCCTGCCGACTTCGTTCTTCTTGATCAGGGCGACCATGCTTTTTCCGCTTACCTCGTCGAAGCTACTCAAACCAGAGTCTTTGTGATACGGCCAGATGGTGTGATTGGCGCAATTGTTCATGGTGCAGAGGGGGTGAAGAAATATTTCTCCAGAATCTTCCATGATATATAGAATGACTCGAGTCCATCCATTCCTTGTTCAATTGCAACTCATGTATCTTCTTCAGTGACGCACACTCGACAAGCAAATCACGCAAATATATTCAAATAGTCATTTGTATCCGCACCCGTCTTCCTGATTATATCAAGGCTCCCTCCAGGCATGTTATTTCTGTTATTGCATGTCACAACCGGACAAGATATTTACAATGCCACTTTTTACGCCTCCAAAGCACTCAGAGGATGTGTCCCCAGTAGTTCCGTCCAAGTCAGGACAAATGAGCGATCTATACCAACCTCTGGCCTTGAAGCTGGCCGTCGTCATACTGCTGGGAATACGAAGTCCCTTCCTTAGCAGCCGATAACGACGAAAGGCCAATGCGCCACAGTAAAGAATCTACTAAAGATAAGTCGCCAAAATGCCTCTCAGCTATTCCCGAGCGCTTCCCATGATGAAGGGGGAAGGACGAACTGACTGTCGATATCGGTACTATTGCGTAAGGTTTTGGAAGGAACAATCCTGGAAGATACCTACCTAGCTGACGCGTCTCTTTGTATGGCAGGCACGATTGTTGTTGTCAATTCTTCCAACTGATTGGCCTACCGTAGATCTGGAGATAGGGCTGAACTTCAATTGGACATTAGACGCGTAGGTCTATTATCAGCCGACTATGCATGTTGTTGCCATCAACAATGACCTGATTCTGTCACTTCACCAGACTTCAAGGGTGGGTGCATAGATTTGTGTAGATGGTTTCGAAAGCCGAGGCAATATCCGGTTTCTGGTCGAGAGGTCATATGTCGATGACTTGAGTTCTGAATCGATTGATCATCTAAATCATCGATCGTGGACAGAATGGGGCTTCAGTTCAGGTCGCGTCCATCGACTGACATTGTATAGCATCAAGACCTAAGAGGGACTGGTGGGCATAATTTACGAAATTTTATACGGCATTCCTTTCCATGCGGCTCGAGACGCGAAAAATATTCTCTTTCTGGATGCATCAATTGTTCGAGTAGCACGCCTCGAGGAAGTATTTGTATTTAAGAGTTCTCCAGTGCCAACCCGTGGCCTCATGCCACGGCTCATGTGTATATGCCATTGCCTCCCACACGCACCCCCTTTCTTCAAGGCGTAGAGGGGACAAAGTACAGAGGTGTTCCTCACGTTTTTGATCCGTACACGAGGAGGACATCGCCATGATGATCTTAAACCCTGTGCAGAATGGATAGGTGCACATCACAAGCACATCCCGCTCCGGTACAGCCTACTATACCACTGTTGGCTAGTCGAATGAATCCTTTGTTTCGATCAAGCAAGCTGACATGGTGTGCGGAGCCGGACAAAACCATTGTTCGTGCTTCCTCTACATGCGGCAACTGAGTACTGATTACTGATCATCAGATCAATCGGGTTCAAACTTTACATGCTCTTGGCCACGCCCTCCTTCAAGTTGCAACGTTCGAAGACACTATGGTGAATACATGCTCGAAAGTCGAGACCCAGTACATTGATCAGTAAGCCAGCCTCGATCTATCTTCATAAGTAGCTAGCCGATACCCTAAGTTCTAGACGTCGATAACCTCAAGCGTGCTAGTACCTTTCACGGTCTGTTTTGCTCCCAGTTTGAATAAATAAATTCTATCTTCGTCTATCCATATGTCAGGCGAGGAACCCCGGAAGGTTCTGTCCAATACGACCTCGACATAAGGCAGGAATGTTGTCGTCAAGGCGTCCCCTGGCCTGAAAGTGTAGCGACTGAGTATTATCGTAGATGGCTCTTTCACCACTCGTCCTAGACCCCGCCTGTTCATCACAGCTAGTGGACTGAAATCCATCACATGTAATTTAAACTCCCCGAGGACACAAAATGACTTCAAAACTCGATTTCCACAAACGTTAATTCCGCAGAAATCTGGTTGATCGAAAATGCGGGTATTTGAGGGGCCCCAGTCCTCCCATGGTATTGGCGTTGCTGCTGCTATTCCGTCAAGGTCGAAGAAAACTTTTGTGGAAATGAAGATGACACGAGAAGGGGGATGGGCCGCGAAAATGCATAGTATGCGATGTGCAGGGTCAGAAGTGTACATAGATTGTTGGGCTTGTATCTGATGAATATCATCCATCGGAAGGAAAAAATGTGTTTCATCCATTGGGATGGGCACCAGGAAACACGCCAGCAATTGTGGCGTCTGGGACATATCCTCGATGGAATAGATCCTCAATTCGTCGGTCCAAGCGAGCAACCTATTATTTCCGAGGAAACAAAAATCGAATATGGTGCCGTATTCGGGATCTATTAAGCCGCTGAGGGCGCTCTAAGTTGGAAATCAATTGACAAGTCTTCAACCGTCTGATCAAAGCTCACATTGGATGTCGTTGAGTGTTGCCAGTCCCAAATCTGTAACTGCCACATGTCGTCTGACGAAGTCCCTTGTTCAACGGACAAACTGCGCTGCAAAGCAATATGCCTTCCAAAACCTTTGAGCTTGAGGCCCACTGTGCGGATTTCCGAGTCATCGTGTCCGGGCAGCCCATACAGAAACAATGTTTGTCCAGCAGCGCGGGGGTGAACACCATCGACACTCAATGTTTTAAGGTCGATATGAGTTGTCTTGTGATCAACAATATACACGACGGCGATCAGATCTTGTGCTGGGTCCATGAACACATCGATGTTGGTTGAGTGGGGGACTGAACACAACGTTCCTGGAGACCAGTAGCGCTGGAATGTTTGTTGTGGGGGCTTCGGAAGAATCGGAATGATCCTGGCAGTATCGTCGTCTTCGTCCCACAAAGAGACATGTCCATTAGCGACGGATACGCTCGTAGTGCATCGTTTAAACGGTATAGGGAATGATTCGAAAGAGTTGAGGTCAGCCTTGAACCATGCGTGAGCTTTGTTCCTCAAGAGTCGTAGACGCTCGGAAATAGGTGTGTGGTTGTCCGTGTTGGGTACAGGGAGCAAATGTTGGCCGCCGAGTTCAACGATGTACTGAAGCTCGGAGGAGGACACATATGTCTGGCGAAGGGCCTTACATATCTGCAAGAAAATCGTCAGTATAAGTCAACAATAACATGAGTCAAAGACCGCCACTCAGTGGCACTCACAGATGTGCAATGAAGGATATCTCGGTAAGGAAGAAAGCTCAGTATGAAAACCCGGAGTTCTTCAGCAAGAGACAGGAACCCTGTATTGGGCTTCATTTCGTGGTCCACCGTGTAGAGCGGCAAGTTACTGCACGGCTCACGCTGCTTTGAGTTCTGGGGAATCGAAGAGATGAATCAGTCAGACTTTGGTAGCACGTGCGTTCAGCGGCGGGAGAATACAAGTGACTTCGAGGGAATCTATTGATTGTCTTCAAAATGAGAAATACAGGTGGTTTATATACGGCGAGAGAACAGACAAAGTACTATCAGGGCGTGAGTGGCGAGAAGAGAGGTAATGCGAGACGTCAAAGGCATAGCGTCGTCAAAGCACAAGTACGAAATGAATGGGAACATGTGGTGATGGTGATAAGGACAAAGGGAAGGCAGTGCGTAATATGTCGCAGTCGTTGAAGTCTTGAGTTTGTCGTCTGTCCAACGGTAAAGGCGCAGCCTTCCTTACAACCGTGACTCTCTTGATTGAAGATGAGATGGATAAGTAGTCTGGACTTATCGGATATATCATATGTGTGGGAAGTCATGATGGAAAGATTTCAGGTCGGAGTCGGACCACCGCTACACATGCACGCCGCTGAGCACTAAGTTACCTAGCTTGATGGGTGTACAACTAGTATTAGTCGAATCCCGAATCGTCGCCTGTCTGCCGCATCAAAAATGCACCAGCTCTTTCTGAATCTCAGTCACGTAGGCGATGTGCCTCTACATGAAACTGTATTTTCGACTTGTGAGTCACGGTTTTCGACAATAAACGAAAGAAAGACGAATGTGGTAGGCAACGGTTGAGTGCTTGAGCTCAGAACTTTCTGCACTTCAATAGAGACGATTTTGGGTTGAAGAACTTTCCGGTCTCGGAATTGTCAAGTGAACGACAATGTCACAAGCTGAAAATGGATCGACTCGCCGACGACGTGTCCTATCTGGTAGGCTCACATGATCAGGAAGCGTTCACTCAGTCTTCCTTCGCCATCAACGTCCACTTCATCCATAGTTTCATCTCCTTCGCGATGTGTTAGAGCGCCCAGCACTTCATTGGAGTCGGACGCATCTGGATGGCTTGGGTTTGCGACCGTTTGTTAGTCTAGGCAGACCAAATAGAAGATAGTGGCGGCCGTTGATAGTAGATTCTAGCTCCGGTTGTTGACTTCGTCCCAATGATACTTAGATTGCAGACGTTCCAGTCGATAACGAGTCCCCGGGGCGCAATGAACCAATTAAACTAGGAAGTCTACAACGTCACAGTTACGACCCTCGGGGAGCAGTGCAGCCTAGTCTGCGACAACAACGCTGCTGACTTAAGCTCGCACGCAAGTCGTGGCAAACTCGTGGGTGATGTGAGCTTTCTGTAATCTTTCCAGGCTGCTATGCATACCACGACTGGACGATGCTGTTCGGATGAGGGCGCGTCTGGCAGACCAATGTCAAGATGTTACTATGGTACACAGTCAACTTGAAGTTACACCGCCACCTCTTTTCATTGGTGCTCTGTAACTCGTGTGTAGGGTGATAGCGATTTGTGCATGTTCGGCCCGCTGATATCTAACATTAGGGAACCTCGAGGATTGCCGATTGTGCATGTGGCCTTACTGCTAAGGTATGTGCATGGTCCCAGTGGTGTCCCACATCCGTAAGTGTTAGGTCGTGTGCTTTCCGTGTGCTGGCCTCAAGTGCTGTGGCAACGTGCCATATTCCCACTTATAAATACTAGCGCTTAATTAATTTCACTGACTTGAAATGCCTTTCCGCCCCGCATTCGACAGCCTGTAGTCCTCCTTCACCATGCCACTCGACAGAATCATCACGGATCCAATCATCTCGACAGAGAACATAGCGTTCTCCCCGTCGCGTTCACGAACACCAGTTGACCACAACCCAACCCTGGTACTGGAAGGCGCCGCAGTCCCAACGGAACGCGACCCATTGATTGCGACTGCGCCGAAACTCAAGAAGCCATTCTATCGTGCCCGCCCATTATGGTGAGTAGAGCTTGTCAGCGTCCGAGTAACCTGACTGATGGAGTTCTGGGCAGGCTGGTACCATTTGCACTAATTGCATCTCTTACTGTACGGACCGACTTGTTTGTCATCACTCGGAGAAACATGCTGACTGTCACCGTGCGACTTGTATAGCGCGGCATGACGCTGGCGTCCCGCGTGGAAGTCTTCACAGAATTATCATGCCACAGTATACACGAGCACTATAATCATACCCGCGTGGTCCCGAGCCTCACTCCTTTCAACTCGAGCCATTATGCGGTCGATCCCGTAGAACCCCATTTAATCTCCGTGCATTTTCCGTCACCACACATCTCTTCAGACGAATACCAGGAAGGCGACGATGACGACGATGACCCCCGCGTGATACCAAATAAAAAGTGTATTTCGGATCCCGCCGTTCAAGCAGGTGCTGCACGCCTGCAGACCATAATGACCACGACGATGGGTGCCCTTTCTGCTCTTACAACGGGTTGGTGGGGCCAGTTCGGGGAACGGCACGGCCGCATACGCGTCCTCGCTATCGCCACCTTCGGACTCTTCCTTACGTACGTTTCATATTTCGCTTCTTTCCGAGGCATTATTGCTTACGATATGTGCTCAAACCATAAAGTGACCTCACGTTTATTCTTGTATCAACACCTCACAGCCCCTTGGCCGCTCACTCGCATAAGCTGCTCATTCTTGCACCTATCATTGAGGGCTCTCTGGGAGGATGGTCGACCTTGACCGGTGCTAATACGGCCTACATTGTTGATTGCACGTCTCCTGGTTCGCGTGCAACTATTTTCGCCCGTTTCACTGGCGTCCTCTGTATTGGACTTGCTCTTGGGCCCATGCTCGGTGCATGGCTGATCAGGCACCCGATCCCTTTCTTGAATGCTGGAAACGGTACGTCGGATGACTGTTTGATCGGCTGAATGCTGAAATAGCAATGAAAGCCGAACACCCACTACAAAGCGTCACATCAGTTTTCTGGGTAGCGATTGCTTGCTCTTTCGTGAATTTGATTTTGGTACTCTTTGTGTTTCCCGAATCGCTTCCCGCTTCTCGTCGAGCGTCAAATAGGAAAGGCAAGGGTCGAGCTGTTGAGAGTAGTCCAAACTTCCCTATCAGTACGTGCATCACTGCATTGGCTACCTGCTCTTGCATTCAATTCTAATTGTATATTACAGGCAAGGCCGATGAATCATCCCAGGGATGGGTGGCAACTCGCATCATCCGAAGGTTCCTATCGCCCCTCGCTGTCTTCCTCCCGTCCCACGTTCCTGTGGCTGCTAGCGCCACTGGAGACTCACTCGTGCCCTCTCGCACACGGAAAGACTGGGGTCTGACATTCATTGGCCTGTCGCTCTTCTCGCACATGCTGGCGTCAGGAATCTTCCAGATCAAGTACCTCTACGCGGAACATATCTACGACTGGGCAGCTGAACAGCTAAGCTACTATATCTCCTTCATGGGGGCTTGCCGTGCTTGGCACTTATTGGTCTTGCTGCCATGTGAGTTGACTATTTGGTTACGTCTGCCAATTCTGATGATCAGCAGTCCTTCTCTTAAAGTTCAAGCCCGTCCGCGCCGCAGTTCCCGCCACGGATGCACCTGCAAATCCCGCGGCGCCTACGTCAAAGCCCAAGCCGACAAAGTCTCATCTATTCAGCGAAATGCAGTTCGATCTCCGCGTTGTGCGGTACTCTATGCTCATCGACTTCCTTTCGCACGCGCTAGTCGTCATTGCGCCCCTGCCCTCACGCGGTGCGAATGATGCTTGGTGGTCCCAGTTCATGTTCGTGGGTGCAACGTCGCTCTCGTGCGTTGGCGCGGGGGTGATGCCAGGCATGCAAAGCCTCGCATTGTGCACCCTCCAGGGACGTGCGCTTGCTACCAAGGAAGCTGCTATCCGTACAGGCGAGGCTCAGGAGCACGATAACGACGCTGGATTGGAGCCTGGAAAACTTTTCGGCGCTCTCGCTGTCCTGCAAGCCATCGGCCAAACTATCCTCGGGGTGAGTAGCGTCCCTTCTCGTTTTGAGACGCATTCTAATCGAGAGTCTGCAGCCCATGCTCTTTGGTGTCATCTACAGCAGCACCGTAGGCTCCTTCCCCAAGGCTATTTTCGCAACGGCCAGTGGCCTGGTACTGCTCTCAATCGCGTTCACCATTCTCGTCAGGCCAGATGTCAGTCTCTCCATAAGGAAACCCAAGGTTGCAGCCAAAGGAAAAACTGCCACTCGTCCTTATGGTGCGAAGCCAAAACGCAGATATCAGGAGCAGATCCGTGGTCGGTCGCGGGTGAGCAAAGATCTTAGGGGTGGCGCTGCGCGAGCAGACTATGATGTAAGGTTTGATGCTAGTGATGAGGCTAGCGGTTCGGGCTCGTCAGTTTGAGTGCTTGGTGTGGAGTCGTGGTGGTATTATTGTGCAAGGATGGGTTAATACATATAATAACATTTAGGTCGCTTGCTGCAGCGGTGAGATAGAAGGCGGGATATATAGTATAGTCGCATGTAGTACTAGTTTATCTAAAGAGATGTTTATGGAGCCTCTGGCCTAGTACTTATCGTGTCAAAACTCGGACGAAACAAGTTTTGAGATGACGTTCTCTTAGGCGATCATCGAGTGAATTATCATGATATTCAATCCAAGGACGAGCGAGCAGGCAACGAACTTCATCGTCAAAGGGGATTGTTATTAAATACAAGAAAGCGCAAAGCAGTAAGGAAAACAAGTAACGTAGATATATAACAAGCATGATTAACAAACCAAACATCCGACGCGGTCTTTTGTTCTCTGAAGGGGGTCGAAACTCGTCTCGCAGGGGTGTTCTAGCGGAACATCGTGTTTCCCGGCGATAATGTGAGCCTTTCAATCGAGTCAGTAGTGAGTATCGTGAAGTTGTCTTTTATGATAACATCGCGGCGGTGAGTATCGTGAAATGGTCGTCTGTTAATGGCATCGTGGCGGCGTAAGTGTTCTGTCTTGAACAAGTCGTGAATGTCGTGGGTGATCGTCGTGATCCCAATGAGGGGAATGGTGATTAGCATCGTCGTGAGTGTCGTGAAATGGTCGTCGTCTGAGAGCGTCGTAGCGTCGTTCGCGGTCTGTCTTAAGTGTCATGAAGTCGTGTCGTTTGACAGCGTCGATTGAGAGCGTCGATTGATAGCGTCGTTTGTAGCGTCGTTTGAGAGCGTCGATTGATAGCGTCTGATAGCGTCGTCTGATAGCGTCGATTGATAGCGTCGTTTGTAGCGTCGTTTGATAGCGTCGTGTTCTGCTCGAAAGCATGTGGCCCATGACCTTGATGGGCTATCGTAGTGTGGTTGTTGCTAGGCGGTGGTTCTCGGTGCTGTAGTGAGTAATGGTGGGCGGGCGTAAGATGCTAAAGGTGTCAGGGGGTGCATCGCCAAGCTGAAGAAGGTGCGGTGGTGGTGGTGGTAGCTGGAATCGTGGCTGCGACCGCAATTGTTCGCTGGCGAAGTGACGCAAGGCGGTCTTTGATTCGCAAACCAGGCTCTGGTACCGAAATCGCATCGACTATGGGAGGAAAGGGTGACCCCAGCGACGTTTGGTGGTTGCCGGACAGTGTCGAGGTGAACCCAACCTCCGCCATGGTAGCGACCCAGACGTTCATGAGGTCTGCTTGGCCAGTGCGAATCTCTTCGCAGACTAGCGCAAGGTGACCAACTAGTAGCACATCAATAAGCAAGTTTGACGTCAGGAGAAATGACTAACCGATCCTTTTGGTGTGTCGCCGGAGGCGAGATTGCACAATGCTATCGCGGGCGGCGTTTGATCGCGACGCTCTAGGTTTGGGCTAATATAATATGATGAGCGACATACTTAGTCTGGTGCTAAACATGTCCGTACCTTTTGTGGCTCGAGCTTGTGCGGACGGGCCTTTTCAGGCTGATATCCTGCAAGGGGAGGTGTAGGTCGACCGGCGGCGTGTTTCGTGACAAGTATTAGAGGCTTGAGCCAGGAGGCAGCGGCCTTTGTCTTTTGGGCTAATAGGCAGGCGGATCCAGTGAGAGAAGAGTTAACATTGGCGGGGCGGAGGAATGGAGGAAGGGGGGCGTTAGCTTCAATCCAGTGGGCCGGTCCAGGAAAAGAAGGGTTAGGAATCGTAGACGACGCCGTTTGAAATTGGTCGACCACTGGCAGAGTGAGAAGCGAGGCGTTCGTGAGGTGGGTGGATCCAGGAAGGGAATGGTCGGTGATAGTGTGTGAAATTGTCGTCCGGAATTTGTTGACCAGGAAGAGTGGCCGCAGTGTAGTTGTTGTCGTCCGGAATTTGTTGACCAGGAAGAGTGGCCGCAGTGTAGTTGTTGTCGTCCGGAATTTGTTGACCAGGAAGAGTGGCCGCAGTTTAGTTACAGTTGTGATTGGGGATAGTGTGTCGACACGGCACCCATGCGCAGCGCGTGCTGGTGCTCGTTCGTTGGCCTATAGCAATTAAAATGTTTAGCGATGAAAAAATTAGGTATGATGCGACGTACCTCTTGGAAAGTCCGTTCGTTGCCGGATGACTCGACCTCTTTGGTACTCGAGGCTTTGTCAGCGAACTTGAGGTCGTCGTCGTCGTCGCGGGCCACGAGGGTAGTGTCGGATGTGAGGGATAGTCGGTTACAGTTGTCGAGATCGGGCAAATCGATGATAGTGATGTTGTGAGGTGAAGGTGGAGATACATATTCCGATGAAGTCGACAAATCGATCGGGGTGATTTCGTGAGGCGTTGGTGGAGATATACATGTCGAGGAGTTTGACAAATCGACCGCTGGCATAGCAATGTCGGAAGGCGATGTTGAATCGGGTACAGGTGTCGAAGGAAAAGGCAAATCGATAGTGATGTTGGGAATTGAGTCGGGTACATGCAACGAAGAAATGGGCAAATTGGTAGTAGTATTGTCGCATGCTGTCACGGTGGGGACGGCGTCTATGGGATTCTCGCCGGCGGAGGAGATGCCGATCTCGCCTCTGAGGATCTTTGAGGCGGTTCGATGGGCGGCCATGAGAAGAATGACTGTCGATAGGCAGCCCGACGCGACGATCCGGCCGGCGGAGGCTGTCCTGTCACGCTGAGCGGGGCGGATGACAGCTTCTCTGAAGAAGCAGAGGGAGAGGATGCCCGTGATGGCGAACTTTGAAGCGACATGGCAAGTGGTGGAAATCATGATGGTGAATATCGTTATAAAATGTAAGGCGTGCAGCTGGAAAGATAAGATATTCGACGGCGGGCGATTCCAGTATATCCAGGATATTTATAATCTGATATTATTTGTGTGTGCTTGCCGACTCGATAAACAAACTCGATCGCGACGCGTCAGTCACGTGTCTGAAAAATCAACAATACACTTCAGTCGACGCACTGATACTCCAGCTACCTTCCAGCTACCTGCCAGAAAAGAGGGGCATGGCTGGGTACGAAATATTTCCTTATAGCCCATAACATAGGAAGATCCTAAATTATCAAGTAACAAGAGTTTCAGTAGATCACCTCATGACCGACGACCAAAAAAAAATCCACAGCAACTCACCCTTTTATAGACGATTTCTCTCGTCCCACTACTTGAGGCTCCTGTTTCTATTGGTCGTCCTTGAACCTCTCGTATCCCCCGCGCAGGTTGACCTGGTTGCATTGAGCTGTCTTCTCATTGTATAACTGACCTCGTTGTCCAACATGAAAGAGTAATACTGACGCAGATCGCACATAGGCTGGCCGACGCCTTCATTCTATACGTGCACGACGATTCGCAAGAGCAAATGACCAGAATTTCATACCAAGTATGTATGATCCTGCTTGTTCGTGGTTCCGCGGCTAAGGAACAAACCGTACAACCTGCGGGTAGTTTTACGTAAGTATACCATTTCAGTCTACTTACCCCTGTTTTCTCTTTACGACAATCATGCAGTCACCACCCAGCGAACCGCCCACAAACTTTCTCAGTCTTGTGCTATTAATGCTTCTCACATTGACTCCCTACCTCATAATGGCGATCTCAACATACTTCAGCTTCAGGAATAACGCCGACATGGCTGTAATGTCGGAATTTCCAGCAGCCATCATCAAAGTACTTGTGCATCCCGGCCGTCTCAATATACAGGGTACCATGGACCTTGAGAAGGGCCTCATCGAAGTTAGACTCACTTATCCGGACAATCAGTAGTGCAGTGTATTTCATTGACATACATCAGAAACGCACAGAAAACCATTATAGACGAGTCACGGAAATACCAGCGACGGTGTGTGAGAGCAGACGTGTCTGTCACATGGATCAGCACTGCAATCTGATATTTTGTGAGATGGGAATTCCGGTAACGGGATTCTAAACGTGCAGGTCTGCACAGCAGTCTGCACACGAGATTCGGGATTCTTAGCCCTTCCCCCTTTATAATGTGGGGAGTCGGGGACCCATCGGTTTGGCTCACTCCGACATCTCTCTTCATCGACAATCATGGAGTCACCCAATGAACAGCCCACAAGCTCTCTCAAAATTGTGTCACTGATCCTTCTAACATTCATTCCCCACTTCATAAAGTGGATCCCAACGCACTTCGGCTTCATGAACTTGAACAGCGCCCTCGTGACCGAATGGGTATTCGCGTTAGCAGCCCTGATCACAGTCCTTATTCTCGCCAAGCTCTACATCCGGTGGTCAGAGAATGGGAGCTGGCTTGCTCATCCTGCTGGGACTTTCGTGCAGTACCTCAATTGGCTAATCATAGGGGCACAACACATTTATTTCCAATTTCCCGGTGAGTTCGTCCATGGCATCATGACGTGTCTTCAAGTTATAATATTTGATCACATTATTAGACGACTTCGTCGAATTGAACATACTCTATGTATTGCGTCCATTAGTGGCTGGCCTTGTCGGCATGCATCTGTTCTTCTGGGACTTCGTGGCCTACAAGCGGAAGTATGAGAGAGAGCATTTGCATCTTTATGGGAAAATCCTGTACCCGGTTCATCATTGGGTGTTCGTAACTGTCAAGAACATCGTCTGCTGTATGAATATCTCAAATCTCTGAAATGAGTCCCATTAAATTCGTGACTCAAGTGATGGTGGTATCCATCGCCTTGGTGCTTGTCGTGGCGATATTTTCCCTGGTTGTAATTCTGGCGCTTTTCCTGGCGCTTGGGGTTATGTCTTGCCGAGTTCTCAGAGGCCTCTTTTCCCGAGAACCAGAGGTACTGCAGCCGGGGGCGTTTGTCGAAGCACTCGAGTCTTGTCGATCCCTGCTGCCATCCGTCTTCACAGCTTGGGTACCTACAGGATCTCACTCAGTAAGCCCTTATGTGATATTGATATTGCTCACGTTCTAACCAAGTCACCTAGTCTGACAGTCCTGATAGCACCTCTGAGACGAAGCAGGAGTTGGGGGAAGAAGATGCACTACTACCCAGCAGCACACGGGGTGACGCGGACCTCGAGATAGGTCTCGTCGAGGTTTGACTAGTATAGCTTATCTGTGCAATTAATCCGTACATTGTGATTGTGACATTCCATCACCTACTACTCGAACCCCCATACCCCGCACTAGTCCTCATCGCACCCAAGCCAGACGACCCCTCTCCTCTGTCCTGGCTATCATAACCAGGCACAAGTCTGCTCCTCGAACTAAGAGGCACGCGCCTCTCTCTCTCCCAGTCATACTCCCGAGCTTGCGACGGGCCACGATTTATAAGATGGTTTCCTAGCGCCCCAAGCGCGGCGCCAGTCCAGAACCCTGGCTGCCACTGCGCACCGCTATTTGTGAACCCTGAACTGGCATCTTTGGTGTAAGGCGGGGGTGGGCTAGTGTGATAAGAGCCCGGGAAACCCGACCTCCCTTGTCCACCACCAGGATAAGAGGGAGGTGCTGTGGCTGACGCGTTGCGATGCAAGAAAGGTCGGATGAAGCTGTAGATTATAACAGCAAGAACAACAATCCATACAAACATAAAGAAGATGCCAGATTTATCGAGGTCTAAATAAATAGGCGATAAGCGTTGGTATACTTCGTATGCGCAGAACTTACTGCTGAACCATGGACGGGCGTAAGAGTGAGACCAGGTTGAGTCGGAGTCGTCGCGGAGTGTACCAGGAAGTTGGACGAGGTTGTATTCCAGAGAACAGGAGCCTGTGTGATCATTAATAAATTATGAGACTTCGCCCCGACGTGAATGGGGATATCAGACCTTTCATGACGTAGGGATCCCCAGGGCCATTCCACCCCTCGCAAGAGACCTCCACTCGACCGAAACGCAAGGAGGACGGGAGATCTGCTTCACACTGCGAATATTATATCAGAACCCATGATATAAACTCGGTAGAGCTCACTAGTGGTCTCGCCCTAAGGAATTAACATGAAACAATAGTACTCACCTTCCAATCAACATCCGTACCCGACCCTCCGATATTACTGCAGCGCACGACATCCGGCTGATACAACCCGCACGCTTTCCCGACGCATACCAGTTGAGCGATGGGACTGGTACGGCGTGCTGCTGTAAGCGCGTTGTTGTAAAACGTAAGACCAGGGATGCTCTCCAAAGCGATTCGGGACATGAAATATAAATTGGCGAGGTGAGGGCTGAGCTTTGTAAATAGATCAGTACAGCTGGTCAAGAATACAAGGACGAGTTTTGGGACGCATACACGACGTGGATGTGAAACGTGTAATGATCATATGAGTTGACGCATAACCGCCGGTTCGGTGGCTGTGCGGCTCATGTGCATGAACATTCCTCTTGAAACAGACTTGGTATCCCTACGGTTACGTCTGGCTGACTTATAAGTTTACTAGCTTGGCAATATCACCTGCTGGCTTCATAGGTACGTCCCACCACTCTATTTCGATCGAACCGAATCCGCTCAAAGTTATTCAGCTACATGTCCGACTGGTCTTTGGTTCCCAAGGCTTTCCTGATCCTCTTTCTTATTTGCTCATCGTACTTCAAGATGTTCTACTCGAAAAAATGGTCTCCAAAGGGACTAGTGAGCCAAGAAGTCTTCCTCAATACTTAAGTAGCTCACGCGCATGGATCTGGTACTCCAGCACGTCTATATCACAGGCGGCAGCCAGGGTCTCGGACTTGCACTCGCCAAGCTCGTCGCACGGAAAGGTGCCCACGTTTCAATAGTAGCAAGAACACAAAGCAAGCTTGACGAGGCGCTAAAAGAGCTAGAGGTTCGTGTCTGTTCGTGCTCATGATCAAACGATCCGTTCGGTCTGAATGACCATACACAGGCTGCTCGCCAACGCCCAGACCAAATCTTCAAAGCGTTCTCCTTCTCTCTCGACACTGCAGAGGAATCTGCCGCCGCCCTTCAAGCAGCTAGTGACGCCCACGGCGGCCATGTTCCCGATGTCGTCTTCACATGTGCAGGCGCTGCAAAACCGATGTACCTCCTTGAAATGCAACCAGAGGACCTCACGCGTGGAATGACAAACGGATACTGGATACAAGCATGGACCGCATTCGTGAGTTGACTGTCCCACAACTTCCAGGTCACGGACGATAACATCATAGCTAACAGGCTGCTGCTAAACAAATGGTGCGCGAGAATAAAAAAGGGAAGATCATACTGGTGTCTTCGACCCTTGGATATATGTCTTTGATTGGATATTCTTCGTATTCCCCTGCCAAGCATGCTCTGCGTGGTAAGTACATGTGTCTACTTCATGTTCTTTTGAGTGATGCTAATGAACTTTTTGTGTTTTGTAGGACTGGCTGATTCATTGCATTCAGAGCTGATGCTGTATGGTATCGACACTCACATCTTCTTCCCTCCTACGATGTACACCCCTGGCTTTGACGAAGAAAACAAGACGAAGCCGGCGATCACCAAAACTATAGAGTCGACGGATGAAGGTCTGACAGCGGACAAGGCTGCTGCTGGATTGCTCGCAGGTACGTTATCCTTCATGAACTAACTACAACCTCAACCTCATCCTGAACTATCGGCTTGGCTAGGTGTCGAAAAGGGTCACGCACACATCACCGCTGATCTGATCACAAGCTTGTTCCGAGCTTCGACGCGTGGTTGTGCGCCTCGGAGCAACACTGCTATGGATGTTCTGTTGGATTTAGCTGCGCTTGTATGTTTTCATCTCGTACATTTCGGGCTCGGGCACATTGCTGACGCTTGGCTGTAGATCGGGATACCAATGTGGAGACGCTCGGTTGATAGGCAGGTGCTTGCGCATCGCGAGGAACATAGGGAGTACTTGAGGGCGAAGGGATTTTTCGGCTGATGGTGTCGTGCTGAGTTCGCATATACTTATACCCCAGTACTAGCTTTCGTCGTGGAACAACTGCTCCAAGCATATGTCAGTGATCAATTCATTTCAATTCTAGTAAGTAGGCTTATGTAGTATAATCGACTGCGTACACACGTTTCTATCTGTTCACCTTAGTCTGCCCCACATTATCTACGAGTTTCTCAGTTTTGAACTTTGCAACCTTCAGAGTATGACCAGTCACGTGCCTGATATTCTTATGAGATGACTACCACCAGGTTTGGTCAACAACTTTATAGCTAAACGCCAAAGCTCTGACGTAGATTCATTTCCAGTGCTAAACTCCTAAAGCTCACGCTTCCGCTCATCAAAACCCATGGGTTCACTCGCGAAGCGCTATCCTTGTCGGCGCTGTCCCTACCCACGCCGCTGGCTCATCCTCTCCCAGACGCAAGCGTGACTGCGCTGTTTGGTCCAGGAGACGATGCACGTAGGACGCTTGTACACGCGTGGCTTGATGATGCGAGACTTAGGATGAAGGAACAGGCGGCGGAGAGGATGGGAATGGGAGACGTATTGAAGGCGAGGTTGAGGAGCAACGAACCGGTGCTGGAGCACCTTCCAGAGGTATTTGATGCTTGGTATCGGATATTCGAGTTGATGTTGATGTTATTTCCTCATCACCGTTGCCGTTGTCGTGCATATCATTTATGCTTGGTGGTTTAGGCATTTGCTCTCCTCGCTTCTTCATCCGCGTTACCTCTACCTCTGCTACCGGTGGACCCTGCCCCGATTATCAAACACGCTGTTCAAGTATCTGATCAGGCGTGCTGGATCGCTTATAGTGGTCTACGGGAGGTACGACGCGTTTTTCCTCGCACGTATATATATAACTAATAACCATACCATCAATCAATCCCACCATAACCATCCAGTCATCTTGGTACACCCGCCGAGCATCTATCTCCGCCATATACCTCGCTGCCGAACTTCACCAACTGACTTCCCCAAAGACAGCATCAGCATTCTTGGATTCACTTCTCGAGAATGCAGATCACGCAGGAAAAGCTCTGGATGAGACGGCTTTGTTTGCGAGTTATGTGTGGAAGAGCTGGAGAGGGATCGTGAGGAGTTCTGGGGTGTTGGTTTGATGATGAGTGGTGTAGTTGCGGGGTGTCGTTCATACGAAATAGAGATCGATGCTGCCATTGCATAGACATATAGTGCGTTCCCTAAGCATTACATTCCTGAAGTCAACGTATAACGCGGATCTTATGTCTTGTCAGGCATATCTTAGTACCGGGACAGAAATAGCCTAGACACTGGTCCCCTCCACCAATTCTCACAGCATCCCAAACACCAATTGTGCATGCTTGCGAGGATCCATCCACCAATAACATCCCCTTCTACATTCTAGAAGCCTCGTTCAATGATGACTGTAGTTCAACAGACCTGTGACGACAGAGAACTCGATGCTCTGTTTCCCTCCCCATCTGCCCCGCCGAGTGTGCTTTCCCCTCCACGATACCCTGGAATTTCCCCAGAAGCAGTCGCAGCTTTGACATACGTCTTGAAGGACAACCATACCAAGTACCACATTTTCTTCAACAACATGCGATTACATAAGTGCGTGTGCATCTCAATTAATCCTATCTCATATTGCTGATTCGAGCGCCGGTGAAGCCATATCGCTCATCGCACGCTGGCACTATATGCCGCGGGTGCGAGTGGATCCCTGATCGAACAGTTCTATGAGGAAGACGGCTCCTATCAGCGCCCAGTTGTCGAGCCCCCCGAGGCAATCACGGAAGCGAACTTCATGGAACATCTAGGTGATGAGAAGTGAGTTCATCATGACACTTGAAGGACCCCGCCCAATCAGTTCCTTGTCAGATTTTACGCCGCGTACATAACCTTCTTCAGTAAGGTTGTCAAGGAAAAGGGCGTCAGCGCCACGCTGGAGGAATATATCTTCTGTAAAAAGTACAATTTTGTAGAAGGACGAGATGCATCTACCCAGCCGGTGATGTTGGCCCGCTTCCTTGGAGCGTTGTTCCACCCCTTCATCCATGTAGGATACGGCGTGGAATTTGGCATCCCAGGCATAGTTGTTGAAGGTGAGCGACGAGACAAATCATCATAAACAGATCTCTGACATCCATCTCAAGGTCTCGCATTGACCAGCGTGTCTAAGCATGACTTCTTGCCGTTGTATCTTTTCGAGCCTAGCAGCACGACTGCAGTGGAGGAGACAACCACTCGGCTTGCCTCGCTTGCCCTTAATACAAAGATATCTATTGCACCCTCTCAGCTCGAACAACCGCGGAAAGGACATGCGTTTTCCATTCTTGCCAAGATCATGGAAGATTCGGAATTCGCACCGAAGGAAATCAAGAAGTACTTGAAGACAGATGTTAACCGCCTGATGTCTGAGCACGGTGCTACTATATGGCGCTACGCTGAACAGTGGACGATCGACCCGTCACAGCCAGGGGAAATCGAACGTAAGATAGAGGAATGCATTTGGACCAGCACTCTTCTCTACGCTATTGGCGGATGGAACAAAGACAGAGGCTTAGCAGCAGACTTCTTCTTGTAAGTGGCGTCACGGTGGTCGTCTACGAGAGTAAATACTAATTTTTGGGACGCTCAGTATGCATTTCGTCACCGCAAGTCTCTTCCTTCCATCCCTGTTGCCTTACCTGCCACCAAACTCGCAAGTTCTCTTTCTTCACGGATACTTTGCATCGACCCTTGCGTGGTGGATCACACGCGGCTTCCCTCGACTGCACATTCAAGACTTCCTCAGCGCCACCTCACATCTTTCATCAGAGGTCAAAGTCGCCAATCCATTCCTCGACATTGTTCAATCTGCAATAACGCACCCAAACGAGCATCTGCCGAAGGTTCAGCGCGCCTTGGCGCATTTCTCCTCTCTTTATGGCGCACGACCCAAGGGCTACTTCAAGGGTACGGAACTGGATGGCGCAGAAGGACTGGATGGATCGCTCTTTTTTACGGCCGCGAGATTGACTGAGGAGTGCATGAGCGAGGGTACGAGATCGACTGAGGAGTACTTGAGCGAGGGTACGAGTCCCTGGAGCTATGCAGGTTTTCCTGCAAGCGATTAGGAGTGATCGAAGGATTCGAGATGTAGTGAATACCACTTAGCCAATGACAGCAATTCGATTTTTCTTCTCAAATGTATTGATTGTGCGACATTACCACAGAATCCAGATACACAGCAACAGTACTAATACCATGCTGATCATACAAGCACAGGGATCTAAAGGGGGTAACGATTGTGTATCTTAGTAGGCGAACAAAATAGAGAACTGCGACTGAGTCGGCATGCATTTGTTCTTTCTAAGTTAGAATCAGATAAACTTTCCAGTGTGACAGTTTTAGCATGATTGATCAGTGCGTACAGAACGGGATGTACGCGGTCGATAGTGTAGTCCCCCTCAACACACAAAAAAACACAAACTGCATTCAAGCCGGCGCGCTCCTATCGATCTTATTTTTGCCGACCTAACAGACTGAGTTTTATGGAGTGAAATTGATCTATGTACCTACTAGTACCAGCTGACTCGGAATCAAGTCAGCATCACGTGCGCGTGTTGATGGGAACGCGTCGTCCAAACAGCCGCCACGTGGCGCCGCCGCAGTCAGCGAGCACATCATCCTGGTCGGTGTCCAGTGAGCACCTTCCCTGTTTTTATTGAGCAGCACTTAACGTGTCATGAAGCGTCAACCAGATCCGCCCATGGATTCAGCGCAACATCGAGGAGGCCAAGACGTGCAAGGTAGATGCCATGCTTCAAACCCTCCTGCAACGCGCTTCTTGCAATAAGGAAACTGAACAGCCTCACCTCCTGCGAAAGTCCCTCAAGGCAGTTCTACCAGTTTGCAACGGAGGAGCGGCGGCGTCCGCTGCAAAGGGCAAACAATGTCACTCTTTTGGTATCAGGGATGTCTCGAAGACATAGTGAGTGCTTCTTCGATGCTGGGCTTTTCATGCTTACAACGATTGCAAGTTTACGTCCAGGACACGAAGAAAAATTTCACGCCCCTTTCATAAAAGTCACAAACATTGCGCTTGCTGTTTTCAAGAGATCAAGGTTGATGGGACGAGTCCTGCTGTCTCCGCCGTGGACATGATCTGTCAGCAGAATGATTTCCCCATGTTCCAATCCCACCAGAAGGAGAGATCGACTCGGAAGCCCGACGTCGTCTTTCTTCTTTTGCAAAGCTCACTCAAAGCATTCCCGGATGACAAGGGCATCGTAGTGGACGACCATGGGGTCACGAATGCAATGGACAAACCGAAAACGCCTCTTTTATGGGAAGATGTGCTAGCTTGTATCGAGTTCAAGCGAAAACCAAAAAAGCTTGAGCCGCCCCCCTCTTCGTATAAAGCCGACCAGGAATATCTGCCGGTGGATCGTCCTAAGCCTGACAACCCAACGCCTGCACCCACGCCAGTCCAGAGGTATTTGATGCTTGGTATCGAATATCTGGGTTGATGTTGATGTTATTTTCTTCCTCGCTGTCGCCGTCGTCGTGCATATAACTTATGCTTGGTGATTTAGGCATTTGCTCTCCTCGCTTCTTCATCCGCGTTACCTCTACCTCTGCTACCGGTGGACCCTGCCCCAATTATCAAACACGCTGTTCAAGTATCTGATCAGGCGTGCTGGATCGCTGATAGCGATCTACGGGAGGTATGTCGCGTTTTTTCCCCATACATATATATAACTAATAATTAATCTAACTGTACCATCAATCAATCCCACCATAACCATCCAGTCATCTTGGTACACCCGCCGAGCATCTATCTCCGCCATATACCTCGCTGCCGAACTTCACCAGCTGACTTCCCCAAAGACAGCATCAGCGTTCTTGGACTCACTCCTTGAGAATGCAGATCATGCAGGAAAAGCTCTGGATGAGACGGCTTTGTTTGCGAGTTATGTGTGGAAGAGCTGGAGAGGGATCGTGAGGAGTTCTGGGGTGTTGGTTTGATGATGAGTGGTGTAGTTGCGGGGTGTCGTTCATACGAGATAGAGATCGATGCTGCATAGACATATAGTGCGTTCCCTAAGCATTTACATTCCTGAAGTCAACGCATGACGCGGATCTTATTTCTTAGCAGGCATATCTTAGTACCGGGACAGAAATAGCCTAGACACTGGCCCCCTCCACCAATTCTCACAGCATTCCACACACTAATTGCCAGCGTGTTGAATTGAATCTAGTACGTTTTGCATCGGGTTTCATGGTTTTCAACCAGGGTTCCGCTACTCTTACCAGAGTTGCCGTATTTTTCACATTCTTGTGGCACTATAGCCCGATGGAAAATGGTGAGCTGGACCGATCGAGCGCAGAATGTTGGCGTTGAGCGCTGAGCTCCGTCGCATCAATGCATGATGTATTGAGTGCAGTGCACTTTGCCAAGCGTGGCAGAAACTCCATCTCTAAGATGGAAACGGCAACAAGTTACCACTATGAACAGTTTTTCGATCTGTCAAAGTTGATACATTGCGCACGCCAGTGAAACGCACAAAGCCATCATCATAAGTACGTCCACAGAATTCAGCCCTCCCTCACACACGCCTCAAATATTATGACCCTCATCTCAGATGATCCCAGTTGGTGGCCGCTCATAAAGCTATTTTGTAGGTTCGTGGAGAGCCAATTGCATAATGACTGTGGTGTGTTGATCTGACTTTGACGGCGGTTTCACAGTAATGATACCCCTCTGCTAGGGCGGTGTATGACTGGGGTGAGCAAGATATTTGACACCAAAGAAACCCCCTGATATCCTGCTGTTTTGCAGCAGTTGCCACTTTCCGATATTATCGGATCGCACGCAAGTACTGCGGAGTGGTCTAGGTGGGGCAAGGTCAGACATAAGTTAATCATGGAGGTTCCGTCGGAGCCACAGTGTCAGGGCACTTTGACAGCTAGGTCAATTGGTCACAAACACGCCTCGTGGAAGTCAACTAGCAGGTCTCTGCACCAATACCTGTTTGTGCACTGGTGGCTGAACACATTTTGGCGTTGGTATGTGATCCGGATCTCAGGGCGCAGTGAAAGCTTTCGTCAACTGTTAACACCTGATATAGTATCTGTGTTTGGGAACAGACCCACTTCCCAAAATGTACGGGCATCACAGCTCAGCGCCCTGTAACTATAGGACAGGGACATAAATGCATGCTTGCGAGGATCCATTCACCATTACATCCCCTTTACATTTTTGCAGCCTCGTTCAAAGATGACTGCAGTTCAGCAGACTTGTGACGACAGAGATCTCGATGCCCTGTTTCCCTCCCCATCTTCCCCGCCGAGTGTGCTTTCCCCTCCACGGTACCCTGGAATTTCCCCAGAAGCAGTCGCAGCTTTGACATACGTCTTGAAGGACAACCATACCAAGTACCACATTTTCTTCAACAACATCAAATTTCACAAGTGCGTGTGCATCTCAATTAATCCTATCTCATATTTCTGATTCGAGCGGCGATGAAGCCATATCACTCATCGCACGCTGGCACTATATGCCGCGGGCGCGAGTGGACCTCTGATCGAACAGTTCTATGAGGAAGACGGCTCCTATCAGCGCCCAGCTGTCGAGCCCCCCGAGGCGATCACGGAAGCGAACTTCATGGAACATCTAGGTGATGAGAGGTGAGTTCATCATGACACTTGAAAGACCCCGCTCAATCGATTCCTTGTCAGATTTTACGCTGCATATATAGCCTTCTTCAGTAAGGTTGTCAAGGAAAAGGGCGTCAGCGCCACGCTGGAGGAATACATCTTCTGTAAGAAGTACAACTTTGTAGAAGGACGCGATGCATCTACCCAGCCGGTGATGTTGGCCCGCTTCCTTGGAGGGTTGCTCCACGCCTTCATCCATGTAGGATACGGCGTGGAATTCGGCATCCCAGGCATGGTTGTTGAAGGTGAGCGATACGACAAACCATCGTGAACAGATCTCTGACATAGACATCTTAAGGTCTCGCATTGACCAGCGTGCATGGACGTGAGTTCTTGCCGTTGTATCTTTTCGAGCCTAGCGGCACAAGTGCAGTGGAGGAGACAGCCACTCGGCTTGCCTCGCTTGCCCTTAATACAAAGATGTCTGTTGCACCCTCGCAGCTCGAACAACCGCAGAAAGGACATGCGTTTTCTATTCTTGCCAAGATCATGGAAGATTCAGAATTCGCACCGAAGGAAATAAAGAAGTACTTCAATAAAGATTTTGACGGTCTGATGTCTGAGCACGGTGCTACTATTTGGCGCTACGCTGAACAATGGACGATCGACCCGTCACAGCCAGGGGAAATTGAACGCAAGATAGAGGAATGCATCTGGACCAGCACTCTTCTCTACGCTATTGGCGGATGGAGCAAAGACAGAGGCTTAACAGCAGACTTCTTCTTGTAAGTGGCATCACGGTGGTCATTTGCGAGAATAAATACTAATTTTTGGGACGCTCAGTATGCATCTCGTCACCTCAAGTCTCTTCCTGCCATCCCTGTTGCCTTACCTACCACAAAACTCGCAAGTTCTTTTGCTTCGCGGATACTTCGCAACGACTCTTGCGTGGTGGATCACACGCGGCTTACCTCGACTGGACGTTCAAAGCTTCCTCAGCGCCACCTCACAACTTTCGTCCGAGGTCAAGGTCGCCAACCCGTTCCTCGACATTATTCAATCTGCAATAACGCACCCAAACGAGCATTTGCCGAAGACTCAGCGCGCCTTGGCGCACTTCTCTTCGCTTTATGGCGCACGACCCAAGGGCTACTTCAAGGGCACGGAACTCGATGGCGCAGAAGGACTAGATGGATCGCTATTTCTTACGGCCGCGAGATTGACTGAGGAGTACATGAGCGAGGGTACGAGGCCCTGGAGCCAAGCAGGATTTCCTGCGAGCGATTAGGAGTAGATCGAAGGATTCGAGATGCAGTGAGTATTACGAGCACCACTTAGCCGATGACTGCAATTCTATTTTTCTTTTCAAATGTATTGATTGTCCGACATCACCACAGAATCCAGATACACAGCAACAGTACTAGTACCAGGGCCTCAACACAAAAAACATAAACTACATTCAAGCTGGCGCGCTCCTATTGATATTATTTTTGCCGAACTAACAGACTGAGTTTTATAGAATGAGATTGATCAATGTAGCTGAGCTACTAGCTGCCAGTGGCAGGACTTGATTGTCATTGAAGTTGACTGAATTCAGTCAGCCATCACGTGCGCGTGTTGATGGGAACGCGTCGTGGAGTCGAACCGCAAATTTGATAGATCAGTGGGTGACCAGTGAGAGTGTACACACACGCACCCTCAAAGTGAATACTTTCTTTACGCAAATCGTGCCATCTTTCCTGTAGTGCCGTCAACGGTCATATTGAAGGTAGCTGAGGCCCGAGGCCTGAGGACTCTACAGCGAGGATTAAATCTTAGGACGAGCCCCGTATTTTCAGACAGTTTGATTCATGCATAAGTTGCAACTGGTACACTTTGATTTCGGTTTCGGTTTCGGTTTATGCTGACTGTTGCTTACGTTAGCAAATACGAACCAACATACGACCTTGCGGAGCTCCGACATCATGATTTACTAAGTTATGTGTGTTGATTGCTGCATCTATGTGACTCTCAGTTGAACGGGCGCGTTGCAGGTACCACGATCTCTGGAATGGCCCAGTGGTGTATCATCGAAATGTCCGAGTCAGTCCTGATGGCAACAAGATATATTACTGGATTGACTACTATGACCTATCGACTGCTGCGGGTTCTGAGGGCAATGAATGCGCGCGCACAGCGCCGTTCATGACGCTCGATCTTCTTGCTGTTCACAGGGCCAACGATACGAAGTCGAATATTTGTATCTTTTAGATGTCGCGTCCCTAATATGGGTTTTCTCTTGAATTCGCTTGCATTACAAGCATGGAGTCATCCGGCGGCCATCGCAATCATCGAGCCTTTTCGATTCACGGGAAACTCCAGGCGCCGCGGTACGTACTAGCATGCAGGAAGAGTCATGGCAGAATGACTCATGGCACAATACGGACTTTGAAAAGGCAGTTCCCTATCACCTAGAGTCTAGCGAAGCAGCTCGCCAAGAAATACCGGCAGCCATCATGATGAAGGAAGAGCCGCGGGATGTCGGACAACAAAAATTTGAGCAAAAGAACAGCACACTCTGAGCGAGCCGGAAATTTTAGCAAGGTTTCCATGAGACCATGAATCTAAACGGCCATTTTCCTCAGCTAGTTTGGCACCGCAAGTTCACAAATCCCACATCTGCAGTCCAAAGAGCCTTGCTTTGCGTTCCAGCACCGACCATTGGCACTCATGTGCTCTACATCCTCGTATTTCACAAGCTGCAGCCCATCACAGAGCTCGATGGCGAAGACCTTTTCAACGTGTGGCATCAATGCATCTTGTGTACGTAGTTAACTTCATTGTATTTATGCGGTTCTCTGTTGACATATCGCACAGGTCACCTTAATCTATGGAAGGGAGGGGTCCATCACCGAGATGCCAGTCCTAGCAATATGACATATTACAAGTCTGAAGGCGCCCTGATGGGTATTTTTTACAGCTATGATCTATCATCGCTGTCGACTCCGGCGGGCCCTGGGGGCAACGAACGCATGGGCACAATACCGTTCATGGCGCTCGACCTCCTATCCAACACGTGGGGTCAACGAAGCCAAGTGAAACATTTGTATCGCCATGATCTGGAGTCGTTCATGTGGGTTTTCGCCTGGATTTTCTTGCGTTATAGGAAAGGAGCCCTATGGGAATCGCACCCCTTGGAGTTGGATGAATGGGCAACTTTAGGCGCTGTGGCATGTGGCAAGGAAAAGCTTTATTTTCAGAATCATGTCGAAAAATATCAGCCCTCGGACATCAACCGTTCGCACCCCAATTTTTCAGACATCAAGTTGCGTATGTGGGCTCTCCTCATGGACTGTTTTACTGTGCTCAACACAGCCGACCACAATCGCCAAAGGGCCAGAGTCCGTCTTGCTCAAGAGAAATTGTGGGGAGGAACAGGCCAGCTGACACACGCCGAGGAGTCACACTCGGATATGGATAAGTTTTTACTCGAGTTTACCACTACAGCAGCCTGGATTAAGCTCAGCGCGCTGTCACAGTAATTTTCATTACTTCTTACCCTATATACGGTGTTCTGCGTATCGATGCTTAAAAAATTTTCAATTGCACATTCACACTACGTACTAAAGCGATCACTCTCGATAGAGGATATTAAAAAAATGAGTCATGCAAGTACAGGTCGTTATCGCCATGAAGACAGACAAGCAGGGGTTGGACAGCCCGGTCGCTTCCCGCTTACCCAATTAATTCGCGCTGCGAGGACCGAACCAGCACGATGTAAGTATGAATGCATCTCTGTTGACATCGACACCCCGAGGTTTCTCCCATGAGGCGTGGCCACTGTAGTCAAGTCGAGCGGGCATGCTGGCGACGGAGTGGTCAAATACTTTCATCTCCAAATTTGGAGATGCGGACTCATGCTGTAAATGAGGGCTGGATGCTGATAAGACTACGTCACGATGAAAGTGCATTCAGATATAAATTTGTGTATGTGGGATCTCCTCGTGGACTGTTTTGTGGTGCTCGATACAGCCGCCTTCAATCGCCGCATTGACAGTATTCGTCGTGCTCGATAGAGACCGTGGGCAAGAGCAGGCCAGCAAACACACGCCGAGGAATCAAACTCAGATATGGATAAGTTTTTACTCGAGTTTACCACTACCGACAGCAGCCTGGGTTAAGCTCAGCAAGCTTTGACAGTAATTTTCATTGCTTCTTACCCAATATGCAGTTTTCTGCGTATCGATACTTGTAAATTTCAGTTGTACATTCACAATACACGCTATCACTCTCGATAGTGAATATTCATGCAATGAGTCATACAAGTTCTAGTCGTTATCGTCATGAAGACGGACAAGTTCAACTGTTCAAGGCAGCCCAATCACTTGCCGCACACCGAATTAATTCGTGCTTGAACGCTTCAAGGACCTGTATTGAACCCACACGTATAGGACTTAGCTGGAGCTCAGAGTTCAATGCACATACTATATTGGGCCATCTACGCGCAATCTACACCCAAAGTCGGCATCACGTGCGCGCGTTTGATGGAGCGCGACTCAGCGCGTCGTCGGAGTCGAACTGGACATCAAAACCACTTCAGATTGATCCATGGTCACCAAATTTGCGCCATACCGGTCGGCCGGATATAAAGCAGGAATAGGTCGTCCTCTTTTGTCCTTTTAGTCTTGGGATGGTGGCCAAGGTCTTTGGGGGAGAGGCCCGGGAGAATCGCACTAGCGAGCCGGAAATCTTGGAAAAGGTGAAGGAGATCGCTAAGGTGAACCAATCCGTAGAAGGCCATATTCCTGTGCTGCTCTGTCACGAAAAGTTCACGAATCCCACGTCCTCAATCCGAGCAGCGCTTGGCTTTCCGGAACCTACCATAGGCAGTCGTGTGCTCCACATCCTCGTATTCCCCAAGCTCTCCCCCATCACGAAACTCCGCAGAGACGACCTTTGTAATGTGTGGCGGCAATGTATCCTATGTTCGTGTTTCATGGCATCTATCTCGCTCTTCGTTAACATTACGTGCAGGCCACATTGCTTTGTGGAAGGAAGGGGTCTATCATCGAGATATCAGCCCTGAAAACATGATGTGGTACCGTGACAAGCTCGGGAAGCTTATGGGTGTGTTGAACGACTATGATCTATCGTTGTTGAAGGAGGCGCTGGGTCCTCAGGGCAACGAGCGCACGGGAACGGTGCCGTTTATGGCGCTCGATCTTCTCGCCCCAAAGGCACAACGAGGCGAAGTCAAACACCTATATCGTCATGATATGGAGTCGTTCGTGTGGGTTTTCATCTGGATTTGCTTCCGTTACAACAGCGAAGGAGACCTCCTACCACCGGCAGCGCGCCGCTTCGATGCATGGGCAACTTTAGGCGCCTCGACATGTCGCGAAAAGAAGCGAGATTTCCTGGCTGATATGGGAAGGTGCTCCCGCCCAAACGACATAGGGCGTCTGACGTGGTTTTTCCTTCTGCAGTGTGCCTGGGTGCTTGAAGAATATCGTCATCATCGGTCTAATCAGCAACTTGGTCAGAAACTTAGTCGGCTCGCAGGAGTAATCCCGGTCGACGGACTTCCAGGAGTGGTCGAGCAGTCAGAGCCTGAGGAAGATGAAACAGAGGAAGATGAAACAGAGGAAGATGAAATTGAACAGGATATGGATATTTTCCTAGGCATGTTTACCGCGACCACGGGCTGGCAAGAGCTCGAGCGCCGCATCCGTTCACAGTGATTTTCCTACTCATGACTTTCTGAATATAAATCGGTGTAACTTTTAGTTGTTCAAACATTTATGTAGATAGATATATAGAATATTACGAGCTGCCGCTTTCTCGTGTCCGCCGCGCTTTCCTTATCATCTAAGGCCTAGACTCACAAGACTATTACCATTCTCCAGAAGACTTCGACTGGCTAGTCTCGACGCTGTTTATTCCAACGAACACGAAACGGTATGCGACATTCTTGTACTCATGAGCAGTATGAGCGTGAGCTGCAGCCCCGCTAAACAACATCTGTTCATCGAGAGGATTAATACCTGTATGGACAACAGCATGCCTTACCGTTTACGTCACCTTGCCCTTCGCGCTGCTCACAATTCCTGGGAACTTTTGACCTCGATTGATTTCAGTGTTGCTACAAGGGCCAAAGGCGGTGACACTGTTGGTACGCTGCATCAGAACAGTCAGAGATTTACAGAGAACAAAATCTGTGACGGTCAGGGCTCGGTCCGTTTAATCAGTGTTACTCTGAAATATGAATCACCCAGACGGCACCTGTTGACACAAGTATATAAGCGTAAGTCGTGAAGGAGACCACGTTGTCATGCAGAATGCAGAAGGCTATAGGGTAGACCAAAAGAAGAAAAAGATAGTCCTCATCGTATGAATATCACCGCGACCGAGTCATGAATCTGCAACGAACACGGTACCCTAAGCTTTAAAGTGCTAAACCCTGCCGATGTCCGAGTCGTCCATCTTGTCCTAGGATCCTCCAGGACGTCCGACGCATTAACCCTCTCCTCAATCCCACAGCTCAAGTGCACCGACTGCTCAACCCCCAGTGTTTCGAATGCATAATGTTCATAGCCGCAGTCTACGCTGAACTATGCGTGCAGACCACAAGATGGAGAGGGAGACGTCATCGTTACGTTGGCTCATGCGCATCGAGGAATAAATGCTCACAATAACCACTGAAACCTCCCTCGTATGCAATGGAAAGACTAGTGCGATGCGGGCCGACGACGGACAACTTGAAGATCAAATCCACAGCATCCTATCACATATGATGGCTCCTCTGTGTTGGGAACAGAACTTTGCCCCTGAGCAGTTTGTGTGGGTCGTCCCCCTGCAACTTGTCCTTGCGGTGTTGAACTCTCGCCTATCATGCTGCTCGTGCGTCGCATAGCTGCTTCTGCTTCTGCGTCGGTTTCAGGGGTTATACCGTATCTCTGCAAAGATATCAAAGAGGGACATGTATTGGTGATGATGAACCACTTACATCTTCATCACGGCAAGGAGCAACGTTGACGGGACGCCTGGAGATTCTCACAGGAAATGGGCTGAAATGCAATCGCGGAGGCTGAAGCTGAATTGGTTGAGGAGCATTTAAAGGTCGAGTGCCGGAGCGCAAGAAGCCGAATAAGTTGCGCAGACCAGGCAGAGATGACCTGTCTGCTGAGCGAGGAGGCGTGCGGTTTGTGTGATCGCCGAAGAAGTCATTGCCCTGAACAGGCTCAGGATATATAGAGCTCATAAATGATCGCACTGGACTCACATATCTTGTCAAGCCTCTATTGTTGGTTTGCGGTCTAGGCGCAATAGAGATCTTATGAGACAAATGAGCGAATGATCAAAGTATTTATAACGAGCTCACGTCTCTAGGTCGAGTTGCACGTCCCTGATAAAGGAGTGAGATGAGGCATGAAAGAGAAGACAGATGACTCGCCTTGAGCTTCGCGTTAGGATCCGCATTGTCCTGACCGACACACAAAATCGCTTAGAAAAGAGCCTGATGAAAGCGACGTATACACGCACGTCAACACCACGAGCACGCTTGAGTGCTACTTCCAGACTCCATACATATATTTTTCCATTCGGCCCCCTGATAGCACTGGCAAAGTATTGTCCATCAGAGGACACGGCAACAATCGAGATCTGATCGTCGTGCCAGAGTGGGTCTCCAAGTTGCTTATTTGTTTTGAGGTCCCAGATGCGAACTGAGTAGTCCAATGATGCACTGACAAGACGGCATCCATCGGGAGACAGACAGATGGATAAAACAGATTTGGTATGACCATGAAAAACGACGAGTTCTTCCCCGTCGATCGATTGCCATTTTCGGATGGTGTTGTCATACGAGGCAGAGAAGATGTATGCACCATCCTTGGACCAACATAACGATCTCACTGTGCCGTCATGTCCATTTATCTCGATCAGCAACTTGCCGTCCTTTGACCACACCCGGATCATTTCGTCATCACCGCCACTGGCGAATTTGTCGCCTTGTGGAGAGTATTTGACTGTCCGCACAACTTTATCGCTTCTCTTTATGGGTTGTGCAATTTGTCTGCCAGTGGCCGGGTTCCATCGTCGTATAGTGCCGTCCTCCAATCCACCTGCTACCTCCGCCCCATTCGGAGACCAATCAACGCACATCATTGCAATTGTGTCATTATTCCCCTCCCACCGCGGGTTACCGACCACGCTCCCCTCCTTTACATTCCACAGCCGTACTCTGCCATCTGAACTTCCACATATGACCACTGTTTCCTCCGGAGATATCGCCATTGCGGTTATGTTGTGTCCATCACCATCGCAAGACTTTCCTACTGGCTTTCCATCTCTTGTCCACTGGTGAATTGAACCATCGTCCGAGGTATTCATTATATTGCCACTGGTGCCCAACCAGGCAAGGGTGTTGTTGTATTCATTGTCGCATTTGATGATGCACTCTGGGATCAAACTCCCTGCTGTACGTTCTGGCGTTGGCTTCTTCCACGATGTGGTCCGAGTATTGTGGTTGACGAGGTAGGATCGACCTAGTGGCGAGATGTGCCATTCGCATCCAGGAACGAGCGACTCCGAGGGGTCATCTATGCTCGATCCTGAGTTCCTCGCTCTCATTGCACTTTCGTTGCTCACCTAGTCGCACTCCTGGTAATGGTCTGTGGATTGCATACATGAGGAGTGCAGCGTCGCGATAAAATAGTTGGCCACCAAGATAGACCTCTGTCCACATAGGAGGGAGCGCCTCATTCCCTCCTGCTCGATGTTGAGTTGGTCAATTGGTTTCACAATGTGCTCGCTCACCTTTCCAAAGTACATCCTGGCAGTGCTGTGCACCATAAGCCGGCAGATTCTCACAGGGCTTCAGGGGAGCGATAGGTCCTGGTGGGTCTGACAGCAGTCCTTGGTCCGCCTCTCTCTGTTTCGCTGGCGTGCTTGACTCGACCGTGTTGTTCAGCATGACGACGATTGGGGACGTTGGTGATAATGGAGGTAGTGAGCAGACCTTCTATATATGCCGTTTTGCATGCTGTATTTACGGGCGCCTTGCTTAGGTGATAACCTGTGCTTCTGATGCGTTAGTTCTAAAATAGACCAATCGTTCCCCGCCATCTACTGATCCCTGTGCTCTCCGAGTCGAGACGCGGAGCCTACCATGTACATTGTGCATTGAAAACTTTACCTTCACAAAACAGTATACCATCTAATAGACACTTGACACAAAAATGAATACGGTGATATCAATATACATCTCCAGACCACCAAAGTCCGCAATCAATAGAGTATTGGGAAGATATATATATCAGTAACATTTCACCCCCCCTCAGTGCAACACTGATACAGGGCGATGACGTCTGGGACAGTAGTACAAATCCCATGCCTCGCCGTTCAGATCTGTTCGCAGGCCCGTCACTTAAGCTTCTACTTCGTCTATGCAATTTGTTAAATTTGGTTCCCTGCGCCCCAGCACCCGGGCTGCAAATATTCCCCGACAATTAGGTAGTACCGCTCCAGCCCCGGCGTTGGAGTTTCAGCTTTATCGCTTTTGTCGATGTTTCCCATGCCCAAGAGGACGACGTGAGTCTCTCGTCATCATCGATACTCTTGTCCTCTTTGATCGTTGAATACATTTGCAGAGAATCGGCATGACCCATGAGACTGACGCGGAATCGGTCTTAGCCATGCAACGTACGAGCGATAACAACGCCTATATTTTAATATAACAAGGTCAGGGTGTATCGGGGACTCGCGATTCTAATGCCGTTTTTGCAAGGAGTACGAACGCATTGTGTTTGCTGAGGAACGAGGCGTGAGGGTGGTGTCATCGCCGAAGATGTTATTGCCCTGAGGATATAAAGAGCTCAGGAACATATGATCACAATATTGGACTTGCATATATTGTCAAACCTTTATTGTTGCTTTGCTGTCTAGGCGCGCGCGAGAGAGAGAAATCTGATCTGACGATTAAGTAAAGGGTCAGGTGAGGTATGAAAGAAGAAAGATGACTCTCGTCGAGAATTGGCATCGGGTTGGCATCGGAAAGGTCTTGCCAACCGGACGGCTGTAGGTTGACCAGCAAGGGAGAGACACGAGATGCATGCTGAACAAAGTCAGTATGCATTGCTGGGGCACAACTGACGTACAATATTGTTTAAGTTGCTTGTCACAATTGCAGCTAGTATCTAGCACGTCAGACTGCTTATCTAGCCCCACCGCGCAACAGAAGAGAGCGCTACGAGTTGTATACTTCGAATGTGACGATGCTGTATGGATATAATAGAATAGTCAAAAAAAATGTTCACTTATGGAGGACACGATCGAGGCTCGTACACGGCTGGGGGCGAGACATGATCCATAAGAAAAGTACGAGAGCGAGAGGTGAAAGAAAACTCGAGAGAAAGAAATATTTAGATGACCTCCCGTCTGCGACGTGGAACGCGCACGACTGGCAAACCGCAGCAGATGACTTCAAGGGAAAATTCGCCAGGCTCGTCAGCTGAGCTTTGCGTTTGCGTTGGTCGGCCCTGAGGTTCATGTGTCCCTGATGCAGCTTGATCTTGTGCTGTTGAGCTGCCGGCATTGTTGCTGCTCGTACGTCGCATAGCTGCTTCAGCTTCTGCATCAGTCTCAGCGATCATGCCGTATCTCTGTAAAGATATTGAAGAGGGACATGTAATGGTGATGACGGAACTACTAACATCTTCATCGCGGCAAGGAGCAACATCGACGGGACTTCTCACAGGAAATAAGCTGAAATGCAATCGCCGAGGCTGAAGCTGAATTGTTCGGGGCGAATTTGCAGGTCGAGTGCTGGAGCGCAGAAAGCCGAATAAGTTGTGCAGACCAAGCGGAGATGACCTATCTGCTGAGCGAGGAGGCGTGCGGTTTGTGTGATCGCCGAAGAAGTCATTGCCCTGAACAGGAGTCAGGATGGATAGAGCTCAGAAATGATCGCAATGGACTCACATATCTTGCCAAGCCTCTATTGGTGGTTTGCGGTCTAGGCGCAATAGAGATCTTATGAGACAAATGAGCGAATGATCAGGTTATTCACAATTTTATAACAAGCTCACGTCTCTAGGTCGAGTTGCCTGTATCCTATGTTCGTGTTTCATGGCATTCATCTCGCTCTTCGTTAACATAACGTGCAGGCCACATTGATCTGTGGAAGGCAGGGGTCTATCATCGAGATGTCGGCCCCGAAAACATGATGTGGTACCGTGACAAGCTCGGGAAGCTTATGGGTGTGTTGAACGACTGCGATCTATCGTCGTTGGCAAATGTACCGGGTCCTCAGGGCAACGAGCGCACGGGCACAGTGCCGTTCATGGCATTCGATCTTCTCACCGCAAGGGCACAACGAGGCGAAGTCAAACACCTGTATCGTCATGATATGGAATCGTTCGTGTGGGTTTTCATCTGGATTTGCTTCCGTTACAGCAATGGAGCCCTCCTACCACCGGCATCGCGCCGCTTCGATTCATGGGCAACTTCAGGCGCTACGACATGTCGCGAGAATAAGTTATCCTTTCTGGATAGTCTGGGAGAGTCCTTCCTTCCGGACGTAGTGCTGTTTTCGTACTCCGGTTGCTCACACTCAACTAGGCACATGTGAGTGTCCGTCTGCGCACAGGCCCTACACTGCTGTATCCACTTCTCACCATATTTACAGTGCTTGTCCTCTGGCCGTACAGCCTCGACCTCACATTATCAAGTCTAATACAGTCTATACTCGCGTACTACCAAGTTAAGCCCCAACCATGTCATCTCAAGCCTCATTCAAGCTGGGTCAAGCACTGCTCATACCACGACAGAAACATCTTCACTAATATCAACCTTCACACCTATGGCGTTATATCTGCACATTTAATATTTGCGCGTTCCGCAGCTTGCGCGGTGCGCGTTTTCGTCAATTGAGAGCTGGCGCGTTTTCATCAAGAGTTTCCGCGTTTCCGCCTGCGCGTTTGTGTTGATTGACACGTTTGTATTTTCAAGATTCTCTATATGAATTTAACGAGTCTTTACAAATATGATGAGACACTATAGATGGGCCAAAGCCCTCGTCAAACTACTAACTTTGCGGGCGCTCTTGTGCAGTGGTGAGGATGAGAATATGTTTGCTTCATTATAAGCAGATAGTTTTTTCGGGCGGAAGCCCCGATAGTGGCCCCAACCTGTGCAAAAGTAAGCCGAGGTGAGCTGCGATTCCCACACCAGTAGGAGTGAATGCGACGCAGCGAAGTGAACCTCGGATTCCCAAGTCGTAGGAGCCGCAAAGCGACGCATCGAGGTGAGGCTAGATAAGGAGACAGTTGGTGTCAGAAGTGGTAGTAAGATGGCATCAACATGAGCATGAGTGTGGGCATCCGCGTGAGCATGAGTGCGGGCATCTGCGCCAATGCAGGCATCTGTGTCAGTACAGGCATCCGCGTGAGTATGAGTGCGGGCATCTGCGTCAGAGCAGGCATCCATGTCCATGAAAGTGCGGGAATCCCCATGCGCATGACAGCAGGTGTAGGTATTAGTGGGGAGGCCTTGCGCCCACGCAAGGGCAGTATTCAGCGGCATAGGTGCTACAGGGACGGACTCGGGAGAATTGTATTCTCGCTCGCTGCAAGGTGTCCTGGTGACCGGGTGGATGACTCCTCCCCTTATCAGGTTCTCTGGTGAGAGACCCAACGAGAGTTCACAACGGTAAACTTCCTGCAAGAGTAAGCTTGAAAGAGCAGTGCTGCGGCACCTTCGAGTGCTCTCTACTCATGGCCAGCTTCCCCGCCGGATTTGCCTTCATTGCGTGCGGATGCACACAAGGATCTCAAAGCTCACCGAAGTTTGTGGCCTGAAAGAAAAATCAAAGGCGGCAGGCTTCAGACAGGGCGCCATAGCTCGCTGGAGTGCAGCCTGGGCGCTGCGTGGTAGACGGAAAGAGAAGCCACGTGCTGCACAGCCGCTGCGCAAAGTCAATATTCTAACCCTACGCTCGTACCTCGCTTCGGGGTAGAATTCCAACCAATGCATAGCTACGAGGTCGGCTGGTGTTCGGAAGGTAAGAGACAGCTACTAGTGCATGAATATTAGTTTGCATGAACATTTGTTTCCAGGACCGAAAGGAAACTATGTGCATGGACTGATCCATTTCGATAGCAACGCGCAGTCACACACTGCTTTCCCCGTCACCATCAGAAACCACTACTAGGAAAGCAGCTCAGAAGAAACTTCGAGTCAAAAAGGGTTTGTCCTTCCACTACTGTGACGACTCAGTGCATCCGTACTTATTTTATTTGTTATTCTAGAATCTGCGAGTGACACCATTCCCCTCTTTTTCAACTCCGAGTCTACAAACTCACTGGCCACCTCCACCAACGCAACCTGCTCGATCCAATACTAGTAGCCATGGCGAGTTTATCATTCCACTCATTTATGCTATTTATTGTTTAATCTTTGCATTATTTTAGAAACAGTGTCGTTTCGTACTAGTCGAGTCACGGCGCCAGCTAATGAGTTACCCTCTCCACCTGACTTCGTGTCAGTCAGTGAGGCGGATGTCCTGTGGCGCAACAAAATACAGGACGACGACCCTTTTGCACCAGAATGTATCAATCCCTGGGACACCCATCATTCTATGTTGAATCTCGCCAGCCTCCGACTCATTTGAGCAGAGTCGCAATACTCTCGCGCAACATTTGACAGTGACCCAGTCTACAGGCACACTAATTTGATTGTTTTTTCATTGCACATTGTGGTTCTACTACTATCCTCATCATCTCATTCCGTACTCCTACCTCGCATCCACGCGATGCATCACCTACTAATGATTTGCAGTCACGTACATGATTTCACTCGTTACCTACTTTAACCGTTGTGTTCTCGAGACTCGAACTGATAGTTACCAGTATTGGCAACCAAGCCCTCGTCTGATCGACCTACCTTGACCGTTGTGTTCTCGAGACTCGAACTGATAGGTGCCAGTATTGGCAATCAAGCCTTTGTCTGATCAACCTACCTTGACCGTTGTGTTCTCGAATTGTCTGATCGCTGGTGTTCATGGGATGTATTTTTTTTAAAGAGCTTTGACGCTGTCAACACAACTCCACGTCTCCGAGTCATCCTCTTGAATGCGGAGGCTCATCGACGAAAACGCGCACCGCGCAAGCTGCGGAACGCGCAAATATTAAATGTGCAGATATAACGCCATACACACCTCCCTGTGCCGCGTCAAGGCCCACTTCAGCGTCAGTGCCGCGTCAACCATAGCCCATGCCGCGTCAGTGCCGCGTCAAACATGTTGTGCCGCGTCAATGTCTCGTCAATGCCGCGTCACATGCGCGTCACGCCGCGTCAAAACTCATACATGCCGCGTCAGTGCCGCGGCACAGCCTCGTCACAGCTACCCTTACTCTGGCTGGGATATGACTGACCACTCAATTATAGTGTTGGCAAAGGAGCTTTGGCTCGTCTCGGGAAGTATTGGTATCCTGTTCAGTTAATTCAATCCTATGTTAATTGTTGATGTGCTCCACAGACTCGGAGGGTCCAGAGAGGGAGGAAAAGAAAATGGTCATTGATTAATGTAGCTAGTAGTACATGTCCCTATAACGAAAACAAAATCACAAAGGAATGGTCATAAACCCGTCCAACTTGATGTGGGAGTCGAATGCAGAATATATAGGAACGCCTGCACTGGCGCGTCAGTGGCCGCGTCAAGGCTCGTTGGTGCCGCGTCATGACCGCGGCAGGACCGCGTCAAAATAGCCACGCACACGACCATGGATGCAGATTACAAGCGAACCGCTCGGACGGACGGACTTTGCGTTCACTTTACTACAATAGTAACGAAGCATAAACAACATTCTTTCTCTGCCTCTGACCACTGTGACAACGTCCGAAAATCCCGTCGAGTTATCAAGCACATGACGGAGAAAAGACGCAAAGCTTATCATTAACCAGGATATTCAAAGTGTTTGAAATTCAGTTCGAGCGACATAAGAATGTTGTTTGAACTCACAGGCGCGTCACGACCGCAGCAGGCGCGGCAGGACCGCGTCAATTTCACCTGGCCCTGTATTTCGTGCCCTGTCTTGATTGGTGCGATGATTGTCTCTCCTACACCGGTGTGAAGAACAATATTCAGCGCATAAAAGGAAAATATTTTCCTACTGTCCCCTTCAGACCCAACATCACATCCTCTTCAAGCAATGCGTCTCTCCTTTGTTTTCGCTGTTGTTGCTGCTTTGATAGTATCAACATCTGCCAGCGACGCTGAAAGTGACGAATGTCCTTGGTATTGCGTACATGATTCAACCTGTTCAGGCTGCATTGTTGGGGAATGCGTGAGTATGATGAGTAGTTTGCGTCCTGGATGTAACCGCGTGACTTATCGGCGTGGAAGATCTTCTTTGTCTGTTACTAGCGTGGCAGTGAGTCATGTCTCTGCTTTCACGTCGATGCAGTATGGTTGATGGTATAACACGTGAAGCCTTGATCGGATGCTCGGCCATTGGGAGTGGAACAATGACTTTGGTGGCGGCAGAGGCGTAGTTTGGGGTAATCAAGCAGTGGAACGATATCTGCTACTGGAGGTTGAGAAGTCCTGTTGTATGTAGTATACCCCCGGGTACCCTGGACAAGGCTTGAAGCTTGAAGCATGAAATTGGGGCGGGACAGCATAAGTACATTCTTCTACTTAGCACCGATAGATAGACAGGAAATTAGCATGCACCAAATTTACCGTACACTGTTGATTTTGCAAGGCACATAGTCGACATGTCTCCATGAGCTTTGATGTTCTTTCTTGCTTCATCCCTAGTTATTCGCTTAAAATATCTAGAATGATCGACTATCTTCATTATATCAAGATCTGATTACAGGAGACTAGGTTATTGCTCTCCAACACTGAGCAGTACGCGGATCTATCACCGACTTTCGCGTGCGACCACGGGTCATCAACCTGAGAGCAAGAAAATGTTGTACGAAGTGCCGTCGCGATACTTGCATTATGTTGCACATTGTTTTTTGGTAGATTTGAAAGAGAATTAGGAATAAAAATAATGCATTTCAAGCATCGCAAAGCAATACGAAAGCTATAAAACAAAGCTACCTGCCCGCGCGCCCATATGCGCCCTGTCGAAATCCTATGCTGGGCAGCCAGCGCAGATACCCCCAGAACAGCCCCAACAACTTGCCACGCCCACTCCATACGTCTTCAGCACCAAAGAAATCACGCTGATGACTCCTTCACCCAACACAAAGCCACTTGCAATCACAATCAACCTAATATCCGCGCCTCCGGACTTTGCAACGCGCTTGTGATACATGAATTCGATGATCCCGCCGACCAAACGTGCCAAGGAAAAAGATGGTGTGTTGAGAAAGCCAATGGCGAATGCAATGCCAGAAGGGATCCACTTCGTATAGGGGTGGTTGCGTTGTGTAGCCATGACTTTGACACCTGCGACGACGCCAAAGATTATTGCAAACAGCACCATATAGGAGGCGCTGTTTTGAGGAAGTTGTCCATCACCTGCGAAACGAAATACATCAGCGGCCAGAACCAGCTAGCAACGATGAAATCTCACGGAGAAGACGAGCCAGGCTGAGCCAGACGTACGCAGTCGGTGCAGGAAAAGAAGGTCCGGGTATCGTATATGCTCGTTGGTACAGGGTGTAGGCAGTTGCTGAAACAATGATTGATAATGACGATCCGATGAGTTGGCCATAGAATTGAGCTCTCGGGGAAGCACGTATCAGATGGCCAGTCTTAAGGTCCTGCATAAGGTCTCCAGCTCTGATATTGCTCTTCAGTGTATATTAAACATTGTAGTGAAGGAGAAACGTACTGTTGAGCGCCAGCTTCCGCAACACCTCCGGCAATGATGTTCGCAACCACATTGCCAGGCTGTATCCAAGCAAAGAGGAGTTGTGAGATCTTCCCCAGTCCGCTTACAGGATTCAAATCGGTCTCTCCCAATGCCCGCACCCTAGTGGAGTGATCAGTCGGAGACATAATATCATCGAATAGAAAAACGTACCCCAGGATACTGAGTAATCCGCCCATCATGAAACCGATCAGGGTTGCCCATGGTTTGATACCGTCATTTCCGAATACGATCCAAACCAAAATTGTCCCAACGAATATGCTGCTTATAAGACCGTAAATGACCCACTTCGTTGGGACAAGTCGGTCAGCGGTTTCTACTTCGTGATCTTCATGCGTTTCTGCATTGTCGCCAGACTTTGTTGGTCTATACAGAACCACTAGCTTGGTGCAATACTCATAGACAAGAGGAAGGAGAGAAACGAGGGAGTCGGCACACATAATGGCCAGAGATACCCAGAGAATCCAGCCGCGCGCGCCTGTAGACATGTCGCCGACTGGACCAGGAGCCCACCCGGAGTGCTTCGACATAGGCGACAAGATACCCCAACCCACAAGCATGCCCTGACGTGAATGGTAAACGGCGGCTACACAACTGGGGGGTCAAACTTACCAAATTCATACTCAAGGTTGTTGGGAAACCCATGATAATGCCTTCGTGAGTTCTTAGTATACTCTTTACTAGATGAAGCCACGCGCACCTTGACCGACATACGACAAACTAGGAGTGAAAGACCAAAGCCATTCTCGGGCAAGGTACTTCCCGAACATTGGAATCGCGAAGACGATCGGGAAAAAATATGCGGCAAGCTTTAGAGATAGATATAAGCTGAATATACCCAGCGAAAAGAATATTGGCACTGCCTACAGTCATTGCCCCGGAAGCAAGGAAACTCAACAGCAGATCTTCCCAGCCTTCTCGCTGAACAACCTCTCTTTCGTCAAAGTCGTCTTCTGCGGCTTCTTGATGATTCTCAGGTTCGTCTGTGACTGCGGTTGAATCTCTTAATTCTTCAGTATCAATTGCCCTGTATCCGGAACGGCGTCGCAATGTGGTATCAGGAGGGGGCATTCGATGTAGGACGGAAATTAGCTGAGCGGTAGCTGTGCCAGATGGGAACGCCAATTGCTCTTTGATGATCTTTTCAGCGTCAGGCTGGCTTTCAATGAAGAAGACTCGCAATACGCACAACTTGCTTTCTAATGGGAGGTGACAAGAATACTCCGAAAAATGCGACTGAACATGACCATCCTACGGCAGCAAGCCAAGAAAGATGAATTGGTGGACTCCCATCCTTTTCTTCCTCGAGTAGACCTAGTGCAGGCAAAATTCCAACAAACCCCGCTGCTAGTGGCATCTGTGAAGGAACCGATAAGCTGGTTTTAAATATGAGGTGAATGTGACCCACCGTGCCGGTAGCAACTGCAGTGGTCTGCACTACGATAATCTCCTGGGGTGAAAGGGGGGTTGGAAGCATCTTGGACAGCAAGAAGCCAATTAAAGCGGACTGAAGTGACATCCTTTGGGACGAAAGTATCAATTGTCTTGTCTTGTTGGATACTGAGTGATACTCACATGCTAATCCATCCTGTCTGCAATCCAAAGTACAAGTTCGTAAAGCACAGCAAGCATCCTATTAGCAGGCCTATAGCAACTGCTTGGAACTGTTGAACGTAAGATATAGGTGTACAGAGGACATATGGCACTACGCACAGTGAATTCGGCCTGGCTCGAACGAGTCTCTGAAACCTCTACCTCTCCACGGCATCGAAGCTCCCGCAACCTACTGAAGTTTTGCGCGGTAAGCACCCGAAGAAAACCCCATAGAAATTTGAAACGGTCCTGACCTCATCCAGGTCCTTACGTCCATGGTGTCTCTCACTGAAGAGTCAGTGATCTCTAAGCGCACTGTGCACGATGGGGTTCAGTAAGACTGCTCAGTCCTCGTGTTCGAAGGTGTGGGAATCGCTTATTTTGGCTAATTGACCCCTATGTAGTATGGTCTCCGTTCATGCCTGATATCAGGCTCAGTACTAGTCTCGTTGGATTCTCCTTCCATCTAGCGTTCGGCGGTTCGAGAAGTTGGCGTGATGGAATAAAAGCTTATGTACCACCCATGGCCATATAGCTAATGCCTCGAAATCATAATGACTCGCGCAGTGGCACGCACTGTTTTCAACAACAAAATGCATCAGATGAACACCATAGTACTACTTCAACCGACAGCTCCGTCGCGCCAATATACCTCTATGAGAAGTCAATGGCCGCTCCTCTCTTGGCCTGGGCACTAAAAGGCGACCCGCAAAAAGCGGGAGACGTCATCTCTCAGCGTAAACCCGGGACAAGCTTCGAGAGGCGTCGCGTCCATCGCCCGGTTGTAGTGGATATGGTCGATGCCATCACATGTGTGTGAAAGGGGGAAGTAGATACTTTGACAGCCGAGGATTTTGAATGTTTTGAAACCGAGAGGCTGCGTGGAATGGTGCTTGTCGGTTGACTGATGTCAACATCTCTTTCCCTTCCAAAACTTTATCGTCATTCTGCGCTTGAGGTAGACAAACAGAATTCTCCTGGACCTCCGATTAAAATATATGAGTGTAGTGACGCCAGTCCCCGACTGCGAGCACTGATTCTAGTGTTTGGTTCCTCTTCTTGTAGTAAACGTTGCAGGCAGTGCGTCGTATTATGTGCCTACCAACAGCGGTCTCCCGTCCATTTTGTAGCCCTTGGTAAGAAGTGCTCGAGCTCCAGGCTGATGTAGTCTCCCCATATAGAAGAAAGACAGTCGTTCCTAGGGCTGATGCTGAGTGTGATTTTTGTGATAAACAATTTTAAATTGGTAATATTTGGTAAACACGTAGCTTCCGGCCAAGCCACGTGTGGCTGACTAATCTTTGCCGATATTCTCTTGAGGTGTCAACTTGTCGGATCCCCTTGTCCCTGCCATCGACGACGACGGCGACCAACAGCCTTTGCTCATCGTCGGTAATTACGGCGACATCTGCGAGCACGCTGCTTTTCTGATCTTCGGCGTCGCCTCGGATAACTCGGGCAGCCTAAGATTTACGCGCTTTCAGAGTGTGATTCTGATCTTCACTCGTTCTTCTCGCCACTCGACATGGACGTCGAGGATGACCTAAATAATCATCAGAACGCCGTTGCAGGCCCGTCAACTATCCCCCAAGACACTAATTTTGTGTTTCTACCACCACCAGCTGGTACGGGCCCACTACTAGTTGTTTTCATTCTCATGGCGTTTGATTACTACTTTTCACACCCGACTAATCTCACGAATTACAGCACATCCCCCTCCACGAACATCCCTTGCAAGCACGCAGGACCTTCTCGCTCGCTTTAATCTTCACTCTGCTTATGACAAGCATGTCCGTCCATCCATTCCTTCCCAGGTTCCACTGCCACACGCTTCTATGCCACCACCTACACCAGTCGCCATTCTTCCAGACAGTGATGACAAAATGAAAAAGAATTCTTACCGATTCCTCATAAAGAGTGTTCCTGGGAAGCACTCGATGAAGAAGGACGACTACCTTACCATGATGATGCAGGTTCCACCAAAACAACGCATACCAATCACTGAGTTCGATGACCGGACACAGAGGGAAGCGTTCACCGTCAGTGCGGAAGGCCTGAAAGGGGTACGCTCTTCTTTCCTCACACCATACTCGTATTTTAATGATTCTACACTAGTGGAATGCGAGTACTTTGGTCGTGGAATCTGCACAGGCAAAGGAAGACAGGAGAAAACGGGTATGTGCGACTTTCTCATCTCTAAGCTTTGTCATTTAGAACGTCATGTATTTGCCACTTGCAGAAAGAGCTCAAAAAACTCGCACGTGCTCAAGCTCAAGGTCTTGTGCCGGGAGTCATACCCGGAGCACCCGGTACGCTCTCCCCGCCACAGGTGGCACCATCAAATCCAGACCAACCATCCGCACAACAACCGCCAGCAACATCGCAAGTGCAACCCATTCATTCAAAGCCTCATGTTCCTGCTGTAGCAATACCGCCCCATACAGCATCAACTCGGATAACTACACCGACAAGCGCTGCACCACGATCAGCTGTGCCGAGCACTGCCGTGTCACAACGGCCAGATACATCCGCTCTCGGCGGCATGCGAGGCAAGAAGCGTGAACTCGAGGATGGCCCTGTGCTACCGCACAACTCGAGTGTGAACGGTGCGAACATGTCTGTCGGTGTGGCTGGAGTCCGTGCGGGGTCGAATGGAGTTCGTCCAAGACCGGTTAAAAGGCCAAGGATGGTGAGCCTCTGATTTAGTCTAATCTCTTTTTTTGATTATGGGCCATGAGGCTACCATGATCGTAATTTTCATATGGAAGAGTAATATGAACTCATGCGCTTCTTGCAGGACATTCAAGGGCAGGCGAGAGAAATGCCGATGCAGCAGCCAACGCCTCAGGGCGCATGATGCTTTCGACTCTTGCAACTGCCTAATTGGTATTCCATGCTACTCTCCTATCTCGACAGACGCAGCTGTCTTACACGTCAAGCGACTTCATACCACTATCTCCTGCCCACATCCGCTCGCAGAGGGTTCCCGAACCTTTCCGTACTCAACCGGACTACTTCGGCCTTCTATATGCATCATCCTGGGTATCATGATTGGACCATCATCGTATCATTTGCATAGTCCAGAACTACATCATTGCCCGTACGACGGGGCCCTTCAGCCTGTTCCTCCCCCGATGGGGACGGCACAGTCATAGCACGTAGTGATTACCCATCGTTGCTACGTTCATTGCTCTCCAGTCGACTATGCTTTCGCTCCGTTTACCCCCACGCACACCTCAGCACTGCACACGCACAATACACTTATAGTTACTTACTTGTCTAATGTTGCAGTTTACGCTCGACACTTCAATTGCGAGAAGGTCATGGTGTTGTTGACGGTCGACGGTCAGCTCGAAAGACGTTTGAGTCACAGGTTCATTTTACAAAGTAATTTGAACTTCATTTTGACTCTCGAGTCTCAACTTTGACTTGGCTTCACAAGTTTCTCAGGAGGAAGCTTGATAAGATCCAGACGATCGATATCGATATCGTGATAAGCGCACTGTGGTTGATGGTTTGAACACGAAGGAACGATTCTTCTATTTCCTATGGGAAACTATACCACGACTCTTTGCAGTGCGCACTGTGCAGTCATCATCCATTTTTACTGAGAATGATCTTAGCAGAGACTCTTCTGTTACAGCTGCCCCAGGATGTACTTGTAAGTGTTTTGCGATCGATCCTTGGATTTTTATCGCCACTTACTGGTATTTCTCAGACGCTGGTCCAGGGAGTGCTGAACCGCTCAGTAATAGACTTTCAGCAGCTCTGCGATCGACTTGCCGATTGCTCCGAATTTGAGTTATGCATACTGCAGCCAGTATTTTACATCCATCTCGACCCAGATCGTGTTCCTGCAAAGTCAGCTCCAGCCACTACCACCGATATTGAGCTCGCCTGGTGGTCCCTTGCCGGGATTATCACAACTTTGGGCAAATTCGATGTTTATTCGGAAAAACAATGTCTCCTTTCCGCCTGGCACCGTGTCTCGCCCTGGCTTCTCTTCTTTCATGACCAGTTCATTATGTGCGGAGCCAACTATAGACCCGTCGACAGGACGCCTGCCATAAAACTTGTTGCCAGCATGCTGTTTCATGCATTAATCGCTGGCCGCGACCTTGACGGGAACTCAAAACTCGCTACCACGCCCACCCTTTGCCGCCCGATCGCAGAGTTGTGGGTGTTAGCGAGCCAAACAAAAGACGAGGATGTATTGAGCATTCAAGTGCCATTGCATTCCCTCGGTCTTATCACTTCTCTTCGACTTGTCACCACCTTCTTGGTTGGAGAATGCATGCGCCACCAATCCTTTGTGACTATACTACTCGAAGTGTCAGGTGGCATTGGCCCCTTCACTTCTGCAGCTCTGAAGTATATCAAGGTCATACCATCAATGGCCAAGGACCCTGATATAACCTCCGCGGCTGTCCGGATCGAGCTGATTCAAGTTGTGACAATGTTTTCGAGTTGTGTTAGATTCATCATAGACACGAGCATGCACAGTGCTGCAATACGGGAAGGATTCATCCTTCGACATTCCATCAGAAATATCTTCTCGGCTCTCCGTATTCTCCAGCCTCTTATCCCTGGTACAGGGAGCACGGAGCAAGCCCTCGCCTCGAGTTTTCAGTACCTCTTCTTCCTCCTTGAACGTGCCGATGGCCCTGTCTCAGTTTTCCATGAAGCTCTCCGCGCACATGCCCTTGAAACAGCTGTGCTTATGGCTCCTTTCGGACCCGTGAAGGTGGAGGCGGATCTTCATACCATCAGCGCGGATTTTTTTGAGATATTATACCATTATCTTGTTCACGACAAAATCTTGACCTACACCTGCAAACATGTAGACGCTTGGTCTAAAGCTCTCGGACCAATCGCGAAACAAGACGAAAACCTCTGGAACGACTGGTCCGCAATGGAGCGGACGATACGATCATATGTCACTCTCAGGTCCAAAGAGGAAATGATAGGGCGGTTATTATCCAACGAAAAGGGCTGGTTTCTAAAAGTCAGTCAGAGACCTCGTTGTTTCGTTCTTGCTGATCGGTCAACTTACTACCAGTGTTCTTGTAGTGACATTCCGGAAGACCTTCAGCTCAGGCAATGCGCGGGATGCCAGGTTGTGCGGTACTGCTCAAAGCGATGCCAGCGTAATTCCTGGTATAGTCACCACAGGTGGAGCTGTAAATTTCTCAAGGCAGCGGTCGGCAAGTCTTTTCGATGTTCAAGGATGTGCATCATTTCCGCTGACAATGTGTCCAGGCTCATCGACACCGCACCACGTGAAACGTAGTCTTCGTCTGCTGGCTGCCTTAGAGGACAGACAGATGTCGTGCCAGGGGGCCGACGATATTCCGAAGTTGGTTGCCGCTGCGCAGCGCCAATATCCGACAGATCAGGATCGACTCGTGGTGGAGCTCGGTGTAGATAAGCTTGACATATCAGTTCGCCCTCTTCGGGATTACCTCTTCCTGTTCGATGGGCTCTCTGAAAATGACGTGGTGGAAAGCCTATCGTCCTGGAACATGAAGAAAGAATTCAGGGGCCGTCAATCATTCTTGTGTTCGGTTATTGCGATAAACGACCAATACTATTCACGGCAGATTTTGTTCAGTCCGCGTACTGCATTGAACATGGAGATGAGGTTGGGCCGTCTGAGGCGTTTTAATGTACGTGAATTCTTGTTGCTCGGGTCTTGTTCAACTGTGCTTGTTCATTGATCTGCATTGTGTCAGGGTTGCGGCATATGGTAGCGGCATAATCTGGGCCGTCCCCCCAACGGGGACGACGCAGTCATAGCACGTAGTGATTACCTCTCTCCAGTCGACCATATTTTCGCTCCGTTTGCCCCTCGCGCATATCTCAGCATCATGTTTGCAATCAAGGAGCTACTTACTTGTAATGTTGCAGTTACCTGGGCACCTCTAAGCTTTGTCATCTTGGTATGTACAAAATGTATTGGACCTCGAATCGGCAACTTGTGATTGAATATGGGGAACGACCGGACCAAGATCGGACTTCTTAAGTTTTTCTATATATGGACTGCCTACTGTAGTGACGCCAGAACTCAGTCACCACCGTGACCCATTTTTACCAAGAAATAATGATCTCGGCGACACTACTGTCACAGCTACCCCAGGGCGTACAGGCGAGTGTTGATCGATCCTTAATTTCTTATCCTTGCTTACTGGTATATTGCTCAGAGTCTGGTCCAGAGTGTGTCGAATCGTTCGGTAGCAGGCTTTGAGCAGCTCTGCAATCGACTTGTAGATTGCTCCGCACATCAGATGTGTATACTGCAGCCAGTGTTCTACATGCACCTCGACCCAGATTGCGTTCCTGCAAAGTCAACTCCAGCCGCTACCACCGATATCAAGCTCGCCTACAACTCACTTGTCGCAATCGTTTCAACTTTGGGCTATATCGATGGTTCTAGTGTTGTTGACTCGGGTTCAAAACAATATCTTCTTTCCGCCTGGAACCGTGTCGCCCCGTGGCTTGTCTTCTTTCATGACCAGTTCATTATGCGCAGAGCCAATTATAGGCCCTTCGACAGGATGTCTGCCATCAGGCTTGTTGCTAGCATACTGTTTCATGTTGGGGTCGTTGAAATCCACCATGCCCCCAGCAGGAACACAGTGTTCGCTACCACTCCCACCCTTTATCGTCCGATCGCAGAGTTGTGGTTGTTAGCCCTTGAAACCAAAGACGAGGATGTTGTGTGCGTTTCATATCAATCCTTCGCTTGCATCACTTCTATTCGTGTTATCGGCCCCCTCTTGGTTGCTCAATGCATGTCCGAATCCTTTAGGACCATACTGCTCGAAGTGTCAGGCGGCATTGGCCCCTTCACTTCTGCGGCTCTGAAGTATGTCAAGCACATACGATCGATAGCTAAGGAAGCTGATATAGACTGCTCGGCTCTCACGCCCAACTTGAAGATGCTTGGACCAATGTTTATGTGCTCTGTCACATTAATCGCAACAACAAGCAGGCATAGTGTTGCGATGCGGGAAGCATACATCATCCGACAATCTGTCAAAGAGATTTTCTCGACTCTCCGTGTTCTCCAGCCTGTTCTCCCTTGTAAAATGGCGGGGGCCCTCGGTTCGAGTTTTCCATACTTCATGTTTCTCCTTAAACATGCCGTCGATCCTGTCTCAGTGCTCCATCAAGCACTCCGCGCCCATGCCTTTGAAACGATAGTACGTATAGATCCTTCCGGGCCCGTGGAGGAGGCGAAGACAGATCCTCATAATATCAATGGGGCTTTTTTGGGTATATTGCACCATCACCTTGTTCACGACAAAATCTTGACCTACGTCTCCAAACATGTGGATGCCTGGTCTGATGCTCTCGGACCAATCGTGAGAGAAGACGAAAACCTCTGGCATTTCTGGTCCATGTTAGAGCGGAGGATACGATTATATGGGATGCTGAAGTCCAAATTGAAGGAGGAAGCGATAGGGTGGCCATCATGTGAAATTCTACAAGTCAGTCACAGACTTCATTGCTTCATTGCTGCTGACCGGTCAACTCACTACCTACCAGTGTTACTGTGGTGATAGTGTGGAAGACGTTCGGCTCAGGCAATGTGCGGGATGTCAGGTTGTGCGGTACTGCTCAAAGCGCTGCCAGCGTGATTCTTGGTATAGTCACCACAGATTGAGCTGTTATTTTTTGAAGGCAGCTGTCGGTAAGCCTTTTGTTCAGCGATGCGCATTACCGCTGACAATGCGTCCAGGGTCATCGATGCCGCACTATGTGAAACGTAGTCTCCGTCTGCTAGCTGCCCTAGAAGACAGCCAGCTGCAGCGCAACTGGGACAATATTCGGAAGTTAGTTGTCGCTGCGCAGTGTGAATTCCCGAAAGATCGGGAACGACTCGTGGTCGAGCTCGCTCTTGATAAGGGTAACGAATTAGTTCGGCCTCTGCGACACTATCTCTTCCTCTTCAATGGGCTATCTGAAAATGAGGTCGTGGACCGTCTATCATCCTGGCCAGATCCAAGGGCTCACCTTCGCAGATCATTCTGTTGTTTGGTTGTCACGATAGGCGATCGATTTACGTCACGGCAGATTTTATTCAGTCCACGTACTGCATTAGACATGGAGACAGTGTCAATGCTCAGCCGTAACTGTTAATGTGCGTGAATTCTTATTGATCGGCAGGTCTCGCTTGCGCTTGATCATTGATCTGCCGCCTGGACGACACAACTTGGATCATAGCACGTACTGATTATCCAGAAGTGCGTTCATTGGTCTCTCCAGTTCACTATGCCTTCGCTCTGTTTACCCCTCATGCATATCTCTACACGGCGGCACAATAGTCTAGATCTAACCATGTTGCAGTTTTTGGCTTCAATTGCGAGGTCAGGATGCTGTGTGACCTCTAAGCTACTTTTATCATATTACGTATAAAATGTATCTCTACTCTCGACTTTGACCTCAAGTCGGCATTCAAAATTAATATTGTCTGATTCATATCTGAATGTGGGTAGTTTTTCACGGAGCCCTAATGAACATCATGATGAGGAACGATCGCCCTATCCCAAGTCTTTCTACCTGATCTGCCTGCGAGAGACTCAGTCACGGCTCACCGCCTGTCAATTTTTACCGTGACTGAGGATGATCTTAGAGACACTACTGTCCCAGCTGCCCCAGGATGTACAGGTGAGCGATTTGTGATCGATCTTTGATTTGTTATTGCTGCTTACTGGCATATTTAATTGCTCAGATGCTGGTCCAGGGAGTGCTGAACCGCTCAGTTCCAGACTTTCAGCAGCTCTGCGATCGACTTACCGATTGCTCCGAATCTGAGTTACGCATACTACAGCCGATGTTTTACATCCACCTCGACCTAGATCGTGTTCCTGCAAGGTCAACTCCAGCCGCTATCACTGATATCGAGCTCGCTCGGTGGTCACTTGTCGGGATCGTGACAACCTTTGGCAATATCGACAATGGTTTTGGTACTGCAAGTGAGGCAAAACAATATCTCATCTCCGCCTGGGACCGTGTCGTTCCCTGGCTTCTCTTCTTTCATGACCAGTTCGTTATGTGCAGAGCCAACTATAGGCCCGTCGACAAGAAGTTTGTCATTGGTCTAGTTGGCAAGATACTTCAATATGGCTTTCACGCGAGTGACGGATTTACATCATCGCTCGCTACCACGCCCTCCCTTTACCGCCTGATCGTAGAGTTGTGGTTGCTGGCCCTCAAAATAACAGACAAGGATGCGCTTTTCAGCGTCCAACATCCATTATCTCATTCGTGCTATCGTTACCTCACTCCTCTTGAACTTATCATCCCTATTTTGGCTACAAGGTGCATGCGCAACGAAGCCTTCATGGCCGTCGTACTTGAAGTGTCAGGTGACACTGGCACTGTCGCATCTACGGCTGTGAAGTATGTCAAGAGCATACTATCAATGGCCCAGGACCCTGATGCAATCTCGAGACTGCCAACGTCCCTCGAGCTGCTTGCACCCATGCTTTCGTTCTGTGTTAGATTTATCAGGGAAGTGAGCAAGCGCAGCCCTGCGATACGGGAAGAATGCATCCTCCGACAATCTATCAGAGAGATTTTCTCGGCTTCCCGTGCTATTCAGCTTCTTCTTTCTTCCACAGAGACTGCGGAGCAGAGACTCAAACCATCACTCTCCTGGAGTTTTCAGTACCTCAGTGATCTCCTTGACCGTGCCGATGACACTATCTCGGTGTTACATCAAGCTCTCCGCTCGCATGCCTTTGAAACAGCGTTGGGTCCTTCCAGACCTCTGGAGGTGGATCTTAATAATATCGACATAAGTGTTCTTATGATATTATACGATTACCTTGTACACGACAAAATCTTGACCTACGCGTGGAAACACGTGGACTCCTGGTCTAATGCTCTCGGATCGATCTCAAGCCAAGACGATACCATCCGGGAGCGCTGGTTCGCGGTCGAGATGAAGATACGATTATATGTCAGTCTCAGGTCCAGGGAGGAAATGATAAGGCGGCCATCACCCAATAAAAAGGGTTGGATTCTACGAGTCAGTGACAGACCCCGTTCTTTCGTTCCTGCCGACCAACTTACCTCTAAGAACAGTGCTACTGTGATGATACCGCAGAGGATATTCAGCTTAGACAATGTTCGGGATGTCAAGTTGTGCGGTACTGCTCAAAGCGATGCCAACGTGATTCCTGGTCCAGTCATCACAGATGGAGCTGTAATTTCTTGAAGGCAGCTGTTGGCAAGTCTTTGCGGTGTTCAGCTGCGCATCATTTTCATTGACAACCTGTCCAGGCTCGTCGACACCACACTACGTGAAACGTAGTCTCTGTCTGCTATCTGGCCTAGAAGCTCACGAGGTCTTGTGCAGGTGGGGGCATATTCAAAGCCAGGTCGCCGCAGCGCGGCGCAAGTATCCTCAAGATCAGGAACGACTGGTTGTCAAGATCACTATAGATGAGGAAGAAGTATCAGTCCAGCCTCTTCGACACTACCTCTTTCTGTTCAACGGGCTCTCTGAAAACGAGGTCGTGCACCGCTTATCGTCATGGCCAGATCCAAGGGGCCACCTTCGGCGATCATTCTTTTGTTCGGTTATCGCAATCAATGATCGATATTTGTCACAGCAGATCTTATTCAGCCCACGTACTGCATTAGACATGGAGACAGTGCTAACGCTCAGGCGTAATCGTTAATGTGCACTTGTTCTTTGATATTGATCCTTTATATCCAGGGTGGTCGTAGGGTCATGATATGGGCTCGAGAGTGGAAAAAACTGAGCTTAAAGCGTCAAAGTTGCAGCGACTGTATGCCTTCAATTTACAAGTAAGCACCTGGGCGGACACTCAAGCGATCAAGCTTCGAGAGCGGTTGGTGTAAGTATGAGTGGGCGGTTAGTGCCAGTAGAGATATCCAGGATATCGGTTTAAACATTCCGGACCAATATCAAATCCCTTGATAAATGCTACGACGAGAAGATTGCGGCTGGGTGGGTGGAGCGTTGAGGGGAGCAGGGAGCTCGTTGGTTGAACTTGGTGGGAAGGTTGGACTGAGAACGCCATCTCTTGTAGTCGTCGAAGTGATAATGCAAGTTACAGGAAGATAATGGTAGACGAGTTAATGTTGCGACCACAGAATAAACCGCTACAGGACTCACGATTCAGTGGCTGTGCTCCTTTGGACCGAGCTCGTCGCTCGAGCGACGAGCGCATCCCTCTTGGCTGCCATAGTCGTTTTTACAATAATCTTGTCCCCAATGACATGGACTCGTATTATAACATCGCTGATCTTACGCGCGCCGCGTCATAATGGATTAGTAGCTGACAGCCTGTAATTTTAGTTGGTCTTCAATTCAGTAATGACTGTTCTCTGACAGACCTGAAAGCACAATACATTTGGAATTACAAGCAAGTCTGCAGAACAACCCAACAGACGTACATGCGTGTAGATTGGGTCGACGTTAGCACGTCAGAAAGAAATTTCATTGAAAATGGATGCTTGGCTGCTCCCTCACGACTGAAGCTGGCCATTCTCCGCTCCGTCCACATCTACATGTGCTTCTATCGTCTCGTCTCTGACAGCAACCTTAACGTCCCATTCCTTGATTCCGACCTTCCCGCCCATGCGATGCCACACCGAGAGCATCCTAGAGCGCCTTTCCTCGCATAGCTTTATAAGCGCTTCCCAATACACAACATGGGAATACATGAACGGCTGGGAGCCGTTCCAACCCTCCTCGATAAGCTGGTCCGGCTCAAATACTCGTGATGCGCTGTCGGCATCCCAAGCTTCCGCATCCGCAGCCGTTCGGAAGAGACCATTCTCGTTGATGACAGGGTTGAAGACCAGCTTCTGCCGAGTGTAGGGATCCATGAACGCTGTGAGTAATTTGAAAAATGCGTTCAAAAGCCAGGGAAGATTTGAAATGAGCGCAAGGCCAAGGCGTTCTGGATAGTGCGTTTGAATGATGTCGAGCGTAGTGCGGCACATGCCAAACGATGGGTTGGTGGTGTTGTCTGCATAATCCACCAACAATGCAAGGGTCCTAGATGGCGCTGAAATAAGTTACGGAAGAAATGTGATGCGTAGAATGGTACTTGCTCGACACCGGGACCCATAAGGTCAAAAGAGCGTTCGGCCATCCAGATAGTGAGCTGGATTGTACGAGGTGTCTCTTCGGCACCCACCTTCGAGGGGCTTATATAGATGGCAGGTCGACCGTGAGTATCGTAGCCAAAGAGAAACTCTTTGCCAGTAGTTGCCTTCAAATCATACGCATTAAACGTGAACTTGAGATATTCACTCCTCCTCGTACCTCTGGTTCAATATATTCAGGAGTGATTTTGTCATAGATCCCAAATTCACGTCTCCACTTGAGTGTATCTTCTATGCGCTTTATGGCCGCATCTGCATTCCAGTTGGTAGCACGTAGATATCTCAGAAGACATTCATATGACTGTGAGTCACCATGAGACAATGTAGCGCAGGTCAACAAAATGCACAAAATCCAATATCGCAATGAAAAGTTGCACCGACCAGCCAAAACTGTTCGTCCACCGTCAACGCAGCCTTCTCCTGGTCAACATTCGGAAGCGTATAGTCTACGGGAGAGAAATGTTCGAGGACATGGTCATGTACAGTCTGCTGCTTCTCGGAAAGTGCTGAAGGTGGTGCAGACTGATGTGGGTGAGTCGGGACTGGGAGTGGGATGTGAATCGACATCGTAGTCGTTGGTTAGCGCTGTCCTAGTTTCACATTATATATCATGTGTGATCTCAAGCTTTTTCGGCAGCCTTAAATGAAGTGGCGCCAAAAGGTTGGAAGCGCTACTGTCTGCATTTGCATAGTAACTTGTTAAGCAGATTTGCGGGGTTTTCCTAGTAGTTTTCCCTAGACCTGATAAAGAAGGTTGAAGAGGGTTTAAGACAGTCGGACTCAGTGAGCCTGAGTGAGGTGACAGGTCGTTCAACCTTCTTGATTGAAGGGTACACGTGACCTGTTGGGTTGTCTTACGACGTTTCAACCAGCCACTGCGGCGCCCTAACGGCAGGTTTGTCCTTCTCAGAAGTTCCTAAAAAGCCGATGTGATGTTCATTTCATTTCATTTTTTTTGATCTAGTGCACTCCATGTGATATTGGGCGCGATGTTGGAGAACGAAGGAAGATTTCAACCTAAGGGCTGGATTTTACGATGCCATTTCAGATTTAATCATGATCTGGTCAGCCTTATCCTCAGGAGTGCCACGAAGGCCCTCCGCCGATGGGCCGTTCTTGCTTTATTCGGTGACTTTGGGATTTCCTTGCTTGAATCTTTGGTCGGTTCATTCCTTCGGGGTGCTGCTGGATCATATCTGTAGCTGCCGCGGCCACGTCCGCATGTATTGCAATTGGGGCTACTGTCTGGACACTGGCGCTCCACCCCATGGGGCGTACCGTGCCACTAACGTTTGTAAAATACCGTCTTGCGCCTGGAACTGCTCTTTCACGGATGTTGCGTCCATCTTTTGCGACGTCGTAATGGGTGTATTCCTAGCGTTGCCACATCCATTGTTCGTACGCCGCCTCTCCCGCTGCGCCACGCGCCACTCATGGGTTGTTTTTTATTAACTACCACGATTGTATCGATCTTCCATTTTCTTTATTTATAGCCTTACAAGCCAGGCCCCATCTGCTCCATCACGTAGCTTCAATTGCGGACTGTCAGTGCAAATTGATGCAATACCAACGGTAGCGTGTCTTACATTTGTTTCATTACATACTCAAAACAGGAATGGTCATCACCCCTGACTCCGAACATAAAAACGCTGGATGATGGCATGTCTCGCACAGACATCATCATCATACGTCCACCAAGTCCGCCGCTCGCTCTTATTCATCCTCGAATAACATAACCCTAGTCTCAAATGATCCCACTTGGTGGCCGGTCATCAGTTACTTATTTTCAACCATTTTGCAGGTTTATGGAGAGCCAGTCGGATGGTGACGGTCATGTCTCGATCTAACCTTGACTGCGGCTGCCTCCGCTACTGGGGGTGATGCATGATTGGGGTGAGCAAGATAACCGTTGGCATTCCTTCGATGGTATTTCCTGCATTGGCGTTCGGACAAGAGGTAAGGTTGATGCCATTGCCAGAGCAGTCATCTCGCTAAGAATGCCTTGACCCTTGTGAGCAAAGCCACACATCAGAAGAAGAATGTGAAAATACGATGATTCGCGACAGTGAACTGTTGTTGGTCCTCTATGACTCTTCTGTATCCGAGTGTAAGTACCTCTGGTTCGATATATTCAGGAGCGATTTTGTCGTTGATCCCGAAGTCACGTCTCCACTTAGGCGCATCTTCTAAACGCTTCATGACTGTATCTGCATCCCAGTTAGTAGCACATAGATATCTGAGAAGACATTCGTATGACTGTTGATTATAGCATTAGTCAACCAAATGCACAAAAATGATGAGTGCGATAACTAGTTGCACCGACCAGCCAAACTTTCATCAACTGTCAGTGCAGCGCCCTCCTGGTCGACACCCAGAAGCATATAGCTGCTGCAGAGAAGTGTTCAAGGACACGGTCATATAAACCCTACTCCCTCTCGGGAAATTCTGAACGCGACACAGCATCGTACGAGTGCATCGGGAGAGGGAGTGGAACGTGAATCGACATCACAGTTGTTGGACAAAGTTGTCCTGGGGGCGTCATGGCTTCACTTCATGTATACGTCAGTCATTGTATCCCAAGGTACTTCGGGTGCGTTAAGCGCCAAAGCCCAAATTGAGAACGCTGGTAATTTGTTGAGCAGTTTTGTGGGGATTCCCATTCCATTTCCTCACGCCAGATGTAGTACGTGGTGTACGTTCCATTATCAGGGGTGCATGGCCAAAGACATGGTATCAACTTCCAGGAGTCTCAAAGCCGATTACAAAGATAGCTCTGTACTCCGACTTCCTGTTCTGTCGCATACATGTCCATCCACCGCTGTCGGAACTTGGGAAATTAGCGCGTCAGGAAAGAAAAGCGAACAGGCAATAAAATGCTTACGGTTTCCTCAAGACTGAAACTGGCCATCCTCCGCCGGCACCATTTCTGCATCTACCTGCGTGTTCATTGCCTCGTCCCTAACGGCAACTTTAACATCCCACTCCCGAGTACCAACCTTCCCCCCTATGCGGTTCCACGCCGCGAACATGCTAGACCGCCTCTCCTCACATAGTTTCACTAGCGCTTCCCAGTAAACGGCATGGGAGTACACAAACGGCTGGGAGCCATTCCAGCCCTCCTGGATAAGCTGGTCCGGCTCAAATACTCGTAATGCACTGTCGGCACTCCAAGCTTCAGCGTCCGCGGTTGTCCGAAAAAGACCATTCTCATTGATGACAGGGTTGAAGACGAATTTTTGCCGAGTGTAGGGATCCATAAACGGCATCATTAGTTTGAAAAATGTATTCAAAAGCCAGGGAAGATGTGCAACGAGCGCAAGGCCGAGGCGTTCTGGATAGTGTGTTTGGATGATGTCCAGCACTGTGCGGACCATACCAAATGATGGGTTTCCGGTGTTGTTCGCGTAATCTGCCAGTACCGCGAGGGTCCTAAATAACGCTGAAATAAGTCCTGGAAGAAATGTAATGCGTAGAAGGGCACTTACTCAACACCTAGACCCATAAGGTCAACGGCGCGTTCCAACATCCAGATAACGAACTGGATTGTACGGGGTGACTCTTCGGCACTCAGCTTTGAGGGGTTCACATGGACGGCAGGCCGACCGTGAGCATCGTAGCTGAAGAGAAACCCTTTCCCGTTTGCTGCCTTCATCGGTATTAAACGTGAACATCCAAGAACTTGAACTTGCTTCCTCGTACCTCTGGTTCGAGATATTCCGGAGTGATTTTGTCGTAGATCCCAAATTCACGTCTCCACTTGAGCGTATCTTCTAAGCGCTTTATGGCCGTATTTGGGTTCCAGTTGGTAGCACGTAGATATCTCAAAAGACACTCATATGACTGTTAGCCGCCAGAGGACAAGGTAGGGCGAGTCAACCAAATGCACAAAGTCGAAGAGTACGAAGAGAAGTTGCACCGACCAGCCAGAACTTTTCATCCACCGTCAGTGCCTGGTCGATATCCGGAAGCGCATAATCTTCGGTAGAGAAGTGTTCAAGGACACAGTCGTATAAAGTCTGGTTCTTCTCGGAAAGTGCTGGAGGTGATTCAACTTCATGCGGGTGAGTTGGGACTGGGAGTGGGACGTGAATGAACATTGCAGTCGTTGAACAA